AAACGAAATGTAGTAAACAGGCTTAGTATTTTGAGGAATGAGGAAATATATAATCAAGCATGCAGTATCAAGTATTACGAATGTGGGGGCCATTCTCCGCGACAAAACTTAGTTGATAATCTTTTATTCAACGATTTCGCAATTGTTCGTCGCTTACTAAAGAGTTAATTGACCTGAACGCATCGAACATTCTGGCCGCTCAATTCAAAATTAATATTCCACGAGTGAATGGTCCTAGTTGAACTGAGGATCAGATGGGAAAAAAACGAATAAAAGGCTCGCTCTTCCCTATCCCTGTTCATCTTACAAATGCGAAGTAACTTACCGTTGCTCGATAAAATTCGGCGTTTTGTACAGGATCTCTTCTCCCATTACATGACTGTGGCGAGGATCAGAATCGTGCGCCTTCTTCTCGAAACGATGAGACCACGCATTTCAGGAAAGATACATATGTTAATCTTATAAAGGGGGTGAGTTTCTAAGGAAACTGTTGTGCTACGTCGGTGGGAGAGTATAGCAGGTAGTTTAGTGTTAACAACTGAGTTAAAAACGTAAATTAGCCAGCGTAAAGGGTAAAAAAGCTGACGTTTCGAGCGTTAACCCTTCGTCAGGGCGATCGGAGTAATTGTGGGTTGTGTCTGTGTTTATATGTAGAAAGTGGAGCTACGCCATTGGTGGGAATATGGTAACGAGAAAACAGGAATAAATTAGACATAGTTTGATGCTACTCTGGTTTGCAGATTTAATGAATGTAACTCAAGAGGTTACAATTCATAGATCCAACTATGGGCGGCCGTCACCACCAAAAATACAAGGATGTCAAATAGATCAGCAAATACAAAGATGGTGTAAGGATCAGCTGCAGGATAGCAAAGCTAATAAAAGAATGGCATGGCCAAATTATAGACAGTCTAGTCTTCCTTCGTGAAACAGAACACCCTAAACATGAATAGTTTAGCCAAATGAGAAACGGTCTAGTAGCCCAAAAGGATGTTTTCAATGCGCTTGTAGCTCTCAAAAAGGATCCGGACAGGCTCGTATTATCTGCTGACAAACAGCAATATCACGACAAAGCTTTGTCTCTGCTTAATGACAAGAGTACGTATGCTGTCTTAAACTCTGATCCTACCAGTAAAACTCAAAGAAAGTTAAACAAAATGTTGCTTGATTTGAAAAAAGCTGGTAGAATTAGTGACTCTAGGTAAAAAAATGTTATGCAGTAGTGACGGCTTATGTCCACGTTTTTATGGCTTACCTAAAATTCATAAACCGGGAATTCCTTTGAGACCCATCGTCTCTTGATAATTCTCCGACTTATGCAATTTCTGGTTATCTTGCGAGAATTTTGTCGCCTGTTGTTGGGAATACTGATTACACTGTCACAAATTTCCTGCGAATTTGCGAATTTCATAAGAGATAAAACTCTTAACGCTTTTGAAGAATTAGTATCTTTCGACGTTGTTTCGCTCTTCACCAAAATCCCAGTTGATTATGCCGTTAAGGTTGTGGAGGAAAGACTCAGAGAAGATGCTTCCCTGGGACAAAGAACTTCTTTGCCTGTGGAGGATATTATTCATCTGCTGTCTTTTTGCCTCAAAACCTTGAAAAAAATTCACCCTTGAGCGCGAAAAGGATAGACATTTGCCCTTTCTTGATTTAAATGTGTCCAGAGGGGTTCAGGGTAATTTAGAGACAAGTGTCTACCTTAAACCTACCCACACCGACAAATACCTCGCTTTCGATTCTCACCACCCTATTTTCCATAAAAAGTCTGTAGCCAAAACTTTACTTAGGAGGGCTGACTGTCTACCATCTTCACTCGATTCGAAGGCTGAGGAGAGGAAATATGTTCCCAATGTCCTAAAGGCAAATGGCTATACAAAAACTTTTCTCCGTAACTACCAAAAAACCAGTTACAAATAGTAATGCTCCTGATGAAAGGGAACCAGCGACTGGTTTTGCTGTTATTCCTTACATACAGGGTGTTACGGAACCCATCAAGAGAATTTTGGGTAAAATTTCCGCACAGCCCCATGCTACTTTATGCATTCAGTTCTTGGATAGAGAAAACAATGACAAAAACAACACATTGCCTTTGGGAAAACAGATTTGTTTACAATAGTATGGGGCTGTGCGGAAATTTTACCGAATTTTGAATAGCCACAACGTTAAAGTTGCTCAAAAACCTTTTCAGACTTTGGGGCATATTTTCGCCAAACCTAAGGACTATCACGAAAGAACAACGAACCGACGCCATTTATTCTATTCCTTGCAATGACTGTGACAACGAATACATCGGACAGACCAAACGTCAGTTTGGTACACGGTTAAAAGAGCACCAAAAAGCGGTTTTTCTTTGCAAAAAGGAAAATTCAGCTTTATCGGAGCATACATGCCTAACCAACCATACAGTTGGGTGGGATAATTCTAAAATTATCACCACTAATCGGCGTTACCACCAGCGCCTATTTACACCTCGTCAGAAAAAAAGGCCGCTAATTAGTGATCATATAAAAGGACCTCTTGTTGCAGCGTTTAGATCACCCCTGATGAAGGCACTAGACAGGAGTGTCGAAACGTTGGGTCTATGAATTGTAACTTCTTCAGTTACATTCATTAAATCTGCAAACCAGAGTAGCATCAAACTATGTCTGATTGTCCACCTGGTTGCCGCGTGAACTTTAAGGAATAAATTAGTTGAAGGAAAAGCGCTCGTTGATTTCGTGGGGATTAAGCGTGCCGATTTGGAAGATAAATTTTTGTTCCACTCTTAGCTGCGTTGACATTTACAATATGGACGGAAAACAACAGGATGCCAACAAAGAAAACGAAAACCAGGGAAGCGCTGTGTAGTGATGTTTTGTTACAAAACAAATGCAGACGGAGTCAGCCTTCACCAGTTTCCTCAAACCCTGACTGCTGGACAATACATCTGGCTTCTACCTGCAACTGTTCCACTGTAACATCCTCCAAGTTTTTATTTTTGACCACATCTACTTCTTGGAAAAGATGTTTTCTTCCTCCCTCCACACACACACTCCACACACTTCCTCTACACACCGTGTAATTTAAAAAAATCAGTAAAGTAGCTATTTTTTTACAATGTTGAATGGAAGAAGTAGAGAGCACGACCTGTATGATTGGTTTCACAAAAAGGACCAGTGATCAGCTCCGTAACTGTCGCAAACGTGAAAGATAACTCAAACTTTAGACTATAAACAAGGTGCAAAGACCACAAGTAAACAATAAGTTATGCGGAGCTCGCGTAGCCCCATAATTACATAAAATAGTAGTAAATCATCAAGCCAAATGGATGTACGACCGTACGACTATACAAGGTGCTACTTTTAACGTGCGTGGTCAACTGTACCGCGGGCACGCCAACGCCACGGCTTTGTCCAGTAGTCCAGTGGTCAGCGCACTAGGGTCCGAGTCGGACGACCCGGGTTCTAGCCCTGGCCGAGGCAAGGCGTTGTGCCCTTGAGACGTGCGGGGAAAAAAAATGCGAGCTCCGCTTTTAGGCTTGGCTAAATCTATATATTATTGAGAGGATGTTCAATTCTACAGGTGCGAATGCTATTTTTTGCTGCATCGCATTTTTAAGTAAAAGCCGAGAAATCTTTAATCGTTCAACAGTTTATACACCTATGAGGTCACTGATTGTCTCAAACCCGCGAGTGTATCTCTAACTTCCATCCACCAACATCATAAAAACAACGCAAATCCACGTGTTTGCTCATAACAACCGAATGGTGAATGCCGAGTTGTCCTGAAACGTTGCGTAAACGTGATCGGTCGTAACGCTTGCGCGCTTGCGTGACTTACAAAGTAGAGTATTCTGGGTCAAAAACTATGCTGCGATTCCGGAAAATGCATATGGTAAAAATCAAAGAGCGCAAACTGATCATGACAGTTCAGTGAAGTAATCCGTAATCCAAGTAGTAGGAGAGAACTGCCTCGCTAATCCTGATTACTACGGAAATCCGCGGATACCATGGCATGCCCTGTAAGATTCCTTACAGTCAAAAGTTACTTTCACGAAGTTCACTGAATGTCGTATCTTAGATAGAAACGTCTTTTTAAAAATGAAAGGTACCATTTGATTTTGAATTGGCGTATTATTATATACTTTGCAGTGGTGCATGACGCGCAAAAAAGGGCTTTTACAACACAAAAACAAAAGATCGCTTACTAAAACCAACATATACGGGTTGGGTGTACCTAAAAAAGTAACTCAAAAGAGTAAAAATTGGAAAAAATAATTTTTGAAAATAACACCTTAACAGCAAAAGCACGCTGCCAGAATTGATCACCTCTTACTTGTAAATTTCTTTTTTTTAGTCTTTGTTTTATTTCAGTCAACGCAGCAACTCATACAGATCAGTTCCTAACATGACCGTTTTCAGAGGAGGCTCTGAACATTTATCATTTATAGCAGTAAATGAGATAAAGGATTGAAAAAAAATATGAAAAATTACTGTTACATCCCACTTAATAATAGGACTTCTGCTATTACACTCAAATCTAAAATACATCATTCTGCTATATTTTTTTTATGCCTTGCCGACCAAGCCTAAGAATCTTGAATGAATTCTATAAGTAAACAGTGGAGGAAGCATTAAGGAATACAAGCCAAGATCTCGACAAGCTGTACATGTTGTGAACTGAGGGTATCATTTATATACCTTTTGTACTGATGTGAATATGATCAAAAGAGCATAGCTGACTGGAAGATTTATCTTCTCTGCACCTTTAAGATTGTCGCCCTCTATTATTAAATGCGCAGTAGAACCCCGTTAACTCAACTGTCAAGGGAAACAAAAATGGGGGTTCGAGTTAGCTAAAAGTACGAGTTACCATGGAGCATGAGTTAACCATGTTCGAGTAAGCGAGGTTCTATTGTGTTTGTAAAAATTGAAAAGCTTGATGTTGGGAAAGAGCGGGGAAAAGTTTGATATCACGAACCTGGAGCATCATGTTTAGTTGTAATGATTAAGTCTTCACGTTTCAATCGCTTTAAGAATAGTTTCTTTAACCAAACTGGCATACTTCTGGGCTAAGGCGTTACTTACAACGTTACTGTAATAAGTCACTGTCCAAAATAACTTTCCATTAAAAGTCATCATGCTGTTACTAAAAATGGTTCCTTGTTGGTGCTCGGCAGAACAACCGAACCTTGCTCGAAGGATGACGCTATCATCGGGAGATCCGTCGAGAAACTTTGCGTAACCCAAATTAGTGAAAACTACTAGCTGTCGGGAACGTCCAGCGAATCCATCATCTTCTTTAGGTTCTTCACTCATTGCTCCAAATACCACTGGGATCAGATACTTCATGACTGACCATTCCTTGATAGGTACGTTGTTTTTCAGTTTGGCATGGACGTCATTTGAGGCTTGTTTAGCCACATTCCAAAATGCACCAGGATCTGGAGCAGCGACCACCAGGTTTTTACATTCCACGCCAAGAAAGTACGGTCCGGCATAGTCATTTGGTACTTCTGATCTCAGGAAGGGTCTGATATTGACTGTGACTCGGGTGGGGACTTCTAGCTTCTCATCCTCTAACATGGCGACCATGGAAACACCTGCTGCTGTCTGAACAGCCCCCTGTACTGTTGTCTTATGCTCCTTGCACTTCTTCAGTAACCTTGAGGTCTCGTCCTCAGTAAACTCTAAGGGAATAATCTTCGTCTTTGGTTGGAACAAATCCTCCCATCATTCGTGTGGTGAATCCGGGTATCATGCCCAGTATTCCAAATACCATAGGCAAAAGAAAGTGGTACCATTTAGGCGGGATCACTTCATCAAGGTACAGTTCTACTGGTGGCAACATTGGCATGGAGGACACTTGAGGTTCTTCATTGTTGAGTATGTTGCCCAAATACGTCTTAAACTCTGCAAACATTCTCGAAAAGGACTGCCCATCTATTATGATGTGATGAAAGCCAACTATGCAAATGCACTCATGAGGGTGTGAGGTTATTTCTGGGGTTTCTTCATCTGCGTTCGACTGGTACCTAGCATTTGGAAGGAAGGCGACTCTCCAAAGAGGACCATTTTTTCCATCAAATTTCTCCAGCAAGCTCTCCTCTATGACACTTTTCCAGTCGGTGGTATTTTGCTCTCGTAAATCCACCTTAAGAGTTGTCATCTTCTGCAGGTGATATTCTCCGTTTTGGTTCTTTTGATAGCACATGCGCAAATTAGGGTGTCTTCTCATGAGTAGTTCCATTGCTTTCCTCACCACTGATCCTGTAATTTCCTTTTGGGAGCGCAGAACTAAAGTGTCGGCAAGAATAAGACTTCCAGTCGTGTCGTGGACATGTCTTAACAATTCTTCCATAATACCAAGCGGGCGTCCGTTGTCATGGTTGTAATTTTTTTGGAACTTCGCCGGGTTTCTGACCTTGCAGTCTTCTTATAAACATGGCCAACAGAACTAGAGCCATTCCACAAACTGCAGCAAAGGGAAACATGGTTTCTGAAATTGAAACAGATACAGACAGATCGAAAACTAGCTTTCATTTTGACTCAAGAGAGGATACTCTCTCCTATTTGGACTATAGAGCAGTAAGACTGAGTCTATGAAATGTAGGGAGCTAGAGACTACACGTTGCAGGTTGTAGGAGCAAGTAGCAAAGTCAACCCACCTTAAAATGTTTAACCAATGACAACAGCAAGAGCAGAAATGAATTCAGAAGTCCCATGTGAGCTCATGGTATTGCCCACAATAAATCAATCATGACATTAACAGAATTATTAACAATATGACAGGAATTGATAGAAATGGACAAATGTTTGTCTATATTCCACTCAAGACATATATAGCTGCAGGTCAAACAACTCAAATTAATCAAATTCAGTATCCTTACAGATCGCTTTTATCACCTTTTGTAAATTTGTTATGGGTGGTGATATATTTGAATCTACGCCTGTAACCTGTTGCTCGTATGCACGAAAATGAAAATCTTAAAAATTGGCCATCTTGCTTGACAGTTTTACCCCCGGGCTATGATGTGGAACTCTCTGTGATTTTAGTTTTGTATTGTACATGTGTTTCAAAAAACAAACAAAAAAATGAAATAGAAACATGGATGGGGTGAGCATTCACTCTCGATTGAAGAGCGCCACAATTTTATGAATTCAGGGAGTAGATGTTTTACAAGACAATATCCATGGCAAAATTTCATGATAATCGACATATGATTCATAAATTCATAAAAAGTTTGGGTCAATTGGCTTTCATAGAGCTTTTCAAACTGGCGATTTGATACTGGTAAAGGATTGTGGATATTGTGTGACTAACTCAAACGACCAGAGATCTAAGAAGGAAACTACGTTTGGTCATTTAATATCAGAATACAGGCCCCTTTCACACAATGAAGATATTATTTTTCTGACCACAAAAACTCCAATCCCTCAAGGGTTTGTTTTCTTTAGTGCTCGACAAGATTTCGAATCTTCGGACTACCACTTCGCTTATAAAACAAAGCTTTAAATTTTTGGATCTCTCTGTAGCTTGTATGGACAAGATTCCTTTAGGAGACAATTTTGCTGAAGATACTTAATTCGCCAAAACGGTAGCTGGAACTTGCAATTACATGATTCAACTTAGGTCTTTAAATTCATGCAGGGTTAACCCTAACCCTAACCTTAACCCCAAGTCCTAACAACAAATACTTCAATACTTTGAACCAGTGTTATCTCTCTTGAACTGTACAGGGGCTTTCGACGAGGCTCAACTGCTCGCAGTTTTCATCACGCCAGTATTGCGACGATTTACAGAAATGTTTCACACCCACCTTCTTTAATATTTTGTCCAGATCCGTGTTTGAGGTATTTCTTGCAGAGCTTTAGACTGTACTTCTAAAGCCGTAAGCAGAGATAATTTTCTGAGGGATCTAACTATGCTGATAGCGTGACAAGTCAAGTTGGAAAGGGGTTCAATCTGTCAATCATAATCCGCGACAGGCCAAGTCGCGGATTATGATTGATAGATTGACGCGCGTGAGAGGGCAGACACGAGTGACCTATCGCCTACGCATGTCAACCTGCACTTTTCACGCGTGATCGAATTGAGAGCTTTAAAAGCAAAATGGTAAAACCTTGAAAAACAGAAAAGGCTGAAAAAAAATTATTCTGGAACGAATACAGATAAGCAAGATAAGAAGACGAGCTTTAGACTTCTGTGGTCGTATTGTAATGAGAACATAGTAAAGGTGTTAGTAATATCATTATGGGATTACTCAATGATGTAAAAGTATTTTAATCAATTAACATGATTGTGGCGACTTATTTTAGAGACTTGATCGATGAATAAAGGCAGAATATAGAAAGCAATTAAGAAGTGAGTGTCTCCCCTAAATGAGTACCGTATCGAACCGTAAAGAAGCCAAAATATTCTCCCTCTATCGACTAGAGTTGACCAGTATTAATAAAACTTATAAATGCCATTTCTTTTTCCATCATCGCAGGAACCACTACAGGAAAGGAAGGAGGGGAGAGAAAAGGGGGAAGGAGGAAGGAAGGAAATCACTTGGATGAAGATTATCCAAAGTAACAGCAAAGAAATTAAGTTAAAGTTGTATATCATAACCCTGTAAATTAACACGTTCTTTTTTTTTCTAAGAACGCTGTATTGAAGCTTTTTTTTGCGTTTTAAAATAATTTTTTTGGTATTCAATGTTTCCTCTCGTTTCCTTCACATTCCCAGCATTTACAGTCGACGATAAGATCAAAACTTGCCAGTTCATTTCACCCTTTGATACAAAATTACCAAAGAGTTGTTTTTCTTAATACTCCCAATAAATAGAATCCAATCCATTAAAACAGCCACGATTGAGTACAAAAAATGGACACTTCTCTCAGGAAATAAAAAAGAGTAACAGTTTCCCACTTTGAATGCTCCAAAGATGTTCAGACTGGAGTTGAACCATTGCAAAACGTTTCCCCTGAATTCTTGTCTAACCAGCTGGTGAGTTCAGTTAAATCCATTACTAAATTATCCACTTTTACAGCAGCTCGTAATTTAGCAGATCGTGATCGAGGATTGAGATAAACTTCTTCGTCGGTGGGATAAATAACTTTCTTATGAAGTGGCAACCAAGCGCTTGTTTTCGCTTTGCCCGCCACGTTTGTTCTGGATCGCGTGTAACTCACCTCAGAATTCGCATCTTTAAAGAAATGCCTAACAATAGAGTCTTCTAAAGCATGAAATGAAATGACCACTAGCCGCCCGCCAGGACGGAGAAGTTTATGCGCCGCTTTTAGGACGCACTGAAGTTCATTTAGCTCATCGTTTACGAGTATGCGCAATGCTTGAAACGTTCTCGTTGCTGGGTGAATGGGTCGGGCAAATCTGTCCGACCGGCTGTGACGAACAGCAGCAGTCACAATGGCTGCTAACTGTCTTGTGAAAAGTATCGGCATCTTTGACCGGGCTCTGACGATTGCTCTTGAAATGCGAACTGAAAAACAAAAATTAAGGCATACGTTATACTTATAGCACTATGGTGGACTGGTCCACAGTGCTGAATCTCTTTCCATTTTTTGTGAGTAAACATAGACCCTTAGCTCAATTTCCGCCATTTTTTTGAGTACAGTCTTGATCCTTCCAAGAAGGAACAATGGGGGGAGGGAGGGGGGGGGAGAGGGGAGGGGTGAGCACTGGCTTTTTTCCCAAACAAGCAGTAATCTATGTAGGCTGGTAATCCAGCCTACATAAACCCACTATGAGCCATGTTTTTCACCTGGGAGGGGTGCTTATCCAGTTCAGATTACCCTCCCTACTGTTACCAGGATTGGCTTTCCTGAAAGTTCACTTTTAACCCACGAGTACTCTGGGGTTAAGAGAGAAGCAGTGCAAGAGTAAAGTATCTTCCTCTAGCATACACAAATGTGTATGAAAATCTTTGCCCAAGGTTTAATCCAAGAGAGCCATAGGCCATATTACACTTAAAGTAAGCCACTAAGCAATCAAAAGAAGTTAATATTTTATTTAGAGCATATTTAGCCCCCCATAAATGAGGTGACAAGGAGTATTGCTATATGAACCACTCCTGGATGGGATGCTAACAGTTCCTGACAATTTGTCAGCACTCATTTATACTCTCCAATTGTAAAGGTACTGTGAGAGTTAAGTTTTCTCTTTTAATAACACTCATCCAATAGATAGTAATTAATCCACAAGGTAGTATTTTCCAGCTTTCACAATTTTGTTACATTGCTAGTACCTAATGGGGTAGTATCCTCTATTATCATTTGGAAGTTAATGCCACTAACCCGCTTCTTTTTCTTGTCCATACTGTCTCAAAACAGCAGTAAGTTCTGTTTCATTGATAGAATTCACCACATCAGCTGCTGTCATCAGCAACCTCTTGCCTTCTGTTGACTCCAGCATGTCATCTCTCTCTCCCATTCTCATATCAAGAGGACCATCTTTATAAAATGAAAACCCTCTCTCTGGATTGTCAAATTGTACACTTGATGCACCAATATCAAGGAGGATTCCGTTTACAGACTCCTTCTTAACACGTTGGCTTTTCAAAATTTCAAAGATATTACTGAATTTCCCCAACATGGGAATTAGTCTTCCTTTGAATTCAGGTCTTTCTGAAAGGATGTTTGCTATTTCTATAGCATCTGGATCTCTATCAAAGGCATAAACTTTACATTTTGCACTTGACAGGATTGCTGCTGTATGTCCCCCTGATCCAAATGTTGCATCTATAAACACCTAAAATGGCAAAAGACAATAAAAGATATCATAGTGATAACTTTCCATTACCCTTAGTTTATAACATTGAACTATAAGAATAATAAAACACGATGAACTATTGTTCAGTGTACATGTAGGTTAAGTGCAAAAGACTCTCATCTTACTACTTAAACCATTAACGCCGGTTTACTTAAGTTGGGTTATTCCGAAACAATCAATAATTTCACTGTCCCAACTGTCCCAGATTTTTTAAACAAATGAAAACTTGAATTGTAGAGATACCTGATTTGAGAAACAGGGCCTTGGCCTTTTGGTGTGGACCTCTCTAAGGTCTTATGAGGTAACCACAAGATAGGGTGTCATTAAGTTTTTTGTGCCCTAATTGCCTGGCTTACTTTAAAGTGGGTTATTTGGACAGAAATAGAAGAAAACTAATGATAAAAGACACTGTTAAAAGGGGTCCCAGCCGACCCAGTTGTCTGAATATCATAGTTCTTCATTTGGAACTAACATTTTGAAAGAATTGCATTTTTTTGTTGTCATTTTTGTCCAATGACCACAAAGTTTTTTTCCTTCCTTTCTCTCCCAAAAGGCAAGCAAAACATGCCATTTGTCAACCATTGCAAATTGCAGTAATAAACTAAGGCAAGACAGAGAGATGTGGAGAAAGTCCTTTAAGTGCAGAATCCCTTGATAAAGCAGAAAATTTTTGTTTGAAAGACAAATTTGAGTCACACTCAAGACATATAACTAACAGGAAAAAACTAAATCAGGACTTCAATCGTCAGTAACAGCATCTTGGACTTTGTATCACTACACGTACAAACTAAACCAACGTAATCATGGTATAAAGGTTTACTTTAATAAACTGCTGGATTTAGTTTATTTTGGTAAATTTTTAATCTAGGTCTTATTAAGGTGACGTAAACATTAACTACGGCTTCTCTTATCTAAAATTGCAAATTCTACAGCAATTTTTTTAATTCCACAAGGGACAGCTAGCTAATGAGGACTAAAATTGAAGCCAGAGCCAGTGAAAGAGCGTCAAAAGATATGCCATTTAAAAGTATGTGAAACCTTGTCCAAAACCAGGAACAACAGAATTACTATGGGTTCGATTTCAAGGAAAATCGAAACTCTAGACACCCATGACTTCAGCTAAAAAAAGAATAAAAACGACTTACTTGTCCGTCACGAGGAGAAAGAAAGCTGAGACATTCTTTCAACATCACAGGAACGTGAACGGTGTGTGAATCACCTTGAGTACAAAAATATCGAAATTTCTGAGAAGGAAATAAACACAGACTTCTAGCGCAAAACGATAAGGAACTCGCCGCCATTATTGTTTTTGTAACCTCATGTGTAAAACCACTGACCAAAAATTGTTTCAAGCGCGCTTATTTCAAAATGGCGGCTGCGAGACCACATTCAGCTCAACAAGTTGATCCAGTGGAAAGACTAAAAGAGGAGTACAAGGCGTGGAAACACAGTCATCCTAAGGTTTTATTTTTAATTACTATCGCGTCTAAATTTCTAAGGAGAAAATCGAGGAGGAGATCTTGGAAGAAGGCCTCGTGTTTAGCTATTGTACAGAACTTCGAGTAATATTCCCGCAAAGTCACTCCGGAATTTCAGATGGAAAACAGGATTTCACCGGAAACACCAATTGTTTTCTTCTCCTCAGCTCCTCCAACACATGACTGATTGATTGTGTTGTTTTAAAAGGGCTATTATGTTTTGAATGTGCTGCAATAATTAATTCCTCAATACTGTTTGTTCATGCTCAGGACTTCATTGCTAATCCTGTAAAGAAGGACGGAGGAGAAACTGACTGGCTAACTTGGAGATGTGGTGAGATTAAGCGGTGGTGAATTAAGTTCTACTATAGTAGTTTTTTTGCCATTTAATATTATTTTTGGAAGCTTTGTTGAAATTAAATGATTAATTTATAGTGATCTATTGCTGTCTTTGAACCCTGACTTTTAAGAACTTGATATTCTTTTTCTCCACAGCCATTCCAGGACCAGAAAGGGTATTAGTGATATTTACATGCTATCTATATAAATCAAATTACCCTCTGAGCATGGTCACCTTCAATGTACCATAAATGTAGAAAGACATCACCAGCTGGGTACAGATTTATTAAAGCAATAGAGTGCACTTTTTATGAGCTTATCAACACACTGAACCTCCAGGGATATTGGGAGAACACTTGAAAAATTTGTTATTCACCTCTGGCTTGTGATTCCCACATCTTATCTTGTTCCCACAACATCTTAAGTGGGTTATTATGCTGGTAAACTGGTAGAAAGCACAGTAATGTGTATTTCTTTTTTGAAATACACTTCAGTTTTCCATGGATTTATTACAGCAATAGATGATAGGTTTTTAACCTATCTTAGCTCTTAGTTTCTTGGTTTTTTCATGTTAAACACATTTAGGCAGCCAAGACCACTTTAGTTGCCTCAGAAACTAGAGAAAAATTTTGAGATCAAATTTTCAAGGAAAGTTGCCAATTTGATGATCTGTTTCTGCCAGTCTTACAGCAAGTTTTTATGGTCTAAACACTAAATCATTTAAATAGCAGAGACAAAATTTTTTAAGGTTCCTAAATGAAAACTTTGAAAATAGTTGAGCTAGGAGTGCCCCAGTATTTGACTTATTGTGCATCATATATAAAACTTGAATAACACTCTAGGTGGCTTGCTCTTACTCCCTCTGATTGAGTGAATGAGTGTAAATGGCATTGCCAACCTTATTTTAAAACCTAGTTAACTGAATATGAATTTGTGAATGTTAACTTGCATTTAATTGTTTTTCAAATTAGACAATGTGGGAAGGTGGCATGTACAAGCTAGAGCTTTCATTTCCCCAAGACTATCCATTCTCTCCACCTAACTGTAAGTAAATTCCTCCAACTTTTTTGCTTTTAAAATTGATCATTTGCATGCACGTAACTATAAAGTTTCAATTTGAAGGCCAAAAATTGGTTTCACACTAGTTTGATTTGTGTTTCCTCAATGTTCCAGATACACTACTGTAGTTCCTTAAACAAATAGAAGACAAATCAAACTCAGCTTAAATTCATTTTAGCCTGAAATTTTAAATTGCAACATATATTCTTGTGAACAATTGTATTTGGTGCACCACTTTGTTAATGATGTCATTGATGGGTTGGTCAGTTTATGGCCATTATTTCATCATACAGCAAGGAAGTGCAGGAATGAATATTCAGCAAGCAGGCCTTTATTGTGGCTGCTGCGCAACTTGGGCAAGGTAGTGGGAAGAAGGCAAAGGGTTTAGTCTCATTTTTCATGCCAGATCCCTCATATACCTCCTGCTTGGGGGTGACATAGGCAGCTAGCCTTTGCCGACTCAGTGGACTTAGAACTATAGAAGATGCCTGAGTGCATTATCTAATAATTTCATTCAGTTGTGTGAATATCCATGTATTTACATTGTAGGTGTGTTCAATCCTGTGATCTTGCATCCAAATGTTTTTCCATCTGGTAAAGTTTCCTTGTCCTTGATTGACAAGAATAAAGGTTGGAAGCCACAAATTACGACCAAAGAGGTACACTGTGATTTAAAAGTTGAAGATAAATATAGTTTGTGGTAAAATTCTTAAGGAGGCATAAAAACATGATCTGATTCAATACTTGGAACCTTTTAACAGTTCTGTAGGAAATAACAAAACAATGCCAGGGTTTTCAACCAGTATGAGTTGGTTTGGATCATCAAAGTAACTTTCATCATCCTTCTCTTCCAACTACATTAACCCTCTAACTCCCAAGATCTGATTGTTAATTCTCCCCTCTAGCTGCTTCACATTTCCTTGTAAATAACTTTTGAGAATTGGGTGCCAGATCAAGATAACAGCTTCCTGATAAGTTTGAGTATTCTCATTACCTGTTTGTTGGATAGTGCTTTGATATTGTAGGGAGAAGTTACTTGTTGAGGGTTAAGATCAGATAAAGCTTATCCACATTATTTTGTCAAGTACCCCTAGTGACTTACCATTCTTATTTTACACCCTTAATGCCCTTACATCAGTATGCATATTCTCCACAGTGTTCTCAATGCATTTCTTAAGGTGCTGACCAGGAGAATTTGTTAAACAATCAGGAGCTTCTTTTGTTGGTGATCATTTCCTTTTAACTATTTTCCTGACCTTAATGAGTGACTCATTGCTGATGTTGTAAAAAGAAATTAGGTGTTCTTTACTTTTAAGGGTCAAAGGTTTAAAACAGTTCATCTTTTGCATAGAAAAATATCAGACACCAAAAGAGTGGTGTCATACCAAAGTGCTTAATGATGCAATTAAGGATACAAAGTCACTAGGCTGATATATGCTGAGGGACCCCAGAGTTGGAATTGGTCCATGCTGAAGTTTAGAGCAAAGTGTGTGTTTAAAGTGAGTGTGATGTTTTGCTGTTATGTCATATTTTTATTTCCTGTTCAGGTTCTTCTTGGAATTCAATTGTTGCTTAGTGAACCAAACTTCCATGAACCAGCACAGGCTGAAGCATATGTAGTGTATTGGTGAGTTTGATCTTGATAATTCAACTTAAGGAACACTTGGTATTGTACTTGAGTTTATTAAGCTCTTGGTAACAGTAGTTATTCAAAGTGTTGTCAAAGAATTGTTCATTGTTTGACTACTTTATATCTTTTGATGTACAAGCTATTTGAAATGTCAAGACCAAGTTGTCTTGTAATCTATCCTTTATAGAGAACCTCAGCTACAAAACTGTTTGAAGGCAGAGTGCTGCCTCCCATCTTTGGGCTGTTATAGGTGTTCAGTTGGTGAATTGTAGTGTAATAGTACAGGAGTCACATATAGTGGATAAATCACCAAATTTTGTCTTACTGATGGTCTCATTTTCTATTCTTGCAGTCAAAGCAGAATGGAATATGAAGAAAGAGTCAAGAAACAAGCTAAAGAAATGACTGTAAATGGCAACTGAAAAAAAACAATTATATTTTTGCTTAAGATAATAGATGCTCCAAGAAGGTTGTACAGACAGGGGACATAAGGAAGTTGTTATTAACCCAGACAGCAAGGCAGATGAATTTGTTTGTCTTGCATAGGGTGTAAACAATCCAGTGTGTGGTGTAAAAGGTGCCAGTGCCCAGAAGAAGGGCCATACTGTAGACCCCTTTCCCTGTGATGGTTACGAGAGGCATGCTTAAAACATAGTGGTAAGAGGTCTCATATGTGATGGCGGACCACCAGTGACTGGCTTTTATTGAAATTCCTGGTTAAAGTTTGGCCCAAAATTCATTTCATTAACAAACTAAGCCATTGGGATGCTCCTCTATGAACAGAGTGCAAATACATTACAGTCTCAAAGGCAAATGTTTAACTCTCAAGCTTTGAACAGTTTTGCACACATTTCATTTGTGCATGTACTTACTGGTTAGAGGTGTATTTACACAAGGATGGATGAAATAAAGTTTACATCCAATAGAATATTATTTTCCCGAACTGCTCCTAGGCTAAATTATCATTATATCATCAGTGTCTCACAAAATTTACATGATAGCTTTGCATTAGGTTCAACAGAGGGAGTAAACCTCTGACTGAAATTCCAGATAAACCCAACTTCTGCATTGCAGTCAAAATAAAAAAAGGAACATCACCCAAACATTGAAAATTGATTTTAAAACCTACCCATGTCCATTTCCCTGGAAATAGGGTCCCAAGGTTTCCTATGTGTCTTCAATCTGGAAGATGGGTTATTGTTGGACCTAACCACATGTTCTTAAAAAAAAAATTGCTCACGCTATGTCTTTGTTACACTCACTTCAGAAAACACATAGGCATGTGTAGCATGTAAGAGTTATATTTTTGGCTAGATGGGTTGAGATGGGACAGTTTGTGTACTTAATGTTTTAATTTTTGTCACCAAAAGAGCATAAGTTTCAAAAAACAAAAATATTGTAGACAGACAGAAAAACCTAATTTATCTTTCATGGTGTGTGATAGAAAGTAAGCTGTTCAGTATGTGCATTGTGAATAAAGGAGTGGAAAAAACAAGTTTTAACTTAAAAATTTAAATGTGAACTTTTCATATCACGATAAATCTTGACCTTAATCCATGAGGCTCTTGTGAAGGCCACAAACCATTACACTTAACAAATGAGCCCAAAATTTCTGGTTAATGTCATTCTTTGTGCACAGCTCCCTAATTCATGACATCATTTACAAGAAAACAATTCCTAGATGCTGGGATTGGTGCAAGATATCCAAATGTGTCAATCTGATTGGTACAAGATACATGATGCAACGCGGCAATCCTATTGGTGTGAGAAACATACCACTCTACATGCTAATATAGTTATCATTTTTTTTATAAAGAGAAAATAACTCTGTTCTTTTCACTCTGACGTCATTCTCATCCCAGTCTTCGGCAATCTTGAGGACATAACATGTATTGAGGACATAGTAATGGCTCATACATGACGTACCTACCCCAAAATAACGATAGTGTCATTGTTTTGAAGGCGCAGAGATACACGTGAAAATAGAGTTTTCGCTTTGAACGGGCTCTGAGGACAAAGATCCAGGTTGAATTTAAAATTTTATTGTTCAAATAGGTCTGATGAAACTGCAATGTATGTTAACTGTACGTATTTCGTCAGCAGCTTAAGGAATTAAAAGTTCCGACCAGGAGGACAAGGTCCAAGTTGCAGAGGACACGGTACGCGAGTCAGGTTCTTGTTGTTTTTCGTTCCATATCGTGAGAAAAGCATTTGATGTTAAAATGCCGACCAATCATTGTTTCAGTCTCAGCATAAAGGGTTTTGTTACCAAAAAAAAATTTGACTTAACTTCTAGATATTCTCGTAAAACCGTGTGACATCCATTCGTCAATCCCAACCCCTCATTGAAATTCTTAAAGGCACGTACTTATTTTTTTTTACATCCAAGTACTTGTCGTGTTTTTCAAGAATAAGCTGTAAGAACCGAAAGACATCAGAGTGAAAGGGAAAGCTAACCAATAGACGTACTGAAGGTTGATTTACCGGTCATAAGCAGCAACTCTGTTATCATTATTCGTAAACGTCACCCTAAGATCCGCCGATAAAGATCTAAATATATTTCATTAGGTGCAAATTAAACGTTTCCGAAAGTGCTGTGTTTACCAGTAAACACAGCACTTTCGGAATAATATTAATATTAAAAAAATATATTTGTTCGTTATGGTTTTTTTGAGTTTCACATTTAAGGATGAAAAAAGCCTGCAAGGGAATTAAAATAGAATTTTTCTTTGGGGTTTCCAGAAATTTGTGTGTCAATCATTCTTAACCTTCAACGTCCCTTCTTCCCCTCCTAACCCTTTAACTCCCAAGATCTCATTAGTAATTCTCCTTACTGTCTGCCAAATGATTCTCACTATGTTAGTTTGGAGAATTTGGTAACGGATCAATTAGTTATCCCATAATTGATATCTTTCTTTATTCTCATCACTTGTCTGCATGATATTGTATAGATATAGTAAGGGGAAATTTTCTTTTGGTCACTCATGGGAGTTAAAGGGTTAAGGCATTTGATCTTTTGAAGATTGGCCTGTGGGGCAAAAATGCCCCAGCCAATAATCAAAGATTCTTTGTGTGATTAACGTTTGTTGTAGAAATTAGCAAAGTCACATGTTGGTGCTGCTGTTGGCTTTTGGCTTGCAGGTATCATTGTCTCTGCATGAATGTTGTCTTTCTAAGCCATCTGCTCATGAAATTGAAACTACCGGTACTCAATCAAAATGTATAACACAGTGGAAAGGGTTAAATGCTTCCTTACCCCACCCAGGCAAGGTTTATATTCCCCACCCCCAGAGCATAGCTGACAGTCAAATGCCTTTGGGTTTCCTAGGGTCGGGAGGGGGGGATGTTGAAGCTTCAAAAATATGTTTTATTCAATTGATGTTTTATTCAATGATGTTGATTCCTTAGATGGCATCTACTGCTGAAGAGAATGGGACACAATATGCAAGTTCAGGGGCCAACTCATTGAAAGACTGCATACTTCAGCAAGTTGCTGAACCTGCAGCTCATGGAGTGGCCAGTGCATTCTTAGCAAGACACTCTGAAGACAAACATCTTCATGAAAATCTGTATTATAACAAAGCAGAGGAGATGTTGGTGAAGGATATGGATAGCATGGTGAAAATGATTGACTCCAACAAAGCAAAACCATTCCTTGGTGACTGCCAGCTTGCTGCCATGTCAGATCCATATTACCAACCATATTCTTCAGCATTTCCTCTGCCTAGTGAAGCATACATCAGAGCAATCAGTGAAGATGGCCTCCCTTTAGATAATAAATTCAATTATAGTAATTCTGTGCCTCCACCTGGACCCTCATCCAGCTATATTGGAGCTAACACAAGCCAAAACAGTTATTTCAACTCATTTAATCCTAACTTTGGTGGTGACTTTGCACTTGACACAAGTAAGCCTCAACTTCTCCAAGATGGGCGTTTTACATCTTTGCAAAGGAGTGATTTTCTTCAGTCAGGGTTCACTGATTTAGGACTAACCTCTCACTATCTGGGATCTACAGGACCTCAAATTACACATTCTGTAGTTGGTACTGAGAGTAACATTAGCTTCACTGGATCAACATCAATTTTTAGCACTAGAGCCTTTACAAATGCAAATGCCTTCAACCACATATTCAGGATTATTGTCAAGTTCATCAGGTAGTATTCCTATTTATGGTAACCAAGCAAATGCTTCAACAGGTTTTCAAACTTCATCTTCAGTGGTGAGGGCTAATGGGTCCAACAGCAGACTTTTATCAGGGGTAGAATTTGGTAGGAATACTAGGGATGGCATGAATACATCTGGACTTAGGATCTCAAGCACCATCTTGACCACAATTGGCAATCATTCGGCCTCTGGAACCTATAGAGAAGGAAACGGTGCTGGTGATTCTTCACGCTCTTGCATAACATCTGCTGCTAATACAGGAAGAGATCATGATAAAAGTTCTGTCCAGTCAAGAGGTTCAGTATTAAATGGAAATTATGGCACTGAATCAGTGGAGTCCACTGACGACTCCTTGCATGAATTGGAACAGGGTGTGGAAGCATGTGCTATGGTGGAAAGAGTGCCTAGAGGAAGAGAAGAGAGAGAAAAGTTTGGCCAAGAAATTAAAAGAAAAATGCATGAAATACGAGCAAAAAGAGCACACGAAGAGAGAGAAAGACATGCAAGGGAGCTAGAGGAAGCCAGAAGACGGCCTCAACAGCAGGAACCAGTTACTGGACAGTCTTTGTGGCTTTGTCAGCATTACCAACGTTGTTGTAGAGTTTGTTTCCCTTGCTGTAAGAACTTCTATTCCTGCCATCATTGTCATAACAATTCCATGGAATGTGACAAGGAAGCTAGAGCAAGTCATGCTACTCACCTTAAGTGCAGCTATTGTCATTATGAACAAAAGGTGATGAAAGGTTTTTAATTATATTGTAAGTTGTCATTATAAGACATTGCTTTATTTTTGACTGAGAGTGGTAGAAAACATACAGAGAGGAGATTCATGTCCCTTTTTCTGGTAATCTTTTAAAATTATTTTGGTGAGTTATTAATTACAATATGCTCTCCACTGTTGGAAACTCACTTTTTTCAAAGTCACTACTTGAAAACCTATGTAAAATCTCAAAATGGTTACTAAACAGTGTTGTACATGCACATGTTTACACAATTTCAGTTGTCATTAAAAAAAATTGAGCAAAATAAATCTCACTGCAAAGTTAGAGACCAAATATTTTCTGTTTTCTGTGGCAACCACACTGGCCATGGGTTGGAGCACTGTTCTGTCTGATAAATGAGGCAATCTTAATGTTAAGAACTTTGTGATCATAATTCTCATTGACTTGGTCTGTGAGACTCATGATTTTCCAAATCATTTCCTTTCAGATTGGTGAAGACAGTGCCAAGTGTCGTAGGTGTGGAAGAGAGATGTCAGCATACTTCTGCGCAATTTGTAAACACTTCATGAGCATCGACAATAATCCATACCATTGTGAGAAATGTGGAATTTGCCGGTAACTGACCTGACAAAGTTTTCAGTGAATGAAAAACGTTGGTGTTGTGTTTTTCACAGCTTTTTATGTTAAGAAGCCACATAAGCTTTTTCAAGGGTTCAAAGTTCATCTTTTTGGCAACCTACAGATGTAGAACCATAGAATGGTCACCAGAAAGTAAACACTTATTTGCCTAAATCTCTCTTTTTTTTTCTCAATCCTACCTCATAGCCAGCTTTACAAATTTGATTTTTCTACCACTTAAAGCAGGGTATTGATCTTATTATGCCATGTTTTCTTGTAGGCAAAATAAAGACGCATTATTTCACTGTGATGTGTGCAATGTCTGTTTCAACAAATACTCTCAAGGAAAGCACAAGTGCAGGGGAGACTCTGGCCATGATGAATGTGGTATCTGTTTGGAGGTGAGCTGGTAAACTTCAAAATACTTAACCATTGGTTTCTTAATAATTGTTTTAAATTATTATTGTTACTATTGTTGATATATATTTTTTTAATTTTTCTTTTTCACTTCCCTTCCCATGAGTAAATTGTTTCACTCTGTAAGTGTAACACTGTGTTCTTTCCAAAGTAATGTATTGAAAATTGCTCTCACACAGGCTGTGTTCTCAGACCACTTTGACACCTTCTGACATTTAGTCATTATTTGCCAAGGAAACATATAAATGTAACACTTACTTTAGATTCTGACATACTTTGTACAATATTTCTATCCCACTACATATATATATACTTGAAAACTTGTTTATACTTTTGTTTTATCCCTTATTTCTTGACTATTTAATCACACTGCTTCAATCATTACTTCAGCATAATAACTTTTAATTTTTGGTTTACTTGTAGGATGTTTTTTACCGTGGATTTGTGATTTTTCCTTGCTCCCACAAGGTTCATCATGAATGTGCCGAGGCTATGATACAGAGTAAATCGTAAGCACTTCTTCAATTTTCCTTCTTCACTTCTTTTCCTTGTTTGTTTTTATGTTGTTATGCTAGACTACAGGATTTCAACTTGCCAGTCATCAGTTTTCCAGAGAAAGCAAAAAGTATAACCTAAGTTAAGAACTCTTATAAGCAACTACCTCTGATACACTACTGCAACCAGACTATTTGCCATCATTGGAAATTCTCAGAACTTCTGGGATTAACCTCCTTTTGAGCAAACCACCTATGGTAATGCAAGCTCACTGAGAAGTGTTCATTGGGTAACAAGGTTTGCATTTTATTTGTTAAACTTTTCCCTCAGGAAGTGGCAATTGGTCCTCTACCTGGTTGTAATTAGTCTTGTCTGGCTTAAGGATGGTTTTCTGTGTTTTCTTGCAAATGAGGAACCCACTCCTCATGTTGTTCTCTTGCATGTAGGGAATCAGGTTTTTGCTGTAGGTTGTAAAACTTGTTAGTTAACTACAGGTAGCAAAAGAAATCTGTATGTATGTCAATGATTAGTTATTGTATGTTTCTTATGTTTCTTGTTTTAGTGACACATGCCCAGTGTGCAGAGACCCATATAGAGAGCGGCTCTTGAGTAGAAATCCATTTTGTGATGTTGACACTCAGCTACCCTAACCAAAGATATATTGCAATGTAGACATAGGTGAAGATACAATGAACAAGAGTTGTAGACTTGATAAAGAGGCAGAATCCACCCACACCTGGTTAGCAGAGGAAGAGGACAAGGAGGAGGCAGATCAAGTTGGTGAAGAAAAAGGAACTACAACGACTTTTAACTCGGAATTAGAGGAGTTCTCAAAGATTGTTGATGAATTACAAGCATCGCCCCCTATAAATGCTTCAACTTTTAGTGAGAATATCTGTGTTAGGTAGTTCCCTCAAGAGATAAGCCAGAGCACCTTCAAGGGACACAATGGAAGTAATGCTTGTAGGTTAATTTCTCTTCTTGTTGTATATATTTTCTCAAGGAATGGAATTAGAATTCTTGATCAAGGGCCCCTTCCGCACAATACATTTAGGATGCTTTGTGGCTGTAAAGAATTAGGAAATAGGATGTACGACATTTGCTGAGACAGTCCACCTAACAGATATCTCTCCATACCACGCTTGCTTTTGTGTCCTGGCTTCGCAGCCGTTTTTTGGTCTTGTCACACGACGCCCTCTTCCCGTTTTAGAGAGAGTGCGTTGTGTGGTAAGACCAACTAACATTTGCGTTAAAGAGACTACACTTACTGCCTTTTATTCTCCAACAGAAAATTGAAATTATTCATCTACAGTTACTTAACTCAAAAATATAGTTTTGCGTAATTTTAAAGGGTTAACGCTTTTGATCTATTCAAGATTGGCTTGTGGGGCAAAAGTGCTTTCAAATGCCCCAGCCAATAGTCAAAGATTTTTTGTGTGATTAATATTTATTGTAGAAATTAGCAAAGTCACATGTTGGTACTGCTGTTGGGTTTTGACTTGCAGGTATCATTGCCTTTGCACAAGTATTGTCTTTCTAAGCCATCTGCTCATGAAATTGAAACTACTCCATCAAAATGTGTAACACAATGGAAAGAGTTAAATGCTTCCAGTTCAGTTGCGTTAAAGAGACTACACTTACTGCCTTTTATTCTCCAACAGAAAATTGAAATTATTCGTCTACAGTTACTTAACTCAAAAATATAGTTTTGCGTAATTTTACAACAAAAAGCAAACTGAAACTCTGTTGTTCCTCTAATAGACCCTAACCAAAGATATATTGCGATCTTGAATAAGTGAAGATACATTGAACAAGAGAAAAGGATAATATTTCTAAAAGGGCCCCTTGATTGGTTGTTGCTTATGTGGACTTTGCCTTCTGTGCGTGAAATACGCTAAAAAATGCAGGTTGTTTGCAAGGAATGAAAACGCAATTGTTTTTAATTAAAAAAAAAAAAACTCAAAAATGGCTTTAAGTTAAGTTTTGATTAAATACATGTTATTTGAATGCAAAATATTTCTGACAAGGAAACAATTTTGTCTGGCTTTGAAAAATATAAGCATGCTTAGCATGCAAGAGTTCTTTTTCAACTGGGTGGGTTAAGATGGGACAGTTTGTGTACTAAATGTTTTCATTTCTGTCACTGAAAAGAGCATAACTTTCAAAAAAACGAAAATATCGCAGAAAGACGGAAATAAACTAGTTTATATGAACTCACACAGATATTATATGACCTACTGTCTCTATGAGCCACGCTTACTGCTGTCTCCTTCCCAGCCATCGTTTGGGCTCGTCACACTACACCCTCTATCTCCCGTTTGAAAGAGACCAACAGAGAGAAAATCAAAATTATTCATCTACAGTTAGTTACCTCAAATATTTAATTCCGCGTAGTTTTACTACAAAAAGCAAACTGAAACTTTGTTGTCCCTTGAATAGACCCTAACCAAACATATATTGTGGTCTCAAGTAAGAGAAGATACACTGCATGATATTCAAATGCTATGATATGATTGGTGCGAGATACATACCCTAATGCAGCAATCTGATTGGTGCGAGATACATACCCTAATGCGGTGATCTGATTGGTGCGAGCAATCTGATTGGTGTAAGCATATCACTCTATACACCAACATAGGTTGTTTTCTATATATTTATGAAAAAAAATGACTCAAACAGGATTCAAGACATCCTTGTTTCAACATTCATTTGGGTTTTCTCTTTAAAAGTGATGATGTCTCTGAGGGGGAGCTCCCCCTGCAAAGGTAGAATGGCTGGTTTCATAACAATAGCATTGAGCCTCCTCAGTACCTTTATGGGATTTTAATCTAAATAAGCAATTCATTGTTGATGAAGAATTGTTACATGCACCTCATAGGATTGGAAATAAAACAAGTAAGTTCTCATTCAGTTTATCAAAACACAAAAACATAGCAACTTTTTTGGTACAATGTTAGTGAATTGTGAAGATTCCCCCCTGTAACGTCGATTTTAGTTTATATTTAATGTTCTTTCCAAAGGCTTCAAAAGTAACTAAAAACTGAAGAAATGTTCTGGCTAGTATATTTACATTCTTTTTCAGACTTTTAAGTTGGATAATAAAGCAGTGGTATTTCAGTACAAGTCAATACATGAGAGGGCTTGGGGTGTGCAACAATGTGTTTATGATGATGGGAGTTAATTTTCTAAAAAGATCTGTGACAGTCACAATAAATCTTTGTTATTGGGAATGACTTCAGGAATTTCCCAAGTTTTCATTTAAATGAAAGAGGATAAGAATTTTAAAGTCACTAAATTTTTCAACTGAGTCCACTTGTATCATGTTATCACTGGTAATTGGTTTGTTGACGCTTCATTTGGTGGTGGAACAACATCAACACTTGGATCTACTCCTTCATGGGAAAAGCTGACAACAGGCTCTTGGCTCTGTGATGGTTGTTCAGGTGATAAGCCATTTGGCTGGACTACAGATGTTTCAGAAGGGATCTGTGACATTGTGAGGGACTGAAACAAATGATAACAACACTGACATAAATGTAGTCAATAATTAAACAATCACTGGACAGTAAATATCACACTTTCTAGACTGCCCTGTTCCATTTTTCAAAATGTTTTTCCAGTAAGTGGTTGGGGTCCAAAAAGTATGATTCATTGATCAGGTGTGTTAGGAAAAAAAAAACCATCTGGGACCAGTTGTTCAGATGGCCAATAACCATTTCCAGTGGATAAATTGCTATCCAGCAGTATTAAAAAAAATGTACTGCAACTTCCACTAGCAAAAGATTTATCCAGTGAATAGCATTATCCAACCTTCTAACAACTGGGGCTTGGAGTTGCATTTTGAAGATAAGCTTAACCTATACTGTACATGACTGTGAAAATTAACACCAAACAATTATTCCAAAGAGCTGTAGATTTCAAATTACACTTTGCCCATACACCATAGTTAAAAAAAGAAACTTGAATATAAAATTGCCAAAACCATAAAGGTCATTAATACAATGCTGATGTAAATGTGAAAATATTCTGAAAACTTACCTTTTCCTCTTTTTTCTTCTGAAACTGGCAAGTTATTACATCAAACAAGAAACCAATGAGTGAGTGCATCATGCCTGGAACAAAGAATAAAGTTATTAGTTTATAGGCTTAAGAGGAAGACCTAAATCAGAACAGATACAAGGTAAATTTTAGCTAGACTTGATGACTTCAGTAGAACAAAGTGTTTGAATTGTAAATTTAGTTTTCCATGATTTACAAATTACTCAAACAACAACTTAACATTAAAGAGTTTGTAACATTTCATTTTGAATACAAGGCATGAAACAACACTATACTGGTCATTGTGCTGTTGATAAAATAATTACATGATTGTAAGCTATCTGTTTCAAGATGTTCTTGTTAGTATTGCATATTGCAATGGAAAGTGGTTTGGCATAATAGCTCAAAAAAATTCCCACAAGAATGTGTGAAACTTTCAGATCACTTAATGATTTATAATGACATGTTTCTTACAGAAGTACAAAAAAAGGAGGTCTGTTAATAAAAACGTCAGAGTGGAAGACCCTACCTGAAGTGGCAAATATGCCTCCTACAATTCCACAAAGACGTACCAAGAAACCCCAGAATGATCTGTGACGACTTTCAACTTGTACCATTATGGATGACATGTCATATTTGAAGAAGATTCCTTGAAAAACAAAACACTGACTATTGTGAAAAAGCTAGCTCCTCTCTGACAATATAAATAATAACAATAGAGTAAGGTTTGTCATCTCAAAATCATATCTAAACTTATGAATAGTTAACAGTCATCTGAGTTGCCCAGTTTGGTGATGCAAACCATTTTGCCGATGAGAACTGATGTAAGAACAGAGGAATGAACAATTTATTACCAACTGAAAGCAGATCATTTTTCTTCAATGTAATTTAACAAGATGACTGTTCAGCAAAGGTGATTTTAAATACAATAGGTATTTGAAAACCCCAAAGGGCTATTTAGCTTTTTATCAGAGGTTAACTCTGAAGTAAATATGGGAAACAGATCCTGGGAATTTGATATGTGAATGCTTAATAAGGGGTGACTGCTCTCACAGGAGAAACTTAATTCAGAGTTTTGGCTTTATTGACCCACTGCCTTTCTCAATGTACATAATTTTGAAAAAAAAAAAACTTCATACCAGAAATTCCATGGCTTCCCGCCTCATGATTTATTTCTCGGATCTGAAATTTTAGATACATGCATGGATTACTTCAATGTGCCTTGCAGATTTGCCACAATAGGAAATTTAGCAGTCACCTTTTTGTAGCAAAATTGAAGTGAAATTGATTCAGAATAATATCTGCACAGAAGTCACTTACCCTTTGTGTCACTGAGTATTGGTTTGTCTTTGTAACTTGACCATTGAGGGATTTGATTGTGGTTGGTACAATCTATGGAATAAGTTTAGAGATTAATTTAACACAAATAAATGCATTCCATTCCAGCACTTTTGAACCTATTGACAACAGTAGCACTGTTCTGTACAAGCACACTCATAAATCTTATGCCTGGGTATCTTTGTCACAGAAATAAACCTTGTAAAAATAAAACTTTCTAAAACTCACCTTAATGTAATATTGGTACATCTGCAGTTCTGAATGTAAAGAGGAAAAATAGGCTTACTCAAAACATAACTAATTCATAACTCAGGGAAGCCTAGTATATCATACTAGGGAAGCCCTCTAAGTTATCCAAATTTTTAAGGTGGAAAACTGGTATAAAATCTTAAATTTTTTTAGAGGGAAGGGCAAGCTCCATTGAAAACCAAAAAAACAGCATTTAATAATGTTGTTGATCCCATCCATTATATGTATCAATCACTGGCAAGCTAAACCAACATGCATTTAATTTATCACACTGCATGACAAAATAACTGAACCCACATGAATACGTCTGGATTCATAGCTCATATTTCTGTTTTTCTGTTGATTTCTTATCTTAAGCAAATGTATTAACTTACAGTACTGTTTACTTATTAACGAATAGGACAAAAAGTTTAAAATACTTTTGTCTGTTGTCACAAGATCTCCATCAAGTGGGTTTATATGACCAGGTGCCCAGGGACCAAAGGAGAGAGCATCAATCCTGTGAGAATAGTTAAATGCTGCAAGGAAATTATACAAGATCACAGTGTTACAAAGGCACCTCTTACAGCATGAAGGGTAGAAATTTGTAGAATCTGACACCTGCTGAACAACCATGCACTTAAGTTTATCCACTGAGTGTGTAGTGTTATCCACATGCAGCCATCCAGATCTCATGTTTGTTCAGCCAACAGAAAGAACACTATTCTCCAACAAACCCAACTACTTTATTAAACAACATGTAATATTCTTAACAGGGAGTGACTCCAGAATGCAGTACAATAATTATCCTTAAAAAACTTGCTTAAGCCCACTGCAGTCCATATCTTAGCTCACCAATGACACAATATCGCAGTTTGTCTCAAAATCTCTCAAAATGAACAATCTTCTACAGTTACTGTTGCTCTTCCTTGGTTTATTTCTACAAACAGTTGTTCACTCCCGACAACAACAACTTCTAGTACTACATGACTGAGTCCTTGTATACATTTACAAAGTGCAGCTATTTTTAATTAGCAGTATTACATCATAACTATGTGACCTAATAAAATGTTCAGGAAAGTCTCATGGTATGCATTTCAGCATGACTAGGCATTACAGAAATTTAAAGAAACTTATTTTTGCATTCATAATCCATGACAAGTCACCCATATTCACATACAAAAGATTCAATTTTATCCTTATGAGTCCAATTTTGCTTTCCATTCTTTAAATGTGGTCAACAAGGACATTGTCATGTCAAGTACTGAAGGGGACCAAAACACTTGAGACAGAGCCTCATCACAAGTCAGAAAACACATATTCTTTGAAGAAAATACTTACAATCAGATGGCACAAAAGCACTCAGATGGGCATGTCCTCTGGGGTGATAAATGGACCTTAAAAATTAAAAGATTAACACACTTTACAAGAGGTTAGGTTTTAGTTTTATACATGAAGGATTAAATTCTGTTTGAAATGCTCTGATTTATTGAAAGAAGAACTATGGAATATCTTCTGGGTTGTAACTAAGGATTGAAATAGTCTGCCAGTTAAGAATGGAACTGAACCCACTAAAAGAGAGACCTGGTAACAAAATTTGGTTCCCAATCTTTTGAAATGCCTTCACAGCAAGGCTATCATGCTTCTTACTTTAACATGACAACTAATGCAGGAGATAGTGGGGTGACATGGCAAGATTACCCTTTGCCAAGATCTTGTGGGCAAAAAGTCCAGTCAGCAATCACCTCTTTTTCAGCTAGCAAATTTTGCCTTCAGCAGCACTTAGTGACAACCCTGATCTCTATAATTCCCCTGATGGGATTCAAGTCATATAAAAGTTGATCAAACTCTAGATATATACCAACATCTTGCTGGAAACTTTTCCAGTAATCACGGAATCAACTTAAGCTGATACCTTTGTCTATTCACTTTGTAAATGTATCATGGGATTGATACATGTATCACAAGAGGAAGTTATTTGTTTAAGCTAAAGAAATAGACTCGAACAGTCCTCTCTCCGGAGAAGACTTATGCCTCACAAGGGGGAGGGGGAGGGGAGGTAAATTACTAGTGAGCAATGCTGTAACAAATAATTACAGCATAATCGATACTAATAAATTAGCACAGTGATGTAAATGCAATTGAAATGAGAGGATAATTAAAGCTGTGCTTACTTGCCAGCTGTAATGTGAAAATTTCCAGCCACTTTGTTAACCTCAAAGGAGCCATGGACTCGACAAGCATCATAAGGTTTGTCTTGTTTTTCTCCATCCTTTCTGTAAGGTGAAGAATTAAAAAGAAATCTGAGTGACCAAAGAAAAGTTCCATTGAATAGCTTAGTTGAAAGTTTACTAATTTGGTGAGTAAAATTTATTAAACTGCCTTAATCATTGCCTGAATTTTTGACACATTCATCTGTATTTACTTTCATTATGATATTAATTTCACTCTGAGGGATTTCACAGTTTTAATTTGAAGATTATAACAAGTGTTGCGTCCCATTAAGAGCATGGTTGACCATGGGGGGTACATCATTACTAATGTTATTTTCACTACTTCTGATCAATGAAGAACTACATTTCTACACAGTGGCCAAGTTAAAAAGTGACAATAGCAGAAAAAGTAAAGTTTCCACTTTCAAACCTTCTTGGCATGTAGGTGGGTCCATTATTGTTAAACTCCTCAAGGACCTTCAGCGCTCTATAGCCCTCCACAAATGCATGCATATGTCTAAACATTCTGAAACAATTCACAAAAAAGCAATTTTAAAATTGCTGCTCAGTATTCTAAACCATGATTAAATTTTTATTTGGTTAAAAAAAAAGGAACTCATTGATTATTGATTTTCTTTTGGCAGATCTATAACAGAAATATGAAAAGGAAAAATAAATTCAAAATAAACTGGTTTGATAAATTTTTAACCATTTCAAAAGTTTACCCTCAAGCTGCATCACAACTGAAGTTCAAATCTCCACACACACAAAAAAGTCAGATATCAGCCAATTAAGCAATTTATTGCCAAATCAATCTAACAATCTGACAAAACAATCAAATCAATCTACATAACAAAGTTACCTCAACCAACTCATTTGATCCTCAGTTAACTCAAAGTACGTCTATAAAATAAGAAATAACATTTATTATATATCATGTACATCCAGTGGTGCACCAGAATCTATTTGTACTCATGGGTGGAGTGAGTCACCAAGAGAGTGAATTATTTTGCTCAAAGAAACAACTCAGAGATGCAGCTAAGTCTCCACCCTTGATGTCTAAACTCAGATCCAAGCCTACTGACAAAGATCCATGCCTACTGATGAAGATCCAAGCCTCCTGACAATGGGACCACAGCTCTCCCACAAGTATTAAACTTGTACATTGAGAAAATTAATGCGTATGATACCATAATGACTTACACAAGTAACAAGTCACAATTTGGAATGATACAGGTAAAGCCAATACATTTCAAAAGAATAGCAGTGATAAAACTCACAGGTTCTAAAGCAAGTTTGTCTCCTAATTCTAATGAGGAGCCAGATAAATCTAATACATCTGCTCCAATATCTGAAAAACAACCAATGAGAAAGATATTACACTATTGTTCAACTATCAAAGAGGATAAACTAAGTGAACTTTCATAATGATATCCACAGTGAGATCATATGTAATTACTTAACCAACACCCTGACATTAGTATCTATATTTTACATACTCTTCTCTACATTTTTTCTTTCCTACTGAAAAAGAGAATTGCTTTAACAATCAAAGCCTCTTTATTTAGGTTGATAATCATTTCCTTCATTCTTATGATCTCAAAGATTGACTCAGTAATATTGATGTGCGGAGAAATTAGATGCTGGTCTCTCTTTGGCTTAAAAGGGATAACTCTATTTCTCCCAAGATCTTAACATAAATTCTCACCATTATCTTCCATTTATTTCTTACTACTATCCTAGAAGAATCTGGTGTTAAATAAAACAATCTTGACAAGTTTGTTGGTCTCTCTCACCCTTCCATCCCATTACCTTTGTACTTTACAATATACTGATAATGTCAGGAGAAATTACTTGTTGTTCACTCATAGGGTCAAAAGGCTCAAAACACCCAGAATAAGTTATTATCACACAGCTTTTGAATAAACTACTTACCATCACATCGCATTGCTACCGTCATATCAACATTTATTTGAAGTTTACTGTTGATAAAAAAAAGATAATAAATATTGTAGTAAATGTAGGTTTAATTTGAGATCAATTTGAGGCCAAAATGATTCCTAACTAGCTTAATCTAATTTTCTAGTTTCTGTAGTTTTTGAAAAATTCCTGTTACCTTATCTGAGCTTCTTATCAATTGCACAAGACATGTATGAAAGAACAAAATGAAACTATTAACATTTTCTTTATGTCCACCAAAGAAATCTGTTGTACTTAAAGGCTTCTAGCTTTAAAAAAGTCAAACCTAAACAGAGGAAAAAATCAAAACGTTTTGGGTCTTTCCAAGGGATCATTTTGTTGCTCCACTTTCTGTCTGTGTTTTACACTGTTCTATAGTGTATGTGGTAATACTATGGCATATTCTACATGTTCCAATACCTTGATATGACAAAATGGGGAATAACAATGGTAAGAGATGCTTTATAGAAGGCCTACCTATCAGTATCTGTGTCAACTTCATAATCATACTTGGTTTCCACTCCTCTGTAATACCAGAACTCGGATGTCACAAGAATTCCAATAAATAAGAAAATAATGATGGACACTGCAGCAAAACATAAAAGAGAAAAAGTGTTATTTTAAAGACCTGGAAATGATTAGGAGAGAATTACATGGAAATATAATCTTACAGTGAAGTGCAAGGCAGAACAAGAATGTAAAAAGAAATTTTGTCTGGTTATTCATTAAATATCAGAATTTCTCCCATTTCTTACACAAGATATCACCACCACATTTTGTCAATAAACATTTGGAACTTTTGCACAGTCATTGAGGTAAGAAGTTTGTCTGGTAACAGGATATATACAGTTGAAGATTTCCCATTATGTGAAGATCTTTTCATTATTATCAAAATCTCAGGTAGGAGTTGAGATAATACTTGTCAAATTTACTTAACACACAATTCATGATTTGCAAACATTAAGTATGTCCTGGTTGAGCATCTAAATGGACATGCAATAACTTTACACCTCTCCATAATAATTTAGAACGACAATCCCCCTTTTTATTCATCTCTCATTGTTATTGTTATTTATCTATTTATTTTTTATCACCCCCCATATATTCTGCTCAATAAAATATTGAACTTATGCCTTGAGGAAGAAAGATGATAAGAATTTGAAGCACTTTGTAGCCTTTCTTTAGGCATAGGTTTCCTTTTCATACAAAATTCATACTACAACAAGTACTTCCTCTTTTTAGACATCAGGTTATCACTTCAATACTTCCTCATATTAAACAACACGACTTTAAATTAGAGCAACACCGAATACAGCGACAACAGTGCACAGGAAGTTGAACAAGAGTACTAAATTTTTCTTGCTGCCAAGACAACCGTAATCGTGCAGTAGGCCAGAATTGTGTACACAAAAATTACTAAGAGCCACGTACGATTATTAAGCCGCAGACCAAACAAAATATATGTCATTCCATGACGGCATTCTCGTATATTGCTTCAAGTGATTATCAGTATTAAATGATACTGATATATTATAAAATACCTTAAAATTTACTCACCTGAACCACCACTAGCGGATGTTTCTTGATAATTTTCAGGAACTTTTGGGAAAGCATCGAGTTCCTTTAAAACTTTCAAAGTTTGTTTTCGATTTCTAGCTGCGCCTGCCCGACGCATTTTGCAAAAAAAATTGTTTATAAGATTATGTTGATAATTGCTGGTATCACTTTTACTGTCCTTCGGTAAACCTTAAAATTGGAGGACCAATTGTGAGCCACAATAACAATATTCCTCTCCAGAAGACGCCATGTCAATCCACGTGTGAGCATGCTCAGTTAAGGAGGATCCATGATGCAAAGCTGAGGAAAATCACAATCCGTGACCTGCGGACTACCAGATAGAGGATATGGAACAGACAGTTTAATGTTAACAGCTAAGTTAAAAAACTTAATAATGATTTTAGATAATTCACATATTTACACTGCGGTGAAAAGACGAATTTAAGAGCTCCTCGCAAGTAAGAACACTACTGAACTAGTAGTTGAAAATAGGACCTGAAAAAAATTCAGGCTCCTACGGGATTTGAACCCATGACCTCTGCGATACCGGTGCAGCGCTCTGGTCAATATGTTGGGTCCAATAAACCATCCAAGTGATGAATGGACTGCGGTTAAGTAGAATAGGACCTGAAAAAAAATTCAGGCTCGCACTAGTTCAGTAGTGTTCTTAGCTGCGAGGAGCTCTTAAATTCATCTCTTCACCGCAGTGCAAATATGTGAATTTCACATATCTAAAATCATTATTCATCACTTGGATGGTTTATTTGGACCCAGCTCCCAGTTGGCTTGTTAGCTCAATTGGTAGAGCGCTGCATCGGTGTCGCAGAGGTCAAATTTTTTTCAGGTCCTATTTTCAACTACTAGTTCAGTAGTGTTCTTAGTAGCGAGGAGCTCTTAAAAAAAAAATAAATTGACCAAAGTAAAGAGTTTAAAGGCTGAAGTTTCGAGCGTTAGCCTTTCGTTAGAGCGATTGAAGGAATTATGGGTTGTGTGTGGGTTTATATGCAGAAAATGGAGCTACGCTATTGGTGGGAATATGGAGACGAGAAAACAAGAATAAATTAGTTGAATGAAAAGCGCTCGTTGATACCGTGAGGATTAAGAGTGCCGATTTGGAAGATAAATTTTTGTTCTAGTGTTTTGCAGCTTTCCGAGCTGCCCAGATGTAGAGAAAAGGATAGAACCTGACAAAACCTGCCGATGAGGTCACAATCTGGGGTCAATATTTTGCAAAGTGAAGTTCGATTAAGCACTGTAGAACCAAATTAAGGAAATATTAACGGCCAGTCAGATCCAAGGTAATAGTCCCAAGGAGCCATAGTTTGAACATACAAACTACTTGACAGCTGAGTAGGTAATTGATTTTAGTTTTGTGTCTGATCGGTTGAGAAGATGAGGCGAATCATTCTAGACCGACACAGACCGAAGTAAAGTAAAACAAATGCAATCTCGGACTAATTTCGACGCTCAGTTGAAAAAGGTTGGGGGAAAGATCGCTCAGTAGCCCCAAGGACAACACAGTAGCGCGGAGATGACGGTTGTATTGGTCTACTGAAAAAGAGGGTTTGCTGTTCTCGTGAATTCTCTAAAAGAAACTTGGTGACTTGCCAATAGTACGAACTTTAAAATCAGTTTATTAATTCATACGTTTAAACGGGCATCTCACTTTGTAAGATAAGTGGAAGGCCGGTCTTCAGCAATTGACCCCTAAAAACGTAGAATGTAGCAAGTTTTAATCTGAAGGCAAAATTTTAATTGGAGTGGTTCAATAGATTAGAAAAACTGATGACAGGAAACAATTTCGTTTCGTTTCGTTTCAGCTGACTTTCGCAACGAGCTGTTTGAAAAATTTCATTTCTTTTTTGTGAGGATGGGAGGGGAGTGCCCTTCATCAGAGTTAATCGAAAAAGACTAGACTAGTTCCATTCCGACCATAGACGTTCTACTACGCCCTCAAACGGTAAACAATTCCTAGGGCTTCCAGGCGCGCGACCGGGGCGCATCGGAGAGAAGGTTTCACTTGAGAGGGAGGGGGAGGACTTGCGAAAATCACTCTCACGAGGACCAAAATGCGGGTCATTTATTTTATCCTGACCAACGCTCTGATGTAATGAATTCTGTGTACAGTGAGGAGCATCAAGAGAATGTTAACTGTTGACACTTTCTTAATGAGAACTCATTTCTTTGGTCGGAAACCCTTGAATGATTTATATAGGAAACAAAGGCTTTCAAGTAAAGTCTTTTTCCATACCATTTTTTTTCGAAGTGTCCCTGATGGCGCAACTAAAAACAAAATTCCAAGTGGGAACTTTAAAGGAAAAGCAAGACTCAACGATAACAAGTTAAACCACGAAAGAAAACGTTGACGTTTTTATTTTTTCTCTTTCGAGAGGCTTATCAGTAAGCCTCTATTTCGTGTACTTGACCGCGTTTTCCTACTACGCAACTTTCTAGGCATACGCTAAAGAACTTAAGCAATAAAACGGTGTTTCTTTGAAAGGTTATCTTAAACTACGACAAAATCTCTATTTTCACTCTTTGCACAAACGCAAGAGCGGCTCCAAACTGGAAGCAGCTGAATTATAGCCAGACACTAAGAAAATAACGTACTGGAATGAACTGCTGTAAAACAATGTTTTCCATTCTAAGACCTGATACGAAATTCTTTCTTCAAAGTCTCTCACACTTCTTAATACAATTGCTATAAGGATTTTGAGTTATGTCTTGAAGGACTCTCCAGCCGATAAGTTTATCAGTTCTCATTATCTGCTTCATGGATAATATATTAACATCAAGATAAGAGTTTACTTGGTCATCGGTTGACAGAATGTTCTTATTTTATGAAATCTTACTCTACACTGAGATACACTGTTAGAGTGTGTGGGGGGGGGGGAGGTTTCAAACTGGATTTGGAAAACACGTCTTGTTAACACAAGACCCTAAATAATTTAAGAAACATTGATGGGGGGAGGAGAAGTCTACACCCTGTACCCTCCCCCGATCTGTTCCCAGAAAGCTTCCCTTTGCTTGTGATAATCAAAACTTTTTTACTGCGTCCCCTCCAATCGCTGGCTCGATCAACCAGTGTATATTATTATGTATCTGTCCTCAGATTAAAACACTTGTAAACAATGATGCCCTCTGTCAGCTACAACAACATTTCCATTTCCTGAGATAGTGACTCCAGTCGGTTTGCTAAAAACACTGGCATTCTTCGATTCCTCTGCAACACCTATTTTCTTTACAAAAACACCAGCCGAATCAAATATCTGCACGTTGCAGTTCTTCAAGTCCGCCACCACGATGTGTCCCTCTGAATCAACCGCCACTCCCGCGGGGCAACTGAACTGACCTTTGTTGCTGCCCTTTTCCCCGATCTTTGCTAAAAACTGTCCTCTCTTGTCAAATATTTGCACTCGGGAGTTCCCAGCGTCCGACACTAAAATGCTGTCGTCCTGGTCAACCGCAACATGTCGTGGGCAGTTGAATTTTCCATCGCCATCTCCATACACGCCGAAGTGTATAATCGCTTGGCCATCAGAGTCGAAGATGTGCACTCGGTGGTTATCGCGTTCGGCTACGATGACCCGACCCTCTGAGTCCACGGCGAGGCCACAGGGACCTTTCAGCTGTCCAAGACCGTTGCCTTTTGAAGCAAATTTTCGAAGGAACTGTCCTTCGCGTGTGAAAACCTGAAAGAGGTTAAAAAAATGATAAAAATATGACACTACTTAAAGTAGAATGGTAAAAAACGAATCTTACCTGTATTCTGTGATTTCCATGATCTGCTACAAAGATGTTACCACTTTTATCCAAGCATACTCCCGCTGGATACCAGATCTCCCCATCTGCTTTACCCCGTGTGCCGAACTGGTACAGTAGGCGACCATTTGTGTCAAAAATCTGAATTGAAAATCGATATTTAAAGTACTTGAACTAACATTGATTTTGGCATGATAACTTTTCATTACAGTTTCGAAGCATGCTGTGATCCAGAATTCTATGTAGATTCGATCGAATGCAAATACTTATATCCATGCGTTCCCTCTCAAGTAATTCACGTTTGCACAAGAAAATCGTCCAACACAAAGCTTAGATTCATTTGCCAAACATTTAGAATTTATTTTCGATCATGTAAATCGTTAGTTTAGCGAAACAATAACCCAATATTGGCTCAAAATATGCTTAGTTATTAGTCTAGAAAGACTACCTGTTCCGTGAGGTAAATAGTTTTCCAGGGGCAGAGACATTGCAGAGGACACAACCTTACCTGAAGACGGTGATTGTGATGATCTGAAACCACAAACAACCCCTCAGGGTCAGCAGTCACTCCCCACGGCTCGTAGTACTCATCATTAGTCTTATTGCTGTTGGGTGCAAACTTCAATAACATTGGACCAATATTTTCAAAGTCTATTCCTGACGTGATCTGAAATATAATACAATCCTCAATTTACATTTATTATCTTTCTTTCGATCTTGTTGGTTATCCTCTTCAAAACTAATGCATAAAATAATATATTAATTAATAATTTTTGATAATTTTTCACAGTCTCTTCCATATGTAATCTAGTTTTAATACATTAATCTTTCTTTCGATCCAGTATGTTACTTTTTTCAAGTCTACTGGATGATCTACGAACTCACGTCTATATATTACGTCAATTCCGGCAAGTGCCAAAATTTTCTCCAGGTTTTAATTTATTTTATTGTATGTGATTTTTAAGACAGGCTGGCCCAGATCAGATTTAAAGCTGGTTTAAATGGGGGTCTGTATAAACTGGAACAAGGCCAGACCACAATACCGTAAGTTACGCACCCTACTCTTTGCGAGAATTGCGTGGATTTGCGTGGGTACTGGCTAACCAGTACAGAGAAGATGCAGGAGTCGGGCCCTCCGGTTTATCATCCTTATCCAAGAAGACTATAGTGTCTAACCGTTTGCAGATGTGAGAGCAAAGGCAGCACTTTCTATTCAAATATCATAGGACCACAAGTGTTGGTCAGGTCTTGGGTTCGCACTCTCGACCTACCACACGGCAGTCCGGTGCTCCATAACATGAACTAACCAAGCCTGGTTGATGTTAACTCTAAGATATTAAAGGAGCTTCCAAAACAGCTATAATTACAGATACTTAAAAAATCAGACCAGACCTGTAAGTCAAAGGAACTTCCTTGAATAGGTTTACCCCGGATGTGAACCGTGATTTGATGATCTCCTTTTGAGACTGGCGTGAAGGAAGCCGTATAAGTGCCATCATCATTGTCGTCTACGTCGGCTGTGATCGGCGGACCGTTTGGACAGTGAAGTTTGACTGACACCTGGTCCCCTCCTACAGAGTGAGGTATGATGTCAGCTGACACACTGACTAATGTAGGTTACACTTTGAAAATTGAAAAAACCTGAAGATTCTCTCTTTCTTAGGGCACACAACCCCACTGGGGAGAAATTACATTTTTAACTATAATATCTACTGACCAGAGGTACATGGTTCGCCATTTCTATCCTTTGCAATGATTGTAAACGTTGACTTGTGCCCAACCTTAGCTCGGCTGAGCCCGGGGCCCTCTGCGCATGACAGCATAGGGAACACGAAACTGGTGGAGACTTGACCGAGCTGAGCAATGACTTTGGAGAGCTGCTGGTCACTGGACGAGAACTCAACTACCTAAAGAAAGATGATTTTTCGGCCAATGAACTTTTACATTGCTTAGAGAGCAGAATCCCTCATGGGTGAGCGTCCCTTCTCATGGAGGGGATTTAAGAGGGCGAGGAACCATTGACTTCAGGGGTAGGACGAGGGAAAGGACACACCGCTTAGATTTGTCGATTCTTTGGTAATCCCGCGTTAATAATAGTCATAGGACCGAGTGGAGTTCAATTTGGTCTGTAATCATATACACCAAGTTTTGACAATCTTGAGGAATGCTGACTTTAAGTCTCGAGTCTAAATCAAGTTAGAGAAGATTATATCAAAAAAAATGCTTTTATGGGGCTACCGTTTCACAGTTTCCTATTCTCGTTCACAGGTCCGCTGTTTTCCGAGGTCTGTAGTTTTATGGCATAAGAACAAAAAAGTTGACAATTGGTTAAATACAATACCTCGTTTTCTTCTGGTTCACACTGCGACTCGTGATCGTTGAGGCTCTGGAGTCTGCTGACCATCTGCGGCTTCACCAACATTATCTCAGCCTCGTTTCCATACCTGAGCACATTCTCTGTGAACTCGCAGCTACTAAGCAGGTTTTCCAAGTCTAGTTCCAGAATTTCCTGCTGAGAAGTTAAAACCTGAAAACAAACAGAATGAGGCGTCATTTTCCCTTCTTCAATTTGCCATAATTCACAGAGGTTCCAAAAATTTTTGATAAGAAAAACTTGCGGTGTGTAATGCGTGATTTAAAATGGCCTGATCCTGCAAAAATGCAAAGAAACTGGAACACATGGACATCAGCAGCACAGAGTCATCTTACAGCTCATATGAGGATATCAGTCTTTTTGCATAACTGTCTTAAGATCCTACCTTCTCTTTGGAGCTGGATATGCTTTCAAGCTGGTCAATGAGTTGTCGTTCCTGTTCTTCTAATTCCCGGATGTGATTCTGAATGGTGTTATGAATGGTGTCACGTACTACTTCAACCCTTTCTCTCAAATCTCTCGTGACGTCATGTACCTCCTCGACAGCCGCGCGGAGGACTGGAATCTTGCGTTTGGTCTTGTCTTGAAGAGCCGTGATAGCTGACCTGTATTTCTTGACAGCTTCTTTAAGATCCACATAGATGTGCTCTCTGTGTTCGTAGATAGCACAATCTCGGCATATGGCTTCGTCACACGATTCACAGAAGTACTTGAGTACCTGAGATGTTTGGGTGAATAATGAAGCAACTTCAATTTTGAAATAAAACATGCTCAGATTGTCATGTTAAGAAGCGCAAAAAGCAACCACGTTATTGATTTCCAAAGCAAAAGAGCTGTAAACAAAACGATTTATATAAACCAAATATTATCTTTGTTTATTCAAATATACCTCTCGTGGATGCACAGAGCAAAATGAAGGGCAGCGAATAATTTCCTTTACTTCGTTTGCCTGGATTTCTTCAAAAGACAAAATCCTGTGATCTTTTGTCTGGCGAATTCTTTTGTGAGCAACCACGCAATTTGTACAGAGGTTTTCCACGCAGTCAAGACACCGAGCTGTGGCCTGGGAACTATCCTCGCAGTTGGTGCATTTTGTTGGGTTCTGCACAGCTAACACTGTCAACATGTTGTTGATGAAGAAATTCAGCGGAAATGCCTCGATACCTTTGGCGGGAACAGGCACAACCAGGCGACATATTGAGCAAACGAGGGTTCGGTCTTGAGGTCTATAAATGATGGAAAGATACACAGTATGTTTTCCGCGCTTTAGAGTTGATTTCCTCGCATTGTATTGCGCATTCTACTTTTCCTATAATTGTGCGCAAACTGTCCCAAACTAGCGCGGGCTCAATGACTCATCAAGATAGTTTGCTATGAAAGACCCATTAAAGGGAACTAAACAGCTGTTCTCTTCTGAACAAGCTTCGCCACCCTTTTTTTCATCCTCTTCTTTTTGCTGTAAATCTTTCAAGAAAATGTCAGGTTGGGAAACAACCCAAAAAACGACCTTTTTATTTACAACTGTAAATTTGAGATTACCTGTAGATGAATTACCAACAGGATAAATATTAAATAAATTCTGTAAAGGAGATCTTTTCAGATGAAAAGATCGTAACCACGGTTCACATTGTAAACCTTACATAACTGTTTTACAGGTCTGTGTGCGTATGCAAGTGAATTGGGCCCAACAATTATTTTGTTCAAACTTGGCTGGAAAATCAAGAGGGAGGGGCGAAAACCCACAGATTGGAAATAATTATTTTTGTAAATAAAAGTAAACGCAAAGTTACTTCAACGAAAGAGGAACTAAAAAAAATTTAAACAAAGGAGGTGCATCCGAGTGTTTTTGCTTCAGAGAGCAAATAGACCATTGTTCTGGGAGATAAGCAATATTACTGAGGAGGGATTTGTGTATTACGTCAGCAGATCTGCTCGTTCTCGACAACACTATTAATTCGAAGTCGATGTCCAAATGGTCTTTGATCAAAGAATACATGTTGTTGAACACGAATTTCGTTAGAGGCGCCTTCCGGCAGCAAAAATGAGTATGTTCGCCATTCAAAATTTACGCACAAAATTTCCTGTACTAGCTCTGTACTGCCAAATATTTTCTTCATGACCAACTTCAGATGCAACCGAGCATTTTCGTGTTTCCTAAACAAGCCATAACCCTTCTAGGCACTCAAAAATTTGCTGATATATTTCTTTTTCTTTCTTTTCTTGCAAAAAAAATGGGAAACTAGAAAATATTTTTCACGAGAAAAGCAAACAAGCACGTCATGGTAAGTTAACTTTCAAGAAAAGGTGCAGTATGCGTGACTTAAAACACCAACTAAAATTTGATAACATTTTCCCACCCTTTGTTTAGCAACAAAAGTGAACGATATATTTTTTAAAATATTTATTACTGAAAAAAATTTTCTCTCTACTTTGGAGTTTCTTTCATGTGATAAGATTAATGAGTAGTTGAAGTCTCTAGAGTTGAATTCCGCTATGAACTTGTCTCCCTAATGTGGCGAGAAAATTAACCTATGATCTCTCTGGTACCCGTTAACTTTTGAAATCTTTTCGCGTTTAAATATTCAAAACAACTTTGATCTTTCATCCACAGCTTAATTTAAAGTCAGATAAATATCACCAGTTTTTCTGTTAAATTATGAACTTTTTGAGATAAGAGGGCAGGATATTTCACGTACGTAAAGGGAAAATGCTTAGATGGCCTTTTAGACATAACGCAATTTAATTTGATACGGCGAAGCACTGGCAAAGATGGCTTTGACAAAGCTATAAGGGCCAAAGGCCAAAATCTTTTTGAAGTCTTCAGCTTTCACTTCCCTCGCATTTTTTCAAGCAAGGTGTGAGAACCAAACGATAAATTTCTCAATATTACCTTCAGAAAAATACAAGTGGATGATTCATACCTTATGTTAGAATCAAGACAGTTTTGGCAAAAAGAATGCAGGCATGGCAAAACCTTGGGATTCTTGTACGTCTCGCTGCAAATCCCACAAGTAAGTTGGTAGTGATCGGTGATTTTATTCACCGGCACAGATCCCATACTGGCGGAGAGTTTTGCGGAAGAATTACATGGAAACCACAGTGAGAGCCCCTTAAAAGGCTCGTCCTTACGATGTTCCGTTTACCAATAAGCCAGTAGAGTCGTCAAAGAACTTAGCGGGTTGATTTCACGGGTGCTAGGCGCTTTGATTGGCTGATTAATGCTCGGTGTGATGTAATGATATGGGTTTACATGACAGACTTGTTTTGGTCTCATATAAGAGGAAATTACCCAAAAATAGCTTTTTTAAACTTTGAAGTATTTTTGTTTGCTACTTTTATTTCAGAAGTATTGAAGTAGGAGTTTAGATGTTTTAATTTAATCTTGAACGTGGGCTCAAAATCCACTCGAGATTTAAGACGTTATGTCAAAAACTCTCCACGTTCTTTGAAAGCACATGCATGATAAGGTAATAATTCTAGCTTAGAGGGATAAAGTATTATATGACTTGGGTGCTCGTTTAACCCTTTCACTCCCAAGATCTGATTAGTAATTCTTCTTACTATCTGCCATACAATTCTTATGATGTTAGTTCAGAGAATTTGGTATTGGATCAACCAATAATCACATGATTGATATTCTTCTCTATTCTCATCACCTGCCTGCTTGATATTGTATTGATATTGTAAGGAGAAATTCTGTCTTGGTCACTTGTGGGAGTGAAAGGGTTAAAAGAGGTAATATCATAATCACATTTCAGAGTGTTAAATTGGGTTTTTTAGTCCTTGATTTCCTCTTATTTCTGGACATAACAATAAATGTTTGATAACCTTGTTATTTCAATGCCCATCGAACCACAAACCATACTATCGACCGAGACCTTTTCAGTCGATAATTGTTTAATAAAGGAAATGCATGCGACCAGTCAGCGAAATACGTAAAAACGCACTCAATTATCCTGCCCTCCAGAGGTGCTTTATAGATTGCTTTCCCGCCAAAACAGATATACCAGGATTACCCTGGTATACACCGTTCTGGTTTTACTGTACTTCGCTCTGTGATTGGTCTAGAAAACTTGCACCACCTCTCAAGGTATCAGATGCAAAACCTAAATCAATCACAACCCAGTCACTCACGTTTTCCAGCGCTTCAGGCAAATTCAGAGTCATTGGTTCCTTTAAAAATTTTCCTTTTGTTTTTTTTTTAGGCCGCTGTGATATTATTAGATAAGTCTCACGGCAATAAATCTAGAAGTACTCTATATCAACCACGATCAGCTGCAAGAGCTTTTGGAGTACTTAAAGTAACTTTATGAATAAATTAATTTGGGTAAATTTAGAAGCAGTCCTTGCTTTTAAAACTAATGTTCGGAACTCAGAAATACACGTTCTAATCCTGGCTAAGGTCACTTTGTTTTTGTTCTAAGGCAAGACACTTCACTCCCACAATTTATCTCTCCAGTATTAATGTGCAACAGCAAACGCCCAGAAAAACGCTAAGGGATAACCTGAGTAGCAAAATCCCTTTTCGCTCCAGGCTGAAGTACCCACAACAAGCTCTAACAACAAATCAATTAAGGGCGCAATGTACACTTTTGGACGTACATAAGTTGCTAAGCAACCTCGTTGGCCAAAACCAAGAGCTCACTTAGGATTGTAATCTCCTAACGGCCACCGTCACGCGCAAAACAAAAATTTCTTGTTAAAATCACAAATAATGTGTCGGTACCTGCATACTCCCTCTAAGAAGTCATTAACACGCTTTAACGCTTTAGAAAAACTAACATTCTCTCAGAAATGAATGTACACGGTAAATTCAACGACTGACTTAAATTCTGCGAAACGCAACTTACGCTGGGCAAGCGATAGAACCTAAAATATATTATATCCTGGGATGTTAGCGGAAAAAATAAAAAGGGTTCTGGCCCCCGCGTAGGATTGACTGCCCATGCATAACACGAAATCTACGTAATTAATCGATAAAGAAAAATTTAGAAAACTCAACGTAGTGGAAGTTTCGACTGTAACACTTGAAGAGACACTCAATCCTAGTATTTCAAAAGATTTGAGTGAACTTTTCTTGAAAATTATCAATTAAATTAACTTAATTGAAGAAGAAAAAGTAAATCAATCATTTATTAGATTACCTCACACAGCAAGAAGTCAAGTGAACGGAGCGTGAAGCGGAAAGAGTGTGATTAAAAAATTATCGTATTCAGTCGGGGAGCAAAACTTGCGTTTCCCAAATCACTCCCACAAACAATGGCAACAGTGAAAGATGAAAAATATTCACCGCAGTCCTTAGAGTGCCCTATCTGTAAGAACATCTTCAGCGATCCAAAAATCTTGCAATGTCTTCACTCGTTCTGCCGGAAATGTCTGGAGAGCTACGACGTAATCGGGGCAGGAACGAACTCGATCGTTTGTCCCCTCTGCCGAAAGCTGACTCCAATTCCGTCCGAGGGAGTCCACATTCTCCCGAACAACTTCCTTCTGACAAACGCGCTGGATCATTTGTCCGTCAAATCAAGCAAAGAGTATACTCTTCATTGCACAAACTGCGAGGACGAAGCAGCGGCGACGTCCCGATGTCTGGAGTGCGCCGAGTTTCTGTGCTCGAACTGCGTTTTGGCTCACCGACGAATACGAGTGACGAAGGACCACCGCATCCTGTCGCTTGACACACTGCAAGCCGACAAACAGACTCTACATCGTCCATCCTTCTGCGGACAACATACGGACGAGATGTTCATGTTTTACTGCGTCCCATGCGACTGTCTCATCTGCCGGGAATGCACAATTCTTGATCATCGAGGACACAAGTATACAGGTATGGCTATAATTATAGAGCTTGGAAAGCAATAGACTTCCCATTTCTCTATTCCTCTCCCTGGTATCGTTTTTGATTTTAAAAATAGGTTGGAATTTATAAAGTTTTCTTTGGCAATATTGCAAATTTGAGTATACTTTCAAAATTACAAACCGTTTTTGAAAATCATTTCAGTTATCAAAAACGCAATTTTGAGATCAGATTTAAGTTACCGTGTAGATATGTTATTGAGACGAAATCTACGTTTTCCATGAGGTTAAGGAAAGTCACAAGAATAAATTTATTCCTGTCACGAGCGTGTTTGAGCGCCTTTCAAACTAAAAGAAAACGGTCTAGGTAAAACTTTATTTAAATAAAACGTGAATTGAGAGGGCTATTTGCTCAAATGATCGTAAATATCGACCTGCGTTAAAAGAATTGTTTGACCAAACATCACAGAATACCTTTTCACAAATTTTTAACAGGTTATGACAATAGAGACATGCAAAAGTCAAAAGAGCACCAGCTACAGTAACTTGTGGTCATTTGGAGAAAATCAAAACAGCTCGAATTGGTCTAAAGTTTTCAACTTTTATTTGAACCAAAAGGGAATTCTTCTTTAGAGTGAAAATTAAATTGGAGGACTGGATAGAATCTCCTACTTTTAATCTAATTGAGAGAGCTCATGAGCTGAATCTTCTCTTGACTTATACAAATGCGTATTTCAGGCTCGTTTAAGACAATGATGACAGTTTTAAATTGATTGGCAGGGTGTAATAAATAAACATTCTCCGCTCAGTTAAGCCTGGACTCCAAGTTGAGTCATGAGGACACTCCTTCCTAAACTTACGCACGGACAATTACGGAAGAGTGAGAGCATCTAGGAACTAGGCTGTCTTGAAACAATTTTCAGATAATTGAGAAATGACGCGTCTCCATGCTTCCCTTGATGGACCAAAGGGAACAGGATAGCTTTTATAATTCTATGGAAAATGAGTTAGTAATACCTCTTTTAACAACTTAATCTTTAAAAAAAATTCTTTTAGGTCTAAAAGAAGCACTCGAAGAAAGAAAGATTCTTATAGATGAGCGACTTAAATTCTGCATCGAAGAGAAGATTCCTCCTGTCCATGATGCTGTGCACGAGGTCAAGACCATGGCAGCTAAGCTACGCGCACGTGCAGAAGCTGTTAAAAGTGAGATATGTGGCACCGCGGAAGAATGCGTGAAGCGCATTGTCAGCCGCAAACAAGAAATACTGGCGAGGGTAAGTGAGTAACCATGGGAGCCACATATCTAAGAAAATATGGTAACCCACCAGGACCAAAAACTTTAATCGTGAAGTAAGAGAAGTTCCTCCTATGAAGAACTGTATTTTGCAATCGCGAAATACAGGGAAACCACTAGACCACGAGCTCTTAACTTAGAATTGGAATACGTTATATTATCTTACTCTTCAACTTACAATGACATAAAATTTACTTCACGGAAAATCATTACTTTCCTTGGAATGATTTTAAAACAGCGAGAAAAACTGATGAAAAAAATAACCAATACGTTGGTTTCCTCAGTGGGGAAATAGGAAATGATTAGAAATTCTAATTCAGTACAAATTGAGACCAAGCCTCCATGCTTTTTTCTCTTGTTCACGAATTCAAGGATACATTGTACCTTCTCCACTACTTAACTTGCATTGAATTCATTGCATGTTTTCTTCGATAGGTTGACGCCCTGGAGCAAGAGAAAGAGGCTGTGCTCCGCCATCAACAAAACCAACTAGAGACGGAACTTTTCAAGTACACCAGCTCCAGAGACTTCGTGGAAAATGTAGTTCTGCATGGAAATGAAGTTGAAATCATCCAACTTCGACAACTGATGCTAGATCGTCTTGATGAACTCAACGCCATCAAACTGGATTACAAAGAACCAGAAGAAAATGACGTCATCGATTACATCCTAGACTCGGAAGCTGTGGAGAACGTGGCAACCACGATGGGTCGGGTGGCATCTAGTGTCACGTTTACCGCTCTGTGCAGCGCACGGGGCCTCGGGACCAAATCGGGGAAAGTCGGTGTTGAGTCGTCCTTTATCGTCGAGACAAAAGACCGCTTCGGGAATACATCGGTTGAAGGCAGCCATACATGTCCACTGCAAGTAAAAGTCCAAGCACCTGAGGGGTTCTTTCTTGGAAACAAAGTCACGAACAACGGAGATGGCGGCTGGAGAGTGCGTTACACTCCAGTCACGCACGGCAAACATGATTTGTATGTGACCATCAGAGGGCGCGAGGTTGAAGGAAGTCCTTTCAGCGTCAATGTGGTGGAAGGGATTGATTACACAAAGGTTGGACCAACATTCATGAAGATTGGCTCTCAAGGAACAAAGAGTGGGGAATTCAAGCAACCCTGCTCTGTAATTACCGACCAGGAAGGAAATATCTACGTTACAGACTTCGTCAACTGTCGAGTTCAAAAGTTTGACGCACTTGGAAAGCATCTTCAAGATTTTGGATCCCGTGGAAGCAAAGATGGCCAGTTTCAGAATCCTTGCGGTATTGCGATAGACACAAATGGAATAATTGCCGTTTCAGACTGGGATAATCATCGTGTACAGCTGTTTAGTCCCGAGGGAAAATTTATCGGCAAGTTTGGAACGAAAGGTAAGCGCAATGCCTGCAATAGTACCTTAGGAAATTTCATCGGTTCTCCTTTTCGAGAAAATTCCTTGAAATTGACAATAGGATTTTCATGGATAGAGTACGCTTGCATATTTTCTTTTATTGACAAACGAGGTATGGAAAACGAAATATCAGCTGGTCCTGGCGATTTCTAATATACTTGCTCTGTATAGACTTTAATAGCCCAACACAACTAAAAGATAGTTCAGTGGAAGAAAATCCGACAAGTAAACCGTTAGCCATACGTCTAAAACGTACTAAGAAATTTTTGCCACGACTTTACGACCTCTATGTTCGACATAAATGTTAAGCATGTTATACAACATACTTCCATCAATTTGGAAACATCATTCAGTTCCATTTTATCAACTAAGCCAAATTGATGGAAGATCTTTCTCGAATTTTCAGGACCTGAGGACGGGAAACTAAATCATCCGGCTGGTTTGGCGTTAACCAAAGATGGCAACTTACTCGTGGCAGATAAAGACAACCACAGAATACAACTCTTTAACATGGATGGTACCCACATCATGACGTTTGGTTCCCAAGGCAATGAAGACGGGGAGCTAAATAGCCCAAACCACGTGGCTGTCACTGAAGACAACAGTTGCTTGGTAACCGACACAGAAAACAACCGCATCGTAAAGTTTGACTCCAGTGGCAAGTTCCATTCAAGTTTTGGTGGAAAAGGTAGCAGCGATGGGCAGCTTGACCGTCCCGCAGGAATCACGATAGATTCCGAGGGATTCATAATCGTTGGTGATTTCCAAAACCACAGAGTGCAGATTTTCCAACCAGATGGGAAATTTTATGCCACATTTGGCAGTGAAGGAGATGGAGAGGGTGAATTCAAATTCCCAAGTGGTGTTGCTTTGACAAAGGATGGGCGAGTTATAGTGGCTGACAGGCATAATCACAGGGTTCAGGTGTATTAATCACAGTCAAATATGGTCACTATGATACAATAATCAGTGTGAGCTGGAGGCGGTTTAGTACATACTGGCCGGGAAGTGTGCTACTAATAGATTGCACAGTTTTACAAAAAACTAAAATTACATTCATCACCTTAAGAGTGAATCACTTTAAATAACAAAGTACCAGTTTAAGTTACAGTAAGAATAAAAGTAAATAAACAAATGTTCATATATTTCTCAAGATGGACTGCAAATAGAAGACAAATGTTTGTACAAACTATCTGTCAACCAAAGGTAGTAAATTATTTGTGTAGTCACCTATTTAAAAACATTCCTTTAGAATAATTTACTAGAAAAGCATGTAAACAGAAAGCCATTGACGACTGATGTCAATGGTTTGGTGACCAGTAAACAGGAGAAAATCACCAACTGAAATATTGCTAAATTGTTAAATGTAGAGACATGAGCAATGGCTACTTCTGTAGGATTTGACAGCTTGTAAACTAAAAAAACCCTAGATGTTAAATATGAGAAAAATAAAACTTTCCTTCTAAGATAGAAGATGTGTTATGTTTCAGGCTATAGCCTATTTGCCAAAGGCACTTTTTACCTACTCTTTGCTTGGTATAATGTTTTTCTACACCTGTGGATGTTGTTGTGTTATTATACTACCCAGAAGCATTTGACAAAGACCTCATGGTCTGTTATATTGTTCTGTTGTTTGCTCTATTAAACTGTTTTGTTCTTGTAAATACAATAAGAAGCCGGGATGGTGATTAAGCTTTGAGCCTGGTAAAAAAATAGAGCAAGACTAATAAAACTTCTTTCTCTGTTTTGTCCTTGATATAAATTTCCTGTTTTGTGGTCCAATAACATCCAAAAATGTTTAGATCTTGTAGGGCATGCCATACCCTGACAAAGTGTTAACTATACGTTGCGTTACACATTGCCTCCTATACAGTTACAATCGCTGTAATGCTGCATTTCCCATGAAAGCAGTGCCAGGTTTTATCGATTTGGCAGTTATTGATTCGAATAGGAACATAATTTAGGATCATATCAAGTTTTTGAAAGCCTCATAATCGATTATTTCCACAGAGTAGCGAAGCCATCCGTGTCAAATATGGAGGCATATGTTAGTCGATTTCTCGCGACGGGTTCGCTGAGTCTCTTATAACACAACAACGCAAAGCCATTACTTCCTCGGTATACATCAACCTCCCTGGACTACATCAACTCATTTGCGGAAGTATAAGGATTAAGTTTTTCAAAAAGGTTGTTTCCACATCTCTTAAAACATATCGCTGACGCCTGTAGCTAGTCCCTGAGCTTGTATATGCTCCGACAAGAACACCCCTATCCGTGCTTCTGCACAAAAAAATCATCTTCGAGTGATAGCCAAATAAAAAGAAAATGTAAAAGACTTACCAAAGAGTCGATCCACATTGCGATTTTCTTCTCTAGTTGTGGGCTCTGGCCTGTCTTCAAACGACTGTTGGCATAGCTGGTCTTCACTCAAATATCGCCAGGCATTCATTGTAGATAGAATCCAGTTTTCCTCTGCCGAATATTTTTAGTGTCCAGTTTACTCCGGTTAATCCTGCATTTCGTGATTTTTTGGCAATTTTAGGTGATGGGAGGTCATGGGGGGAAGCTTTTCATAAAAAGTGTCCAAATACTCATAATATTTAGTTTATTTATCGACGAAAAAAGAAGAAAAAAAACGAATTATCCCAAAATTACCGACGTCCAAACCCGCTTCCATAGGTGTCAGCGCCCGTATTCTTTTAGCCAGCGGACTACCACTAATAGACGCGCGCGCGCTCCCTTGACAACCAACATTCGATTGGCAACAAAGTGCAATTATCGTAACACGGTTGCGTCCTACAGAAATTTTTACAAACAATTCTGTTTTTTTACCGATTTAAGACCAGTTTTAATCTTAATAGACGACTCAGTGTTTTCTCCTGTTATTTTCACCGACATAAGTCAATTTTATCCGCGATGGCCTCAGAAGTTCGAGACGATCTTCACCTGACATCGACAGGAAAAGGACATTACTATAGGTCTCCACACGGTTTCCCACCTCAAGGATTCCGCGTAAGTTTTTCTCTGATTTTTCTCTGATGAGTTTTCTATATCTTCAGTTTGAATGTCATCTCATATCATAACCACATCGTATCATGACTTGAATCATTCTTTGGCTTGAAGTCTTTTATGTACGATTTTACTTGTAAACATTTGTGTTTAGTTATGTCGATCCACTTCATTCCCGGTTTGAATCTGCATGTACTGTGAATATACGAAATCATGTCCATGATAGGCCGATGTATAACAAAAATTAACTGCTTGAGATCAGAACGATTCATTAGAGCGGTCTTAGGATGCATGCTTCCGTCTCTTTACATTCCCATCCCTTACCTTACCTCCCCTCCCCCCCCTCCCCTCCAAGATCTCGGTTCTATCGTTTCTCCCTCCTCACTGTCTTCCATACGTTTCTTTTATTCTTAGCTCTGAGAATTTGGTGTTAAATCGAAATAAATCTCATAGTTGATGGACATCCCCCCATCACTCTTTTGCTTAACCCTTTTAAACTCCTAGAAGTGATTGACTTGTAACTTCTCCCCATAATATCCATACATTATCCAGAGAAAAGATAATGAGAATACTCAGACTTATCAGGTTGAAGTTGTCATCTTGATCTAACACCAAATTCTTGTAACTAATTCGCAAGGAAATGTTTAGCAGCCAGTGGGTAGAATTAACAATCAGATCTTAGGAGTTATATAAAAGGTTAAGAATGAGGCAGACACTCCTGGGAGAGAAAAGATGAAAAGCAAATATATGTTTGGTCTAATTTAATGAGAGTCTCCTACACCCCTTGGTTAAACTCAGTTATTTTAAAATAATGGGCCTTTTCATGCATCATCATCATCATCATTAATTCAATGTAATTGCCTCACACAAAATTTGAGGCAATCACATTGAATTAATAATTTACTTTTTCTAAGCTCAACAGGTTTACATGACATTAAGATGATGTGATGTCTTATCTCATTTGTTCAAGAACTACCAGTGTTCAATTTTAATGACATAGTTTATCCATGTGGAGTCCATCTCTGGTGGAAACCCTCGTCAAAACTTAATCATAGCTAGCAGTTCATGAACAATATACTTTTACATTTTCAAAATTACAAAATAGCCACATAACTGCCATAAGCCATAAAACTGGTCACATGGATGTAAAAAGATCTTAACATGGTTAAGTATCGTTCATTTATGTAACAAAAATCAAATCACAATTCACAACAAAAAAATGGCCCTATCACACTTAATGTAAAAAGCATAAGGGGACCCTCTTTATTGACTTTGAAACATCATTTCTCCATGAGAGGAAGAGTACTTCCAAAGTAACTCACTCTGTTTTTTTATCTTTTAACACTGAAAATATTATTTTATGGTTAAATATCAAGCTTTAATTTCTTGAATATCTTGTAAGGAAAATTCATCTGAATATTATTTCTTCCCTTGCATCTCAGAGAACTGTTTATGATGTGTTACCACCTGTCCTTACAAACCCAGATTACGTTACTGATAGGGAAAACTTTCAAACAACCACTGGTACAACTCATGACTACAAGGCACATGGTGGAACTCTGAGTAACTCACAGTTCAAGAAGGCTCCAGGATCATGGAAAGTTCATTATGTAGAAGATAATATTGGAAAGGTGATTAATTAATGTGTTAAAAATTAAGTGTTAAAATCTCTTTCCTGATGTGGACATTTTCCACATACTTTTGTCATGTGATTTATAGAATTGTTAGTTAGTTGTTTTTCAGTTTTTGTTCCCGCAAATTTGTTACCTCTTTTTGGTGAATTTTAAGAAGTTTCAGAGTTTTTGTTTCAGCCAAATGCTGTGGTTCATTTAACAAATGTAATACATTCTTTTAAAGTTAGCAGTATCTATGCAGCTCAAATCACAGCATTGCATATTTTAATTGCATTATATCATATATTTTTCTTGAATAGTTGAGTGTGAAGCCCTGGAGAAGACCTCTGACAATGGGAAACCAGTGCAGTGAAATGATGTCCCAGTACACAGGGAGACCAGGAGTTAATCTTGACACTGTTTATAATGCAGGGATACAACCATTTAACCTTGCTGATCACCACAGGGAGGGAAACAGTAAGGTATTGGCACTTTTTTTTATTGTTTTTGTTCTGAATACAGTTTTTGCAGTTAAGTGATCAAATATCTGTTTTAATTATTAAACTGAATAAAAAACAAAATCATCATAATCCTGAATCTCATCAAATTAGAACTCCTAGTGTATCTATGTTCAAATATGTACACAAACATGTATCCATAAAGCAATGGAGTCCTTAGAAAGTTCTAAGATAGCAAGACTCTTTGTTGATTATTGCCAAATTTTTTTATTTCTTTTATAAATTATTCCAAATTTAAGTTTTTTAAATTTTGTTTATTATTTAAGACATTATGCCCTGTGAAAATGTATATATACTGGTTTTTGATAAATGAATATTTCTGTTTAAAGGATCTGGTACCATCAACAATAAACAGAGGGATAACAGGGCAGAAGTTTTACCCCAGGGACAGAGGTGTACTGACTTACCACATGGATCCTTATCTTACTACAACACAGAGAGATCACAGAGCATTCACTAAGTAAGCAAAATTTGATTGTTTACCAAGCCTATATGAATAATATGAGATGGCTATTTGTCGATGATATGTATGTTGCAGTCTAATCTAAATTGTATTACAGTCAGTACATTAAAAAAAATAATAGGCCATTTTACAGTTGTGTACTTAGTTGCCAAGCCTTTGATTTGGAGTGAGGCTGAAGGTGACCTTGTTGTGATAGAGACCAGTATCTAGTTAGCATGATATCAAGGTAATTTGCTTTTGAAAAGCAGCAAGGTTTGTATCATACAAGGTCACCCTTAGCCTCATTCCTGTTCAAAGGCTTGGCAACCAAGCACACAACTGTAAAATGGATTATTAAGTGGGAGACATATAGTGGCATTATTTTGGGGGTGCTGGACCTCAACAGATTTCAAAGGTTCTAAAGTGGGGTTGCTTTTTGTGTTCTTTCATGTTAGCAAGGAGAATTCGTGGAAAACATTGGAGTTTCAGCCTAATTTCTTAGCTATAACCCTGAATACCCTCCTCAATCTTGGAAATTTGACCTAAAGCTGGGCTCCAGGATGAGATCTTTTGATTTTTTGCAAGGAGTGAAGGGACCAAATCACATCTACATGTGTGCTCCATATGGCCATCTTGGCCATTTTGCAGTATACTGTCAAGACACTTGATTATTTGAACCAGGTTAAAGCCCCATGAGTTGTATGAGCTTCTTGGCTTATGAGCAGTCTTAGGCATTTTTATGGCATTAAAAGTAACAGCTACCTTCTGACATGTCTTTTTTCTTCCTCAAAACAGGCATGAATTGGGACGTTACCCAGCCAAAGATTATGCAACTTATTGGGAATGCGAAGAGTACACAAAAGCCTGGGGTCATGGCTCAAAAGAAAATCCTCAACCCCTAAATTCAGTCCCCAGAGAAAAAGGACCCATGAGGGACCGTATCTGGTTCAGAGAACCAACCACTATCCCCAGGCTACCAAAGTCACTGGAGCCTGTACCAAATAAGTAAGATAGGAGCTGAAATGTACAGCAATTAAGTGAAATAGTTAATATTTTGATTATCTATTAATAATCCTCAAGGCCAAGTTGAGAGATGTAATGAGCAATATTCACAAAGTCAAGAGGAAGTTGTCAGAGCAAATGCCTTTTATTTTATTCTTTCCAGAAAAAAGGATGCAGAGGCCAGTGTGCTTCTTTAAGTGTTGTGATAACCTTGCCTATGGTGATGGTGATCACTATAGAGAGTTAAAAAGATAGGATCAATATCAGTATCTGGGCAACTGCCCACCTACCCCTCCCCTAACCCAACATTAACCTTGACTTGTTGTCAATTGACTATTGTTGAATTAGGGGAGGGGTAGGTGGGTATTTGCCATGCAGATACTGATATTGATCTAAAAGATATTGAGCAAGAAGATCAAGTGTGGCTGAAATTACCTGAGGAACAAAATACATGCAAAAATTTTAAAACTTGTTAGCTTGAATATTGTCAATAATTTCAAACAGTGCAGAATGAAGGAAAAAAAAGTTGGAATCTTGTGAACTGATCAAATGATATTTCCCTGCAGTTTTGAATGAATGAGCACTTAGAAAATTTTCAAACCTACAAGTGCATTGTTTTCTGCTGACACTCTGCCAATGTTTTGGAAATCAACAGTCCTGACTACTAGCCAGTGTGTTAAATTGAGGAATGTTTTTGTTCCATCTCTAGGGGAATGAAGACACTGATGAGTGAGTCCTACACCATGCCTCCTGAGAGGAAAAGATGGGAATTATTTACCTTAAATGTACCAAAACCTTGGCATGCACCTCTTGAAAGTAAGGAGTTAAATTTTTTTGTCGTTCACATTATTACTAACTTTTTAGTTTTTGTTTATCTTAAGGAGGATGGTCCAAAACGTTCCTCTTTGCTTTTGGTCTTGTTGTTGTTGTTTTTTTAAAGGAAGAGCACATGAATGCAAGAACCTTGTCTCACATTTATTCTTTATCATTTTCTCAGGCCCAGGCCCTGGAGAGACGTTCCGAGTTCCACGGATGTACAACACTGAATACCAATTCTATGGCAGTGAAAAACCAGTCACAATATGAGGAAATATCATGCACTTTTAAGAATTTTCTTAAAACATCACATTTGATAAGCATTCTATAATATTACTCTTAAACTATTTTTTTCTTTCAAAAATGTGAGAGAATGGAATGTTATATAATTCTGGAACAATCTTAAACAACATACATGAAGTTTTAGCTTCTTTTCTTGAACTGAACAGCATTCAATAAGGTAAACATTCAAACGAACATGGTCTTTCCAAAACAAGATGGTTGTTTGCCTTGATATCTCTTGTGGATTGTTCTTTATTGCATTATGTGTAGAACAATATTTAATCATTCTTTTATTGCAAAATAATTTCAAACAAAAGGAAAACAGTATAACTTAGATTGATTAAGAAGGCTTTGTTGTGTAGTATCTCATCTTGTATTAATCAGTAGTAATCTTCTCTATGCTTCTTGGTCAGAAATCTCATTGGACAGTGTGTACCTCAAAGTGGTCACTTGGTAAATAACAGTTTATTTTATAACCAAGCTTATATGTAGTTCAGTAAAAAGGAATTATGTTTTGTAAATATTTACAAGGAGAGGAGAAGAAATAAAAAATTCAAAGTAACAGGTTATATACAAGCTACATGTACAACTGTGTTCAATAACGCTTATTCACACGGGGCTGCGTGAGCCTGGTTCCTGGTGGTCTCATGTTTTTCTGTCCCTTATTGCGAGAAGATGATGTTAGGAACCACTGGCCCACTAATCAAAGAAGATAACTTTGGCTGAAAGTTGCGAGGAAGAAGTTGCAATATTCTTGGATGATGAGATTGACTGTCAAAAAAATCTTACAAGCGTTCACCACATCCCCACTTTTTTATTTAAATTCTAGAAACAATGTATTCTAAATGTTTGAAATGTTGCAAAAGATTGCCAGAATTGAACATCCGTGACACGTGAGGCTCAATGTAGATATGCAAGAGCTATTCCGTTGACCTGTTTACGTCAAGCCGACGAGGGGATATTCGTTAAACTGGGTAGTTATTGGATAGAGCACTTTATGATTTGTGAAAGCTGTTTCTTTGTGATTTGTTTTCTCCTGAATCGCGCGTCTTCAAAGGCTACGAAACCGTTATTTTTTTTAAGATGAACTTCTCTGGAATGGGAGATCAATTCCTGGCCTTTTATTTATTTTTACATATTTTCCGCGAATTGGAAGGCAACATCGCGTTTCAGTAAAAAGTTATGATAGGTAGTGAATGAAAAGAAATCGTATCAGTCGATATCAGACTTGGGTGGACCTCCATCCTTTCCCACCCTCCATAAAAAAGTACAACTGGCGGTAAAAATTATCCCTTTAGACTGAAACAGATCGTCATCGTGGGATCTAAAAGACTTGAATCCTATTATTTCCACTATCAGCCACAACGATGTTGCCTTCTTTCGTTATGGCAATTCCACACGGATTCTTAAAACACCCTTCGTCTTCACCGTATGCACCAAACGCGTTGACAAACTCGCCATTAGAATTGAACACTTGCACCCGGTGATTGTGATAGTCACACACTAGGATGTTGTCCTCGTCATCGCAGGCCACGCCCTCGGGGCCGTCAAATAAGCCGTTTTGTGATCCTGCAAAAGGAATGGTGGGAAATTTTTCGAGTATCGCTAATACTCCAGGATTGAAATGGTTATCCTTTACTTTCTCTGTGATTGGTCGAGAAAACTGACTCGTGCTATTCTCTTGACCAATCAGACACAATCTAAAAGCAGTCACAACCTGGTCAATCCAAGGTTCCCGCGCTTCAGGAAATTTGCTCATTTTTGCTTTTAGCTTTCATCACTTCCTTGTAATAATTACTATGTCAGGTCTGATTGACTAATGTTATGCAAACTTTAGCTAGACTGCATTAAGCAATTTACAATTTTTGAAAGGGAAGTTTGAACGAAGGACACCGTTGATATCAATTTTGACTCTAACAGAGTCAACAGAGAAGTACACTTCACTTGATTCAACCGTCAGGGAGAAACGCATATCTGATTTGCGGCCAGCCTTTAGGAGGATCCATGTTTTTGGAGGGAAGTATCCAGGAAGGGCACGTAACTTTGAACTGAGGCAAGATTTTTAGGGGGAAAAATTCATTCTGCTAGGGGAAAATGCTTTGGGGAGAAAATTCTCTTTGAAACATGTCAAGAGCTTACCTTCTTTTCCAAAGTCAGATAAATATTTCCCTTCCAAATCAAACACTTGAACTCGATCATTGACACAATCGGCTATAATGATCCTCCCTCGCTGATTCACACACACGTGATGAGGGTATATAAACTGTCCTTTTGAAAACCCCTGCGTTCCAAACTGTCGCACGGGCTCCCCGTTCACGTTAAATAATTGCACCCGATGATTATCCTGTTCCGTTACTATCACCAGTTCCCCAGGGGTACACGCCACGCCACACGGATGGTTTAGGAGGCCTGGTCGCTCCATTCCGAAGCTGCCGAATTTCCTGATAAATCGACCGTCCTCGTTGAATACTTGAACTCGATGGTTGTTGGAGTCTGCAACCATTATGTGGCCGTTAGGAGCGCGGGCCACACCCTTGGGGTACCTGAATTGCCCCTTATCCGTACCCTCCGAGCCGAACTTAAACATGAACGTTCCCTCAAAGTCGAACACCTGAATTCGATGGTTGTTACAGTCGGAGACAATGAGATGGTTGTTCTCGTCGTCTATGGTGACACCCCAAGGCATATTGAACTCCCCTGTCATAAAAGATCGTAGGAATACAGATGCAATTCTGAAGGCTTACACATGATAAATGCCCAGTTTTTCTTCTTTATAAAAAGAGCTATTAATTGCTAAAAGAAATCAACTCACCACTTCCTCATTTCCCGCAGTGCACTTTCCTCCACTTTCCCCCCGTTCCTTGCCCCCCACCCTGCCCCCCCCAGAAAAGTAAAAAAAAAATAATATAGAAAAGGAAAGAAAAGCCTTTAAAAGCGTTTATATATGCATATTCTATATGGAGAGAAAGGGGGTGGTGACATCGGTGGGTCTGTTGGACATGTGGCGCCATGAAGTATCAAAACGAGGTTGCAGTCTATCCATCTTCATTTATGGCCAACTTCCCTCTCCCTCCCATTGCCGCCCCTCACCTCCCCCTTCCTAAATCCTACCTCCCCCAGCTCCCTCACAGCCAAAGCACGCCATGACTTTCCCAACTTTTCCAAAGTCCATTCTTCCCGTCACGTTAACACTAAAAGGACTCCCATTGATGTGGATATTTCGCATGGTTATGTGGATCTGGTGAAGTCCTCGTGCTGTCGGTTGATAGGATATGGTGAAGGTGCCGTCTTCGTTATCAATCACATATGCTGCGAGAAATAAAAAAAATTACCTGCTTTACAACTAAACAAACTAAATCAGTGGTAGACACAGCTATGAACTGCTTTTCGTCCTACATTAGATGGTCTTTATTGCGCTTTATCTCCTATCAGAGCTCGCTGACATCCTTCTTTTCAATTACTTGACACGAAAGCGCATGTGCTAAAAGATTGTTCAAGTACTTACTCGGGACGGGATCTCCCTCGGGTGGATCAATCTGAACTCTGATTGGTTCCCCTCTGCCACTGAATACCTCGTTCATTCTGTCTTTCGTTGTAACAAGAAACACTGCCTCCACGCCAGACTTAGCTCGATGGATTCCCACGCCGGTTGCAAAACAATATGGCGGGTACGCATGGTAAACCTTCACCTCGCCAATATACTCGAGGGCCTTTCTAAACTCGTCGGTAGAGAACTTGTAGTCAATGAGGTCATCTTCCAGTGGTAGGTACTCCAACTTGACGCTGTTTAAGTCCTGTAATCGCTGTGTCATTTGCTTTTTGACCAGCATCACCTCTGCTTCGTTTCCGTGCCGAAGAAGACTTTCAGTAAAATCTATGCTACTGTTTAGATTTCCCATCATCATTTCGAGTTCATCCAGTTGGATTTCCAGCGTTTTAGATTTCATCCGGTAGATGTTATTAACCTGTGTGAGAATTTCCTCTTCTCTTTCTTGAACAACTTCTCTGCATCGTTTGCAGTTTTGGATAACCTCTTGTCGAACTTCTTCCAGTTTGCAGTCCAGTTTCTGTTTCATTTCTGACACTTTTTCAATAGCTTCTTTCAAAGGGGCTATTCGTTTTTTAGTATTCATAACAAGAACTCCAACCTGGAATAAAGAAGCGATGAATTAAACAAAATAAATACATGTAACAAAGAAACATACTCACGCTGCGACAAACAACTCACACTGTGCAAAATCTCTGAGAAAATTATCTGCTTAAGATCCTGAACTGAACAGCGACATGTTCAGTTTTCCCACAAGTAGTGGGAAAAAAGAGCCAGGTTTCGAACGATACCAAAACCCTTAAATGCACTAAAAACAATATTCATGGCATTCTATTCGCCTAGAGTAGTTACTTAGTGGTTGAGAAATTAATTACCGTCGCCAATATTGAGTATCCTTGGGTTAATCACAGCGCAACCAGCAAAAAAAGAAAAACTAAAATATAAACAGCTAGACAACGAGCAGTCCCTCTTTTTCGACGAAGTTCGTCGCGCAAGTCAAAAAAAATTCGTGGAGTTCCGCGTGGCGCGCTATCATCAATTTTAGTTTAATTCGCGCGAAGGATTTCGCCGATAAGGAGGGACTGATCGTAGTTTAGTACACAGCAGTAATAATAGAGATGCTAGTCTTACAAAATGTAGAAAGTCTAATTTCTTTTTTCTTCTCAACCTACGTACTACGTCTTAAATTAGGTTAGCCAACATTTTCAAATACGACTGAAAAGCTGAATGCCGAAGTATTAGTGCTCTTGATGATTTTAATGTAGCTTTATCCTATTGAATAAAACCTTTAATCATAATGTAACGTAAGAACTTAAGCTTTCCTCTACTCACAGAAATTTCCAGTCAATAACAAAGCAAATAGTTCACGCATTCCGTCGCAACAAAGACTGGATAATTGCGTCTTACCATTCGCCTATGGCAAATTAAAGACGCTATTAGCGTGCTGTTAGCAACGAGATTTGCGGATAATTTCTTACCTCTGACCGATGTTTTTTATCCACATCTTTTAAATAACCATAATGGTGTTCTCTGTGATCAATGATAAGACATTCGCGGCAAACAGGCTCGTCGCACGTCTCGCAGAAGTACTTCAATACATCCCGCTCATGAACCGTGCAAAGCAAGGGTCTGTGTAACTTTTCCTGAACCTCTTTCTGCGACTGTAGTTCACCCAAAGCGATAACTTCGTGTTCTTTGGTCATTCGCGTTCTGCGATGAGCTGCAACGCACTGCGAACAGAGAAACTCCATACACTCAATGCATCGGGAAGTTGCCCTGTTCTGCTCGTCGCAATTTGAGCAAACAACAGGGTTGGAGTTGCTCTTCGCAACGGAGAGAAAATCCAACATGTTGTTGATGAAGAAATTGGTTGACAGTGCTCCGACGCCTTCCTTAGGGACAGAAACCTCGCATCGACAAGTCGGACAAATGATGGTGTTTTCTCCGCTGTTGATGAGCCCATGTAAACAATGTTGACAAAAAGTGTGCAAGCAGGGAAGAACTTTAGGCATCGTGTACGTCTCCAGGCAGATCGGACATTTCAAAAGGTGCTCTGAAAGTTTCTCCACTTCGACAGATGCCATGTTCAAAATTAATTATCCAACAGAGTTACTGCGAGATTATTATAAAATTCTGTCTTGGAAATTTAACCATTGCTTAATCTTTCCATCCGATATTCTACGATATCATGGTTGGTAGGCTTTTATGGCATAGCAGCGCTCCTTCAAGCATAACAGAGAACCACACACAGTTTGTAAGTGATGACAAGGTAATTTTTAACACGCCCTTAGCAAACAAGTTTTCCGCAGTGGATAAACTTGACGAAGCAAAATAATACGAAGACGTAAAAGGATCTGATGCCACCTGTAAAGGCACCTGTTTGTGTCAACAGTCTATCGATAATCGAATATGGTTCGGTACCAATCGATAATTTATCGGCCTGTTTTGAGCATTCAGAACTCCAATAAGAACTTGACGAGCTTCCTACCTTAAAAAAGTAAATCAAACTTGGAGGAGATAAGCGAATTATCTGCGAAATAAAGATAAGCTTGTAAGTGGAAAAATGAAATCATGAAAGTTTATTGCTTTTCCTGTCTCTTGACAATGTCGCCAAACTTGAAAGCCACCCGCCAAATTGGCAAGAGGCCAAACGGAGGGAGCACATTCACAAGGAAATATGAGAATGTGAAAACTAATTATGATTTGCTTCGTAGAACCGTTCATTTCTTTCCGTTATTCAAAAGTTTAATCCTCATGGCTACATGTTTTCAATCTGCGCAAATGTTATTATTGATTCTGTCTTTGTCCGTCATTGTTGAAGGTAAGATTTGATTAAGAACAAATTTAAAAAAATGTAAATAGATATTAGCGCCGTTATGGAAGAGTAGTGGGTTTCATTATGGACGATAGTTTCTCGGTAGTTTTCAATGGGAAATCCAAGTGACTTGCCGTTCTTATTTAGTGTGATTAAGCTGGACTACTGTGTTAAGCCTAACTTTGTTCGAAGCTGAAACGAAAATTTAGAATTTGAATTGTACTGGCCGTCTCCAGGTTATGCCGATGGATGTTCTTCGGTTCCGGAAACGATGGCTCAGTTATCGGACGTAGAGTGCAGAGGGACACTGATTGCTTCCTTTAGTCTGTCTGTATGCTTAACGGACCATTTATAATTGATCGCTTGGAGGATTACATGGTTTTCAGGGGAAATGGAGGCGGGATTAGTCGTCACCAACAGAGTATAAAGGACTGTAGAAAATTGACTCTCAATTAAATGCTTATGAGGCGGGGGGGTAATTTATCGTGTCACAACCAAAATCCTCCGACCAACCCTCCACGACAAGGCGATGAATGATGAAAGGTCACTGAACCATGTGTATTTTGAGTGGCATAACATAAAGTGTGCCACCACCAGCATATGCTTTGATGAATCTGTAACAAATTTCCAACTGTTTACATTTTAGATGTCAGATTTATGAATTCAAACAGCTTCTCAAGAGGCAATACACACCGTTCGGAATTCACCCCCCTCGGTTAAGGCAAACCAAAAGTAAGACCATTCCGAAAATCCTCTCCCTATAGATTATGCAATTAGTACTATTTTTTAGGTCTCCAAGCGCAAAATTCAACAGGTAATAAACGAGAGCAGCACCTTCTTGATGACTTGCTGAACCCTGAGAAGTACGACAGACGGATCAGACCAGTTGTCAGAAGTGAGGATCCAGTTACTGTAACGTTTGGATTAGTCGTCAAAACGATCGAAGACCTGGTGAGTACTGAGTAGCCTGCTCACTCCACTTCTTTCCTTCAGGGACATGAGGCAACGAAAAAACTCTTCCTATTTAGTTCTGTTTTGTGTAGCATGTTTTGCCACAGCCCACGGGCGTTTAATTGTGCCGCAGCCAGCCAGCTTAGCTATGACATTTCGGCGCAAAGCTGTTTTTTGCCAACAAGGTACCTTTTACTAAGTTTTGTCCAGCACAGGGGTCTGAGTAACCTGCGAGAAGATTTATTACTTAGATTGTCCGTAAATGAAAATTCCAATGTTTGTGGTTTTGCAATATGCTTGCAGGATGACCAGAATCAGCTTCTCCTTACACGAGCAGACATAAGAGAGGTATGTGATTTCTTGCTGCTCCTGCAATTTATATACAGCCTGTCAAATAAGGAAATATGTTTTTTTAAACATGTATTGCGTGCGAGTCATGTGCGAGGGACAAAGAGTTCCTCGTAAAAATTGCGAGGTTTACTTCAGATTTGATCCTTTCACCACGAAGGTCAATGTATCTAATATTAATAATATCGGTCATAAATTTCTTATAGTTTTAGCTCTTGGGTGACAAGCGTCATTTCCTTTGGAAGTTTCTGAGCGAAGAGGTCCTCTCCTAATTTTTCACTCAGGGTTAAATTCACGAAGATAATAAGTGCTGACTTCTACCCTCAGCCGGGAATTTCCCCTCCATAACCATAACTTTTGCACTAAAGTAACGTTAAGATTTTCTCAGCATGTTTTGAGTAACCAGACCTGCCACTACTTTAATATGTTTTAGTCCTGGATGGATCCGCAGCTGAGATGGAATTCTTCAAAGTATGGTGGAGTGAAGTACGTAAGTGTCGATCCAAAACTGATATGGATCCCGGATGTAGTGTTGTATAACAAGTAAGTGTATGAGATGAAGGTGAGTTAATTCGGATGAAGTGCTTTGAGGAAGGCCTTCTTAGTACTTAAGAACATTACGAGTGGTTTCTAACATGAAGGATTGATTTTATTTACCCAATAGTGTAATGTCATTTCACCAGCATATTAAGATGGCCATGCCTAGAGGCTGAACTTTACTTGGTGAAATATGTCTGGTGTTCACCTGGATTTTCAATTTTTACCGTAGAACAGTAGAGTCCATTAAAGTTGTCTTACTTCTTAAAATAAACCCATGCGCTTCATTTCTGGAAAGAAATCTTATGTGCGATCCACACTCATGTAGTTTTGGTGGTTCATTGTTTTGATGCACTTACTTCTACTTGCGCAACTGTTCGGTACTATCTTGTTTCTTCGCTGACAGAACGCTGTGATCGCATTATTAAACATGAAACCCCTACAAAGATAATGTATAACACACTCAGTTTAACAGTCAATAGTGAGCATGGACCCTTGGATGGAAAGATTTACGAACGTATTGCAGACTCACAGACAATACGCGAACGCCGAATTTCCTCAACTTGATTTGTTTCGCATATTTTCTTTAGTATAGAGGCTCCGCCTTCGCGCTTTTCGCATAGCGGATACTTTCCTTTGTACTTTGTCCTTTCAGATCTTCGGAAAAAGTTTCATCTACCTCCCTACTCCGCCCTTTTCGGTGATTGTTTTTTCTTTGGCAAGGTTTGAGTCTATGTTGGAAATTCCATGAAACTTTACCGAAAGACTGTTTAGTTTTGTGCTGGCATATTTACGAGAGAAATGATAAGGCCTCTCCATTCAACCCTTAAGAGCAGGGATGGCTCCGGAGTGACGACTGAGCTTGTCTCTCACCAGACAGGCTCGGTTTAAGCCAGATAGAGACTCGTTTTTTCTATGTCGGGACCATAACTATCTGAATCATATACTTTGAAGAAGGGTCGTTTAACTTTACACCTTTTGAATATAACAATTCTTTGTGATAACTCTATCATTTCAATCATTTTTTTCAGTGCCGGGGAGGGCTTTGGTAGCGGTATGAGGCGAACCAAAGCTGTTATCACAGAAAAGGGGCTAGTCAGCCTGAACGTACCAACTATCATCAAGAGTAGCTGCAAGATTCATGTGAAGTATTACCCTTTTGACCAGCAGGAATGCAAGCTGAAATTTGGCTCCTGGACATACGATTCTTTTGGAATTGCATTGAAACTTGAGGTATGCTTCAGATTAATTTTAGAAGCCAGGTAACGGCATTTAGCTTTCGAACCTTCCGGTGATTAAGGCATAGGGGATTGCACATAAGCAAAATTATCTATTTACAGCCGGCGAAAGAGAAGAAACAGTGATATTTTTTCTTAGCTGCATATTTTTCTTTACATCCTCAGAACTCTTCAGCAGATCTGAGCGAATACTCACCTAGCGTGGCATGGGATTTACTGGGAGTTCCAGGGGAGTTTCACTCCGTCGTTTATGACTGCTGTGTTGCGCCGTATGATGACGTCACATACAAAGTGCAGATAAAGCGGAGAGCGTTGTATCATGCTATGTATTTGATAATACCCTGCGCAATGATTTCTGTTCTAACTTTGTTGGTGTTCCTGCTACCTCCCGACTGCAACGAGAGAATGACAGTTGGTGAGGCTATACTTTTTGGGGTGCTACTCTATCCTTGAAATTCGTTTGTTTGTCGTGTTTCTCTAATTTCATTCTTTCAGTATCAGTGTTCCTCTTAATCTATAGCCGCAAACGCTAATCACTCGTATTTCAAACTTTACTAGAACAAACTTGACACATTGCTGAATACGGTAACTGAAAATGACAAAATTACAAACACGCGAATGAGCATAAAATAACTTACATCGTATGAGTGAAAGTACTGGAAAACGACAAAGCGAGATAAACAAGGATACTTACAAGACGAATGTGACCAACCCAAAGACGAAAACATGAAACCCAGAGCTAGATATGTAACGGTAATTTTCACAAACTAGACAACTAACCAAATAAATTACGCGCAACCAATATATATACCATATGCAAATAAATATAACAAGTACAAAACTGGTAACTGACAAAGGACACTAATGGAAGACGAGAAAATAAACACCTAACACGAAACTATGAAACACCAACACTAACAAAAAATGATAATACAAATTCTTGCGCCTACATAATCTTTTTTGTTTTTTTTTTATTTCTTCAATTTTCCCTCCTTTCCATCCCATTTCGAACCAAACTCTTTTTTGTTTGAGCTTCCATTTTAGAGCCATTACGGCGTGGGTAGTCAAGCCTACTGCTAACCGTTTTTAATCTAAATAAGATAATTTGCTTTCATCCACTGCGTTGATAATGTTAATTGTCCACCGTAAAGAGTTTCTAAAAAGGAAGTTTCGGGCGTAAGTCCTTCGCTAGCCCTCTGTTCCTCTTTTTTAACATTTTTATACTGACTACTGGCTATATAACATTTTATCAGGCATGGCGATTCTCGTGGGCTTAAGTTTCTTCTTCCTTCTCGTCGCTGAAAACATGCCTGCCACGTCTGAAGCAGTACCTCTGGTGGGAATGTACTACACTGTGACTATGATAGAGGTATCCTGTGCCTTCTTCATGACGTGTTGGGTTCTCCGCTTTCACCATCATAACCCGACGGATGGAGAAGTCCCTAGATGGGTCAAGGTGGGGCTTTCCTGATTGACATGTTTTCATCATTATCATGAATTATCGTCACCCTCATCTATCGTCATCGTTATCGTTGTCGCCGTTTTCATTGTCACTGTCATTGTCACCTTAATGAAATTGTCACTTTCATCGTCATTGTCACTTTCATCGTCATTATCATTCTCATCGTCTTTATAACTGACACTGTCCTTTTCATTGTCATTTTTATGTCACTAAGTCTTTGTCTTTCTCCTATCTTCATCGTCATCGTCGCGATCATGTGTTATCTTTATCATCATTATTATCATCATCAAGACTGTCATGGTACTTGTCGTCAGCATTATCACTGCCATCAGTAATTACAGTATAAACGACGGAAACAATAGACGAAAACAGCAAAAAGAACAGGAATGACAACAAAACAAAGATATCAGGTGGGAATGCAACAATAGTAACTACAAATATCTCGCCTCATTCCTTCTTGTAAGCGGTTTTTTTTATTCGAATACCCAGGTCTATCTGCTTGGTTATGGAGCGAAGCTTTTTCGCTTTAATTTCGAGACCAGCAACCCACGTGGTGACTCCCGTCAGGACGTCGATGTGTCTTCGGCAGAAAGTATTACTGGTCATAAAAGTAATCACATTTCTATTGCAAAATATTTAAGTGAAGAGAGTACTAATCAGTATTTGAGGAAGAGGTGACGCCTTAAGTTTTGTGTGTAAATACATGTTCTCATAACCCATTTACTTTCTTCGTTTAAAGGCGTTGTCTTGTCGAAATAAGCTCTCCTCTTCCTATCCAAAGTGTTTAAAGGTCGTTTAAATGGCTCTAGATTTCTAGAAGACCGAAAGCTTCTGTTTTTTGGGGACATTAGGAAACATGATTATGGAAGACAGATTTACCCCTTGTTAACTCTTTATTTACCCTCAATTGGCCAAAATGGCATTTAATTGAAGGGAATTCATCTCAGTACAAGAAAGTTGACTCATACATTTAATTCCAGCTACTAAAGGCGTAATTTCTCAAAATTCAAGAATTGTTATAGCAAGAGTAACTCTGTCGTTATAATTGCGTCATGGAAAAATTAAGAAGTTTACCTTCTTCTTTTCAGTAAATGATAAAGAAACTCTTGTTGCTAAGGACATAAAAATGAGTAACCACTCAAAGAGCGGCAGCAGTCATGATCACGTGCCAGATGACAAGAAGAGCACCAATAGGATTCTTGCGGATAATATACGCCACCAGATGATTTTGGAAGCGAGGCAGGACGAGTGGAGAAAGGCAGCCCTGGTGCTGAACCATATCTGTATCTGGGTTTTTGTTCTTGCTATTGTTGTGTCGTTCATGGCAATATTTTTACAAGCCCCTCTGTAAAAGTCCTTTTAACCCATATTCTCCCTCTGGTGTCTTCGTGCACTTTTTAAATTGGCGCCGTTAAACCAAAACTAAACAAGTTTGTGTATCCTCCGTTTACCCTTAAAACCGTTGAACTAGCGTAGATAACCTGCCATTTCATTGGCGTTCCTTGACAGAGGGCCTGGAAAAAACAGGTTAGCTGTTAGCTTAGCTTAGCTTAAAAGATCAGCTACTAAGAACAAAAGGAAAATTTCACGGAAACCGATGAGCGCTTTAGGTAAAATCATGCAAAATGCCTGAGATGCGGCAAGCTCGTTCCGATGCGAGTGAATTTAATTCATATATCAAGCCTTGTCCAGGCAGTTCGCTATAAATTTGACGACATATCATATCTTGTTTTATCGATTTGGTCTATCTTCCATCCTCGAGCGACGTTTTCCAGTGATCGAAAATGACATACTAACCGGCTTAGCGGTTTAGCTTAAATGTCAAGTAAAATAAATTTTCGAAAACTGTGACATCAGATGACGGTGCGGTCCCAATCCCCCAAAGCAGTTTCAGTCGAGCGCTGATCGAAAATAATCCAGGATTACATTGGTTTTGTGTTTCTCGGTTTTGTGATTGGTTAAGAAAATTCGCGCCTCTTTTTTTCCACCAATCGTGGTTTGGTCTAAAATATTCGCGCCACCTTCTCGACTTATCGTGCATTGGCGGTGCGTCACTAGTCCGGGCTCTTTGATTGGTCAGAAAAATTTTTCGCAATTTTCTAGACTAATAGTGTTTTTACTGGCTCTGTTTGACTGTTGTTATTCCTTTTGCGATACTAAATTAAAAAAGCGCTCTGAACTCATACGATTAGTTATGAATGTGGATAAAAAAAAATCCTTCTCAAAATAGTGCGGATACGTTGAAAATATTTAAAAGGGGTAAGTTACTAAAGAAACTGCGGTGCTGCGTCGGCGGGAGAATATAACAGGGTAATTTAGTATTAGCACCTGATTTAATAACGTAAATTGGCCACCGTAAAGGGTTTCAAAGCTGTCGTTTCGAGCTTTAGCCCTTTCGTCAGAGCGAAAGAGAAAAGGACTAACGCTCGAAACGTCAGCTTTGAAACTCTTTACGGAAGCCAATTTACGTTATCAACTAAGTTGATTATAATAAACTACCTCATAAAAGAGACCTTGTTAACATTGATTCTATCGACATTGAGACAAGTGTAATAAATTTATTGTTATAAAAATCAAATTACATCAGATCATACCAATCTTTTGTCGTACTTTGTCATTCAATACAATATGTATTGATAAACTTAAATCGTGACCGGAACTGGGCGGAATAAGTTGTAATTTACGCTCAATCACCTACCAATGCAACAATTATCCCTGAATCACACTCATTTGATTCTGAAAAACAGACTCTAATCAGCCTGTCGATGCTTAAGTGATTTCAAGGGTGCAAGTACAAATTTTGTACTGTTTTTTTTTAAGTAGGGCTGACTTATCATAAGTTTGTCGGCACCTACTGGCGGAGGGAGCCATTTTCGTGAAATTTGATACTGCGTTATCCAGAAACAATCTTAGAAATGCATCTAGTATTACTTATCCTTTTACATATACGCTAAAGATGAATCATATCATCATTTCAACCCACAACGACCTTATCTTTCCTGCGCGAGTTGTTATTTTGCTAATGATTTTGTTTTGCAGCGTAAGCTATTGCAATTTAACTTCGGACACCAGGGCGTGGCCAGGGGGGTTTCAGGTTTGTATATACAAAGGGTTAAAATGAATCTTTTATAACCGATATTTGTCTTTAAATGGTCAGTAACTTATTAATAAGGTCCTATTCAACCTGCTGTTTTTTCCTGGATAGAGTCAATCGCCGTTTTGGTCAAACACTGCACGATTACTCGTCACAGATTGAATTCCCATCAGATCACCGGCATCTGAATTTCTGACCGCCTTTTTCTGTGCTATTTCGCCGCTGTCAATCCGTTGCCTGGTTCCCTTGACCACTCCAGAGATCCCTGAGAAGTCTTCGTCCTCCACCATCTTGTGTGCCTCTTTGATCATCTCGCCTCGTTCTATTTGCTGCGTTGTCTGTTTAGCTAGGCCGGAGATGTTAGAAAAATCTTCATCTTCTACCATCTTGTGCGCCCCTTTAATTAGTTCTCCCTTTTCTATCCGCTGGGTTGTTTCCTTGGCGACTCCACGGGCAACGCCGAAGTCTTCAGTGTCGACCATCTTGGGTGCTTCTTTGATGAATCCGCCCGACTCGATTTCTCGCGTCGTTTCCTTAGCACGGCCTTGGATAGCGGAGAAATCTTCATCGGCAATAGTTTTTTTGGTTTCTTTATGAGGTGCGCCTTCCTTCTCGTAGCTGGCTTTCACAGCAAGAGCTACACCACGGGCAGCTTCTAGTTCTTCTCTCTCGTTGTCCATGGTTCGCCTTCTTGGTCCCTGATTTGAAGCCGCTTCCTGAAATTGCTTCATTTGTTCTTTGGCTGATCCGGGTGACACGATGGGTTCTTCTCGCTCGATAACTTTTTGGTCTTGAAATTCACCCTTTTCGTATCGATGTCTGGCAGCAGAAGCCAAGCCAGGACTTAGCGCTTCATCTTCGATCTGTGATTTTTCGTATCTTTTCGAAGCAGCTGCTTTAAGAGCTTCCTTAGTTGCTCGAGCGGCACCAGATTGCGGAAGTTCTTCCTTCCAAGAGTCTTTGAGATTCGACTCGGCGTGGATAACTTTATCCTGTTCAAACATTTGCCTGACACCACGGGCGCTGCCCGGAGCTGGAAGAGCATCCTGTTCGTCTAAGGCTTGATTCCTGTTCGATGAGTCCTCCAAACTTTGCATGTACATAGCAGTCCTTGCTTTGGCCTCTCCTTTCTCCGGTTCAAAGCTCAGACGCCTCTGTGCCTTTTCTTCACCTTCACCATTCTTCTCAAATCGACGTCGCACGGCGGAAGCAGCACCAGCTGAAGGCATTTCTTCGATGATATCCTTCTCACTCACGTGTCTGTCCTCGGCACGGTTGACCTGACCAGACTCGAAATTTGCACGCGTCTTGGATGCGATGCCTGCGGTTGGTAAATGTTCGTCTTCTTCATCTCCTATCTTTCTTTCTGCATTACTCACTTTACCTTTTTCAAAGGCCTCTCTGTTTGAAGAAGCTATTCCACCTTGAATATCTTCGAGATCTTCCATCTCTCTTGGACGCGAATTTGCTCTTGAAGCCTGATGTTCTTGATACCTCTTCATGCTTGCTTTAGTCACGCCTGAAAGTATCTGCAAATCAAATGGAGTCTCTTTTTCTTGCTGTTGCGGCTTAGATTCAAAGATTTCCTTGGCTCGTCTTGCACTACCGGTTTTTGGAAGCTCCTCTTCTGTAATCTTCCCTCTTTGTTCTTGTTCCCTTGAAAAGAAACGAGAAGAAGACAAAGGTGAGCCAAAGCTCTGTCGATACGTTTTTGTTACGGTTTTTATTGGCTGTATCCTCCTAAAATTAAAAGTATTCGGTTTCACGCCAGGTTCTAGTTAAAAATAACACAAACGTTCGCAATGTTGAGTTCTTAACCCTTTAACTCCCGGATCAAAAATGTTATTCTCCTCACCGTCAACCATACAATTCTTATAATGTTAGCTCAGAGAATTTAGTATTGGATCAACTTATTATCCTCAATTTCATACTTTTCTTTATCCTCATCACTTGTCTGCTTGATATTGTATTGATATTTTAAGGAGAAATTCTGTCTTGGTCACTCATGAGAGTTAAAGGGTTAAGGCTTGTAAGGTTCAGTACTTAAGGTCCGTGTCTCGTTTCTTCACAGTTCTGTTCTAATATTAAGGTGGTATTCCGTTAAAAAAAACTTAGCCACTTTGCTTAATGTTAGACAAAATTTTACAAGTAAGCAGTCAACGATTATTCCAATGAGTGACAAAATACACTGATTCAAAGAGAAAAAAAGTAACTCTCTGACCTTCTGCATAACTCTCCATGCGCCCTGACGATTAATGCACGAAATGTCACCATCAGAAAATCTTTATGGTGGCCAGTTTACGTTAAACATTTACATAAAACCAAATTATCCCCTCCCCCCCGACGTTGCAGTACAGTTTATGTAGAAACTTAACCCCTTTTATCTTTTATTAATTTGTCTGGATAGCTGACCGGATTACTAACTGACTGACTGAATGGTTTCGAAATGAAATATGCAAAACCAGTTAAGAACAATTAATTTCACCACCGATCACGTTCCAGAAATATGGAAAAAAAATTGACGATGAAACTAAATGATGAGCTTTTGAACAAAGTAATCATTCTATTGTCGGCCCAAAATGGCAGAAATCTGCGGATCGCTTACCAAAGAGCACCCGCAAAGCCATCATTCTTGGAAAAGTGTTCTCGCAAAATCGAAAAATGGCTGCTTAATGAGACCTTGACCTGAAAATTATCTTACCAGATCTCATAAATTATGAAACCTTATCAGATCCAAAAGTAACATTGTCAATTCAAACACATCACGGAAGTCGTAAAAAATTGCCTCACTGTATGTCTGTCCAACAATTACACTGCAAGGTTCTCCCTACCATCCAAATGTAACAATCACGAAAAATTTACAAATGCATGGAAGCCCTAGGGCGAGGTGTAACTCTTAAATCTGAATTGAAATTAAATTTCTAAGGAATAATATTCAAAATCGTGCCTGAAGATTCTAGGCTTTTCGAAAGTATTTTTGGTTTCAAATGTTTATTCCTTCATCTTTTGAACTAGAATACCAATAATTCTGAAACACGTGCCACGGGTTTCGTTTCAAATGAAAACATTACTAGAAGCACTTATCAAAGGATCTAAATTTTTTTACGTCGTATAATATTGTTTGACAGCAGAATGATCAAATTCACAGCGATAATCTTAAAATTTTCAATCTGGATGCGTAGCATTGGAAATTCAAGTCATACAACGGTTGGTAAGTCCGAGAAACGCTTTGATTTTGTTCTTTATCGACATCTTGCCGTCGAATTTGACTATCGAGCTACCTCAAAACACCAATGGATGAGTTAGTACTCCAGAAGTTCAAAACCTGGTTTGTTTACAGGTTGAAAAAATGAATTAATCAGCGATGGTGAAACATACCTTTAAGCTCTAAATCGAAATTGTCCGGTGGAATGCGATATCTATCGGCTAGAGTCACTGAAATCGACTGAAGGAGCCGCCAAAACACGCTACCAGCAATGAAAATAAAATAATCAGAACCGCCTTGACTTGCGTATCAGCCTGGCAGGGTGGGCAACAAACAATGCTAGATCTACCAATACCATCACAGAACTTTGATTACATTCAATAAAGTTACCGAGGGTCGGCTCTCTGTCAGAGAGCCTCGACTGTCTGTATCTCGCTCATTAAACTTCATTTACAACCAGGTGCCAAAGAAATATTCCAGAAAAGCTCCGTCACAATAGGGTTGAACAGGTGACATAGGACGATTATCAATTATATATATCGCTGTGCATCGTCCACCGTTTAATTTAACACCTCCTGTTTGATCCTTTCGTAATGCTGGTAATTGTCATGTACTCGTTCAAATGACATGTATGCTTTGAATTAATTATTGTTTTTTAGATTTCCATCTTTTTGTAGAGAGATTCTGACTGTGTGAAACTTTCGACGTCTGTGGAAATTCGATCCTGTTTAATATTTCTGAATTCTTAAATAAATGAATGTATATCTTAAAGATCGAGAAAACGGGAATTACAGCATTAAAGAAATATTTTCGATCGAAGTTTTCAACCTCAGGGTTGACAGAAAAATTGTATTTTTTTCCTATTCGGGAGAAAACACCAAATAAAATGATAAATTTCCTGAGACCTAAAATTGTCACTGTTTTTTTTTAATATATGCAAAATCAAATGAGCCCAAACAATGCAAAGATATAGCTACAATTTCAAAAGCCATTCTAGTCAAAACCACCCCCTGGGAACCCCCCACGGATAGTTTTGACCTAGAGTCGCAGAGTGCAGTTTAATCAACATGGGTTCCTTTTCAATGTAGTTTTAAGTGGACTTGAAATTAAGTCTTACGCAAGGAGCGAAATATGAAGGGACTGAGGAAGATTACATGAGCGGGTCCCGCTTGACAATTACTGAGCACCTAAAAAAATTACGCAGAATTGTTACAATTTGATCAGGGCATGGGGCCGTTAAAGAACAGTTTATACGATCTCTACTGGAAGCTTTTGACTTTGCTATGTCAACGCAATGTTAATTTTGCCGCAAAACAAACTTGATTGTTGATCATGAAAACAGAGTGTGACAAGTTTTTCTTTACACACCCTCGACATAAGTTTGTTTTTCAGGAAACGAAGAAGGGGTCTCTTGAGATTTCCCCTAGATTTCCACTTCAAACAAGACAAACAAAGGAAGCTGAGCTAAACGAATTTGGCCCTGCATCAATACAGTATTTTCAAAGAACGGAAAATATTGCTTCAGTTGGGATGGAAATTGAGATCGGCTCTACAATTTTATGTGTGCTTGCCACCGTCAAAGGATTCTTGAATATTGTGCGGTTAGTAAATAAGACAAAGCGGTGAGGCAAATGGGTCATCTACAGATGACAGACGACCTATACCGTAAGGCAATAAACGAGCTTAAAAGCAAGTAATTTCGATATTATCTACGATGTATAATGCCCGAGGCTGGCATTTTAATCAAATTAGTCATGCTTAACGTATATATCACCTTGATCAGATCGAACTGTGTTTACTTAGACTCCATCCGATTACCAAAATAAAATCGGCGTGAAATATAGTATTTCCTTTGCCACGCACGGATTCTCTTTTATGTAGTGTCCCACTTGTAAAATAGAAAGTTCGAGAATTTTTGCCCATCCCCGGCCCTTTGGAAAAATTTATGCTATTCAAAGTGTTTCCTTTTGTGTTACGTCTCTCTGAAAAATTAAGGAGCACTTAAAACCACTGTAATTCCTATCTGAAGTGTATGCCAAAATTACCCCACACTTGTATTTTCATTATTGACATCACTGATCTTACACAAATGTTGATTTTGTCTCAGTCCCAGATAATGCTGTTTTTATTGGGAGAAAACACTCAAACTATACGGGTTTTAACTCAATACGCACAAATCCCCCAAATCAGTATGCTGACTATCCGATTTGGGGCTAATTGGCTCGAGATTAAGGGACTTCAGATGCGGCAATTTTATTGGCTATGAGGAATGTCATCTACTGAAGTGTTAGAAAATATCATGGCGTGACGATTTTCGCTAAAAATTACCATCTGTCATGGTACAAAAGCAGCGAGCTCCATCCAACAGAGGTCATTCATATTTCATTGAAAAACTTCTTGAAATAATTTTGATGAGCAAGTTGTAGTAAGTTGTTCTTTAACCAGGTCAAGTTCTTCATTGCCAGTTAATGTTCAAAGTCCTCTAAGGGACAAAAGTTAGTTTGGTGGTAGAACAAGGCTCGGAATAATTAACTCTAGTTTGTTTGCACAAAAAGACATACTTTTGCATCCAGTAGGGCCATTGTAAATGCTAAGAGATGCATAAATATTCAAGATTGTCGCTGAATTAAGCTTCAGGCTAAAACAGTCCTTTCGCGATTTCGTATCTTTTGGATCGGTTGTTCAAAGGGCAAAGACAATATGCGAAAATATCCACCAGAGCTGAAGTTATCTCTGTGCAAACAAACATTTAGAACAAGGGCATTTTCCCAAACCACAGGCCGTAAAGAATTGCAAACGAAAGCGCTAAACTAAAATTAAAAGTAATAAAAGTTACATTTAAACTTTAAGGCCGCAAAAAGGTCGATCTTTCCGATTAATAAATTTAGGAGAATTTGACTATGCTCTGGTGGAGCACATGATTTACATCACATGAATTTTTAAGATTAACCATTTATATAGCCATCCCGTTCAGAAAAACGCGAAGTTCTATCCAATAGCGATAGGTGACGAAATCGCCTTTACATTTCATTTACAATTTTTAGAACTTACGTTCGTTCGCGTTCGATCTCTTCTTTGTCAACCTCTTCCCAATAACTAGCACTTTTCACTGCTGCAAGTTGTGGATCATCTACTTCTCCGTTTCTGGAATCATCTGTGTGGTTCACCGCGGCGATATTCACATCTCCGTTCACAGGATCCATGCCTTTTAAAGTCGAACAGTTTGCGCGAAGATTTACTGTCTTGTGTTGTCGCGAACGGAGCCAAATGCCAAGAATTTGTTGTCTGACACTGATGCAGTGACTTTGTAAACACACCTAGATATTGAAAAGCGCTGCTGAAATGCTTACTTGAAATGGATTATTGTTGATGTTTCGCATGGGTAATCAGGCCAATGGGAACGCGCCATTCTGTAACGGCATGCACCAAGTACCTCTTTTGGCTTTTTTTGGTCAAGTGTTCGGAAATGCTCCCCACAACGAATTGGCTAAACTTCTGTTAACATAAGCGACATGAGGTCAATTCAGATCAAGATTTACGAGACAATTTACCAATCAAGATTAACCTTTTTTTTGTTAGACTATTGCCTCGATACATACTTAGACACGAGTAGTCTTCGAAACAATTCAAGGAATCTCCGCCTCTTTCAGTCTTTGTCTGTAAATTTGCTCTAAACTTAATCATAGGAATGCATCTGATAAACATATTATCAGGTAAGCGATAATAAGGCAACATCATTTCCTCAACTATGAATGAAATATAATAAACTACGGTTTCGAGGAGAAAAATTTCACTTTTGGCCAGATGGCCGCAAGTATGTCTATTTTTGACCCTTTCTGTTATCATATTTTGTTTCAAACAGAGCCAACGTCTGGATGCAGGGTCAAACGCCTACTATGCCAGCTATGTTAATAACGCCTAGAAATTTCTTGTAAGTTGCATCTTTTCTCTGGCGTGATGGATAACTTATTTTAGTATTCAAGACTTATTTCAACCATATCTCCTTTTCTGGGCATTGTTTAATTTCAAGTTCACTACACCGGATCAACTAGCCAAGAGGCACGAAACAAATACAAAACAATCACATAAAAAACCGTGTACAAACGTTCATCACGCAGACGCTTGAAAATCAACAGCCATTTCGTGACACAGTGATTAAATTCAAATGACAGAGGCTCTTTCAAAGTTGGATTAAGTAACTTAGACATTGAGACCAGCAGGGGTTTGGCCAAACTCAATGTTAAGAGTACTATTGATAGTATTTGCAAAGTCTCCAATACTAAAGTTCTTTCCGATGGAATCTAAAGAAACATTGCCCCTTTCATGCCAGGCAGCAAAGAGTTATCACTGACAACATTAAATCTAACATGCGAAAACTGAGCTGGCTTTTTTGATTAACTTTGTAGCATGTCTTATCAGTAGAGTGCAATTTGCTTCTCTCTAATTATAGTAATAACATTTTAAGTATGAAACAAATTAACAGGTATTCGAAATTTTAGCTCACATACCCGCTTAGTACTGCAGAACCAAGGCGAAATGAGGAAGTCAACAGACTTTCAATGTTTTTTTGCAGTTTTTTTTTTTTAACCATGACCAGTCAATTTATTCCAGTTGTAGTACACGCCGTCCATTTTCGCGAGAGGAATTGAAATTCAAAAAACGTAGAATTGTCAGACCAAAACAACACTTGAAATGATCGCTTCAACTTTGCCAGTGACACAATACAATATGAAACTCCTCCTCAATCACATTTTACAAACAAGTGTTATCAGTATAACAAAGATAACTCTATGAAGGGTATCTAAACAAGTTTCCAGAAGTTATCGCTATCGTTATTAATTCAAACTAAACCAGAAAAAAGGTTAAACAAGGCATGTTAGAGAAGAGGAAAATTACTTCAAGATATTGGTAGAGGTAACTTAACTCATTATTCAAAATTAAAAATACAATCTAACAAAACCAATGATGAAAAATAATGCAACGGAAGTGTGGCGGATCAAACATAAATAACCGAGATACTTACAATGCCCTAATTGGTCGGCAACCTATCGTTTATTGCACTGGGTAACCCATGGGAAATTGAAACATTTCAATTTTACTTTATGAAAGCAAGGGACAGCTCTTTCTATCGGTTTACCGGCGTAATAACCCATTTGGGATGTTGGGAGAACACGAGAAAAGGCTGTTAATCACGAGCCGAAGGCAAGTGAATGACAAACTTTTTCGTGTTCTTCCGACATCCTGCGTGAGTTATTAATGCCGGTGACCCGATTAAAAGTTCAGTCTATTGCTTCAGTAAATTTGCATCATCGATGGTTCAAAAAAGTAAAGTCCCTTTCTGTAAAGGGACTTTTCTTTCTGTAAATGTAAATCTCACAGTATTTGAGGGACAGGAGAAAAAAATGACATGACACGGATCAATAAGGTTGAACAGATTGTATAATTTTGTGATTATTGGTTCTGAAAATCAAACTTGCTGCTATCTTCAAGAAGCTCACCAAAACATGATTTAAAATTCGAGATACCATAACGATTAATTTGGATTATTGTGGGTTTTCCACCGTGTTTACCAAAAATTCATGACACTGTGAACAACGAGAGGTGCTTCGTTTACACAAGTGCAACATGTGTACCATAAATAAACCTAATTACGACTAACAACTTTATTTTTACAAAAAATATTAGTTTTTAAGGAGCAGTCATCATTTAACGATCATTCATCATTTAAAATCCTTTCTTCCCCCCACTCAACAGGTAATAAATAATGACCAGTCCCTTTGAACGTTAAAACATAGTGACCATGTTATTCATAAAACATCTACCTCGAGATAATTACATTAAGTTACATATGGCAAGCTAAGACTACAATTGTTTAATTTAAAAACCATCTAAGTTAAAGCCCCTACTGAATAATACGTGCAAATTTAAAAATATGGGCTGAAGCAAATAATTAATAATGCAAAAAAATTACTTTGTGACTGGAAGGCTTAATTATTCAATGGCATTTAAGCTGCAAAGTGTCAAATTTGAGCTGAGGCTTCCTAGTAATGTACCCAACAATGATTTGACCCTGGATGGGGGCAGGCTACCCATGGGAAAAAGACTTTTTTGTCTGTGCTTTTTAGTTAAACCCACAACATCCTAACATCAGCATGCATATTCTCCTCACTGTTCTCTAAACATTTCCTAAGGTGCTGTTAAGGAGAATTTATAAAACAATAAAGAGCTTCTTTGGTTGATGATCACTTTAGTTATTCTTGTGACCTTAATGTTTGATTCAGGGATGATATTGTAAGGAGAACTTAGATGTTAGTCAGTCTTAGGGGTCAAAAGGTTAAAAGACCAGAACCACGGGAACTGTCCAATCACCTGGTTGATGTCAAAGTGTGCCACGAGTTGTTGTAATCTTGTTCCATTCCCAGCCTTGCATTACCCCCCACTCCCCCCCCAAACTCCCAAGATCTAATTGTTAATTCACCCTCTGTCTGATACACATTTTGTTGTAAATTAGTGACAGGAATTTAGTGTTAGATCAAGAAAACACCTTCTAACTCATGAGCCTGAGCGTTCTCATTACCTGTTAAATGGATAATGTATGGATGTTAGGGGGAGAAGTTTCGTATTCATCACTATTGGGAGTTTAAGGGATACAAAAAGCATGCGCTTATTAAATAAGGTACCTTTGTTCTCTTGGCTGAAACAACACTAAGCCAAATTAATCATGTCAGGTCGATTACATGAAATTGTGTCGAATTACCAAACTAAGGTCTGGTAAAATATTCCTGTTTAGAGTATTACATGTATATCATGACTTTTCAGCTGTCAGCTTAAAAAAAAATCTGTTCACAACCTTTGAATAATTGCCAAAATTTGGGCAAGCAAATATCAAAGTAAGAATTTAATTTAGTACTCCTTGAATGTCTACAGCGTTGTCACCATGGCAAATTCCACCACTGGACAGAACCCACAATTGTTCAAAATAACAAACACCCATGTAATTGTTATGAATGATCTATATCTGAGTCTTGTAATAGAGATGTATCCTTTAATTGATTCACTAAACTTTCCTCTTCTTTGCTATGGAACACTGATCCAACTTGTATACTAGGTGAGATGAGAGGTTCTAGATGCTCTCCATTGACCTATGAGAAAAGGAGCCCACAATAAAAATGCTGCTTACTTATTTCCAACTGCTTAATCCTATTTCTTAGCCAGTTGCAGTTGCAAATTAAGACATATACTGTAATTATCTGATTACCAGTAGGTGTCCAACCTTCAATAAGCACCCACCTTCTAAGTAGGAAAAGCTAATAGACACCTTCCCTTCTCCTCCCTCTCCTTCCCCCTCCTCCCCAAGATTGCTTAATTGAAAAAATATTGTAATTGTATTTCACAACAGCTGGGGTTAAAAACAACTTTTTAGCCATTGGTCTGGACTCTTCCAGAAAATCAGAAAGTGGGAAGTTGAGCTCATTAAAGGTTTGAGGTAGGAGAGATGATACATTGCATGATTGGACCAAACAAGGGCAACAAAGAAGATCACTGAAATTGTTGCGAAGATGATAGTTTGATAGTTATCAGAGTGAAATCAACTCAGGTTCAAGTTTGCATGCAGTTTTAGTAGGTGAAGGTTTGAGTTCACAGTCCTGAGTCAACTGTAAAAATTAATGAAATGCAATGTCCAATTTCATGTTTACTTACCGTGGAATTAAAAAGTGATCTCCTAGCTGGTGAAACATGGATAACCCCATTAGCTGGGCTGTTATGGGGAACAGAATAAATAGGTTGTGGGGAAATCGAGATAGGTGTTGAAAGTCCAAAAGGATTAGCAGAGGTTGATGAAGGGTTGGATCCTTCATGAAAGTTCATTTCCCTTCCTAATGATGACAGCTGCTGTGTGAGTCCTAACAATCCTCCTTCATCCACGCATAGAATGACCCATATAACATCTAAAACATTAAAATTAAAAGTAGAATAAATCAGTGTATTGTAAGGTAATGTCTGCACTCAAGCCGAGAAGCCTGCCTAGTCAGAGCTAATCCTGGTTTCCTTGGCATGAAATGTATGGTAAGGTAACGTCTGTACGCAAGCCGAGTAGCCCACCTAGTTAGAGCTAATCCTGGTTTCCTTGGCAGGAAGTGATTAGGAGTTTCACCACTCTCTCTCTCCACTCTCTCTCTCTCCTCCCCCCATGGATGGCATGCTTGTCTATCCCAAAGATGCCCTCTTGCGTGTTTTATCAGGCTTCCCTGACAATTTGCAGATACCCATTTATACTCCTGCGTGAAGAGAAGCAGTTTGAAAGTAGAGGATTTATATAATTAAACAATTGCCAACTTGAAAATCTCTTGATTTTCAAGCTAATTCTCCTTGTCACTGTTATAGGAAATGTATAGAGAGCTGTGTGGAGAATTTACATGCTGATGTTATGGTGTGAAGGATTAAAAAGCCCCTTTAAAGTAAAAGTCCACATCAATTTTGTCTCATGAAAGTTCACAGCAACAATTCAGAGCTGAATTCACAATGATTAAATTAGGAACTTTGATAAAATTTGCTTGTTACTTGAAAAAAAAAGACCAGAAGAATAAGCTATAATATATGCCACAAACTTGTGTGAAAAAAATTATGCCTTGAGTTTTATGAAGTTGACTCCCATAAAGATTTCAAATAAAAAGTACATTTATCCAGTCTCCACAATTAAACAAGATTATTTTTAAAGAAGGGGGGAGGGGGAGGGGGGAGGGATTGGGAGGTAAGGAAGACTTCAACTTAAAAAAAAAAAACAAAAAAAAAACCCCAAAAAAACCAAAAAACAAAAAAAACAGAGGACATAATACATATTTGCACTTCTGTCACATAAGTTTATGGGACTTGTGACAAGTATTGCACATGGTGAAGTTTGGCAGTATATTTACTTACCCCCAAAATACTGTCCAGATGGTGTACACATCCTCCACTGACCCTGATACATGCCTGTTTTCGCAGGTGATATCATGTTCACACTAAGGTCATAAAATTCGCCAGCACTCAAAGATTTAACAGAAACCAAATTTACAGGACCCAGTTGGTCACCAGATGTGTATTTTAGAAACACTCCATTGGGCCATGCAATAATGCCTGTAAGAAAAACAAGCACTGTGAGCTTCTAAGTTACATTATGCATATGACTCAAACTTGGAAGATGTGATTGTTAATGGTTAGCAAATTAGACATCAGAAATCTGTGTTCATATGTTGGTACCTTTTATTGTAGATAATATTTTAAACTGTTTAAGAATAACATAAAATCTTATTCCCAATACCTGAAAAACAGAACAAAATCATACCCTTTTAAGCTGCCAGTTAAAGGTAACACTGGCTATAAAACACAAACAGTTCTAGATTTTTACCATTATTTTGAATTCTCCATGTTTTCACAAAGGCTGTGTTAGGTGGAACAGACTCTCCCTCTCCAATTGTCACATCTCTAATGAATGCCATACTTGGTAGTTTGTCTTGAGGACTGTTAAAATCATAATAAGCCCCTACTGCTGCCTACAAAAGCAAAAAGAAAATACATTTGAGGTGATTTGAATAGTGATACCACAAAATATCATTCAATGAAACCTCTGCTTGTGGGACAAATCATTCTTAAATTATGAAAGAAATAATCTGCATAATGAAAGTTTTTTGGGCACAACTGGGAATGAAGAGTTTAGCGAGAAAAAAGGTAACAGTTATTTGTTGTTGTGAAACTGGAATTTTGTGCATGATGTAATGTTGTATAGTAGGAGCCATTGTTACTATAATTATCTCTAAGATAACCATGAGACTACTGTTATGAGAGTTCTTTTCCTCATAAATTCTTTTGTCATTTGTCAAGTTTATTCCATTGGTTGTTCAAGATGTAATTAAGTGATTCATGATGACACTGCATTCATTAATTAACCCTTTCACTCCCAGGATATGAAAAACTGTTTGCCATAATGATTAATAACTGGTGCTAAATCAAATAATATCCCCTGGTTAATATTTTACTTTTTTCTCATTACCTAACTGCTTAAAAAATATATCAATAGAGTAAGGAGAAATTCACATTTGGTCACACAATGAGAAAGGGTTTAGTTTTCTCATTCACTGATTACACATGTGCACATTCAAAAGCTTAACCCCTCTACTCCCAAGATCTCATTAGTAATTCTCCTTAATATCTGTGATAAAATTGTTATAATGTTAGTTTGGAGAATTTAGTAATGGATCAACTAGTGATTCCAACTAATATTTTAATTCATTCTCATCACTTGTCTCCTTCATAATGTATATATATATATATATATTTTTTTTTTTTTTTTTACTTTCTTCTTATTGCCTATATATATATATATATATATTGTAAGGAGAAATTCTGTCTTGATAATTAATAGGCAGCTGAAATAAATGAAATCCTAAAATCTACCAGAATAGTTCCTACACAATGGTAAAGTGTAATATCCTTTCAATCTTTGAGTGATCTGAATATTTAATGCAATTTTGATAAAAAGTCAAATAGTGCCGATAGTTGATGAGAATTAGAATATTTAAATTGTGGTCTAACTCCAAATTCTCTAAACCAGCCATTAAAGAAATATGCGAGTATCTGTTAGTGAAACTTTGGGGTTGAAGCTTACAGAAGGCATTAAATAATTCGTTATGTACTGTACATTCATAATATCCAACCTACACCTTAGGTGACCACAAATATGCCGCACGAACATAAAATGCCCGTTGATTACCACAATTCAACACCAGTAAAGGATAACAGGAGTGAATCCCAACCATAACAATTAAAATTTGAAATTGTACAATAACGTTAAATCATATAAGAATGTTCAAAAAGAAAAAGACAAAAACCGCACCGGCGCAAAAGACTCGTTAGAGAAAATTGGAAGGTTTGACCATGAGAAACGAAGGAAATCGAATGTCTTTTGAATGAATACAAGTTACACAATCCAATCTGTAATACAACACTTAAATAAATATACATAATCTTACCTGGAGATTCCTTGAGACAGGCAAACAGTCATGACGGAAAAACAAAGCCATTGATTAGCGTCACAATTTTTCCAGCAGATTAAATTTAAACAAAGTAAATAAACACCCACAGAAGAGAAGGCCTGAAAACGAAAATAAAGCAATTTATATTTACCAGTTTGTCATATCGAGGAAGAAAGCGCACCCCGACGGATTGAGTTGAAAATCCAACAGTCTTTGAAGTTCATGAATTAGAACATCGTGATCCGTGGTCCCTAAACAACTAAATTTTGTTAGAAGATCGCCATCTAATTCGCAGTCTACATCCATCGCAAGTGTTCTAATTACGTTAGAATGTCGTAAAATTCGATTCTAAACAACGCATTTCAAATGTTCTGAACGGCCGAGTCAAAACGAAAGCATGATGACGTCATGCATCACCGCAGAAATCGCTGACCGCTTTGACCCGAAGCCTTCAAAACATAGTTATTAGTTCCAGTCTTCCGCTACCTCTCCTGCAGCGTTGGTAAAACTTTGTTTTGGTCCTCAGACATTATTATCGAAGTTACATCTGTTGTCAGCAATTTTTGTCATGTTAGAGAAAAATGAGACGAGGATTTGAGCAGGAGAATCTATTCACTTTGTCTAAACATGCTACAGAATTTAAAAATAAGGTAAAAAAAAAAAACAACGAACTCTCTTTTTAGGGAACTGTTGGCCAGCTGTGAAGTTGATAGAGGCCATCTTAGTTCGGAATAAAACCTTGAATTGTGCATTACTGTTCTGAAAACTCACAGTGCCACTTATCTCTTTAGGTTAGAGTCTTAATTGAGAATGAGGAAGAGAGAGTTTCATTTTATGAAGCCCTGAAGGGATACCAAGCGTGAGTTTCAAAGAACATTTTACATCGCTGTTGCTTTGATAGAACAGTAAACTAAGCTTACCTACCTTGGAAGAAGGGAAATTGTTCAATGCATGTAAAGCTAGAGCTGTGCCAAAGCAGTATAGAATTCCGTGTAACCCCCTTTCTATTCTAAAACAAAGCATTAGTCTGAAAGGTGGTAATTTTTTCGCCATGCTTACTTTTGTCAAAGAGCTTATTTTGGGTTGTGCGAAGATCTTGCCCTAAAACACGAGAAAAGCGCAGATTTGGAAGAGCGTGGTTATAGCTAGTGATGCAATTTCTGGAACAGCAAAATTAGCAATGTAAAAGTTTTCAGTTGAAATGAGGTACATAAATTATGAGATTTTGGTAAAGGTAATTCAGTACCACAGTTTAGTACACGTATTCAAATGTCAAATATTTTGTTAGGTCAAACTCACCTGCAAAACTTGTTAGTGAACTAAGGTCTGTGATTAATACTCCCAAGAGGTACCCACTCTTCAGAGAAGTGAGGTAAGGTTTTTTTTTTTATCAGTCGGTCTGTCAATCAGTCATTCATGTGGTCATCTTGTTGGTTTGTTTGATTCAGCAACATAGTTAAAAGCCAGTCAATCAGTAAGTTAGTTAAGCAATCACTTCATCACAGACAGTCAGAATCAGCCTGACAGTTAAACAATAGAGAGTCCCTGGTCCCTCAGGTTTGGGTTAGTGGTATTAGAGGCTAATAAAATGACTCCTTTTTCCCCCATAAGCGGTTCAGTGCACAAATTGTTTGGTTAATAATTATTGTCAGTGGAAGCTTGCATTCACTTGTACATGTAATGTAGCTGATATATAGTGTACCAGTAATTATACTTACAGGTATGTCTTAATAATCATTATTTTATGTTTATTATACACTGCAGGCATGTGATTAACCCAGCAGATGCTGCTACTTACCAGAATTTGATTCCAAAGTCACCAAGGTGTATGATTTGAATTAAACAAAATTCTACATGAAATAATTGAATTACATGTGGTTATCCTGTACTCCTGATGTGTGTTCATGTTCATGTTCATGGTTGTTCCTGTAGTTTTTTTTTTTGCAAAATTGTCAGTCTGTAACCAGGCAGCCTCAGAAATTGTTCAAAAAGCAAAAAAAAATCCATAAAAACTGAAAAGTTTTTTGTGCATCAAGGGAGGGGTTTAGTTCAAAAAGTGTTATCAATTAATGTTGCACTTTGTTGAATTCTTGCAAACTTTTAGAACTATACCAAGTTTAGATTGGAAATTTGTGACCATTGTCTCGATCAAAATATTGATCTTAGTACGAGAATAAGTCACCATATGGTTGCTGCTGCAAAAATCTCAGAGTAGTTTAAATATTTATGAGAACATAGACTGTACATATTTTTTTTATCTGATCATAGATATCACAGTTTTTAATTGTAATTTTATTTCAGTGATGGAATACGTCTTATCAAGCTGCAGCACGTTGGAAATAATGCTATTGGACTCAGTGTTCGAGGAGGTAACCATTCACACACTGTACTTGTAATTGACTGAGGACACAAAATGATAACCATAAAAACACTAGTGATTATTACTGACCCAGTACTCCAATATGTCCTTAAATGAAGGGAACTGTATTAATTTTTATGGAGGTTCAGTTGTAAAGAGAGGAACTTTTCTGAGAAGGGGGCATATACATGATTGTACATATACAAGAATACATACTTTTAAAATTGTATAGTTCACCTTTGGGGCTCTCTTCCACCATATAGAAAAAGAAATATTGGATTAAATGTAAGATGTTATTTATATTCTGACTGTCCTGACTATAATGCATTTGTGCACATTTCTGTGTAAGTTTGAGAAACCTTTAACATTTAAATTGGAAACAAATAAAGGCTTTGAAATACAAAAATATTTTATTTCGATTTGCTACCTTCATTGCAGGTGTACAGCCTGTACTTAAATTTTTTTTGTTCAAGGGGAGGAAGAGTGGTGGGCTTTTTGAGATTGGGGGCTTGTTAAGACATGGGCAGTACCTGAAATGTATTTAGTAAAAAATTATGTCATAATTTTTTTCAAATTATTCTGCAGGTAGAGAGCATGGGGTTGGAATCTTTGTGTCCCTTGTTTCACGGGGTTCACAAGCAGACATTGTTGGTTTAAAGGTACTCAGTTTTCATTTACACTCAAATTGCAAGAATCCGTTTCATTTAAACAAACACGATGGATAACCTGTGTTTCAGACCTATAACAGAAACATGGAGTTGCATGTTTCCACCATGTTTCCGTTTACGGATTCTTGCAATTTCGTCCTGTGTTACATGCAGACCTATGGCGTATTTTTATGTGTAGCTGTACATACAATGTGTTTGTATCACATTCCACACTACATCATTCCATGATTATAACATTACAGTTCTGTATCAGCATCAAATGAAACTTGACATGTTTCTTGCTGGTCATATAATTATTTTAGAAAAGGAAATTGTCTCATTCAAGGCTTTAAGTTTGCATAGCTGTATTGTGTTTCCATTTAGAAACTTGGTAGTGTATATACATGTAGCAGTTTTAGTTTCAACTCTGTGACTTCAGGACATAAAATGTTTCCAAACTAATTTGATTAATATTTTGCTTTGTTTCAAGAAAAATATATATATAGAAATGTGACTTGAACTAAAGATAAAACAGAAACCAAGTTAATTTTCAGTGTTAATTTGTACATTATTTGTTGAATTTTTCTTGCAGGCTGGTGATGAGATTTTAAGTATTAATGGATTGTACCTTGGGGAAGCCACACATGGAGAGGTAGTCAACATCTTAAGGTCACACAATAATCTTCTCCTGAAAGTAAGAAGTGAGTATGTAGTGTTGATACCGTGTTTTTCACCCGTAACAAATGAATTTTCCATTACCAAGCACCAGCCCTAGGTTCAAAATTTCTAGTCATCTTTGATCTACTTGCACAAACTTGGCTTTGGATAATACTGATCCTAGAAGTATGCAATCATGTATGACTTCAACCCAGTACATGTGTGCATTCCAGGTTGTCTTGAAACTTTGAGGAGCACTTATTGGTATAGCATCAAACTGTGAAATCCAAAGGTCTGAGGTTTATATCCTAGTGAGGGACCTAGATATCTCCATTATGCTGCACATATGCATACAACTGCATCAAGGGTGATGATTAATAATTCAATTTTCTTCTGCTTAACAGCTACAGGAAAAGTTCCCTGTAAGATGTAAGTTAATAGTGACCCTCCTTTTTGTTTGAATTTTCCTTTCAGTTTATGATAAATTTAAGCCAATTGTTGATAGATTAATGTAGGTTTCGTGTTCTTAAATGTCATTTAAAAATTATTTTAATTTTTCAACAGACATGATATTATTACTTGGGAGACTGCAGAAGGAAAAGAGAATGTTTATTATCATCATGATTTACTGGTTAGCAAATCCAAGCATCATTTTTCTTAAATCTAATATTTTCACATATAAAAAGTCTCATTTTTCATATAAAAAGTCTCATTATTTTGTACATAACTCTGAAGGAAATCTCCATTGGTGGAACAAATTGAACTTTGCATGGTAACCTGGATGGTTACCTTAATTTGAAGTAACAGAGTGTTAAACCACTTTTTATCATCTCTAGGCAAATCTCTTTGAACAAATAGGAGCAACACAAAATTCTGAACTCTAAGAATAATTTTTTGCAATGAGTGCACCAGCGGCTGTTTGTAAACTGTGTGTTATGGTTTTGGTTCAGCCCCCCTTGGTTTCAAAAGTGTGAACATCATGGATGCGCTGCCAAGTTACATTTGCTGAATTTTTTTCAAGATGGGAGCATTCAAAATTAAATTTGTATCACCTTGTGATTTGCCAAAACAAGATGATCATGTGATTATGGAAAGAGGAAAGTAAATTATCCAGGACATTATTTTTGGTTGCCTTGAATAAGTGAAGCAAAATGGCTGAATTTTTTCTAGGATTATCTGATCAAAGAAGGAGATTTCAGAGATGAGCCCAGATTTGTGGCAGGTCCTGATGATAAGCAAGTTACCTTGGTGGTGGGACCCAAGGGGATAGGATGTAGGTAAGGATATATGGACTATACAGAAACAATTTTCACTTTATTATGGCTGTGTGTTTCTTCATGCTTTGCTCCCTTGTTCTGCCTTCAAATGTGCTTAAAAAAATTCCTCTTATGAGGAATTAATGATCAAATTATGATCAAATTAACTGTAAGGGCTAATCAGAACAAGGGAAACTTGGCCTAACAAGAACTCAAAGTGAAAATTAGCAAAAGGTACAGGAAAATTTGAGTCACCAAGTCAAGGATGGTTTTAGTTTGTATCTGATTGGTTAAACCTTCAACTCTTTAGAGTGACTAGCATCTAATTTCTCCTTACAATATCACCCCAGAAGCAAACATTAAGGCCATGAGAATCAAGGAAATGATCACCAACTAAAGAAGCTCTTGATTGTTGAACAAATTCTCCTGGTCAGCACCTTAGGAAATGTATAGAGAACATTCTGGAGAATGTGCAAACTGATTTCAGGATGTAATGGGTTGAGAGAGTAAGGAAGGCTAAACAAAGCAAAGCATTATGAATGTAATCCCTAATACTTTTGACAGTCACTATCCTGAATGTTTTCTACATTTATACAAACATATGCACAAGATTTTTGTTTTGTGGTGATGCTGAGTCAATTTTTTTTCACATGCTTTCAAGTGTTCGAAATGGAATACCAGGCAAAGAAGGGCTGTTCATTATTTCAGTCACATCTGGCTCATTGGCTGACAAGACTGGAGCACGAGTGAGTCACAGCGTGTTTGTCTGAAAGTACACATCAAAAACATTTAAATAAATAGAAATAAAGTAAAATAAGAGAATTCTCCTCAGACCGAAGGGGTACCTCTCTTCATCTTAATTTATTTGCGTGCTGGTAAAATTGATGAAATCATGTCACCATAGCTTTCTCTAATTTGATTCTTTACTGTTGAATGGAGTGTTTGTAGAACATCTTTTAAGCCTAGAAGTTGTAACTTAGATGAAAAACATGTCTAGCGCACTTGGCAGCGGAAGAAGTTACAACTAAACTTGACTGATTTAAAGGCCCAAGTTCTAAACTTCAAAGTGATTTTTTAAGGCGTTAATACGATAATAAATGAATACCAAATGTTTCACCTGTTTAACCTACGACAGTTTATCAACGGTTTTCTGTTTAGAGATTGCACTTTTGTAGTCGTTCATGAGCTCTGTGAACGAGTGATGTTAAAATTTTTACTTTTCTTCCGTGAGACAAAGAGGGAGTTTGCTAAGCGTTTCTTTTGGATCCGGATCCCCGCCTTTAACCCCCGCCCCTAAGCCTCTTCCCCCACGGATCTCAAACAAGTTTTCTTCACTTAGATAACGAGGGAGTATACTAATCGCTTCTTTTTGGATCGGATATGCCTTTAACCCCCGCCCCTAACCCTCCTTCCCCATGGATAAAAAACAGTGTGCGTTACAAAGCGGCGTCCACTTTGTCAGATTTCAGCCAGCACCGAATGTTTCCCCGTTTCTCCTATTCTCCTGCAACCGCACGTTACTATTCCGTATTTACAAGGCTGTTTCCATTTTTCACAGATCGGAGACCAGATAGTTGCAGTGAATGGCAAGAATATTATGAAGTTGAGGTATTCAGAGGTAAGCAATTTGTGTAATCATTACCCTCTGTAGTCTAGTGGCACAGCATGGGAGTGCGACATTGGCTGAGATTGTTCGGAACACAGCCACTACCACTTTTGTAGTAGAAGGTCGAAGGCCGCTGGATCTTACTCTCCAAGAGTTACCACCTTAGGGCCAGTGTTGAATCAGGATCTTGAACATGCTTTCATTCCGTGAACTGTCTATAAAATGGAAAAATATATTTAAAACACTAGCTGTAGGTGATCCGCCTTTATTTGTTATTTGATGAATTGTTTTGCAGGCGGTCTACTTACTGAAGTCTTTTAAGGAATTACAGCTTGTTCTCCGACATAGCAAGGTACGTAATTCGCGCGGATAAACTAGGCATTTAAGCCAAGGATAGCCAAATCTGGAGACATGCGTGCCTATAGTTTTTCAAGCCGCCATCGAGGTGTAAAAATTTGCATTGGCAAACGTTGCGTTTACAAGAGGTCAGTAGGTTACTTATTGTCCTCCTGTGATTAGAGTTGGGAACTGGGCACATTAAAACGTCGCGACATGAATGGTTTAGTGAAGGTTAAGGTTTCACGATCCACGAGTTAGAGGTGCTGCTCCTTCTCGTTAGATGCCATTCCTTTGAGCTAACTTTTCCCCGTCATGTTGTCAGATGTCTCTGTCGGTTTATTAGCACCCATTTCTGCTCTGGGGTGACAAAGTAGGGAGCTTCCTACCACTTCCTTCTCATAGTGCCTCTGTGAGGTATAATGTGAGTAAAGGGTATTGCCCGAGAACACCATACAACTACCCCGGCCTAAAATTACACCTTAACGTTAGATTCAGAGTACTGCGGCTGAGTCACTAGGCCAGAGAACTTTCCTTGCCTGATAGCTCCGCCTTGCTCAAACAGGAGGCCGAAAAGTTTATAATGGATGAAATTGCCAAACAGCAGCAAGACACTCTTCCAGAATTTGCTATCAAAACGCAGATCCTTACTCGAAAAGCAGAGGAAAAAGAGAGACTGGAGAAAGCTAAAGAACAAATGCACTTTAATCAACTACTGCGTGCAAAGGAAATAGATGAAGAGGGAAAAGAAAAAGGCAATAACTCTTTGGAGGAAAAACAGGGTATGCCATCCATTGAAGTTTAGATCACTTTGAATGTTCTTTATCCCCTCAGTGAAGAAGGGAAGGAGGGTAGGGGCTTGTTTTTGGCCTAAATAATGACATTGGTATTGATTTTAAGATAGTCTTCTTCGCTACAGAATTCGTTTGCGAAGTCGCTTTTATGGAACGTGACTGAGGTTCCCTACACACGGACGATTTGGAAAACACACTACCCTTCAAGAGACTACCTATAAATAGCTATAGTGAAATTGACATTTCTCGAAGCCTAGATCAGGTGTGCGACATCATTTCCTTTCACTACAGTCTAACTGTAGTCATTCACCTATTCTCGTATGGAACAACAAAACCTTCTTTCGCACTTGCGTTCATCAATATATGTCCGAACCTTTAAGCTACCACCATTAAGAGGTTTGTCCTATTCAATGTCAAGGTTTTAAAAGTCTTTTCTATAAATTTGAAAATGTTCCGATTCGCTTCCTAGATAACGAAACAGATAAATCGAAGCAGGGAAGCCCCAGCCCTTCTCAACCTTCCCGCAAATCCGTAGAAGTTGACATGACGCCAAACACTAAGAAAAGAGCTGCATTCTCAGAAACGTAAGTATGGAACTGTTTCATGTACCGCCATCATTTTTACTTTAAAGTGTAATTTGCGTGTAGTGTTGATGCTTATCCGAATCTTTTCTTCTCTTTCCCAGCGTACAAGTAGTAGTCACAGAACCTAGTAAAAGCTACCAGGAAGAAACTGTAGTTGCTGATGTACATCCACCTCCCAGCCCTCCGGTCCCTCTCAGCCCACCCATTTTGCATCCCAGTAACACACAGGTATGAGATGTGTTTCTTTGGTGTCCATGTTCAATATTTTAAGCTGGGTTTCACCAACAACGGAGTCGGAACGTGATTCGTAGTCAGAAGCTTATGGAGATATAATTTGTTGAAAAGCAAACAAACGGAATTGAAAGTATATTGATGTCGCTGGTGATGTCGTCGCTTATGATCTGGGGTTTTTTCGTTATGAGAGCGTCTACCGCATCTGGTTCTGACTCCGACAATTAAGTTTTCACCAACACAAGCGACAGAGTCATAAATAGAATTGTAAGGCAATGAAAACCTTCCAGTTTTTCGATGTTGTCGAGCTGAAGACTCCACTTACTACTTCAGTTTTCCTTTTTCAGTAAGTCATAATCGCTCTAAGGACTCCAACGTCGAGTACGTGAAAACTTTCTCCTACTTAACACCTCTCTCCCACCCGGCCCTAAATCGCTGACGAAGCCGCAGCGTGGAGTGCAGAACGCACCATTTGCCATTATCGAAATAAGGGAGGGGTTGGTCCAACCGTTCCCTCTGTTTTGTAGTTAATTGTAGATTGAGTCGAGTTGAGTGAGAATTTGGCGTGTTATATGTTTTGTGAACCAGTATCTCACTGCGGATGAGTTGCAATCTGATTCCCAGCTCGAGATAAGTTTTAACATCTATACGAGTCATTCTTTGAATTGACCTTATAGCACAGATCTGGGTTTTGGAAAAGAATACTGCAACTGGCAGATCTAAATGATTGTTTTTAATGCTGTGATTTTATGCTTTCACTAGTTTGAAGATGATGTGTTGGAGGGAAGAGAAGCACACTTTCTGTCGATTGAAAAGGTAAGCCATTATATTAATTGGTTGTTAGGGAGAAAGTTAATGCGTGTACATGGCTTTGTTTCTTCTTACAATATTTTTTAAACTTAAGTCTCAACAGAGATCCTGACTTATTGCTCGAAAGTTGCACTTTGTGTATTGGGTCTTCCAAAACAAATGATATTTGAGTAATGGTTAGCGCTCCTCCTTTCTTGCGGAACTCCTTCTTCCCGCCTGCTACGAGCTCCTCCTCACTCGTGGGACTCGTCCATTGCGATTGCGTTGCGCGCGTGCGAAAAAAGAGATATCGAGAGTGGGGTTACAGTGATTTACTGATGCAACTACACGTTTATGGAGGCAGTCGGGTTCCAAATGATGATACACCTCCATTTCTTTTTTTTCTTCTTTTTGGTATGGACTTTTCAGGTGTCTGAATTGGGTCTAGAGCTAGAGGAGCGTGATGGTGGAATATTCGTTACAGAAGTTCAGGAACATGGTTGCGTGGCAGTGCATGGTAGGTTTGGTTTATTTACAATATACCATGATTTTGCCTCCTATGGTTGGGATGATGAGATGCGAGGCATCTTTTTGTGTCTTTAGAAAAGCTTGTGGTATCACTAAGGTGACGGGAAAAAATGTAGCGACCATGATATAACACTAGAGGTTCACTCGTCGCAAACGCGGGATAAGGGGATTATACGATGAGAGGCCACCCATGATCTTCCCAGTTCCCCTCAGATGGTTAACCACCGAGTTGACAAGAGGCTGGTGTTGAGCTAAACCATAAAAAATTGAAATGGTCATGTGTGTAGGTTTGACATGCACACTGCCAGAATTAACCTCTTCGAAAGCAGCATACATGTACAGCACTACAATTATGCTCGATCGTCGGACAAAGGTTACTGGAAATCCAGGTGTTTTATGAACTGAATTTGAGAGGGGCAACTTATAGTTTCAAGATTTTCAACTCTTCCCAACATCACAATATTTTTTGTTGTTGTTGTTGTTGTTTTTTTTTCTTTTCTCCAAATCACTCATAATCCTTTAAGGACTGCTTATTAGTGCTTTGGTTGGAATAGTCTGATGAAAACAGAAACAACATTTAAACCAACTGTACTTCATATTCATTTGTCTACCTCTTTTCAACCTCAGGTGGAGTATGCGCGGGAGATCAATTGCTAAATGTGGAAGGCACAAGTCTTTTGGGTGTCACTGTGCAGGAAGCGCTCGAGGAACTGAACAAGGCTATGAACAGGAATTCGGTGAGTTTTTTCTAATAGTTGGTGGTGACTTAACCTCCTACAGCTGCTGCTACATGAAAGTAGGTACAGATATTGAAAATTGTAATAAGCTTGAATAATTTGATTGATTGTTCTCACCAGGAAAATATCGACCTCGTGGTGGCCATATCTTTGAAGAGAGGAAACCGGCGGCCAGTCCTCAGAATTGGTAGCGTGGTTAGAAAACGAGATCCAGTCACAGGAGCAGAAGTGTAAGTAGTTTTGATTAAAATGCTAATTCCTAAGCCAGAACTTGTTTATTCAATACGTACTACTAAAGAATGCGAAAACATGTTTTATGCATCAAGCTCGAGCTGGTTTTTCGTGTGGAAAGGAGACCGCAGAACCATCAACTCCACCCTGCATTATGGTCTCAGGGTTGAAAGCAAATGCTCACACCACAGATTTATCCCCATTCTGTTTATGTAGCATTATCTGTTGTGAAGGGATGAGAAGGGGTGGATAGGGAAGAGGTGTGAATGTTATTTCTAGATTAGTCGTAAACATATGACGTCTCCAAGTAAACAAATTTCGTAGAACCATGTGAACATTTTTTGTTGTCATAGAAAAATAATTTTGCTCTTCCTTGTCAATGATTTCTTATTCTTTTCAAGTGCATTTGTTTTTTTGTTTTTGTTTTTGTTTTGTTACTTACTCATCTCTGAATTCTTTTCTGAATCAGTTAAAAAAATTCAATTTTTGAGTCATGGCTTTATCGTAAATTTATTTCACTTAAAATGTCCTTGAATTTTTCTTTTCGTGAGTGACGCTATTGAGTCACGTTACTTGCTTGATGCGATGCGTCTGCGTAATCGCCCACTGAAACTATTGCGATCCATTTAGTAAAACCCCTAAGTCTCAAAAAAGTATTTTTGTTTCGATTTCTTTTAGATACGACACGTGGCTTTGATTAACTCATAACTGAATGGAAGGAAAGCTAAATGAAGACTTCTAGACTAATTTTTAAAATTTAAATTATCTTTTTGTAGCGAATTATGTTGCAGGACTTTAACACACCCAAATCCACTCGTAATATTACAAATGACTGAACCTTTAAAAGAAAAAACTGCATTCTTGTCAAGGTTTCATCAAGATTTTATTCGTCCTATAGCGAACGCAATTGACACGAGTTACTTTTCACAAAGTTAGAACAAATAAAACAGTCACATTGTTCAAATGCAAACACGAAAAGGAACCCAATGTCGTAGACATATTTTAGATTCATAAATTTGTCCATATTTATCATTGTGCTTTAATAGTTTGCACACTAGTATATTTATTACAGACAGGGTCTGCAGGCAATGGCAGAATTTTGTTTTCAATGTTACAAATTACATGTCAGTGTTTCCATGGTTCAGAGAGCACCTTGACCGAGTCACTCCTAAGAGTGACCAGCATCTAATTTCTCCTTACAATATCACTCCTGAATCACACATAAAGGTGATGAGAATAAAAGAAATGATCACAATCCGAGGTAGCTCTTGATTGTTAAACCAATTCTCCTTGTCAGCACCTTGGAAAATCTACAGGGAACAGTAGGGAGAATATACATACTGATGTTAGGGGTATTGGGTTCAAATCAAAACATGTAAGAATTGTTTCTCACAGAGAATAGAGTATGGAGGGAAAAACAAAATAACGGTAATGAATATTACCTGTTATAACTTCGAGTAAATTTTGAAGTCTAATTTCAATACCTTTTATCTATGGATAACTTTACTTCATAATTACATCTGTTGCTTTGTTGATCGTTTTTTTGAAAAAACTTATGAAACTAAACCTGGTTTCCTTTTGTTAAGAAAGTGGTAACATTATTGTTTTTAACATGAGTGGTATCCCTCTCAAAATTATTTATTAGAAACCTCCATCGTTTTTAAGGAGTAATCACCTCCGTTCAAAGGGAAGTGAAAAATTGCGCTGAAAAAGGTGTTTTTGTTTTTGGTTACTTAAGACACTGCTGCTTCAAACACATCTAGCGAATACTTATGGCTTAGTTTTCAAATCGTGTATCCACGGCAAATACAGCAATAAGAGTTATGACAACAGAGGCAAGAAACAAGCAGATAAAGAATCTGTTGAGCACATTGGCCGCCAGGACCCACTGATCTTGTAGTTCATCTTTCTTGTCTTGCTCTTTCACACTGTCAGCCAGGATTTTGACCGCGCGGGACTCGGCAGCAGGGAGCTCAGGCTTCTTTTCATGTAAGGCTGTTTAGAGAATAGAACGGTAAGAAAACCAATATTAGTTATTCTATCTCTGGGATACGTAATGTTCTCAATTTCCCATGTTGGATACGATTGTCCTATTCCTTCTTGTTTATCCAATTTTTCTCCCATATCCTACCATCCAATTCCCTTCTTTTCTTACTCCCTATGGGTCTTCCATTACCTTAATTTCTTTTACTTTTTATTCTCAGTTTTTTTTTCATCTCTTCCTTTAAATTGTCTCAATTTCCCATGTAGTATGCTGTTGTCTTTTTTGTACCAAGTACAGATATTCTAGTACTTCATTTATATTTCCTGTCTATCGTTCTCTTACATTTCTGCCCTCCCATTCCCTTCTATTCCTTCTTTTTCTGAGTCTTCATTCTTTTCGTTTCTTTCACTTTTTGTTTCAGTTTTTTTCTCCCTTCCTTTAATTTCGCCCAAAGATAACTGTGCTTATGTGTAATCCCTTGCCTAATTACATTTTTGTTAAAAAAAGTTAGAAATAAATTTTAAGCCTCTCATAGGCTTATCTTAACAGAGCTGGCTGTTCTTAGTTCTTTGGACAGTTACTCTTACTTGTCATCATGAAAATTTCAGCTGTCTAATGGCTGCCGAAAGTTCTGGTCTGCCACAAGAAACTTAAATCCTTCAATTCCCATGAGTGACTAAGACAGAATTTCTCCTTAAAATTATCATTAAAATATAAGGCAGACAAGTGATAACAATGAAGATAAAGATAAAGGGGATAATTAGTTTATGCAGTACTAAATTCTCCGAACTAACATCATAAGAATAGTATGGCAAACAGTAAGGAGAATTACTGACATCTTTGGGAGTGACAGGGTTAAATTTTGAAAAAACGTTCTATGATCTTACGTTTTCTCCATTTATTTACTGTTGTTCGCACTGCCTTCTCGCTTTCTTCACTCCCTCGGGATGCTCGCGAATCCTTCTGGTCTTTTTGTGGTTTAATGTGTGGTGTCTGCTCTTTCTCAGCTTTTACTTGTTCGGTTTTGTAGAATACGATTCGCGCCAGGTATCCTAAAATATATTTCTGAAAAAAAAAAAAAAACAAACAAAATAAAAGACAACAAAACAAAAGAAAAATAAATTTATTTCAATGCATTTCGTGTTATTTTTGTCCTCAATGATGACCTGAAAGGATATCTCGTGCAGTTACTTATCGTAAACTTCGAAGTCGTTGGTTAACTCCAAAAGGTAGCAAGAGCGTAAACATACGTTGAACTTGAGAATAACAAGACAATTGGTTACTCTAAGTCCTGCTCACCTTTATCCAGCTTGGCAATGCGTGGGCCTGGTGATGAACAAACCGCAACACATAACACATGGCAACAAGGGCCAGCGACACTTCGATAATTGTGCAGCAGTAGTATTTACCAATCAATGGAAGGTTCTCCGAAACTGGCAACTTCTCCTCCACCATTAAGAAAAATACTGCCAGCGAGAGAAGTATTGTAACTCCTACTGCCATCCGCTCGCCGGTGTCTGAAAATCAGTTTACCAAGACAGAACATTAGATATGAATGAGATTGATGACTGATTCGCTCATATAAGCGAGGAAGCTGATATAAGAGAATGCATACAGTCAATGGTTGATGACAAGTGACGATATCTAACTGGACTGAATGATTGACTGACAGTCAGAGAAACAGCCAGCATTAATTAAATGATTTAGGAAGTAGACCGCAACAGTTTCATGTCTAAGTATTTAATCGATGCATGGACTGAGAAACCATCTGACGAACCAATCAATACATTACCTGATTGGTTGGTTATTCAAAGACAACCATTGACAAAAACAGACGCACAGAGAGAGACAGACAGTCTGGCTAATGGAGTTGCTGACCAACTGAATGACAGCGAGACTAAGTGACTGACTGACTGATCAGTTGAATGACAGACACTACTGACTGACTGGGTGACTCACTGATCAACTGACTGACTTACTGACTGACTCAATGACAGATAGACTGACCCATTAACTGACTTTCTGGCCGACGACTGTCTGGCTGACTGTCTCACTCAATCCTTCATTCGCTGGCTTATCGTCTGACTGACTGACTAGCTAATACATCAATTGACTCCCTGACTTCATTGCTAGGAGCACACAATTGGCAGGTACTCTAACATCAGTTGAAAGGAAGTGAGTACAAGTTACTGACCTTCAGGCATTAGAAACACGAGGAGTGTCAACACTGAAATAAGCGCGCAAGGCACGATGAAATTTATGACATAAAACGGAGATAGCCGTCTGATGTGTAAAACATACGAAACTCCTGACACCATGGCCTTGCAGCATAAGTGTGACATAAGGCTTCGTTCTGAGCGAGCGCCGATCAGTTGCCATTCTCCATTGGGAAGGTAATGCTGTGTGAATATGATGTCACTACCCGGGTAAATGTTGAGCTTAGTGATGTCATAGTTCCAAGATCCGAATGTCAATTTACACAACTACGAAAAAAGAAACACGTCAGTTTTGAAACCTGTACAACTCTGTTGTGTAATTAAAAAAGGACGAAACAGCTCCGCTAAATCCAATATTAGTTTGAAATAAGTGATGCCCTCATGGTAATTTATTATTGTACTCGAGAATGGGATAAATGAAAGATGCCATCACGTCACCTACCTGTTCGTCCAACGGAAAATTTAGCACATTTATTTGGCAAGAGCTCATTGTTACCATGGGAACGACCCACGTGACATTACCATCATACGTCACCGTAGCTTTGAAGGAACTTGTCTCCGAGTCGTTAAAGTCAGCACTAGAGAAAACAGGATTATTTATGTTAAAGATGCTATCTGTAGGCAAATTGACTACCTAATAACCCTCGCACATTCGTACTGAAAGCCAGAGTTTATGCAACGGTTGTAAGACGGAGTATGAATTCTGTCCTATGGAATTACTTGTAGGGTCAATAGAGCTGTTTTTTCATAGGGTTTTGTAGCTTGATCCTCAAATTCCCTATGTCAGACCAACATATGTTATACCATTTTCCGCTTTCATGTGCAGACCCTGGCCTCTAAAATCTCTGGAAAATTCAACTCAAATTTTCTGTTTTTGGTTACTTTTCGTTCTCTGTTATTACTTGAAGTTAAAAAGGCAAATACATTTATTACGCTCTCTCGGTTCCTTTGGAAACCAAACAAAATTTAAGGCCATAATGACCTTCAAACTATTACCTTTGAGGCGACACATCGTCATAACTTATACCTTATATGAGGGAGTACCCTTTCCCTACCCCAACGAAGCTTGATCTCAAAGTTTCTTAGCTCAAAATTGCAAATGCTTTAAGGTGCACTAATGAGCGATCAAACAACGCTTACTTTATTTCTATTCTTGAAACTGCTGCAAGCAATATTTTTGTCTTTCAATTTTTTTAGCATTTATTTTTGAAAGTTGATTTTAATACTCGGCAGCCAACCCTGGGGATTTTCAACGTGTTTTATGACATTCTGCCTTTTTTAACGATAGGGGATATTCAGTAAAATGTGTTAGTTACGATACTTATTTTAGAAGAAATAGCGTTTTGTGTTGTGAACAGTTTATTACCTTTGATCAGTGGAAGTTTTCACAGTTGATAGCCCTTTTTCATCGTTGATGATATTTGGAGGGAATGTGGTTATGAAAATTGTCAAGTTTCAGTTGCTATGATCAACGATTAAACACTTGAAGGAAACTTTAACACTAGCCTCTTTCCGATTCATGAGTTAATTGTCGCCTACATCATTTTAATGATGCACAAATCCTCAATCAGAAGAGTAGAATGGAGGAGTGTTTCACGCCTATAAGATGGCGTGATCGCTAAGGAAGCCTCCTTGATTTGTTCGGTGCTTGTTTAAAGAAACATGCGAAATTAATTTAAACATAAGTCGATAAATAAAGAACACAGTGTACAGCCAAAAGCTTAAGCTGCTCATGATTGAGTGCTCTTCAGGTAATTGGCGATTGATTGATCATGGGGATTCACTATGTTCAAGCCTCCGTTTAGGTCATAACTTCATCAGTCTAATTTCGACCAGTTTTAAAGCAAATAAAATGGAATCATACCATACATCCTATAAGGAACGGTATGCCGTCTATTTTTTTACCCTTCGTAGGCTATGATCAATAATTAAACACTTGAAGGAAACTTTAACACTAGCCTCTTTCCGATTCATGAGTTAATTGTCGCCTACATTATTTTAATGGTGCACTAATCCTCAGTCGGAAGAGTAGAGTGAAGGAGTGTTTCACGCCTATAAGATGGCTCTCCCCAAAACACGTGCTTGTTTTTACGTTAGTGTTAGACGGCGTGATCGCTAAGGAAGCCTCCTTGATTTGTTCGGTGTTTGTTTAAAGAAACACGCGAAATTAATTTAAAACATAAATCGATAAATAAAGAACACAGTGTACAGCCAAAAGCTTAAGCTGCTAACGATTAAGTGCTCTTCAGGTAATTGGCGATTGATTGATCATGGGGATTCAAGCCTCCGTTTAGGTCATAACTTCATCAGTCTGATTTCGACCAGTTTTAAAGCAAATAAAATGGGATCATACCATACGTCTTATAAGGAACGGTATGCCGTCTATTTTTTTACCCTTCGTGGAGTTCTAAACTTTCTATGTAGGGCCGTTTTAAAACGATAACGATCGTACTCGAGCTAAGCCGTGTATAACTGTCGCTTAGTACTTCGTTTTCAACGTGACTGAGATTCTCGGACACGTGGAGGTTGTATAAAAGCAATAAGCAATTTTTTCTGGTTCACGTGTAACTTTGTTTTGACACGGGTCCTGACTTCCGTATACATATTGTGGCGATAATCAACTTGAGTTATTACAACTCGTGCGAGTTTTAATCTCTTTAGAACAAAAACTTCCCCTTTTTAGGCAGTTTTAGAGGAATTCTCAACGAAAGCAAACAAAGAGCTATCGAACCGAGTGCGTTTTCATGTCCAAATTTCAGTTAATGACACTTAATTTCTAAAACTGTTTTGGAGAAAAAAACAACGTGACTCATTTACTTCTTGCATGTCAGCCTATTTACGAACGCCTTATTCTAATTTTCGATTGAAACAAGGACAACATTTTAGAATTCATTTACCTTTTTTTTTCAGTTGTTTACCATACACCTGCTTTGAAAGAAGTTAGAATTGCGTTGTTAATGGAAAACGTGACTTGAACAATAAAACTTTTAGATTTTAAAAGGAATTCAATTAGTTATTTGTCTAATTTTTGAAAAAATTGTATTTTCTCGTATGTTGCCTTTTAAAAGATTTAGATCGTCCATTTGAAGTGCACTGAAAGGTTCTCTTTAACCGTTACGCGAAATTTAAGCAAACTCATCGTTCAACATCATGGTCGTCTCTCCATGGTTGCTTCTCCAATACGCTGAATGTTTTGCCGGCGGATTTTTAGTTTCGTTTTGCTTTTGTTATCCGCGATCGCCAAAGAATCGCGAAGAATTAGAAAAGGAAGGAGGTTTCGTATTTAATTCTGATGAAGAGTCCGTGATCATAGACGAATTTCCAACTACGACAACAGAGGTGCCTGAAACGAAAAGGATGTCCTTGGAGGGTAACCCGAGCGTGAGTGAAAAAGAAGAAGACGACGAAAAAGCAAACTGCATCGAGTCTGAAAATTTAAGTTGTGTGTGCCAGCCAACGATGAAGGAGGAAAAGAGCAAAGCAAAGGAGCAATTAACTGACTAGAAAAACGGCCAGAATCTTGTTCAAAACATACGTTTCGAACACTTCAGTTTGATTAATAATGAAGAGGATGTCACGATGTGAAACAATTTCTTTTTACTCAGTAAAAGTGCCTCTTGCGTATGTCAATTTACAGAATTGTGAAAATCGGATTTTTCATGTTTGTAAATGTAAAAATCAAGTTCAGTGTATTTCGCTAAGTAAGCTTCGAAATAAATGTTAGACGATGAAGGCTCTTGGTGGTATACTTGTAGGAGAGCTTCGATAGATTTAATTTCAATTGTTCCTGAAGACAGAAGCACCCATCTCGAACCTTTGAGCGAAATTTTTATCATTATCTCACACAAATTTTACTCACTTGTTGTACAATATTATATGGGGTGTCCATATTTCATTTCCATCTAAGTTCACTTGCTTTATGTCGCCATAATCTGAAGTATTCCATGTTAAGTTCTGATCTTTCCATTGCTAAAATGAAAGGATACAATTTATATTTAATGTCAGAAATCAATATGCTGTATAACTCAAGCGCAAAACTCCAATTTTTCCCTTCTCAAAATAGACTCTAACTATTTGGAAAGTGTTAAAAATGGACGTGAAAATTTTACATTACTTGGAAAAACACGGCCGTCTTATATGCAGAATAGGTGGCTCAATTAAAAGATCTATTTCAATCATGACATTGCAACATTAACCTTCAGCCTTCAGGATATAGTTAACACCTATTTTTTTTTTTAATCCCTTATACTATGTTTTTCAAACATATCACGGTCAAATGTAAACACTTTTTTCGATGGTTAAATTGACAATTATAACATAGCGCGCATGCTTGCCCTATATAAGTCCTATTGAGCCGCTCTGAACAAAATCTTTATTTACGCTCGCCCGTGCGTAAGTAGGATGACGTGGGCATTTTTTTTACGTAACTTCAGAGTTTCCGTCCTGTTAAGCTGCAGTGCAGTTTTCTTCTCTTTGAAATATGGAGGAAACCAGCGAAGAACTGCCCAGTTTTTCTATCGGCACTGACCTTTTAGGTCCTGATCCAACAAGCAACAAAAATAAAGCCGAAAAAAACTCGCAAGTTGCACGTCTCGCAAATTTGTCGGAAGCGTAAACATTATTTTGAACAATCAAAACCCTTGATAAATTCGGGTCTTTGACTTTTAAAACATTTTTTAGTGACACTTGAGTTCATTTGGCTTTGATTTTCTCCATTTTCCCCGTAAATTTTGAGCTTTTCATTCACAGTTATCGGTTAACTGGATCAAATGTTCTTGCTCAAACCAAAGTATAAAATGTGGCGTGTTTCTGACTAGCCAATAGGGAAGTTTGTTTATTATTTTTTTTTTGTGCGTTGTGAGAATTTTCAACAAAAGGCTTCTTTGTGCAGATCCTTGTGGTCGCTCTGTTATAAAAGAATTTGCTCATGCTTTTAGCTGTGCGTATATCGAGTTATGGATGCACTTGGGAGTTTGGAGAGCACTCAAAGAGCTAGAATTGCTCTCGGCTGCGCCTCGAGCTACTCTTACGCATTTTTCGTGTTCTCCAAACTTTCCGCGTGCATCCATAACTCGATATACTCACGCTACGTATGAACAAATTCTTAATTATTCAGTGAAGGGGAGGTGAATAATGGTGGATTTTTTACCGAGCCACAAAGCGACGAAGTAAATATCCACCACTTTCACTGACATTGAGGTTCTAGTAAGTACCACACTGATACCAAAAAATGAGCTGATTTCTCTTAACATATCGAAAAATGGACGAAAATTTAACCATTGACGCGCGATTTGTTTCATTGGCTGCTCGAAGGTGAATAGTGCTTGGTATTCACTTCCGAACTAGCCAACCAGCGCTCGCGAAAAGCACTTTACACCTTTTTGGTGTTTTCGAGATAGTTTGTATTTTTCCAAGCTCTGTAGGGGCGTGGAAAAATATGAGCAATTATCAAAACGTACGCTCGTATTATGGGATAAACCATCGAATAAGGGATTTGTTTTCCCGGGATTATTTCATATTTTATTATTTCTGGGGGTGTGTTGGGGGGGGTGTTGTAACGAAGTATAAATCCTTTCAAATTTAGTTCTTTATATTTTCTCAAAAGTGGTGACGTGAATGTTATGTGTTAACTAATTTTTCCTGGTCTGTAGCTAGCTAGGCCTTGCCGCCAATCTTACCATTTTTATCCGTACATCTAAGTCAATTTTATGATGTTTTTCATCCTGAAATACAAGAAATATTCACGGTAAGGAACTGTCGTGTTGAATTTCTGAGCAGATCTTGAACATGATAAATATGGAAATTAATCACAAAATGTAAATTCACTGTCAAGAGGGCTGTTGTAGTCATGAGGGAAATTATCGACTAAGAGCTTCTTTACACGGCGATTCCAACTTTCTTACTGATTTAGGTTGAATCATAGCAGTCAATGTTTGAAAACGTTTACATGGAGAAAATATGGTTGCCACCAATAGTGTACGTCTGTTTTCTACATATAAACACACATACAACCCAAAATTCTTCCATTCACTCTGACGAGGGGCTAACGCTCGACGCGTCAGCTTTTAAATTCTTTACGGTGGGCAATTTACACAGATCAACTCAGTTAATAATACCAAATTATTTCATCATACTCCCCCACCGACGCAGCAACACAGTCTCTCTAGAAACTTACCCTCTTTCTACATGGAAAAGTTAGTCAAATTGATTCAACCCTCTTTTCCGGGTAACCCTTGTCGACATTTGGGTTCACCCGGCGAGAAGATTTGAAGTTTCATTGCGTTTTTCATGTGAACACTGACAAAAAAGCCAATCTGGGCTGGAAATTTCACTCGTGCTAACTGACCTTTGTTTTGATTTGTCGAGATCGCTTCGGTTTTCGTTTTGTGACACTCGATTTCAAACTGCTCTGAGAACTTTCTCTTTACTAGGAACACTTACAACTTTAACAATCCGGTAAAGAATCAAACTGTGTCGAATTTTTAGGGTGTGGTTGTCATGGAGAACTGGTCGGAACCTCATGCTGTAACGAGTAGTATTCAGAAGATAGTTTGTTAGGTTTCCCTCTTGAGAACAGCAACATAGCACTCCTATGAAAACATAAAATACCAAAAGAAAATCAGCGATAAAAGGAAAAGCAATTAATACAATAAACTTACTCGCAGAAAATGTTTTCGTCCTGGGCAGAAGTAACAACGAACTTGTTACAAGGCCTGTGAATGAATCGATTACTCTAAATTTTCGCGTTTGTCTTTATAAAACACCAAAATCTTAGATATAGATGACAGACATCTACTGAAATGTTTGGGACACTTGTATAGAGTGGAGATGTCTCAACCAATTTCTATTGACAGACAAATTCACGGATAGTTTTTTTTTCCATTCTTAGCTCTTGCCTCCCAGCTGCCAAGTCAGCTAAGATACACGGGTAAACTACGGTTTACGCAAAAAAAGCTCCCTGTAATAAAGAAATGCAGGGGGATTCATGTTTGATAACAATTGTGATGCTAATCGTATTCAGTATTAAATATTATTTTCATCATTCGTCGTCACCTTCATGATCATTCTTAGTATTATCTTTGTTATCATTTTGATTTTGGTATGAAATTGATAGAAGCCATTGAAATGAAAAGAAGGAAATTGAATGTGATCGCTTCTGAACGTCGCAGAGTGTGTAGAGGAAATGTAATTTTAGTGCGTATTAAGTTATTTGGATGGATATGAAATATATTTACAAAGTTTTATTTTTTGTTATTATTATTATTGATCATTATTATTTATAAAGTTGTTTTTGATTTTATCTTTATTACTTAATATGATGATGATGATTATTATCATTATTATTATTCTTATTAGAAAGGTGGTGAAGAGCGAAAGGTTTTGTCGAAGATTGTTGCATGTGAAAAGGAGTGAGAGGTTTGTGAGGAAATTTACCGATCACATCCTGTATTCATTAGAACGCTTTGCAATCAAACTACTATTATTTTTTAAACTACCATTTGCTTTTCATTTTTCGTTCAATTATTTGTCAATTTCTTCATGAGGTAGATGTGATGTGACTTCAATAGCCTCTAGTGAAAAAAGCAAACAAACAATATGGCCACTTCATGGCGTCATCAAAGCCTTTTTGCCGAGTTATTCTGATATATTTACATAGTTACGAATTGTGGTACGTAAAATCGAAATTCATTCGAACAAGTTCACCTCTGATATAGGGATGTTGTAATATTTGGTGTAGGTAAGAATTTTCTTCTGTTTAACAACATACAAAATGCAAAAGCTTTATTGAAATCAATCTTCCGGGCGCAGACACTCAAAAATTTTTTTCCCGAAGGGAAGTCGTGCTGAAGGTAGATTCGAAGTTTTAACCATTGTCTTTGTTTTTTCCCGACGGTATTCATCAGTTACAAGTGTTTTAGTGCTAAGAATATTTTGAAAAATGCTGACTTGGAAGGGTGCAAAATATTACGAAAACAAAAAGCAAAAACAAAACAAACAACAAATACCTTCCGTGAGGAACACGAGGCAAGCTATAAATAATCTGTAGAGGATCTGCATTTTTCTTTTGAGACTTCCTCCAGTAACCCAAGTCGTAAATGAACCATATTTTCACTGCTGTTGAAGAAAAGTTGTTGAACCGGAGAAAAATATTTCATTTACGCTGCATACTAATTCACCGACGAAATTATATACAAGAAAGAAATTACAGGTGGCAGGCCTGCTGCCAGAATATCAAACTGACAATCGGAAAAATACGAGCAATTATCGATCATTTTAAGTCGGCCTAAACCGAACATCGTCATCGTTGATGACTACCTGAAGTTTCAATTCTCGTTAAGGTCTTTTACAGGTGGCAAGCACCCGCTGTTTTAGTACCCAAACGTTTCAGGACTGACAACGGTAAAAAAAGAGTCTAGAAACTGATATTTATCTTCCTCGAAAACAAACTTCGTCGTCGTAGAAAGCGAAGTTTGAATTTCCTACCACGAGGGTCCATTTTTAAACTTTCTACACGTTTGGATTGAAAGAGAGAGGTTTAATAACAAAATGTAGCTCCCAGAAAGGACGGAAGTGTATGTACTCTTCGGGTTTTCCAGTATTAATAGGGAATGATTAAGACTATATTTATTTACTAGTCCTCACTGATTTTTAGGTGTTCTTAAAATAGTCTTTGCGAAAAATATCGTTATATGGTCGAGGAAGCAGTACTGCGATTTTCAGGGAGATCGCGAAGGTTCTTAATTTGTATCTCGCTTCTTCGTTCGTTTCAGAATAACACGGAAAAAGTGTTTGAATTTATAATTGCTTCGAATGAATGCGTAGTTTACCATGATTACCTCACTAAGGAATAATAAAGAAAATAACTTACTGGTAGGTGGAAACAAAGCTTTAAGTGCAAGTGCTAGGTCAGTGTAGTTACTTGTTAATCGAGACTAAGCTCGTTTTGTTAGATGAGCATAGCTTCCTTGAATTGAAGAAACTCAAAGTTTCAAATTCACGAAATTTCTAAATCGAATAAATTGGTACCCAGGTTCAATCACCGCAAAGATTCCATTCCAATTAACATGCTCCGCTTTGAATTTTTTCCATATATAGTCCCTGCTTTTCAAGCTTGGTAAGTCTTGAAGCGAAGCACGCACTAGTATGGGATGTAAAACCGCGTTCGTGTAAAATATTTATTCTTTGCACTCTTTACGGTGGTACATGTACAAATCAAGCCTTGCCCGTGGAAAGAAGAACTTAGTACAAATTCGTTGTCTCTGTAAACATCTTTATACAAACCCGGGTTGATAAATGTCATTCGTAATCTTTAACTACACGACTAAGCGGGTACGAGACCTTCCATGATTTTGTTCGGGCATGTTTAATTTTGTGACAACAATTACTAATTTTGCGTGCATGTATCGAAGGAAACTGTATATTTGCTGTTTTAGTTGTTGTTGTTGTTCTTTTTGTTGTTATTGAGCGATTGTTCTCCGAAAATTCTCACGATATTTCGCACGAAACCTCGTCTTGTTGATGTCGGTGATTGTTTTGTCTTTACTTAATTTAGTGGACGTCCTGTCTACCAAAAGAATCTATGTAAAATTTGTTTGAAGAATTTCCATTTGTGAAAGCAGCTATATATATGACAATTTAATAGGGCTACCATCAGAACCCACATAAGTTTTTCCCGTTTCCATTTTTTAGCGAACCGTTATTTATCTCAAGTCAATATTCCGCCATTTCAATAGCATGTTTACGGGACAAAAAGAAGTTAGTGCTGCAACAGAAAATATCGCAGATATTTGTTTAGAGGAACTGATTGCCGCTTGAATATAAGAGTTATTTTGATTACTAAGTTTTTCAATATCGCAGAAAAATTTAGCTTCTCTTCTAAAGATAGAGCAACGCAAAAATTGATTTGGCGTGATTTAACGTGAAATAAAGTGCTTTCAGCTTTAATCCAATATCATGTAGTTTGGGATACATCTAGAAGTCCTATACCGGACTGTGGGAAAAGAAAGCTAACGAACCTCTTCAGAATTTGTTTATAACTCTACGAAAATTTTCGCGATCTTTCGTAATCTTTCTCCGTGTTATAGATATCGGTGATTGTTGTCTTTTAAATCTTTATTTACTCAATTTAGTGCACGTCCTGACTACAATAAGAAGCTGTTAAACATTTACCGAAAACATTTCTCTTGGGTGAAGCAACCACATCTGTTTTAGCAGGACTTCTTCAAGGTCCCGCAAACTCTTCACTTGCCTCTTCTTAATTAGCAAAGTATCATTTATCTCGATTATTTCGCTATTGCAATCGCATGTTAGAAAAAGAGAACAGAGACAGAGACAAAACACAACTTAAACAAAACATCAAGTTAGTTCCGCTACCAAAAAATCATAGATATTTGTTTAGGGGAAATTACCGCTTGATTATACGTGAAGTATTTTAATTAGTAAGTGGATACAGACACAAAAAAAGAGGACAAAGACAAAAATACAGACGCAGAATACAGATACAGACGGCGTAAAAAAAAAAATCGTTTCTATGTAGAACACCGACTTGTGATTCAGTTTGATCACGCCCTGTGAGGAGAAAAAAAAACGCCTGGCACTTTAGTTCTTCCCTTCAAAAGATTCGTTCATGATAGTTCAGTATTACTGATAAGAAATAAAAAGAAACTTTGTAAATGAGGGAAATAAATTTACAATCAATGGATATGCAGTTTTTGCGTTTAGTAAACAAGACACCTGTAATTAAATCAAAATAAGAAAATCTCAGAGTTTTTAGAAGGTTTTACTAAAATTCTACAAAAAAACATCCTGCGAGAACCGATGTAAGAATCTGCTTATCAATTGTTGAGAGTATAGAATTGTTTGCTCAATTGAAACCAATATCATGAAGCCTAAAGTATTGCTGAATATCATCTGTAGATAAAGTCTCAGACCTCTCTTTTTTCCTAAAAAGGATTTTCTGGAAGACGAGGTCATAAGTCAAATAATTTCGGACCTATGTCACATCAATGAGATTTTTATGCCAATAAAATAATCAAAATGAGTTTCAACTGTGTCATTAAGCTAGTAATGACAACTAGGAACATTTTTCTCTGAATAACCTCTCGGTTTGATACTCACACAGTTGTAAGATGTAGAATAAATAACACGCTGTGGAAATTTTGAGTGTTGCACTATGTGCGTGTTTTGATTTGCGTCTCAGAGCTTGGTGTGGTGCAATATTTTATCTGTCTCGCAACGGGAGACATTTGTATTCTAGAATTAGCCTTCCTCGTCCTTTTCTTGGCTGTGGATTTATCCAGTAACATTGTCACAACAAACTTTAGCCCTTCAGTTTCCATATCGCCATTATTAATGCCATATTCTTGCAGGTAGTAAACAGTTTCTAAACGAAGAAATGATCTTAGTAACGAATGCTTAGCAACCTTGAGTGTTTACCCCAAATCATTTTGTAGCCAAGTACACACTTGAACTTTCAAAAGATCCGAAGGATCTGAACAAACTGAGATAATCTCTAATATTGTTAGTTTCGAAGAGAGCTTAGATCCGTTGAAGATCCCAGTTGTAAAAATTGGTTTGGATCAATTTTATTAATTTCTTTCCATAAGCAACTGACAAAACCTAAAAATTTAAAGGAAACAACTAATAAAGATCATCAACTCATAAAAGCTTATTTCCAAGCTAATAATCTTGAAGTGCGGCTAAAGATAAACTATTTGCATTTAAAAATAACTGGCGCCAAAACTCGGTCCTTTATTTTCGTGTTGACGAATCATTGTTAACAAAACGGAAAATTATCTCAAGAAGCCTAAAAAAAGTTTTTGTCTAATATTAGTTGCCACAACACCTACGCGTCGGAAAAAACGAATTTAATTACCTTTCTCCGAGTGCTATATAAGCTCCTGAGCTAAGACACTCTAGAATTACTTTCTCTTAAGGTTATTATTGAAAAATCATGGCGTGCACTCGATTTTTGCGATCTGTTTGGATTTTCGGATTCTGTTTAGGTAAGTTTAATTATGAGGTTCTGCGCAACCAAGTGGGTAATTTAGATATCGTTTTTATAGGCAATTTAGTGATCAATCATTTGATTAGCGACGAAGAGTTAAATATTCGTTCTTTTCGGTTAAGAACTGTAACGACTGCGACGAGACCCACGCATCAGGTATATTCTATTTTCTCCGCCCATGTGGGACGGCCTTATTGCCACACACCTTTTTTGCCGATTAGTGAGTGAAAGACTGAGAAGTGATTGAAACGGAACTTTTTTGAGTTTGAGTCACTTTTCATCGATTACTGTTCGTGAAGGATATTATTCCAAGAGTTTTCGACGAGAAGAGAAAACCAAAATAGCACTGAAGAAATAGATACCGATTTGAAGTAAATACAACTTACTAATAGTAAATAGCTGAAAAGCTTCCGAAAAGATTCTGATCCGACCACTGAAGTCGCTTAAATAAGAGAGTTAGTTGCAACCACACTCTCCGTCAAAACAATTGAAAGGCTGTGCGTCGTTGGCACCAATCTTTTCGCGCAAACCGTGTGGTTATGGCTCAACCTCCTTTACTTCCGATCAGATTTGCTTTTGTCGCTATGAAATACCCATTTTATGTCGTGATGCCTTGCAAGTTAAAGAAAATGTGTTGCAAATGTTATACTTTACGCTGAAAGCATTATTTCGTCTAGACATATAAAATTTCGCAATTGTAGCTTAACGCAGGAATGATGTTATGTCCAGTTTCATGGAGTTTCTAGATCTTTTACGCTGGTTTAAACATGATCACCGAAATACCAAATTTTTATATCGAGCGAGGTAAAAACAGAATTTATGCCTACTTATTGGCAGCAAATCTCTGATCACTTTCGTAACGAAAAAAAGTTAAAACAGTCGATATAAAACTAGTTAAAGCCATTTTTTGCTTGTGTAAATAACTATTGAAGACCTCAAAAATCGGTAAAGGCTTGGCCCTTTTATAAAATAAAAGCAGGAATCGGAACTCAATTTTTTAACAATAAAAAAATAAAACTTTAATCTAATTTATCTAGGCCGGTATAATTAACGACGTTTTAGCCAACTTTTTCCTGAAACATTCCGCGCGACCAATACTCAAAAATGCATGCGAGCGCGTCTCTAGAAGGTCATTATCAAATTTTTTCGATTCCTGTTTTCAATATCGCTACTGATAGTCCCTGTAGCTTCCGTTTGGTTATACTGGGCTTCGTTGCTCAATAGGCACGCACTTTGGCACGAGTTTGAGCAACAGATACTTATCATAAACATTGGCGATTTTTTGACAAAGCTGGAGCGACATGATTTGATTCCTCGTGGAGATTTTTTTGGCAAAACACTAATTAACCTCCGACGGCTGTCAGATAATTGAAATGTGAGCAATATGGAAAGAAATTTCAGAAAAAAGGAAATAAACTTATGGCAGCAATATAAGTAATTAGTGAAGCTTAGTTAACACTCCCAAGTCGATAAATGATCTCAACAGTAACATCAACAGTAACATTTTGCTCAAAATTTTCGGAGAAATTAATACCCTTCCTAATCCTCAATTGAGAGGAAAATGAAGAGGGTTTGAAAACGAGCCAAGGACGATAAAACATATCGCAAACATCTCTAACTTCTATGTAAGAAACAATCGCAGAATGATTTACTCTTCACACGTAATTAATGCTGTATTAATGAACTCGCAGTTCAAAACTGAACTTACAATGTAAAGCTTCTATTGGTCTAGTTAGCTGTACTGTTTACGACATAGCCGACCGATGTTTTGTATCTTTTGACAGCTTTAATTTTAATGGTATGTTTGGCTGACGAGCTTAACAAGGAAGACGATGAAAAGACTATAACAGACGATGACGTATCAGCTAAAATGCTCTCCAAGTCTGGAAAAATCATGATTGTTCGAGATAACGATGACGACGATGATGATGACGACGATGATGACGATGATGATGACGATGACGATGACGATGATGATGATGATGACGATGACGATGACGATGACGACGATTTTAGGGACGATAATGAAGAGATGCTATCATTTGAAGTAGACGAGTTGAAGGAAAAAGATGTCGATGGAAATGATGTTGATACGGTGGACAAGCATTCTGTGGATTCGTTTGACGACGTGGACTTTAAGTTTACTAAAGTAGACACTCAGGCGAAATATGATGGGGTCCCTGTTACAAACGTGAACCTATCAGCGACCCTACCTCCTTCTTCTTCTCTGGAGATCATGGTTTATCTGTTTCGTCAGGCGGGGAAGGTTACATTTGGGAATGAAACCTTCAGGGTGGAAAAAGGAACAGTCAAGTTTAATATTAAGGTAAGTGTTGTACCAACGCGAGGTGACATCGGCATGGTCGACACGTGTTAAGTCCTTGCTAATTAAGCACTCTATAATTCGACATTGAAACCTAGGTCATTTTAAGGGGTAAGTAGGCAACATCAGAAAAATGTGGTACGTTTTTAACCATCCCTATCAAAGGTCTCTTCACGCTACAGAAACCAGAGTGACTCAATTAAAGCTGAGAGTATAAGAGGCGCAAATATTAGAGATCTTTTTTTGCGCTACTTTGAGCGGAACAACTGAAATTCTCTTTCCATTCGCCTGCATTCGTCTATGATATTAAACACTAGATCTCTTCATCTGAAAACGATTGTAATCTTACTCAGTTAACAACCATGTCCTTCACAGATCAGCAACTGGGATTTCTGTGACGGGTCGTTTGTTGACTGCAGTGAAGGCAAAGTTGGAGAATTTCTTGACCTAAAACTTAAAATCAAGAGTAAGGATTCTCCAGCAGAAATAAGCGACGATGACAGAAAAGCCGCCGCCAAGAGACCCATCTGTAAAGACGAGGACAGTGATGACGACGGCCCCGATGATCCGAACGATGACGATGACGATGACGATGACGATGATTGTCCGAACATTTATGACATCGGTGGAGACTCTGAAATGCTGCTTAACAAAGGGGTTAGTTTATTGGTCATTACATCCTGTCCAACGTTGCATCAGGCAGTGAGATCATTCTGATTTTGTTTAATCGATGAAAATTTATTTCCATATACAGCGCAGTTTTTTTTTCAATAAATACCTCACATCTATCTATCCGATACCCATCTGCCTTCATCCTATTTCGTGTTCGTGAAATTTTTCGTCACATAGCTAAATCTTTAAGTTACAATTTCTTAAAACAGTGTTACTAATATTGACTTAACTCTAAAAGTGGCAGTAGCAATTAAGGCGAGTTCACAACGAGACAAACTTTTTGCTTCCGAATTGGCGTTTGTTGTTTTCTACATTTCCTCTTTCTGCACCCACATTTTTGTCCCTCCTTCGCTTGTTTTTATTACAGAATCTTTATAAATGATGTACATTCTTCTTTTGCTAGGTGGTTACCGATGATGATAAATACACTGCCTTCCCCCAAGGATATCCTAAATTTGAGATCGAGGATGGAGAGAAGAAGTTCGTCTTCCGAATCCCTAAGTTCAAGAAGAGTGTCTTGGTTGATCCAAGTGTAAACGTAGGCCGAGTCAATGGCGCTACTTCTTTGGCACATGCTAATATTGGGCTGGCCCTTTTGCTATTTGTCGCCGCTTTTTTCCTCACTAATCTTGTCTAAGAGCTTTTTGTTAATGGGTAAAATTCCTTATTATGTGTCCGCTAGTAATTCTTATTCATTGAACATGGAAAAATTGTTATTGGTTAAAAAAAGGTACTATCAATTGCCCCTTTTATTTTTGGCTCAAATTTTGTCTTCCTTTGCTGCAAATTTATTAATTAACTGTCTTACCATACATTATCATACCCAAAAACAAAGGAAAATTAAATTATGAACCACAAGGATAGAGTGGAACCACAAATCTTGCATAAGAGCTTGCGTGTAATCAAGTTTAAGATCCCTTTCGTCATAAATACCACTTTGTTACTACTGCGTGAGCTTCTAATTTTTGTTTAAAGATTACTGACGTAACTTAAGGATTATTCAAAATTGCTTTTCAAATGATTAGGCTGGAGTTGCATTGTTCTACATTTACAGATGAATTTCTGATGTAGAGTATTCAACGGTATTTCTTAAGTTATTTGGTCACTGTGGTGGCAACGCCCAATCCATCCCTTGATGGAACGGTTTAATTCCCTTTATTATTGAAGTCTACGAGTTCAGAAATCGTTTGGAAAAGGCATTTGCTTTCTCTCGTGTAATTTGCTTTTGGCTTTACACGAAAAAAATACACGACATGAGTCTATTGAAAGGATTAGGTAGGAAAATCGTGACTGTTGTAAAGAAAAACAGGGGCTATCAGGCGACGACGCACTCAGGTCGGAAGCAGTTTGCTGAGATTCAAAATGAAAAATCTCCTTCAAACGGAAAACTAATTTTGTCTACTGACGCTGTATCTCTTGCTGAGTGCTGCCAAGAATTTTCAAAATGAAATGCTAAAGATCTGGGTTTTTTCTGTAATAAATGTTATGAATCTTATTATAACTCTAAAATTTAACATAATCTGCTGAACTGACTCATGTTAGATCAGTTTACGATGTAACGCACATTGTAAGGAAATTATGTAGCTTAGTGCTTGACACAGAATTAAGAATAAAATAGAAACCTTGCTTCGCGTAAGCCTTTAAGTTCATTTGCTGCCAGGGTTGCTCGAAAGCAATCTGGAATTTACACTGGTTTTGCTACGCTTTGCTTTGTGGAAAACTTGCGCCGCTCTGGTAACTAATCAAATGGCAAGTCAAAACCAAAAGCGACTTTGTTACTTACGTTTTCCCGCGCCGTTAGGACTGCACTCGTTTTGATTTTACGACACCCAACCGACGTTCTGCGTTTGTTAGACTGTGACTGACTACGTCAGATATTTACATTTCAATACAGTGCTATTTACAGGAGAGAAGGGCAGGCTCTATTACTTGACTGACTTCCTGGGGTGATTAACTTGTAACTTCTCCGAATGATATTCATACATTGTCCAAACAGGTGACGGGAATAGTCAAAGTTATCGGATAGAAGTTGTTATCTGATCTTACACCAACTTCTCGTGACTAATTTACAAGGAAATGTCTGGCAGCTAGAAGGGAGAATCAATTGTCAGATCGGCTTCGGAGTGTTAGGGTTAAGGAATTGTGGCTTTATTCAGGCCAAATTGCCACAAATTTTGTATGGAGTTTAAAAGGAAAGTAATGAAACTTTCATGTACAATAACATTTGATGCTCAAGCTTAAGGAAATGATACATATACAGCAACTCAGGAGGGAAACATCGTGTTTTGCGGTTTAACAATGACGTTATCAGTCACAGCTCAGTCTTTTTATCCGTCAAATTCGTTTAGCTTGCTCTGATCTAAAATCAGTCGTGCAGTGTGTGTCACAGTGTTGTGTTGCGTCAAGTTCAATTTTTTTTAATAAAACTCCCTTTATAATTACAGCGAAACAAAATAATTTTGATTTGTGGTTTCTTGATCAAAAGACCTTTGCAAATTAATCTTTGACCCTTATATTAGTCTCAGGCGATCAACCAAAACGCCCATTGTGTAGCTTATCAGATAGGCAGCCAAAATATTTCAGTTGTATCGGTGATTCGTCAACGTTTTTATTTTGCCAATGATGCGATTTCTAGACTCCGGAGCTCCTAAATTTCTTTCAGTCACAGACTTTTATTTGAGGGTATGGAAGGAGCAGGCTTATTTAAAGCTTAAAGTTCAAGCTGGAGGGCTCTATAAAGATGGGTGTTGACTTAAGGTTTTCGCTTAACTTTCTTCCTCGATCAATTATTTCTTGGAATGGAAAAATTGAATTAAAAAAATTACTTCATAAGCAGACATATCACTTACAGACTGCCTTGTAAACTTGTAAAGGCTCCTATGAACTTCAACATGCATACTAATGGTCATTTTAGAAATTTTTGAATCAAACTATTGTTTCAGTGCACTATGAGGTAAACACCTTGAAGGCATGAGGTGAATTGTTCATTGTTTCCCTCTAAAAATAGCTCTCTTAGTTTCCACACTTGACGAATTCACTCTGACACCTCCGTCGCTTGATAAACAATCGCCTGACCTTCAAAGATAATTTGGACAAAAATATGATACACAGAGCAGACGGACTTTACGAAGTTCGAAAAGTAAGTCTCGACAACTTCAGAAAGTATGCCATAAGTCACATATAAAGCTTCTTACACAAATCATGTTTGTGCGCTGCCGGAACACGTGCCTTGAAAATAGCCTCCAGGTACAACACGTGTAAGAACGGGTAGTGGCAAGTCGACGCTGAGATTGCATTTTGGAGGGGTCAGAATGATAAACCCTAAAATGGAAGTCCATTTAAGTTTAAAAAAACTAGTGATATTACTAATAATCGTCGAGTTACAGGATAAATTTTTTACTCTGGAAAGTAAATTTCCTCTAACCTTCTAATACATAATTTATGACAATGTGGGGTATTGCGGGGGAGGAGGAAAATGAAAAGTTTCATATTTCGTAATGCAACTCACCAACTCTCTTTAAAAAACGTGTTTATTTTTACTCTTTCCAATAAAGTTTCTGGACATGGCAAGAATATGCCCATCATAGCAACAAAGCTGTAAGCGCGCGCATAAGTTAAAGCAAATATTCTAAATTACTTCTAGTTCATGTCATTCTATTTACATTTGTTTAAGTCTTTACGATTCTAAACTCTTGCAAAATTAGGGTCAGAAAATATTATTCTTATTTACAGTGTCTGTGAAAATATAAGTTTTTCAGATAGTTAACGTAAATACACCGCTGTAGAGCATCACAAAAAAGCTCATTATTCAATTTCCAAGAGCGGAAATATATTTAAAATCACTTTTATTTACAAATATTTTAAGACTCATCGAAAAGCTAGTATGGCGAATCATTGTCGCAAATTTTAAGAGATTCTAGCATATATCTGTGACAGTCAAAATGTCCCTTCTCCCAAGCGATTAGGAGAGGAGTTCTACCTTCTTTGTCAACCTTGTTAACATTTGCTCCTCGCTGAACAAGTAGTTTAACACAGTCTAAACTCCCCTTCGCCGCGGCTTTGTGAAGGGCAGTTTCGCCAGAGGAACTTGGTTTATTAATGTGCAAGGGCTTTCTATCCAAGAGATCTTTCAGCTCAGTAACAGAGTTCTGCCCCGCGGCATGAAGAATCAATGCGTATGTCGAAAATGTGACACGTCTGCAAATTTGACATGGTGTCGATTCCTTGCTCTGACCGCTTAGCTGTTCCGTCGTCCGAAGACAAGATTTCACTGGTTTTAATTCAACTCTTTTCTTTTGTCGCGGAGAAACACTGTGTTCAACTTTGATGGTCCTTCGAAGAGTTTCGTTGGTTTTGTTTCCTGTTTCTTCAAGGTTACGATGTGCCAAGTTGAAGTGCTTTAGTCGTTGCAGCCAGTCGTTGCGGAACAAAATACTTTCTGAACACGTCCTGCGGAGGCCTGTCGCTTCATGGTTAGCTTTATCTGTCTTCCAAAGAGATGCTACACTCTCTTTGAATCTCATAATTCTAAGCTTGTTGTCGTCGATAAATTGAGACTTGTGTTCGCTCAGCTTTTTCATCGTACTTGGGTAACCCACTGTTCTGTTCTGTTTTTTAGTCAGACGCCCACAAACTAGCGGCCCACGTTTTGTCGCCAGCGTTTTATGGTTTTTGCATTCGATAAGTTCCTTTGTTCCTTCTGCGAACTATGCTTTGTTTAAAGGGCTAGCTATTCATCTTTTGTTATGAAAATCATTCTTTATTGTCTTTGTGCATGTTTAACGCACATTCTTTTCAGTACCACCACCTTAGTAAGACATTTTTGACGTCTTTATTGTGCGAGCTCATCCATGCGAGCCATATCAGTCATATGTGACCAATTTGGAACAGAATATATCGCAGCAAATTCTCGAGCGCGACGACGTAAACATGCTGACGTAGGCAAGGACCTTTGTGCTGATATACAGTCGTTGGCCCACGAAGAAGAAGCCTCGGGAAGAGGCGTTTCAAGGCAAGTTCACGTTCAGCACAGGGTGGATGACAAATGCGGGTGACCGCCTTTTCTCTCCCACGATCTTAACCCCTTAGGCTCCTTAGAGTGACTAGCATCTAATTTCTTCTTACAATATCACCCCTGAAACAAACATGAAAGTCACGAGAATAGAGAAGATGATCATCTATTAAAGCAGCTCTTGATTGTTAAACAAATTCTCCTTATCAGCCTTTTTGGAAATGTATGGAGAACAGTATGGAGAATTTGCATTCTGATGTTAGGCTGTAAAGGGTTTAAGTTGATTCTCAACTGGACACCAAACGTCTGTTAGTCAGCCGTTCATAAGAATTTTAGGTTATGCTTAGAAAATGTTCACAATGTAATGATTTCGACAATTTTTCTTTACCTGTGTACTTGACTCTGTAGTAAAATTATGTGGAGAATGCAGAATCAAGTAGTCACTCTGTGGGGTCCAAATAAATTTGGTTTTCCTGGATACAGAAATGGTTCATTACTGTGTTATGAATTCATTGTTCTGTAACGTCCTACGCACAAAGAGTGGACCAGAGCCGGAAGGAAGTTGATTCGTTTACGACTCAGTGAGACCTCGGTGATATAAACACTCACGAGAGTTTTTTTGAGGGATAGGCGAAAATATGAAACATGATCCCACTGAATTCTTGAAGGCTCGCCAGTCATTTCATTCATGAAAAGCTGTGTCATGAGCGACCCTTTTTTTTCTTAACTGAGGTCCTGATCTTCTGATTGAAACAACTTTTACGGTGAAAGAGCAATATATTTCATTTGTCTTTTTGTAAGGTAAACTATGCGAATTAAAACAGGGAAATAGCGAAATGATCCACTTGAGAACTTGCGTCAGTAACCTTTGGTCTTCCTTCTCAAATTCTCATTACGAATTATTCATTATTTACCGCCGGGGGAGGGGTGTGGATTATTTTCTTTGGGGGGGGGGATTATTTGGTTTTTTAGGGGAATCGGAGGGGGGATCATTCGTCGCTAACAGAGTATAAAGGGGAGACACACGCCCCACCCCCACCCTCCTCCCCATCGGACGATAATAAATAATGACCTGTCGTTTCGTTCTCTCAAGATTTTTCCCGAGTATTAAGATAATCCAGGTGATTGTATTGGTGATAAGTCTTAGAAACGTAAAATTTAGTTACAGAGTGCGATCTGAAACGACAAAATTACAAGATTATCATTAATTCACGAAGCAGCATTCTGAACTGATTTCTAAATGTTTTGAGTCAATTGTTTGTAACCTTCTCTCAATCACGGCCAAATGTAACTTGAAATCGAATTTCTAACATCATCACACGCGCTCTCATGGTATCGCCATTACCTGGCGTAGTAAAACAACCAACTAAGAAATGACACGAACGAGTGTGTTTCAGGTGACATCTTCCCTCATTACGTCGGCAGAAGTCATTATCGACGAAGTGTATTGTAGGTGTTTTTAAGAAAATGTGCGTGGGAACATTTGGCCGCATTACTTTCCTTAATCGCCAAAATAGTGAAACCGTTTTAAGCCATTTTAAACGGGATTTCAAGTTAATTCGAAGGGTGAGAACGGGAAATTCATATCTTAGTTTGTAGAGTGGCAGTGCTATTTTATGGTGATGGTCTGTTTGGAAAATTCTGCCTTTCATCTGTTGTGATGCCACTGTTAACAAGAGGCTTGTTTTGGTATCCGCTACTAATTCGAAGGTCACGTTTAGATAAAAATAAAACGATCTTATCATCTTTAAACACAATTCACGCCTAAAAATTAATCAAGTCACGATCTCAAGAAACTTTTCATATGTAGTTCTTCCTCGATTGACTTCTCTACTAATGATTAGAGGGGGAGGGGTGGGTGGTGAGTTTCTAATGAAGCTGTGGTGCTGCGTGGGTGGGGGGAGGGGGATAAAAGAAGAAAATTTGGTTTTATCAACTTAGTTTATAACGTAAATAGGCCACGTAAGAGAGTATCTAAAGCTGACGTTTCGAGCGTTAGCCTTTCCCCTGAGTGAATAAAGGAATTTTTGGTTGTGTGTTGTTTATAAAGAGAAATATGGAGTTATGCTCTTGTCCGTGATAGCTCCGGCCTTCAGCAACGCACATCCCAATGGAATTCATTTCAACGAGGAAAATTTGGAATGGAGGCTAGCTTGCCACAGGGACTGTGTTTTTAGGAGAAATATCACTAAATTAATTCTCCTGCTTAAACACAGCCCGACTGGGATTTGAGGATATTTTGTTTTAAGCAAAGCTGGTAATAACTGGCAGCTCAACTCTTTCGCGGTGTAATCGTCAATGGAAGTGAAACAGGGTCGTCTTTTCTTTATGATCAGCATGGCTTTAGATCTCCAGCTTAAGGAGCTCTGAATCTAAGTGCTTGTATTTAAATATGCAGGTCAAGTTTGCCTAATGATGGTAGCTTTGTTGCAAACTTTTCAGTCATTTAAAAGTAAATGAGAGTATCAGAACTATTTATGTGTTAGTATACGAGAATAACCGTCATTAGTTGTTGAGTAATTTCCACTTGTTATATCATTCCAGTCTTTTTGAAGTGGAGACAAATTCCCTTGGCGTTTGAGGTTTGATTTCTTTGGATAAAATGCCTAAATTTTTTCACAAAAGAGACAGTTGAGGCTATTCTTTTCAATCTTATCAGCGTCAGCTTAAAAGAACAAGCATTTGACGTAAAAAAGAATGCAGATAGCGTTTTTAAATGTTGAAAAACAAAGAAAAACTGATGTGGACGTGATCATATTTTCTATGAGCGGAGGGGTTGACGCAAAAGCGATTATCTGAGTTTTGTTTATAGTTTCTAAAAAGCGTTTAAATTCATCCACACACTATCAATCATCGTCTTAGTTGCACATTTATTATTAAAATCACGATACATGTGCTTACGTGGAGCAGCAACTAAAAGATATTGAGATACAATTAATACGACAGACTTTAGCAAGTACCAGACGGTACAGGCCAGGAAAAGCAAGTGAAAACCACTACGGAAACTGTTTGTTGTCGAGTAACTGACAAAAGACTTATCACTTGGCGTATTCATTAGCGGACGGTGAGGTAATGAATACTCTAACAAATTAGCAGTTCTTTAAAAGTTCTCACCTTGCCTCTTTCAGAAACCATAAAATGACGTATTCCTTTTCTACAGCTTTGTCTTCAATTAAACCAATCAAATGAGTTCTCAAAAAATTCACGTGTGAATTTTTTAGGCAAAGATAGGAAACAGAAGGAACTTGTGGAGGTCAGCGCTAAAAATATTCAGTTATGCCCTTGTCTAGGAAGCTTAGCAGATCAGAGATGTCTCTACTTTTCAAGCCCGAAATTGAAAGAAGATCTTACGACAGGCCAAAAGTGGAGCAAGACTTGGCTAGCAGCAAACGTTCACCGAGCAGATCGGATCCACCGACAATTTACATCGAAGATGAACCTGTAACAGACGGTGCTGTAAACGGATTGCCGAGAATTCACCGAGCGGTTTCCGATGGAAATTTGGACTGGCTAAAAGAACTAGTCGAGAATGGAGAAGAGGACGTAAACACGCCAGATCAACAAGGATGGCCTCCGCTGTATACTGCCATTAAGAAGGGAAAACTCGATTGTGCAGCGTACCTGCTGAAGAAGGGCGCCAAAGATTTTTACGACAAACAACACGCCGAGTACCAAAAAAGATTGGTTGCCGTTTCGAATGACCTTTCAAGGAACAAGGCCAACTCTTTTACATAGCGACTGAATGGAGATAAACGTTGTGGTTTATTGCTCCTGGTAATAAAAAGTATGCATCTTTTGGTCCAGTTTTAAAGAGACAGCTGTAAGTTAATATATAAAGTCGGATTCGAGGACCGAGTTGGTTGAATCTATCGCTAGGTAATTTACTATGTATCAGAGTAATTTCCCAGAACAGTTGAAAACTCTCGAATCGTTTTTTCTGAGATTGAAATATTGCTTTAATACTTTAATACTTTCTGGTGTCTATATTGCTGTTATTTCTGGATGCATTGTTTACTCTTGAACTGTCAATGAGGCTTTCATGGTTAAATTACCCTTTTATTGTTTCTGTTGTAGAACCAAGTTCTGCAACAACAGCCGCAAAACCCATCGCACAAATTTTATGTTAGCTGAGAATTTACAGCAGGTAAACTTCACAAAAATGGATTACCCAGAGCAGGTGGCAAACATTGCAAAACGTGTTTCAAAGATCGTGGGCGAACGCACTTTATTAGACTATCTCTATAGAGAATGACCACAACTAGAATTGCTAAACGAAAGCTTTTTTTACAATTTGTTGAGTAACGCCAATTTACAGCTCCAGTTTTTTTGTATGATAAGTTGCTGACTGTTATGTATCACTTTTACATTTAATTCTTAAGGTTATTTACAACCAAATGCAAACAGAATAACATTTATGTGTACGAGAACACGAACTGTCGGTTTCTCTGATGATCGCTATTGTTAAGTCAGTTGATACCTAAGCTGCATATTCCCTTGAGTGTGCTAAAGTAATTAAGCCAGCCTCTATATCACAGCAGATTTTGGGTAAATGAGACACAGTGTGTTGACCATGTACCGTTGTATGTAAATACATTAATGAAAGTGGCACGTTTCTTCCGCACTGTGTATACTAATTAAGAAGTACGCGATAATGACTCAAGTTCTTCTCCACCAATAAACACATTAAGTTAGCAACGCAGCAGCTTTGAACAAGCTGTTTCGTTAACGCGTTTTAAAAAACAAGAATGCCACGGCATCAAGTAAATAATGTTATTAATCTGAGATGTTTTATTTCTAAAAGGAAAGACCTTTTTAAAGTTAGCCTGAATTTCAACCTTAAAGCTCCACTCAAACTTTGAGAACGGCCCTGCAAGCAAGCATGATAAATTAAAAGGATACTTGGGTTTTGATTGTCTACTCAAGGGGGCACGGAATGGTTTGCCTTTCTACTCGGGATTGTAATTGCGGGACTACCTGCTAAGGATTGCACGCTCGGGATTGTCATCTTTCTTGTCCATTCTTGTGCTTTGTTATGTAGCCTCTTGGCCTTTAAAAATCCTTTATTCTCAAAACTTATTCTAACAAGAATTTTGGATATCGGCTTTGGTCCAATAGTTCATTTTTTGAACCTTGACCCAGCCTCGGTTCAAAATTATCCTTAAACGCAAACAAAACCTTTTGACTAGTATTCAACCATTTAACGGAATATGTTTGGTCAATATTGAATAGGTGGTTGATCAAACAAAATTCTTGGATGAGAATGAGTGAAGAGGAGGAAAAAAGCACGATATCACAGAATTTTTAAAATGCATGCAGAACTTAAGACGCGGCTTGATTGTTTTCACCGGTTGTGGCTGAGCAAAATACATAACATATGGTAGCTGATAAATATTTGATTGATTTCGTTATCTACTTCGTCTTCTAAGAAAGCGACTTCAAGATAGAACTTGACATTTTTAGCTCTAAGATATATGAGACTGCTACACAGCTTAATTATTTTCGATCCAGGCACTCAAGATACGTGATAGTGCGCATGACCAAATCAAAGCAGTTCAGTCCCATCAAATTGTATCGGACTCGAATTAGTAATGGTGTCCCAATATGTCTGATAAGAAGGTCTCTCGACGAAGTCACAACATCCTCTGGAGTGTCTTCCACTTGAAAATGTTTTAAAAGTAAAATATTCGTGAATAAAAAGGTCAAAATAAACTAACGGTTCACAAAGCTGGAAGGATAAGAAGTGCAAAGTTAAGTTCGTTCTCACGGATTCGTTTCTCGTGGAATGTTTCTTCACCGCATGTCGAACAAAAGAAGATCATCAACAGGATAACCAAAAGCTTTTTCACCTACTTTATCGATGAGTCCGCAAGTTGCCTTGGAAACTCCAAACTTGTTTGTGCCAACCTGATATCGGTCTGATTGGGTCACTCAATGGTTGGCAATAACTCCTTGTGATGTATTGCTCATTGTGTATCATCACCCGTTGTTTACATATTTGATTTAAGCTATCACGCCCATGTTAGCGTTTCATAAAATTTTCAGCCCTTTTAGTCTAATAAACCCAAATCTCAGCAAGAATTCTAATTCCGGTCCGGAAAGGGTGGGCGATCCGTAGCTTTTCTGCCGAACTCTTTCATCTAATCAGTGAACAATATTCAAATGCAGAACGGGGACCTTTTGCGATAATTCATCCTGGGTCAGATTCCAACCACGGGTCGTGAAAAGATGCCACAAAGATTTAAAAGAAGAATGAAAAAAAATTTGGAAAAAACGATACTTTCAATATACGATTAAGAATATGGAAGCCAAGCACTGAAGAATTAGAATGTGTTTATCTGGTTTTTGCTCACGAAAGAAGCTAAAGACAAAGCAAACGAAAGAGGAAAGAAAAGATTCCATCCTTAGACACGGTATACAATTCTCAGAGATAATATCAGAATGTTTTTCAAAAATAAACCACTTCCGGTTTGTGCATTATCGCATTGCAGACGATAATATCAGGGAGAGAGGTTAATACAAAACCCGGGCTACATTTAAGCAAATTTTCCATCTCCTTCTTAGACAGAGCTAGTTTGCTTTCACAAGGATAATCTTGCGGGCTCCCATCCTTCTTTGGTGAGTGAAGATAATTAGTGTGGGGGGTCTATTAAGTCCTTGAGTATCTCAAGTGAACGCTTATTCTTGGCAGTGGGAAATATAGACTGTGACGGGACAATTGAGATGAAACTTTGGAGAGGAGTATTTCTTTGATTTTGCAATAGAGGGATGAATCTTACAGTGTTGAAATTGGTTGTTTCTGCCGGTTCCTTCTTTACGTGTCTTTCTTTAATTTTCACCGATGTGTGCCTTTTGGGTCGACAAGATTGTTTACCAAGCGCAAGGAGCTTCCAGAAGAAACTGGTTGGCTCTTTGGAGCGACTGTTTTTTCTGAGGTCCGGCGGAGACCTCGATCTTGACGAAGAGATCTTTGACATGTCAAAAGGACTAAACCACCACGTTTGGGAATACAACTGTTTGAAGAGCATTGAAGCCCTTTGCAATTTCCCAATCTTTCCCAAAGCACCGGATAAAAGAGAAATAATATCACGAACAGAAATCACTACGCGGAGCCGTCGCCGCGTGGATGCCCATCGTTTACTTGGTTTTTTGGTTCCAAATTTATCAGGTGAACATCTCTTCGCGGTAACATCGAATGGTTTTACTGAAGTCTGGCTAAGTCCTGATAAAAGTTGGAGGTCGGCAAACCAGATTGCTTACATCAGGCAAACTGATTTGAAATCTACAATAAAAAAATGGGACTTTGAGGCTGTAAAATCGCAGATTTCCGCCGGAGTTTATTTAGAGGCGAGAAAACGATATTTCATTGAGATCGTGTACTCCCTTGGAGGTCGCAAAAGAGGCGAGAACTTTCTGCAAGTCGCCTGGAAACGACCAGGAAAATCCACGTTTGAGATTATTGAGAGCGAATCACTCTCACTGTATACAAATGACAGTGAGAAGGACAAGTACAAAATCTATGACGATCGTTTACCCAAAGCTCACTACTGTGCAAAATATCAGAAAAGCTACGCAAACAAATATATGAGATCAGAGCCATATCCTAGCTTGGATAATTCCGCGATTAGTGATGCTTTACCATTTTGTGACTACAGTCCTAGCTATATTCTCAATCCTGCTAAATTAGATGGGTTTGAAAAATACCATGGCGTAAAAAAACATGTGCATAAAACGTACGGTTACCCATATCCAAATATTGATGGCATTATCAGAAGTCACACGGCGCATAACGTGTTTTTGGCTGAGGATCCCTTAGAAGAGGAAGAAGCGTGGTCCGTGGTTGAGGCTTATATGGAAACTGTGGAAAAAAGCTATCCAGGGTAAGAATTTGAGATTTTTTTTACATTTGAAACTAGCCTTTCTTTGTGAGCAGTCGTTGACCATTCGTGTAGTGCCATTTGTCAATCCTTGGTATTTCCTGACTGTCGTTGCTTGTTAGTTCGTTAATTTATTTGCTCGTTCGTTCGTCACTTCCTTAACTCGTTCGTTGTTTAGTTCTGCCGGTCGCCGCCGTGGTCGTTAGTTCGTTCGGTTGGTCGTTTTCGTTTGATCGTTCGTTCGTTCGAAGATTCAGTCGGAAGCTTAGAATACCTCCCCGAATGCTGGGAAATCGTGTCAAAAGAGGATAATGATAATGCAAAAAAAACCAAGCAATAAGTGTAATAAATTTGTTGTTGTATAATGGTTACTAGTAGGCAAAGTCTCCACAATGTCAAGTGGAGATCAATCTATGATCCACACTTATGATTGAGTAAAACATTATTTCAACAGGAAATATGAACTTGAGGATATCATTCGCGTTGAAAAAAAGAAAGATCCCGAGAAAGGAAATAGATATCTTCTGGAGCTTGCTGTAAAAGATCTCACAAACTTTGATGGCTATATTTTATCGGAATATATTTTTAAACCGAAAGATAGAAGTGAGTCGTTGTGTTATCCCAGAGGCCTACAATGGAACAGGACAGCGGATGTCTATCTGATTCTCACGGTCAAGAACCTGGGTCGGTGGGTTCATCACTTTATCAAGAACGTGGAAGAAATTGTACGAGAAACGAAAGATGAACACTTACATGTGGTTATATTTGACTTTAACAGCCCAGATATTGACTTAGAGCACGTTTTGAAAAGAAGCAATCTGAGGAACCATCATTATATTTCAAAGCCTGGTAATTATTCGCGCACAGTTTCCTTAATGGAAGCTATAAAGTCAATAGATGATCCTGAAGCCATTGTAGTAACCATTGACTTGCATCTTGATATCGGAAGTCAGATGATTAACGACATACGTAAGGTAGGGACGAGGAGCTCTTTGAAATGGACTGTCGCAAATCACTTACCTCAAAAGTAATCACAAAAGCCAATCGGAACAAAGTTCTCACGACCCAAAGGGCTAGATAGAACTCTAAATGAATGAGCAAGTCACTCTTTCTCACCGAGAAGGTGGGGGGGCAAAGGGAGGGGGGGGGGTGTCAGAGAAATTTTTGGGGGAATCATATGTTTCTCAGGGGGAACAAAGGTAGGATCAGTCACAACAGTCAATCAGCAGAACAAAGGTCACACGACCCAAAGGGTAAATAGGACTCTAAATGAATAATAGAAGTCATCATTTATCACCGGGAAGGTGGGGGGGGGGAGGTTGGAGGAAATTTAGGGGGGGGGGAATTATATGGTTCTCAGGGGGAACAAAGGTGGGATCAGTCGTGGCCAACAGAGTATAAATGGGAGACTAAAGAAAACTGACTGCCAATTAATTGCCAATAAGGAGTGTTATGGTAGTTTTACAGAGCCTTATGGAGAATAGGCAAATTTTTCATTTTTATCGTGACACAACCAGCCCCCACCCCACCCCTACTACAGCGATTAATTATGACCGGTTCCAAAGCTGTGTTGGGAAGAAATCATAGCCGTATCAATGTTGGCTTCTGAGTAACCAATTAAATTTTTCACCTTGTTAGCATTTTGAGTTTTTTTCAGCCTCCTCGAAATATAAACCAAAAGGGAACAGCCCCTTGAGTACGATTCAAGTTTTTGATGGCATTTCCAGGCTTGACTCCTATGTTACATAGACTTTTATTGAATTTTTAACAGTTTTTCACGTTCTTTTCAGCACTGTATCAAAGGAAGGACCGTCTATGCTCCCCAAATCATCTTTCTAAATTGTGGCGGAAGCAGTGCCCTTCCCAGAGGCTCATGGTACCACTACAGCTATGGAACAGTTGCTATGTATAAAGAAGACTGGGAAAGATTTGGAGGCTTTTCACAGGGTTTTGTTAACAAAACTACGTGGGGAGGAGAGGACTGGGACATCATTGACGGCGCAGTCAAGGGTGGCCTGGAAATAGAAAGGAAACGATCACCATGGGTCTATCATTATTACCACACCAAATATGGAATGTGGTAATCGTAGAAATGAGTTACTGGCCAAATTTGACGCCAAGGAGACTAGGAACGAGGTTTAATATCCAGCTAGGCTGAAACCAATCTGCCGTCGCCTTAACTAACAGGAGGAGGCGGGTGGAAGGGGTTGGGGAAACGAACTCGAACGTGAAGTACGACTGTCGTTAAACCCAACAATTGCTCCTCGAGTTTCGAAGAAAAAGTATTTGTAAATCTGCACAGTACTCCTCGGTGAGCTGGACTTTAAGTAAACGAGAACTGAATACTTGTCACAGAAGAGTTTTAATTTGTACAGTTGGTCTGATGAAAATAGTTGAGCATATTACAAAGAGACGCCCTTGATCGCCACTTTCGCTTGGCTTTACGCCGTAAACTTCATATTTGTGCTGCTTATATAGTAAAACAAAAAAACACCCAGATATTGATCATCAGTATGTTATAATTTTATTTTTCAGTACAATATGACGAATGAGTGAAAATGACGCATGACTAATACTTAGAATTTCAAATTAAAACAGCCTATAAAGGTACCGATGAGATGAAATCTTATATAATACTTACATATAATTCTATACAATTTTTTTATCATCTCTTGAATATCAGTTACGTTGACTATCCCTCCGAAATACCAAGAGCGAGTAAGCAACCCATTGCCTACGTCTTCAGTACTTGGCTGATAAAAATAAAAAATGTTTGCAGCCTAGAAGATACTTTACAACCTTTAAAATTCAACATTTGCTTATGCTGATTACCATCCTGGTTGTGCTTGGTCGGTGGCTAAGAAGGAACAGGGGATCCGTTAGAGTGGAGTTTGGGTTCGGTGTGCTGTAAAAGACTTCATACTCTGACTCTCTTTGGAACGAATTTCTTTCATTTTGCTATGTTGTTAAGACTAAGAATTATTAAGAATTGTGTTATATCGCCATCATGTATCTAGTTCTGGGATGGTGAGACAATATGTTTACAATTAGATTAAAAATGTCTTGGTGCTGCGCTGGTAGATCTACTTCCCCCCCCCTAAACAAGATCTTTAAACTTGATCTACAGATTTTGGCTCGATGGTTTCTCCGTCATTGGTATTTTATAGCCACATTCCTGCTTTAGTGTGGTAATAATGGTAGATATATGGGCTTGGCTTGCGCTCTATTTCCAGGCCACTCTTGACTGCGCCGTCAATTAGATCCCAGTCCTCGCCTCCCCATGTAACTTTTGTCTCGAAATCCTCAGAGAATCCTCCAAATTTGTCCCAGTCCTCCTTGTGCACTGCCACAGTTCCATAGCTGTAGCGGTTCCATTCCCCTATGGGAACAGCACTAGTTCCGTCACAGTCAAGAAAAGCTATCTGTGGAGCGTACAATGTTTTGCCTCTGATGCAATGCTGAAATGACAATATGACAGCAAAGAGACCTTCAACTTTTTAACTCCTAGAAGTGATTAACATGTAATTTCTCCCTATAGATATCTATACATCATCCCGCATATAGGTAAAGGGAATACTGAAACTTATGGGGTTGAAGATGTTATCTTGATCTGACACCAAATTCTTGCAAATATTTTAGAGGGGAGAATTTTAAAACACAAGCAGATTTTGGGAGTTAAAAGGTTAACAGACGATCAAGTTTGTTGACTTAGGCGCACTTGCCTCAACTATCCATTACGTAGTTAGATAATGACTAACACCTAAATGATAATGTTAATAGTCTAACCCAACCCCTGAGAAAATCCCACCCACACCCCAGTACCCTCTCTCCAATTACCTTGCGTATATCGTTTATTGCTCGGCTCCCAATATCCAGGTGTAGATCAATAGTAACAATAATGGCATCTAAGTCCTTTATTGATGCCACTGCTTCACTTATGGCAATACTACGAGAATAATTACCAGGTTTTCTAATAAAATGATAATTTTTCAGAGTGCTTCGTTTCAAGGCCTGCTCTAGATCAATATCAGGGCTATCGAAGTCGAAAATAACCACATGTAAATGTTCGTCTTCCGTCTCTAGCATAATTTCTTCTACGTTTCTGATAAAATGGTGAACCCATCGACCCAGGTTCTTGGCGGTCAGAATCAGGTAGACATCCGCATTCCTGTTCCACAGCAGGCCACTAGGATAACACAATGGCTCACTTTCATCTTTCGGTTCAAAAACATTTTCTGCCAGGACATAACTGATGTCTCTTGGGATATCTTTGACGACAAGTTCGAGGAAATATTTATTACCTTTTCCGGGGTCTTCTCTTCTTTCAACGCTAATAACAGATTGGAGTTCGTATTTCCTGGATGGAGAGGGTTAGTACTTAGTGTTGATTGAAAAATTTCTGCATTTGGGGACCAGTGACCATTTACTGTCTGGGAGGAGGGGGTGAAAGATTTTGCAAGGATCACATGGTTTTCAGGGGGGGAACTGAGTATAAAGGGGGGAACCATAGATAATTTTTTACCAATTTACTGCAATGAGGGGGGCCAAAAGAACATTACAGAGCCTTATGGGGAGGGGGGTTGTGGAATCAGATAAAATGTATCGTGACGCAAACAAAACTCTCTAATCCCCCCTCCCCCGAAGACAAATAATGACTGCTCCCTGAGCCTTAATGAACGTTAAATATTTACCATCTCTGGTGGAAGTGCCCGTTGTTACTTTCACGACAAAAAAATGCAAATAAAGGAGCCGAGGAAAGTAATAATTGTAAAGCAAAGAAGGACTGCATAGGAGTTTTACACCAAGGTAAACCCTGAATTCATAACAATAACCTCAACTTCAGCTTTCTACGAAAAGCAGGTAAATTCAACGCAGAAAAGTTTGAATATATGTCTGCCATAACTTAATTAAAATAAAAAGGAAAGAGGTCGCTTGAAATTTTTTTAAATTAAGTGTAATTGTATGCAAAATTTCAGTCTCAACGTTGCCTTACAGCTTCGCGTAGAGCATGCGCAGTGCTAATTGCTTTACAATTTTTTATATTTGAGTGAGATTACTTAAGACTTCAAGCCGGATGCAAAATGTTTGATTTTCATTTCAAAATTTTTTATATCCTGTTTCTTTAATTTTCCGAGTGAGAATTTATATTTTACGTTATTATTTCTGGGGTGTCTTATTAAAATGTCTAGAAGTGTAGGCGTTTTCATGACAAGTTGCTAAGTAAAACAAACATTTCGGAGACAATTAAATAGATTGGATTATTCGTTTTGAAGGTAAATCTGCTCAAGAATAGAACAACCATAATCCAAGTTAAACGCTGTTTACTTTTTTTTTAAGCTGGCTGACGGCTACAGTATGGAGATTAGTTATATTCTGGTATCCAGAGACGTATTCCAAACTGCTTATTATTCCAAACCTCAAAAGGTACATTTTTATGAAAAATCTGGTTTGTTCTGTTTTGATTTGTTTTCATAATCATAGCATAAGGCGCAAAACGTATAAAACAAAGAACTTAATACTGTAACAACAAGAAAAACAAGTGTCCGTTAAAGACACTCAAAAGAGCTCTTACGGGTGGAAGGCCTCACATGAATAAATCTCAATTTGTCATGAGTTTGCACTCCCATTCACCTAAAAATAAAAATGCATCGGTGTGTTTGATTAAACTTACCCGGGGAAAGCTCCACTCAACTCCTCGAAGTATTTGTTTATAACTGAAAACGCTGCCTCTTCCTCGAGGAAAAATATCATCTCCTCGAAAGCCATTCTCGTTCCATTCAAAGGCGGGTAAATATTCGTTCGTTGTACATATAGTGAAACACCATAATACATTTGAAAGTCAGATGGCAGATTTTCCGGATCGATGAGGTAACTGGGGCTATAGTCACATACCTCTAAAACTTGGTCCACAGCAGCTCGTTCGAGGTATGGAAGCTTCTCTGGCCTCAAGAACGTGTTGGTAGACCTTCTGTCGAATTGAGCACAATAAAGTGCACCTGGCAATTTGTCATCATATACTTCAAATTCATATTTTTCGTCATCGTTCGTGTATGGTGAGAAGAAAGCTCCATCAATCACATCGAATCCGTCAGCGCTATTGAGTCGTTTCCAAGAGATTTGTATCAACTGTTGGCTGTTTTTAAGTTCAGCTTGAACATAGATTACCTCAATGTAATATTTCTTCCCCCCAACCAAACTGATGGGGTTTGAAAGATTTTGTGTACCACTGGCCGCAGCTATTCTTCTTGCATCTTTCCAGTCAGAACTCGAACTAAGCCACATTTCAGCTGATCCAATCGAGGTCAACAAAAATTGATAGACATCAGTAACATTTGGTCGAATGTAGCCCAGCAATCGAATAGCCACGAAATTGTTCTTAGCTGTAAAATTAAGGTCAGCATTTGAAATAGTTTTTCTAATGTCCGGAGATTTTGGAAACATTGGATGATTGCATAATTGTTGAAGTGAAATCTGACAACTTTCGAATATCCAAGTATGTTTGTTAAAACCCGTTGAGGTTTCTTCAATATTGGTGTAATGAGCTCTCGTTATAAGCCAGTCATGAGTTCCGTTAATTTTTGCAAGGATTTTCTGGCGTGTATCAACGATAAGCGGTGAGCGATGAATGACGATAAATAGTACCCAAAGATCTAATATGAGAACAAAAACGAAAACCATTCGTCTAAAATTAACGCGAGCCATGATTGTCGCCAGCATTCGTTCCTGAATAGTATAAGTTGTCCAACTCGCCAAGGAGTATGAATCAGATGACGGAAGATGTGGGCAGCTCGGACTGTCCCATGTTCGATATTTTCAATGAAATGCAAATAAAGCGTTTGATACATTTACGCTGCTGGGGTCGTTCCCACGGAAATTTTCTTCTCAGTTAAGATGTATTGTTAAAGGTGTTAAAGAAAAAACTCACACGAAAGACTGTAATAACGACTTCTCTAAGGTTGTCAAAACGACAACAACTACCCTAGCCTGGACGATTAGACATGCGATTAAATAACTCCCCAGGGTTCGAACTATCGTATAAAGGTCGGATAACGTTATCCAAGAGATGAAAGGCTATCCAGAGGATAAGTGATATCAACTTACTACACCATTTACCGGATAGGGATTTATCCAGTGGATGGCATTAACCAACCTTCAAACAACCGGGGCCTGCTGGTGAAAACTACGCCATTCATCGCGAAATGAAGGAGACGTGATGGTGGAAACGCACCCAGTAACAATTGTTTTTGAATTTTTATTTCGATGTCTTTCAAACGAGAAAAGTAATATATCTCAGAAATGGCAAGCCTCTCGGAAGTTTCTCTTGAACAATATAAATGAAAAAATTACAACAACTTGAAACAACAATAGATTGAAGTACTTGCCTACAAACAATTGGCAATGACTTGCAAGTGCTGGTGGTAACAATTTTCCACAACCGATCAAAATATTTTACTGGATTAAATAGTTTAGGATTAACAATACAATTTCAAGCAGACAATTGATAAGAATAAAGAAAAATATAAATAGGAGATTGTTAATTATTTGATCCATTACCAAATTCTCTGAAATAAGATCATAAGAATTGTAAGGCAGACAGTCAGGGGAATTACTAGTGAATTCAGTCCATAATAGCTACCATAGCGCGGCTCCATGCCGTAAATAAAACATTTGCTTCACAATTCATTAAATACAAGTTAATTTATGCATTTAACGTTTGCATGTTTAAACATTGCTTCATAGTATAACGGGACGAAAATGAATATGACGGGTATAGGAGTAAGTAACGTAACTCATATTATTCTGGCAGGAAGCATAATAAGACCTCTCATAAAAGAACATATGGGATGACATTTGATCATAATTTTACCATAATTTTGAACTTTTTGGACAGGAGAGAGAAAATCTCTCAAGGGTCGCGCGCCCATTCGCTTATTTGCTCCTAAGTAGCAGAAGAAAGTTGTGTGCAATCTAGGTAAATCTTTACAATCATTAAGTATTCAACTTCTCTATCACTACGCCTATGATATGGTGATTAAAATTCTGAAAGGGGTAGAAATGAGTTGAGAGAAGGGAGGGGTGCCGCTAAAGCTTACAAGCTATGATCTTCTTCAAAACAAAATTATTTCTCTTGCTTCATTGTTCACGACGAAGAGCCATTAAGGATTGTCGCATATCGCCCTCATGAAGCCACGTTGGGATATTCAGACGGAATGTTTTAAATGAGATTTAAAAACTTGTTAGTACCACACTCGTAGACCACGTCTTTGTGTCCCAAAATAGTAAATTGAATACCTTGCTGGCCTTAAATATGACCTTTAAACATGGACTATGCCTTTTTCCTAGTTAGTTTTGCTGTCATTGGTATTGGTTTTGCCATTTTTGGCTCAGGTTTTGCCGCTTTTGGCATCGGTTTTGCCGCTTTTGGCATCGGTTTTGCCCCTTTAGGCATCGGTTTTGCCGCTTTTGGTATCGGTTTTGCCGTTTTTGGCCTAGCTTTTGCCGCTTTTGGCATCTGTTTTGCAACTTTTGACACCGGTTTTGCCGCTTTTGGCATTGGTTTTGCCGCTTTTGGCGTTATTTGTGCCGTCTTTGGTGTTGGTTTTGCCCCCTTTGCTAATTTAGGCTTTTCAGTTTTTACCCACATTCCTGTTTTACTGTGGTAATAATGGTAAATCTTTGGACAGCGTGTGCGCTCTATTTCCAGGCCACTCTTGACTGCGCCGTCAATTAGATCCCAGTCCTCGCCTCCCCATGTAACCTTTGTCTCAAAATCCTTGGAGAATCCTCCAAATTTGTCCCAGTCTTCCTTGTACACTGCCACAGTTCCATAGCTGTAGTGGTACCATCGCCCTCTGGGAACAGCACTGGTTCCGTCACAGTAAAGATAGACTATCTGAGGAGCGTGCAACATTTTCCCTTTGATACAATGCTGAAATGACAAAATAACAGGATAACTAAACTTTTAACAGACGATTTAAGTTACAGTTTATCAACTTTGGCGCACGCACGTTAATTTCCGATGACTAGTATTTTCAACAGGCAATAGTCCTGACATAAATGCATAGGAAAACGCAAGAACCAACTGATTTCGCCGGGGCCAGGGTGCTACTGAAGTGCAAAGCACTATTGTTGACTCCTGTGCATGTTTTAGAAATGACACATACTTTGAAATTAATAAACGAATCTCCGAGCGAGTAGTTAATTGCAAATAAACCTGCACGCAGGCTTTCATTGGTGGAGCGACAAGAGTTGCGAAGCCCGCGCGTCTCAAGCGAGAGGGGGTTTTGCAATGGAGCACCGATGGTTCCAGTTCGAAAATGATCCCTCACAGATATCCCTCTGATTAAAATGTCGTGGGCCTGGTCGCTCGTGATGCGGCGCTAACAGGAACTCCACGCAGGTTATTTTCACACTCCTTGCCTTTTCCACTTCCTTCCCCTCCCACCTCCCCCAGCCCTAGGGAGTTTCCTTCTATCCCCTTCCCTAATATAAAATAAAATAAAAATAAAACAAAAAGAACGCTTACCTTACGAATTTCATCGATAAGTTGACTCCCAAGATCCAGATGCATGTCAATGGTTACAATAATGGCGTTTGGGTCCTTTATCGATTGCACAGCTCTACCAAAAGAAAGAGTCCGCGAATAGTTCCCAGGTTGTACAATTAAGTGATAGTTTATCAGAGAACTTTTTCTCAAAGCCTGTTCCAAATCAATATCTGGGCTACCGAAGTCAAATATAACCACGTGTAAATGTTCGTCTTTTGTTTCCTTTACGATTTGCTCCACGTTCTTGATGAAATGGTGAACCCATCGACCCAGGTTCTTTGCAGTGAGAATTAAGTAAACATCCGCTGTCCTGTCCCACTGCAGGCCACTTGGATAACACAAAGGTCCCGATAGATCTTTTGGCTGGAATACATATTCTGCCAAGATGTAGTTGGCGCCATTTGGAAGATATTTGACCACAAGCTCAAGGAGATATCTGTCTCCTTTTAGCGGATCTCCTTTCTTTTCGACGCGCCTGACTGACAAGAGTTCGTATGTCCTGAGGAAACACAAAAGAAGTTCAGATCTTTTGACATGCTTGTAGACTGCGAGCAGCCCCTCCTTTTTTAGCCGAATCCCGTCGCGCAAGTACTTTTTCCCGCACGTCACTCTCAGAGTTCCGCGCGGCATGCTATTATCATTTTGTCTTCTAGGGGGTGATTTCTTTTACTCGCCTCAACGGACTTCGCCGAGAAGAAGGGACTACTCCTTGTCTAACGCGCTGGAGGTCTGAAGAAAGCAACACTAACTGCTTCACAGGGTGACCAGGCCATTTCCAGACCAAAGTCCCGAAATTTACTCCTGCTGTGATTTCCATTTCTAATAAGCAGTCACCTCCGTTTAGCGGTTGTAATCACCCTTTACTTAGTCCACACAGCCTGTTTGTATCGTTCTCCACCTGTATAGAACGGTCACTTGCAGCGAAACCACTTAAATAAAGCTAAGAGTAACATTTCAAACAAAACTTAATCCGGCCATCTTTATCTCTCAAAACCAATATTAGGAGTATTTTTTAGTATTTTAGAGCGAGGTTTTGTAAATCAACTGGTCAATAATGGCAAAACATCGCGTCTTTATCGCTTTTATAATACTCTTATTCTTTAGAACCTCTATCAAGCGGTCAACCTGTGTTGAGCGGTTACCCCGTCATTCCCCACGGATAACCGCTTAAAACAGGTTCGACTGTGAAGCGGAAAAGATGCAACCTTTGACCTTCGCTTGGCGTTGACTGGAAAATTCTAGAGAGGATTCTCTTCCGGGTCACAGTTTCAGTAGTTCTAACAACATCACTCCTTTCGAGACCAAAGATAGTGTCCTTCTAATAATATAGTGCCCCGCATAGAAAAGTCCCAAATAAAGGATTTTACACTGATTGACATTCCTTACCTAGGGTAGATCCTCTTCAAAGCGTTGAAGTAATTTGTCACCACAGTCAATGCCTCCTTTTCATTCAAAGGGTATCCAGCTATGAAAGCTTTACTCGCAGTTTTCGATTTGATCACTCCGTTCAAGCTTTGAAATGGGTACGTGTAAGTTTTTTGAACATAACTGCGCACACCGCGATAATGTTTAAAGTCGCGGGGTAAATTTGCCGGATCAAGAAGATAACTGGGTTTATAATCACAGATAGGAAGCGCCTCGTCCACGGCAGTTTTCTCTAAGTAAGGCAGTGCTTCAGGCCTCAAGTGCATGTTCGCAAATCTTGTCCGAGACTGCGCACAAGTGGGAGCTTTTGGTAACTCATCGTCGAGAATTTTCAATTTCGCCTTATCTGTGTCCTTTGTATACAGCAAGAAGAACTTGTTATCGATGATCTCAAATCTACGACTATCTGGTCTTTTCCAAGCGACCTGAATTAAATGTTTGCTTCTCGTTGCATTACTCTGCGACTGAATGTAAATGAGTTCAAAATAGTATCTTTGTTTGGCGGCTAAATTCACGCTATCCGAAATCTGAGACTTTATACCCTCAAAGGACATCTTCTTCAATGGCGAACTTTGGGACCGGATGTAAGCAATTCTTTGAGCGCCTGTCCAGTTGGCATTAGGACTTAGCCAAACCTCTGCCAAGCCATTTGAAGTTAACAAAAATTGATGTTCTCCAGAGGCATTCGGTCGAATGTAACCCAGCAATCTAATGACTCGATCGAGTCTTCCACGCTCTGAGATTATGTTGACATTTGGAATGTACTCTCTTGCATCCGGAGCCTTTGGAAAAATTGGATAATTGCAGATTTGTTCGAGGCTGCTCTGGCAAAACTTTTCCCAAGAGTGTCTATTCAACCCGTGAAGAGTAACCTCGGACTTGATGTCTACGTCCAGTTCTATGTTGTAGATGTCTGGATTAGATATCAACAACTTGTCGCTTGTCCCAAGGATAAGCGTTACGTTCGAGGAGATTTCCTGACGATTCAAAAGATAAATCACCACTAATATGAGCCAAAGACCGACTGTAGAAACGCCAAAATAAAATGCTTTCACTAAAATGACACGATTCATGGTCAGAGTAGAAAAATAGTGGTTTTTCCTCCAAAAAAGCGCGTTCTAATCTAACCTAGTTCTCGAAGCGACATAATGTATTCACCGGCAGTCTTATCTGGTGTAGGGTTGCATATACGGCGAATAATTTCCGGAACGACAGCAATGTTTCACACATTTATTAACTCGGAACAGCCTAATCACACAGAGATGCCCTCCTATAGCCGAAGATTCACGACGAAATCCCGAAGGCCGAATATTGTCGCGTTACTGTTTATGTATTGGCAGTCCATCAGACTGTTAGCCGAAGGGCATGATAACATACCCAGCGTCTCCAGTGCGTCATTTGGTTCCCAAAACACGACGTCGGATTGGGGACCAGACCTAAAGTGGGTGCGTTTTTAACACCATCACTCGATTGGCATCAGTAAAATAGCACTATCTGTTTTTGGTTAAGCTCATTTCCGCTGCTCTATCTGAACTCCGATCTTGATAAGTATGGTCTCAAAAAGTCTGCTTTAGACGATAATTTTGCTGCAAGAAGTTGCTCTCACAAGAATGTTCTACATTAAATAATTTGGATTTTTTTCTCAAGTTGTTTGATTGCCCTTGTGGTATGCACTTAAGTTCTATAAGATTAAAAAAAGGCAAACATTTTACAGAATATTCGAACTATTGTGTCAACCAAGTGACAACTTGGAGAGGAGCCATCTATTCTGTCTGTTGATGCCTTTGTTATTAAAGCGATTACGAACCAATCAATTTTCCTATATGACAGATCCATCGTCCTGAAGAAGCTTTAAGTAGATTTCACAAATCATACACTTAATGGAAACGTTATGAACCCGAAAAGGTTACTTAATCTTTAATTAAAGGTAATAAAAGAGTAATATCTTGTTATGAAACGTTCATGACGTTTAGAATTGTTTCGATGACAGACACGAATGAATAAACAACCATGCAAAACATGCGGAATGAAAGATTCATCCACTCAGAGTGGAAACGTCCGGTTGTTTTGTTCTATTGAGTCCCTTTCTTCAAGAGCACTGGGGAGGCAGAGTTAAACAAATAAAAGGGCCATTTTGAAAGCGCCTCTCTGCCGTAAAAAATTTATCTAAGAGGTTTAAAAATATCTCATGTTACATACAGTTCTACATTAATTTGCACGTTAACAAACCAGAGTAGAGCTCCTTAACAAAAGTCACTGATCGTCAACTCATTAGCACTTGTAACTTATTGGACGGACTAATTAGCCAATTGCGGACACCGCATATTTTGTAAGTGAGGTAGCGGAAGGCATAATGCTCACTGACGGGTACATTTGTACATTGTCGTGAAGTCGTACCCATTGTCGGTAATATTTAAGCCGTATTGGCCTCTGGTATTAGCTGCTTATTGATGCCAAGGAGTATTTTTAGCCGCGCCAAGTCTGATCGGATTTAATTCCCCCGGCTTGTGCAGCCGATGTGATTAGAGCGATATACTTGTTTACATAGGATAACGCAAAGCATACACAGTAGGGTGTATTAATATCAAAACTCACTCAACATGCAGCGTAAATTAAGTTTGCCTTATGAAAGGTTGACAATGTTTCGCCAACGGGCTCTCACGGACATTGTTGAACACTCTGACGAGGAAGGAAAAGATTCTGCCGGCGAAGAAGACACGCAGAAAACTGTTAATGGAGGTGACGTTAACAAAGGCGAACAGAAAACACAAGCAAACTTTCCGTTGATGCACCAAGTGGTAATGGAGGGAAACTCAGAACTGCTAAAAGAACTAATTAAAAATGGCGCAGATATAAATGTTTTGGACGAGAATGGCTGGCCTCCTATGCACACAGCGATTCGATCTGGCCATACTGAATGTGCAGCCATTCTTATCAAGGAAGGAGCTGGCGAGTTTTATTACAATAAACAGAAACAGGACTATCTTAGAAGACTAGAACGTTGTCAAAAGGGGCGCAAGATTTCATACTGGAGGTGAGGTTAACTGCAACGTACATCCGGCTTAAAATTTCTCAGATGAAAACATTGCAATGTAATCAATCGATGCCATTTTATTGTCGATCACAGAAATGTTTATAAGTTCTACTGTATGTACGTGACCTGGAGAGTTCTGTAATCTTTTAAATAACTATTCAACCAACGCGTGTGGCAAATTGTGCCTTTGTGTACGAAGCTACAGACCATTTTAAACAGCCAAAAGGATTCATTTATAAACAGGCAGCAATATGTCTGCCACTCGTTCCATAGCAAGACGTCTCGAGAACTGTTAAAAAAATAATTCAGACACGTTTTCTCGTGGCACGTGGCGTCATTCTCTAATTTGGGTGCCAGAGATGACGATCAAAGTCGGTTTCGTTCTGCTCAAACGTTACTTCAACTTGTTAAACCCTTCCCTGTGACACTGAAACATGTTTTGTTGCTTCAAAAACCTTTTTAATTGAGTGTCCTCGAGCTGATCTCTGCTTAGCAGTACTTTTCCAAAATGCCATAATATTTCTGGAGCAGTCAGGACTGTACTGTTCCATAAAATTCTCTAAACTAATAAGAAAAACAATAGAAAACAGTTTGTTTTTGCCTCAAGGCCTTAACGACGATGTACACAGGTTCTGAAAACGGACTGATGAATACCTATGCCGATTCCTATAAATAGTAAAGTAAAACTGTCATATTAGATTGTACAGAGCTGCGTTGTATAAAGCTAAAGGCGTTGACAGGGATTTTGTGTGAATATTTAATCTCTAATTCTGCGATGAACTCCTTAATCCCGCTATGATTTTGGCCCTAATCCTTCGTGATTAAAATATTTTGCATAACAATGACATAAATGTACAAAGGCAGTTTTGATTGTCTTGTCAAGTTGTTTGTTGACCGAGCTAAATTCATCACGTGTTTTGCTTCAGAAACACAATCCATTGGGAATTAACCAAAAATACACTTGTCGTTCTAGTATCAAACTATTGCTCTCGGCAGATGGATCCTACCTCGCCGTCTGTTCTGACATCAACGGCGCGTAATATCCTCGTAACATCTCAGTCGTTTGGCCAATATTATTCAAATTTCCTGAGGTAATATTGATTCAGAGTTACATCCGGTCGATTATTAACTCAGCCCTTGTTATTGCTCTCTGTTTTATGTCCTTAAATAAACAGGATTTCATGAATCACAACTGAACTTAAACTTCATATTGCCACCCTTTCAACCCCTTAAATCTACACCTTCATCGACCATGATCGACATCGAAATGTTTCCAAAACTTCTCGCGTGTTGCGAGTTACGTTGTGTGACGGCCACGCGAGGATCGAGATGTGTAGTACAGAAGAAACCCGCTAACTCGTACCAGGTTAAGGTTACTTCCCACCTTCGCGTGTGTCCCTACGGGAAAAATTCGAACGCGCACTAGTTTCACTAAAATCTTACATCAGAAGAAAGGTTAATAACTGCAATTTACGATAAAAATATAATTAAAGCGACTTTTCTTTAACGAAGTATCAGGAGCCGGCAAGGCGGGAAACGACCGAAGGTTATTCTTTTGAATTTATTGGGTATTGGATGCCGCAGCACGAGCAAAATGGCTGCACAATCTTACTCCCAAGGCATCAATCGAAAAAATGATGTCAGGCTTTTTTGATATTCTAATAGCTTGTCTAGATATCGGCATCTAAAGTTGGAGTAGCTAAAGATATGCGAGGCGCGTTGCGTAAATGGACACCGCGGGACAAATATTTCAAATATCAAAATTTCCCGAAATAATTTTGTTTGTCATTATTCCTGGAATGTTTGGCGAAGTTTAAAGAAAATCGGTCAAATCTAATAATCCTATAAATTTGCTCAAAGTGGTTGTATTCCTCCCAAAATCAATCGAGATTTTAGCTCATAAGGGTTCGCAAACAACTCGCGCCACGCCTCGAGATAATCTCGCCTCCTGAAACCGCAAACCAACGAGACAACGGGACCTCCTGGCGTCAATGACGATGGATCAAGATTTCCCGGGAAAGTAACCCATTGCAGAAACGTTTTTATATCGCGGTCGCTCAGAGGAGCGTTGAGGAGGACGACACAATATTGAGCAAGGTTGCCAAAGCCGAAGGCAAAACCCGCGGGAAAAAATGGAAAAACCGCAAAATGTGCTGAGGAGCAAGACAACGAATCGACAGACAGCTTTCAAAATTACGACTCGAGGCGATTTTCAATGTTTTTGTATCAAGGCTGGTACTTGCATGAAGAAAAGAAAACCTCATCTGAGATTATGACGCCTTCCTTATTTATTAACATTTATTTGAAAATATTTATTTCTAAATAACTCAGTTACTTTTAAAGATTTCAGAAAATTTTTCTTTTATGGAAACGTTAGGTTGAATGTTTGAAATCAGTGTAGTCAAATAAAACAAAAATCGTTTTTTTCGGCCTCTGAAGGTGGGAAGGAACCTTAACTCGAACTTTCGAACTCCCCGCTAACTCGAACAAGATCGGATTTCTCTTGGATTTGTCCGTATCATTTTTCCACTCATTACTATCAACTCACTCGAACACAGTCAACTGGACCTAATTTTACTTTCTCTTCAGTCACGTTTACCCTGATAACTCGAGCTTTAATGAAGTAAAAACGTCGGTCGATAAACGTCAATGCCAAAATGAGACTTTAAGTCTCCGGAACTAAGATTGAACCGCGCAAAGAAAACGTACGTGTTAAAAACAAATTATTATTATAATGATCAAATTTTACTTTTGTAAATTTTTTGAGTTATATACTCCTAATCACTATTTTATTTAGTAATCCATTTTTCAAGTTAAAAGATTGATTAGATTTTTGACAGCAGCGGGCACAAATGAATGGTTTCACTGCGTTATTTTAACTGATAAAGATATTGTTTCGCGATAGTTATTTAATTATTCAGTGATAAAGTGTTCATCTTTCTCGTCCATTTTCCATTTGTCTCCGACGCAAAGCAAGGCTAAAAATTCATACGAGACGAAAAAAATACTGCGTTAATAAAATACTTCCTTGCAACATGACACAAATAATTCTCAGATTCGCAGACGTAGTTCAATTCAACGAACTCTTGTTTCGACTTAGTTTCAGTCGTAATGTTTATTGAGGCACGGTGTCTCTACCACGCATGACAAACGAATGACACTGACTACGTCCCTCAAACTGACTAGTCTTATCTATGGACATCTCCTACATGCAAGACTGTGTTGACTCTAATAACCACGGAAGGAACATATTAATTTAATCTAGTACTTTTTATTCTCAGCTTACACTTTCATCAGCAATATTATTGGTAGCAACTTCTAACATTCATGGCACAATCAAGCATGGTCTTATCTCAGTTAAAATCAAATAACTTCAAGCGGGGAAGAACACCGCCATATTTACCTACAGGAAAGGTATAAGTAAAGAATTGATCATGAAAGATACTTATTCTGACTACTTATCGACCTTGGAACACAAACATAGTTGACCAGCACTTCGAAAAAAAAAAAAGAAAAGGTAAGTACCCATAAGAAACTTGCTAACTTAAAATAGCAAGGATAATACTAAGTGTACCTTGAATTTAGCTACGGTCTGCTGACTGTACCTTGTAAGACGTTGTCCTTCGGTTTCGTTGTTCATACCTTTTCTCGAATAAAATTGAAAATCCGAAAGAGTTGTCAGCAAGGTACTAACAGAAAGCTGAGTAGCAAATAAACGTTTAGTCAATGAATCTAAATATTCTCTTATTCAGTTTAAAGTGTCAATTCTTTGATAGTTCTCTTACTTTACGCTTATTCTTATTTTTAAAACTGATAGATATAAAATTAAGTGAAAGACTCAAATGTTACAAAGTAACACAGAAAATGTTTTCTTTGGTCGTTCTTCCATTGAACAAGCCGAATAAATTGTAGTTTTAAAAGATATTAAAATATTGTAACGTTTCTTACATTTGTCATTTCCTTCGCTATTAAGATGGTTCAACATCCTCTGATTATTGTGATGCTTCTCTTTACCCTGAGTGCATGTCATTCAGGTAAGAAAGTGAAAATTTTCTTTCTAATCTTGTTTATAACTATTTGCTTCTCAATCCACTTGCAATTGGTATTTGTCCCTTTCTTGAACTTAACCAGTTGGCAACAGTTATGGATACAACTTTCTAATGAAGCATTTTTCGACAGAGTGTCTTAAAACCAAAACAAAAATTACCCTGACGGCCAATCAGAACAAATGGAATATCACAAGAAGCCACTAAGAACTCAAAGCAAAAACACGAAAACGACCTGAATAGCGAGAAAACGCAAATAATCGAGTCACGATTGGTTAACGATCAGTTACCCTTGAATATGAACAGCTGATAGAGTAGCCCGAGTTTCCTGCGCCAATCTGGTGTATGATTAGCGTGCAAAAGTACTAAGCAAAACCAATGCACTTCAGCATTACTTTCAACGCTCAATTGAGAATTGCTCTTACAGCTTTCTTCAATCATGATTATGTATTTCACTTTACCTTTTTCTCCGGGCGCGGCAATGTGCAGCGTCTGATCTTTGCCAGGACTCAAAAGACTGTCAGGCTTCCTTTAAACCACTGGGATGCTTCAAAGACAAAAGCCACGAACGAGCTCTACCTCATTACATCTATAATGAACGCGACGACTCCATAGCCAATTATGGCGGGCAAAATATCGACTGGAATGACTGGGAAAACTATCTGCCAGGGTTCGTCTGCCGCTGTGCCAAGAAAGCAAAAGATCTGGGTTATGACTTGTTTGGAGTGCAGTTCTTTGGTAAGTGTTATTCATATAGACATCCATCTCGAGTAACCCGTTTGAAGTGACCAACAAATTGGAATAGCAAAGCAAACTGGACAGAGGTGATGTCGAAACCAATCTTTGATATTTGATTGAAGGGTGAAGAAGTTGCAGGATCGTAAACTATTCCGAATGTGTGTGCATTTTTCGCCATAATCTTGATTAGAGTGACATTTTATCATGACATACTCGAACCTCTAAAAGTTTTCAAGCGGTCAGCCGGAAACAGGAAGCATATGTGGACACGCGCGACGTTGTCCAACGCGGCACCAACGTGATCACCTGAGGGAGCAGTCATTTTTTTTTTGGGGGGGGGGAGGTCAATTGGTTCTAAGGGAGAACGGAAGGGAATTAACTGCCAATGAGGGGGGGAGGAGGGGTATATGTATATTACAGAATTTTATCGTGACACAACCAAAATTCTCCCAACCCCCTCCCCCAAGCGATAAAAGTTGCCTCAAAATGATTACGCCGTATTAGACATAAAAAAAGCCAGGTACTATTGCATAAGAAATAACTATGCATCAGCGATCAAGGCAACAATCGACAGTAGACTAAATCTGTAGCTAATACTTGGAACTATAATGATGTGAGTGCACGATTCCCTGGCAGAAATCGTAAAAGAGTCATTGCATCAGTTTATTCAGCTGGGTAGGTTGATGGGCTCCGACTCGATATCAATATCTAATTGAGGTATGGTACATTCTCTGCTAATAGGTGAATGTTACGCTGGAAGCAGCTCGTCGGATAAATATGACAGTTATGGCCCAGGACGGTGCAAAGATTGCGTTGGGACGGACATGAACGACTGCAATGGGAGAAAGTTTTGTGCAGGGAAGGAATGGCGTAACATGGTGTACAAGATTGTCGGTAGGCATCAATCATACAGGGTACAGTAGAATAGTGTGAGACTATTAAGAGACGAAGCACGTCTGAAAGTTTAGTTGTCCCGGATACAGTTTTATGAAGTTGACTGAGCGCTGATTGGTGGAGAATAGTTAGAGGAGTGGAATGCCGGATTGGGATGTACTGGAATGGGGATTGGGGACCAGTGCAAATAAGTCCATTCATACGCCATAGAGCATTCTGAGTGTAGTTTCTAAAATGGAGTAGATTTGACAGTCAGTAGTGTCACGTGTGCGTAAATCAATACAGAGGAAGAATAAGGCATTGAAGGATATAATAGGAAAAGTAAATTTAGGTGTAGTAGACTGTTAGAGTGGAATTGAATCGACTGCAGTGGGTTAGATTGCATCGAAGTGAATTGGGTAAGTGCGAGTAAAGGGGAATGAGTTGTTGCGTTCATAGCGAAAAGTGAAAAGGAATCAATCAGTCGCAGAGTATTGCTCTGTTGTACAGTGCAGTAGGTATGGTAAGAGTGGAGAGTTCGTGTTGAGTAGAGTAAAGAGGAGTAGAACGGAACAGAAGGGAAAGGAATCCAAGGATTTTTTTCTGTGAGGTGCTTTACAATGAGAAGGACTCCAACTTGAGGCATTGCAATGCAGAGCAGTAAACGAGGAAAGAAGATTCTGGTAAAATTGATGACTTGGGTCTAAGTGTGATGCAGCCCAGTATGGGGAATTGCAACATGTGGCATTGCAATACAGCGCAGCGAACGAGGTAGATTTTATTTCGGATATAATGGATTCAGTTTTTTGAGCGGTGAATCCGCTTTACGCTCAAAATGGCGTGAGATTCAGGCGACGCGGCTTTCATTTCAAAGGTGTATAGTTTTAGGTACTCTTGTACATTGTTGTACGGGTACTTAACAAACCAATTGTTAAACTATTTATTCAGATTTATGCAGTGTCCGCTTTGAGCGAATCGGCTGCTTTCATGATAACAAAGAAGCTCCACGCCTCCTGCCATCATACTTGTTAAATGACAGAGATGAGAATTTGCCCAACTTCAGCGGTCAGCTGATTGACTGGGAAAACTGGTACGAGTATCTTCCTGATCTTGTTTGCCGCTGCGCAGAGAAGGCGAAGGAAAAAGGCTGGAAACTGTTTGGAATTCAGTTTTGGGGTGAGATAATTATTCAACCTGTTTAACCAGTTGTCGAGGGCATTGGGACTAAGGCCCTTGTGTAACTCAGCTACAAAGAAAATACTGGCAAAGCAATGCAACAAATTTAAATGTTACCGTAGTACCTTCATTTGCGCTTGCGTCCTTCATAAAAACGAAGAACAACACTTCGGAAAGCGCATGATTTTCTTGGGAAACGAAGATAGACGACTGCAGCACCTAAAAGACACAAGTCCACTTCCTCATGATGCTATTTCTTAGCAATCACAGATTACAAATTTGAAATCATGACAACCACAGTTTACTTATTCGTTCGCGCCAACAATTCATAATCAATCTTTAAGCAGTTCATTCGAATTAAATTTGCGATATCATGATATCACTGAAGGTGTTCACGTAGATCAAAAGAAGGCTTTAAAGCCAGAAAAATAATTTCGTGGTGTATTCCATCACGAAACTGTGAAAATGCTGTGGTCTTAATGAAGAATTGTACAAATGCGTGAAGCGCCCCCTTTCTATGAATTCGATTGACAACTGTTCTTGGTCAGTGATGCTTTGATCAGTTTTGTTATTTTATTACCTATACCCAGGTGAATGCTGGGGTGGTCCTGATGATTCAGCGTTCTATGTTGAAGGGCATGCTCAACCTAGTGGATGTGCAGACCAGTGCTCTAATGACTGCGCCTGCTCGAAAAGATTTTGTGCAGGAAAGACATTTACCAATGCTGTATATGTCATCAGTGAGTATAACAAGGCTGACAGTTTCTGATGCAACTCAGGGTGTCCGATCACTTTTGACCTGCTTGGTTAAAAACCTTGTTTCCTCACTTCATAACCTCAATTACTCAATTACCAATTCAAAAGTATATAGCACTTCTTTTGTTACTCTTATATATCGGGAGTCAGGATTGTTTCTGTTGCACGTAACTGCCTCATAAAACTTATCAATGATTCCCGAGAATTTTACCACTGAACATTTGATACTATGTTAAAACAAAATTATGTAGTTGATAGTTTTTGTTGTTGTTCTCGTCACGTGGCTTACTGCTTAACATTTGCTTGGTAATGATCTGGGCTGGGGGAAACTCTCGTACTAATGCATGGCATCCTGTCTTATCATTCATATACTTTGGAAATTTATCGTTTGTCTCATAGCGGAACACATTGATGAAGGAAGCGCTATGGCTTTGGGTGGCTACCTTGTGGGGTAGCTTATCGCAGAGACCAAAGAACCCAACCAACTCAGAAGGATTGAACAAGAATTGTAGATTAAATGAAACTCAGTGAACACGAAATGTAGGATAAATAAGAATACTCAGTGAAAAATGAAATCTAAGAAACATTAACTGGTAGTCTGCGTTCTACTTGTGTTATGTATGCCAATATGAAGCAATCTGGGCGAAATGTTCTGTAAAACCAGCACAAGTTGATTCATATAATTAAACCAATATTTCAGTCCCGTATTACCGAAGGCGACTCTGCTTCAAGTGTAGTTACGTACTGTTTTTTAGGTAGGAAAACAGAACGACTGAGAAAGGGGTGACATCCAGATAATATCCAGTAACAATGGCTTGATAATAAAACTAGAAGGCACCAGAAATTTCTATTGTGTCTTTTCTAACCTTTTATGATCACTTCCTTCAAAAGAATATTATTCTACTTCATTCACTGGTATGGATAAAAAGTGTGAGACAAATCATAAGATACACGAATCGTGATTGAATACCAGACATTTAGTAAGCTTCACCATGTAAAGGATCTACTGCCAGCAGTTTACCTCGATCTCGATAAGGTCTGCTTCTAAGCATGAAAAGCTAACAACAATGGCTGAGGAAAGCAGTCAGAGGTTTCATGATCAGATAATTTGGTTTCCACAATTATCAACTGAGTCGATGATACGAATCGACCACCTTAAAGAGTTTCTTAAGCTGCAGTTTCGAGCGTTAGTCGTTTGTTCGCCCATCGTGATGACGAAAGGCTAACGCTCGAAACGTCACATTATAAATTCGGATGATAAACAAAATTATCTTGTGACAGTCTCACACACGCAACACTAGTTTCTTCGGAAACTTACTCTATTTATTCATAAATATTTCATGATTAGTTCATTTACCATAATGACGAAAGAGAATGCTATCAAAGGTGCAAACAAATGTTGGAAGAAAGGAAAGAAAGGCAAGAAACGATTAAATCCGACTCACTTAACAGAAAAAAGTATAATTTCTGTTTTACCGATTTGAAGCTAAGACGAGTACAGTTTATGCAAGCGGCGCGATTTTATTTCACATGAAAATTTTAGGGTTAAACAAGGGCGAACGAGCTCATTTAAATAAACGATTGACTGGTTTGATTGGGAAAGTGTTGGATAAGTTTGATGCTAGTCAATGATTCGCCAAACAAAGATTCCTTGGCTTTTTTTTCTTTTCTTTTTCGAAAATAAAATAATTTGTTCCATCTGTCCTTTAAATGTTAAGTTGTAATTGATACTGTAACTTAAGATTAAATTCATTTTCATCAATGCCATCTGACAAACATTTGCTAATTAACCAAGTTTTCCTTATTGCTCCACTTACACGAATATTCACTTGATTAAATTTTACATTTACCAGTGAGGTCAGAAACAATAAAACATGGGAAAGTTTACCAAAAAAACATATTGCTCTAGCTGTGTTTAAATTTATTATACCCTAGGTGTTCCCTCCAAAACTGTTCTAAGTATCAATATTCTTCAGAGTACAAACAGACGGAGATTTCTGCGAGAAGGGTCAAGGTAAGGATCCGAAGCTCTCCGCTTGCTTCTCAGTTGTCAGGCCTTATTAGAGAAATGACACAAGGAAAAAGTATATAGCACACAATTAAATTGTTTTAGAGTCAGTTTGTTGTAAAGCGGTTGGTACATGTTCTACGAATATATGCATTCATTCGGCTACAATCTTACTTTGACTTTTTTCTAGTGTTACGAGAGGAAAATGGTAAATTCTGCGTTAGTCTTCATACTGGCGATTTCTCTAACGCTGATAAAAGGTAAGAAAAACTTGCCCCCTTTGAAACCAGTCTCGCGAAAAATGGGAAAACTTCTTTGGGGAAAGAGAATTGTTACAGGATTTCCAAAGTGCATTTCTAGTCGAAAAATAATGTCGGGAACTTAAGCAAAGAGAAAATATAATGCGAGAACGTATTTGAGAGACATGTTATGAACTAATTAATATATATGATTGTCCTTTGCTTTACAGTCAACTAAGCGGCCACAAGACTCATTCAAGCCTGTTAGTGGCTATCATTGATTCCATTCCTCTGCTTCCTTTACAAAGAGGGGAGGGGGGGAGGGAAGCAGGAAGTAGGGAAGGTTATGGTATTGAGAACGCTCGCCTCTCACCAATATCTAGGGCAGTGGGTTCTACGCCACTCCAGAGGTGGCGTTATCGGGTAATTCTCAATTAACTGCCGAAAGAATTCCGTAATACTTTCACTTTGGTATCGCCGCCTCGACCGGTATTTGATTGATTGAGGGAGTGATGCAGGCTTCCTACACTAATAAGATAGCTAAGGTAAATAAAACCAACGCATTCTAGTATTACTTTCTGCATTCTTTAATCTTAAAAATGTGCTTCACCCCATCTATTACTCGTGACGCGGCAATGTGCAGCGTCTAATCTTTGCCAGGATCCAAAAGACTGTCAAGTGTCTTTTAAACCATTGGGATGCTTCAAAGACAAAAGCCACGCACGTACTCTTCCTCATTATATCTATAATGAGCGCGACGACTCCATAGCCAATTATGGCGGGCAAAAGATCGACTGGAATGACTGGGAAAACTATCTACCAGGGTTCATCTGCCGCTGTGCCAAGAAAGCAAAAGATCTGGGTTATGACCTGTTTGGAGTGCAGCATTTTGGTAAGTATTAGGGGTAGTTAGTCGAAGCGGCTTCACTATACTATTGAGACCAGGATGAGCTCTGATATGATTTACATACTAGCTCTAAGCATGCTTTGAATTTGTTTAAGTAGTATCCCTCGGTATTGATATCTTATTAGGGAATGTTACATGACCTACCAATAGGTGAATGTTACGCTGGAAGCAGCTCGTCGGATCAATATAACAGGTATGGCCCGGGACGGTGCAAAGATTGCGTTGGGACGGACATGAACGACTGCAATGGGAGAAAGTTTTGTGCAGGGAAGGAATGGCGTAACATGGTGTACAAGATTGTCGGTAGGCATCAATGATAAATCATATTGGGTACAGTAGAATATTGTGAGAGTACTAAGAGTAGGAACAGTGGTAATAATAAGGGTAGTGAGGGTTTAAGTTCAATGGAATTAAGTCAAAGATGTAAAGTGAATGCAACACATCTGAAAGTTTTCAGTAGTTGACCCGGATACAAGTGAATGAGGGCGAGCAGTGATTAGTGAAGAACAGTGAAAGGAGTGGAAAGAAATGAAGAAAAAAATGGAATGGGAGAAAATGAAATGGGTGTGGGGACAAGTGCAAAACATTGCATCCATATGCAGTAAAGTATACCTGGTGTGGTTTGTGTGACGTAGAGGATAAAAGGGGATAGGAACAGAGTCAGCAGAGTATGGAATGGAAGGAACTAAACACAGAGAAAGAGGATGGAATTGTAGGAGAAGATTTAGTAATGATAGAGTAAAATTATCGAAGTAAATGGGGTAGTTGCAGGCGTAGGGTAGCGAATTTCTGTGGCATCAGAGGTGCTAGCGTAAAGGAACTGATTCCTGATAGTAATATTTGTGAATTCGTGTAGAGAGGAGTGAATTGGAGTAGTATGAAATGGAAAGGAAAAGAATTCAAGGATTTCAGTGTGATGCCTTTGAGTGGGGGGAATTGCAATTTGTCAGCATGGCGTTACAACTCAATAGATAAGGTAGTTTGGTAAAATAATATAATGTTTTAATGAAGGGAACCATTAAAAGCTCAGTGAAGTGAGGTGGCTTTATTTGTACGGCGTGAAGTTTTATATGTTCTTCTGTAGTTTTGTATAAGCCTATTAACACACATTGTGAAACGGATTTATTTAGATTTATGCAGTGTTCGTTTTGAGCGAATCGGCTGCTTTCATGATAACAAAGTAGCTCCACGCCTCCTGCCATTATACCTGTTAAATGACAGAGATGAGAACTTGCCCAACTTCAGCGGTCACCTGATTGGCTGGGAAAACTGGTACGAGTATCTCCCTGATCTTGTTTGCCGCTGCGCAAAGAAAACGAAGGAAAAAGGCTGGAAACTGTTTGGAATTCAGTTTTGGGGTGAGATATTTATTCAATATGTTTCCTCACTTGTAGAGGGTCTTCGGACGCAGAGAATTGAGGTCCTGTTGTTCTCTTATGAATCAAATGATCCCATTATAAACTTAGCCACAAGAAAAATCTTGCTGAGTTAGTCCAACAACTTTACAAATTGCGTAAGTACCTTATTTTGAGCATGCGTCCTTCATACAGCAGTTTAAGGAACACAAATTTCCACAGCTTATGTCTTATTGAAACAGAAGAAAGAAAATCGCAGCTTTTGTGTTAAGCAAATACAATTCCCTTAGATATAAATCTTCAACAATCACACATTGCAACAGCCATAATATCATCAGCTTGTACTTATTCGAATGCACTCACGATTCAGTTGATCACTCTTCGTGCATTTACTTAACTTTAATGTGCAATATGTCGTCTTAAGAGTGCTCACGTCAACTAAGGGAAGGCTGTCGAACTGACGGAACAGAGAGTTCGTTCCACACACTTTCATGAATGCAGTAAATAGCAAAATAAATAAAGTTCTGCCTTTTTTCATTTAAATAACTGCTCATGAGTCACTTCTATCATATATTTTGTGCCCTTAACTCAGGTGAATGCTGGAGTGGCCCTGATGACTCAGCGTTCTATATTGAAGGGCATGCTCAGCCTGGTAGATGCGAAGACCAGTGCTTTAATGACTGCGCCTGCTCGACCAGATTTTGTGCAGGAAAGAACTTTACCAATGCTGTATATGCTATCAGTAAGTAAAACATGAGTTGACGAGTAACGGTGAGAATTCGTTTTTGCTTCAAAACTAGTATTTTCTTTTCGTCACATTGCGGCCTGCATAAAAACTGTCAGGTATTGATCTGAAAAGGGAAAAAAACTCTTGTATGAGGGGGAAAGGTATGTTGATCGAACATTTTGAACTAAAACCCTACTTAAGAGTCAAATCAACATTATTTATGACCAATAATTACTGTGAAGCAAATATCCAAGTGAGAGGCTAGAGGGTAGAGGGTATCTAAACTGTCTCAACTTATCGTCTCGGACCATCTTTTAACTGAATACACTTTACAAATTAAAGCTGTGCATCCTTTCTTATCATTCATAAACTTTGATACTGTATTGTTTGTCCCGTAGCGGAACAACGTATCGATGAAGGAAGCGCTATGCCGGACAAGGTCAACATTCTGGGGTAGTTATTCGCAGGAATCAAGGAACCCAACAAACTAAGAGGATTGAACGACAACGAAAACATATTTAATTCAGTGAAAAAGAAACTAGATGACATAAATATAAAATCCAAAAAACAAATATTCTCTGGTGGTCTCTATTTTGCTTGTGTTAAATATATATATATATATATATATATATATATATATATAGGAAGTCTGCAAGTCGATTTTCGCGTGGAACAGTGCTCAATACGTTGAAGCAGAGCAGAATAAATATTATGAGAGGAAAAAAGGGCGCAACTACATTTCCCGACAAGCCTGTTTCGTGAATCGCACCCCTGAAGAGTGAAGCAATTCACGAAAAAATAAACGCGCTCAACGCATCTTAACATGAGAAAGGTTTTGCTACTAGGAATGCAAACGACGTAATATACGTCCCATGGGACTCTAAGAGTTTTGCACATGCACAGGAACACATTTCTGATTAAATAAATGATTGATGTGATTAAAAGAGAGGTGAACAATTTAACCCTTAACACCCTAACATCAATATTCATATTCTCCATACTGTGCTCTGGACATTTCCTGAGGTGCTGACAAGGAGAATTTGTTTAACAATCAAGAGTTTCTTTAGTTGATCATTTCCTTTATTCTCATAACATTAATGCGTGATTCAGGGATGATATTGTAAGGAGAAATTAGATACTAGTCACTCTTAGGGGTTACAGGGTTAATGGACAATGATTTAACAAGGTCAATCACTCACAAAACAAAGAGGTTCTCGTTTCCGCACGTGTGCTCTTTTTTTCCTGACAAAAAATTGATGAGTCATTTCTTGATAGTTATAAATCTATTTTGTAAGAAGTTCATTATGAATTGCAACCCTATTCAGTCACAATTACACTGAACGGTTTACATACGCGACGACGTGGGGTCGAGGATAAAAATTTCCTGAAATTGTTTCCTATATGCATGTCCTCTAAGTTCATGGCTGATACTGTAAATTCATTTTGAATTTATTTTCATCAATTCCATCTGACAAACATATGTTAATCAAATTAACCGAGTCTTTCTTATTGCTCAACTTGCACGAGTGTTCCCTTGATTAAATTTTGCATTTACCAGTGAGGTCAGAAACAATCAGACATGGGAAATTCTATAAAGAAACATATTGCTCTAGCTGTGCTTGAATCTATTCAGCCCTCAGTGTTCCTTTCAAAACTGTTAGAAATAATTGTAATTGACAAGTCAAGCCATACTAAAGAATAAAGTTGTCACTATAGAGTACAAACAGAGATCAAACTTGAACAGCTACTAGCGAATTTCCCAAAGCGGCTGGGTTCTTTACCAACAGTGTCTTTGAGACCTTGCTCGGTGAGTAGAAATTGACTTTCTGCTTTTTGTTGTATTATAATTTACATTTTAATTACATTTACAATCTCTGCACTTATTCTGAAATTTTCCCATATACAATTGTAAACGAATTATATTCTTTCAGACTGAGATAGGTCACGGAAACTTTAGCAGTCCAGAGTGATCACGGAAAAGTATACGTACGTCAAATCTATTTGAGGCATTGGTGCATTTCAAAATTTTTTGTTTTTGTTTTGAGGAACAGAGGAAATGGATGAAACTCTTTCCTAGATCACGATAATGATCAGCCAACGTCTTTCCTATACAGATAGAATTATTTCCTTACGTAAAAGAACGTTTCTTTTACAATCCATGTCCATGTTTGATCGTATGAAAATAATGCGGATTATCCCAGGAGTGACGTTAAAGTAATATTTTTTACATTTACTAAGTGGTAAAATAGCGAGGTACTCCACGAAAGGCGAACCAAAAGAAATGAAAAACCCGGAGTATTTTTTTCTTGTGTATTAAGCTTCATGATTCCTATAAATATCAAGATGGTATGGGAGCATTTTGACTTCCACGCAAATATTCCTTGGACTAAAGTTTTACCTTTTCTAACATAGAGACTTTCTGGCACTACGAGACGAAAATGGAAAATTTCGTGTTAGTCTTGGTATTGGCAGTTTCCCTCACGTTGGTAAGAGGTAAGAAAAACTTTCCATCGCTCGTTTTATTTCGGACCTGCGGAATAAAATAAAGAAAAGCAATGAACCTCGCCGGTGAGCTGGAAGCAATTGCACAAAACAAATCTGAAGAAAAATTCAGCCTTCGAAGGGATTCGAACCCAGGCCTTCCAAGTTGGGTACTATCACTAACTGAGCTACTATGTAACGCATTGCAATCAACTTATTGACCTAACAATGATCAATTTATTCCTAGCTAATGCCGACCCGTGTCACTGTGACACCACATTCGAACCGGCGAGATGTTACAAAGATCGCACTGATCAACGCCTGCTTCAAAATTATATCTTAAACGAGAGAGACCCAACATTAAGCAACTATCGAGGAAAATCAATCGAGTGGACAAATTGGCAAAACTACTTACCAGAATTCATCTGCCGCTGCGCGAATGAAGCCAAACTTCTTGGATTCGACGTTTTCGGTATCCAATTTTATGGTAAGGAATTCTTTGCTTCCATACCTTCGCATCAACAGCATTTGTGCTGCATTCTATACGAAAGCTTTACACCCGTATATGCGAATTTCACACACTTAGAGATTATGAAGTAAGCTCATATTAAAACCAACAATCATCGTTATCATCATTTTTTCGTCAGCATATCGTCCGCATGATGTGCGATATTTCTTTGATACTAGTTGGTACGATCCTGGGCTACCTTGGACGGAAGTGCTCTGATATTAGGAAGTCACCTTAATTAGTATGAAAACTAATAGAGTTCAATTAGTGTCATGGATCAAGTTCATAGCATTGATACACAAAGATAGTATATCTTACTATTAAAGGTGAGTGTTGGGCGGATAAACTGTCAGTCCTGAGACAGAAAGGATGGATCTCCCGGGAACTAGCAGAGCCAAGCGACTGCGTGGATGGTCAGTTTCAACCTTGTAGCAACACGAAGTACTGCAGTGGAATTCGCCACAGAATGATGGTCTACCATATTGTTGGTGAGAACAACCCCGTATCTTATGGTCATTCTCTACTGTTGTTTTATTCATAGTTACCACACACAACTTGTGTGTAGGTGAAGCGCACCCCATAAAAACAGACGATTTTCTTTCTCATCTCTAGAAAGGAAAACTGTTACTTCATGCAAGGGAGCACGTGTACCAATTTGTTCTTTTTCCTAATTAATAACTCAGAACAACACTTGGTACAGAGTAATAAAAGGCAAACGGCCAAAAGGTGAATGTGGTCAGCACTAGTTATAGTGAATAAAATCATACCTTAGCGAGTATGGGGACCCTCCCCCCATTCCCCCCCCCTCCCCTCCCCTTCGTTCCCGCTGGATTAAAAATAATAGAGGGTCGGCACGTTTTGAAAAACAAGTCAGGTTCAAGAAAGTTTGATTACAATATTAACGCATGTTCTGTTTCAAAGAAAGAGTCTTAACTGAAAATACAATTCTTCCATTGGCAATAGCCAAATTTGAAATCTTGTTTACCGCAAAGCCCTCTATGGGTTAAATGGCATGCTAATGCGACCAAATTCAAACAAAAACCCAGTTAACGACCCATATTTTGTAATTTACTTATCAGTGATCTCTTTCAACAGACATGTGTGACATTCATATCGAGAAACTCGGTTGTTACAGAATGAGATTCCAAAGTCAACCCTTCCTACCTGAGTACGTCCTCAATGACAGAGATCCCAAGGCGCAAAAGACCTGGAGCGGGATACGCATAGACTGGCCTAACTGGTATAAGCATTTGCCAGACTTTGTTTGCCGCTGTGCACAAAGAATCAAGCAAAAAGGATACGGATGGAAGATCTTTGGCATCAGAAACTGGGGTTGGAATTGAGTATTAGCGTTTCTATAATTTCCCTTTTGGGTACTTAGGAAAGCGAAATTCCTCATAAACTCATGAAACTGCACCGATCTCCTTCTAATTACCGTCAAGGTGGCCTCCAGGCTATCTGGAATTGTGGAATTAGCACATCTTACCGTAGTTAAACAATCCACAGCAACACCTAAGGTTATCATTTATGATTAAAATTGAAAGCTTGATTCTTATGCTGGATTTTAATTTTCTTTCATGCAGGGGAATGCTGGAGCGGTAATACCACATCTGACACCTTTCTTCTTCAGATGGTGGCCAACGTAGGCGAATGCAAGAACCAATGTTTCAAAGATTGCAAACACGATGATCCATTTTGCACAGGAACAGATAACTCTAATGCCGTTTATGCAATTGGTAATGGCTAATGTTATGTAGATCTTCAGTTTAGCGGCTGTACAAGCGTTTAGATAAAAGCATTCAGATGAAAGACATGTGGGAAACGATAGCTTCTTATAGTTACATACTTTTATTTTTTTTCGTTCTCATCAATGCCAAAGCTGTTTACCACCTAAAGGTGTATGTAGTTGTCCAAAATCAATTTAATTTGCATGAATAAAAACCCATGAAATAAAAATCGATAAAAAAATGCTAAACATTATCCTTGCACAGCGAGTGTGTGACTTTATTCCCGCCATACTTAGTTCTTGACATAAATTTTTTTCTTTATAGTTGACAACTCAAATGAGGCGGGAAGTGGATGATGTGATGAAATTATGGCCTACGACTGAACTTTTAGCTCACTCAAGCATAATGATTATTGATCGTCGTGTTGGATATGAGAAGTCTTCAGTTATCCCAATAGACCTCTAGACTGATCATATAACGTATACTGAATTAAAAGAGGTGAATAGTAGAATCTAACAGGTTTGACTCGTTGACTCTAAAGGCTGGCAATCTGCGCACTCGAAAAGCCTTGATTCCACCATCGTGTATCCTTCACTTGAGCAAGTCTAAATAAGCCCCTTCGATGTTGGATAAGTATTCATGATAAATTTTTCTGACTCTTTTTATTCCCGACTTAATGCGAGTGCTGCTTTTATAACCGTTTCTAAATTGATCCTTGCACCATTTGCCATTCTTCCCTTATCTGGCTACTGTCCCCTATGACCAGCACTTGTTAAGTTTCATCGTGCTAATTTCATTCAACCACCCCTTCCATCCTTATCGCCCACATTTCCAAAACCTTATATCCACAAACACACACACACACCACATAAATACCACGAACTGCAGCTGCAATTGGGGAAGTCATTCCTCTTTCTGCCGAAAAAAATTCCTCTTTACCTAAGAGCAACAATCCATTCCAAAAACTCAGCCAATTAAATTTTTCCCATCTTCTAGGGAGGAGAGGGTAGAAAATGTTTTCATCGAATAAATGTGCGAAGCAGATTGAGATCTTGAGTTTTTTCACAAAAAGTTAGGCGAAACTAAGAGACGATGGAGACAAGGCGATGTTGTTATGACAGCAGGATCGGCATTCAAACGCAGACGAATAACACCCATGAAATTTCTTTACGTTTTAAATAATATGTAATTTGCGTGGTTTTCAGATAAGAATCTCAACTTCAATCTGCATAATTTTGCTCTCGATGTCTAGTTTTAGAGAGACAACACGGAAGAAGTTTGCTGACTGTTTTTGCATACTTTGTACCTACCCTCCGATCTAAATTTCAGTTCCGTGCATTATCATATTTGAATTGTCCTTTCCACAAATCACGACTTCCACTATTCCATCTACTACCAAAGTCAAAGTACTCCCATTGGGACGTTTCTTTCTAAGAGCTGATTTACAGCAGAAGACTCATAACGGCTCTTTGTCTTGAAGTCTCGAATTAATATTTAAATCTTGTATTGATTTGTCTAAGGTCCATTAATATTCCCATTAAGAGTGCTTTCGTCACGAGATGACTATCGCTCTGATCTTGGAGGTATTTAATCAGCCCATTTAAATGTCTCATAAAATAAAAGACGTAGATAGAATTACCTGTTCTGTAATCATCACAAGATAACCTGAAATGTGTCTGGTTAAAATAAATTACGGACCCAAAGGACGACCTCCGAACTCAAAAGTATGAACCATTGCCCTCTTACAAAGGAAAATTAATACGAGCAAAATTTTGGATCGTGCTACGAGAAAAACACCGTAATTGACAGTATTATAGCATACAGTAGGTGTTCGACATTGTCAGTTATCGAAAAAACAATGATTCTATGCTAACGCGAGAAAGGAGCACTTACTAGTTTACTTGGCATAAACCAGGATGGATGCACCCAAGAGTTGGACAACTCTCAAAGATCACACTATTAAATTTTAAAAACTTTCATTACAAATGACTTCTACGACCTTTCTGTTTAAGTTTCCATTTTTCTTTTCACTTTCTTTATCCCCACAGTCCATTGATTCAGTGTCGCCGAAAAGGCGCCACCTACAGGGTAACACAACAGCCTCTTCAACATCTCCCTTAGGAACAGTTCGCATGAAAGGACAGCCTAATACTTTATCACCTTTATGTTTTCCTTCGTCGTCCAGCCACAGTTTTGTTTGATAACAAAGTTATCATTTTAAATTTTAGGGTGCAAAGAGGACCATAATCCGGGGCACTAATGTTTGACAAAGTTCAGCTGTTTCAAGAGTTCAAAAACAGATCAGAAAAGCCCAAAAAAATGGCAAATTTGAAAAAAAAAACTTCAAAAAGGCAACCCTAAAATTGGTTTGACAAGCCATACAGTACATGATTCATGCCTAACGTAAACTACTACGTAGCTACTACAAAGGAGGATTATCAATTTCTTTATCTCTATGATAAGCTGCAGGCTGCATCTCTTACAGTTACACGTGTGTAGGAAAAAACAGAGGGATATAATTAGAATGATACTATACGCACAGCTTTTTAGCTGCCTTCAACTGTTTTTATTTTTGTTAATTTTAATCACTTTATGCCCATGATTTAACAAAAGCGTGATAACATGGATCACTAAAATCTCCTTTGCAAGACAAAGAAACGTGACCTCATATAGCTCTAATACCTTTGAAAACAAACCTTCTGCACTATACTCAACAGATACAACACAACGAGAGTGCTTTTGACCAAAAAAAAGTTTTTTTTTTTTCATCGACTATGAGTTATTAATTTACAGGGGTCGTCTCTTAGAAGACATCGCCTCTCTCTTCGTGTAACTTCATATGTTTCTTTAGCGAATTAACCTCACTGAAGCGCTTCTTACACTCCTTCAATCGACACAAGAAAGGTCTGTCTGAGGTATGCACATGCGAGTGCTTCTTCCTGTCACTTGAGTTGCCAAAACGGCGTCCACAGTCGGGAAAAGTGCATAGAAATGGCTTCTCTCCAGTATGTGTCCTCTTGTGTATTTTCAGATTCTCCGCACGTGAAAATCGCCTACCACATCCAAGATACATGCACATAAAAGGCTTCTCCCCAGTATGAACTCGCAGATGGTTCACTAGCCTGTAGCGTTCCTTGAATGGAAGCCCATTCCTGGAACAGTCCTTCCAACGGCATACGTATCGCAGTGAGGTGCTGTTGTAAATATGAAGCTCAGTGACATGGCCTACCAAGTGGTCTATGGTGCCAAACACTTGATCGCACACAGAACTAAGCTCTTTATCATGATGCTGAACTACCCAGCAGCACTTTAGTGGGTTATGAGCCGCAGGCAGAGCCAGGCTATAGGTGATGGGTGGATCCACAGCAATTCCCAACCCTGGCGGTGCTTTGTAACTCGCAGCAAAACTCTGAAAATTCAAGTTGCTTCCATCGTATTCTTTTCTGGGAAAGGTTAGCTGGGCACTTTGAAAGTCTTGATGGGAGTTATCCCAGGCTTGAGGAGGTATTCCATGCTGGACTGTGGACGATAATGTACTGCCCGTGAAGAAAGCTCCTTCGTAGCAAGATATTGGTATAATATTGGTTTCCAACTCGCCAGAATCTCTTTGAGGCATGGTGTGAACGATTTGGTCACTATCTCTCATAGCTGAAGCGCAAGGGGAACCTTTGAAAAAGCTGTGGGGCGGCGCCCCACGGAAGCCTAAGGTGCACGAGCTCGACGGCATAGTTGATCCGACCACGTACGAGTCTGAGGGCTGCAGAAAGTCCAAACAAGGCAACGCTGGAATTTGGGTAAAGGGCACACGAAAGCCGGCCATTTTACAAGCCTCTCTACGAATTTAAGTGAAACTGTACGCGAGGAGTTCAATTATTTGAGTGCTTCGGGTAAACAAAACAAGCTCTAATTATGTAATATCATACAAATCGACCAAGCAGGCCTGTCGATTTTTATCTTTAATCCGCACATCCTGATAAATGTTCACGTGTTTAATACATCAATCACTGAGCATCCATATCATTGTTATGGTAATTTGCGGCTACTCTCTTTATGGCGTATCTGCTACGAAAAAATAACGACGATCATATTTCAACACCTTTGTCTTAATCACGTAGTTCGGACAACGTATTGATTCGTTTCCAAACACGAGTACAACTTCGCAAGTGTAATAAAAACTTCAATCAACGTCTCCAAGATAGAAGAGTAAAAACTACGACAAGAGACAAGAAGATTTTCCGTCTCAACGAGCAGAATGAACCATATGCATTTCTAGCAACTTGTAAACATAGAATCCTTCCCTCTAATAATGGGAAGATGGACAATCGACACTAACAAAGGAAGTTTACCTTACCAAATTTCTGGTTTTTCTCAGCATGGCTAAAAGGCACCAAAATGTCGTAAACACATTCACAGGCACTACGATATTAATTAGAATTTTTAAGACTATCCTGTTTACTTAGCCGATAACATGCTTAAAGACCATTTTATAGTGCTGTTATAGATATTAAAAGATTGCATAAACACCAGCTACGTTAAAAAAATCTCACAACAGAAAAGGTAGCAGTCAGTAAGTCCGTCGCACAACGAAACGACACTTTTCATCACTGCATAAAGTGTCAGTCACAAGGTAAATGAATTGAGAAGAAAAAAATATTAGGGAGGCCAAAAATAACGGTGACATGATCGGCCATAATGGATTCATGGTTGTCCTTTTCACAATGAAATTGGGAGCTTTTCAGCTTTTTCGCATGACATTAAATTAATAGTTAAATTACATAATCGGCGAGTCAAAAAGGCTTTTAGCGGAAAATGTTTCACAATAGACTACCCTTATCTCAACTCTACAAAACAAAGAAATGAGTTTCCTCAAAATGAGGCGCTTTAATAACAAGATATCTTTCGGTACTTCTTATAAAACTGTCTTCTGTTAGCAAAAGAACAACTAATATCAAATTCAATTACGAAAGGTATTAAATACATATTCAATTTTCAAGTCAACTTTGAGGCTTTTAATTTCCTCCTCAAGTAATTATGGCTTGACAATATGCAAGTCGTAGGAGGTTTTCCTAATTAAGAAAAAACAACAAGGACAAGTGAAAAACTAGACCAGTCGTATTATGCATTAACTAAGGGAACATTACACCTCAATTAACCCTCATATGAATACAAAATGCCACAATGCTCACTATGTAACCAGAGAATCCTGTTTATTATTTTGAGACAATATTCAATCTAACGCGACAAAACTGCTAACAGTTGGAATTTAACATGAAAATTCACACGTCCTCTTAAAAACCGTAACCCTTTTTAAGTTTCTTTGTGTATCGTCCATATAAACTAACTTAAATTATAAATGAAAAACGAAGCAAAATTGATAAAAAAAAAACTACCAAGAAGTATCACTTAGGAATCTCACCATGTTTGTTGTTTAGGAAAAAATATATATTTATGCTTAGGAAGAAATGATTACTGTACACCAAACGTTGTACTCCTTAGCCTCTTTCTTGTCAATAGCTTTGTATACTAAATTTATTCTGTCGTTTTATTTTGGTTATTGTATCAAAAATACGTACATCGGTTGTTTTTCACATGGCAAGGGAGTCTTATCTCTAAAACTGAGCCTTGTTTGACTACCAGGCATTACAAGAGTGACGAAGACGAGGTTTTCGGAAGACCTTACATCAGAATTCACTGAGGTAAAATTTACGGGGCTCTAAACGTTTTCTGCCAATATTTCTGTCCCTTTACCTTCCAGAACACCCAAAGCACAAACAGAGTATGCATCAGATCCCGACATTATATTCAAGACAAATACCCGCGTATTTCCTTCAGAAAGATGAATGATATTGGAAGCTGTTTGAAGCTTGCCGCGAACACCACCTGTGACGTCATGTTCAAGGCTTGATGTTGTTATGGCGTTAGAAAATCCCCCATCGGATTTAACAAACACTTCTCTAAGTAATGATGCATCTAGAGATGGGATAGTAAAGGTGGATCAGCAATGCTGAAAGCTTTATGTGAGTTAGTAGAATAAGAAAGTTAGTGAGCGTTAAACTAGGTAATGAGCGAACGACAGATTTTCTTTTCCTGTCAAGGTCCATCTTATTTTGAGGAAAAAAATTATCAGTACTACAAGTGACCCTCTAGTCCCTGGCCCTAAAATCCAAAATGTCCCTTTACCTGGTTTTTCTGGAGGCTTGTCAAAAATCCCATCTACATCTGTCAAAAACACAACCCGTCTGGGTCGAAGCTCTTCCACCAGTTTCTAAAAGTCATAGGGAAAGATATCACATACTGAGACCTACATATCGCCCTAGAGCCGTCCTAGAACCCATTTTTAACAAAATACATACATGAACAGTCTTTCAGGCACAGATATCTAATGGCACCCTGCCCTGTGGCAAACAAAATAATTTGGTTTTATCAACTGAGTTGAGCCTGTGATAAGGTGAATTGGCCACCGTAAAGAGTTTCGCGCGTCAGCCCTTCGTCAGAGCGAAATGATCCATCTGAGAGAAGTGCCTGTAGCAGACAGTTCCCTCTTCTGAATGTCCCTTTAATACACGAGACTTGACGATTGAGGTATTTTGAAAAAAACTACAGGCCGCAGTTTGCAGTCTGCTGTTTAGCATGTCCTCGCTTTTCTCATTTAGATTCGCGGATACTTGTTTACACTTAAATCTTTAACATAAGAGTTCCGCGCGGCGCGTTAACATAACTTTTTTATTATTTTTTTTTTACTCGCCCGACGGACTCCGCCGAAAAGGGGAACTGCTCGTAATCTAATCTTGTCTAATCACCAGGACAAACCTCAATGATTTTGTCTCCACTCAGTATAGCACAACCCTGTGCATCATCCAATACACAGTCACCATGGAGAACTGGCACAAAACCCTCTTGCAAAAGTTCTATGATGGGGCTTAATGTCACTCTGTTGACACGGCCTTTCCTTGTTACCCATGATCCACAAGGCTTCAATCACACAGAGAAAAAAGGAAAAGAAAGCCATTACTTTACGATTCTAACTGATATTCCACTGGTTTCAATAAATTTAAGCCAGACGCATATTTCAATTGTTGTCGGGGTACCTATGGGGTATTCATCGTACCCTCGGTGCCTGGGGGGGGGAGGGGAGGGGAATAACCAAGTTGGTATCACTCCAGATATTATAGGAGCAGTCAGTGTGTTTCAAACCATCTGAAATTCTTTCTTCACGTGCAGTTGAAGATTCTAGTTTTTTAAGTTTCAGAAGAAACTTAGGAATTGTTATAACAGCCAACTACATGTACCAACTTCAACTTAAAGCGACCCACAGTTGGTGACACTGTAAACAGTTTTACACGGGTGGAATGGACATTCCTTGCCAATCAAAGCTTAGCTGCTTAAGAAAGGCGACTTTAGACCGGTTTAAAGGTCTCTTAACAAAGAAGATTTAATGCCACTCAACAGCAAGAAATATAACCTACTGCTATGAGCAAAAACGGCTCCTTTAGAAACCACTAAATTTGCAAAGCAATGATCAACGTGTGGCACATTTTCCATGGATAAGCCACATCCCTGATTTGTTACAAAACTTTTTGGAGAAAGGGTGCCTGTGTTAATAGTAATCAACCCATGTTAATGGTAATGATGAGGTATTCAATCAAAGGAAACGAATAAACATGCTTCTTCTGTTATGTTTTACATATTTCCTCTCATTTTTACCACCAAAAAGAATATTGAAAAAAATAACATCGAAGTATAGTTATAATTAAAACTGCTGGCCAGTCGGTAAATTCTTTAAAAGCACCTAACCAAGTCTGGTTAATATTATCAAATTGTGTTGGATTTCATATTGTGCAGGAAAATGTTTCTTCAACCTTAAATGCCCATAAGTGATAAAAATGAAACCTCTCCCCATAATATCCATAAGTTATCCAGCAAACAGGTAATGAGAATACTCAAACTTATGGAGTAGAAGCTGTTATCTTGATCTAACACCAAACTCTCATTATTAATTTACAAGGAAATGTCTAGCAACTAGAGGGGAGGATTAACAATCAGATCTCAGGAGTTAAAAATGGTTGACAAACTAGACTATGTACCAATTCAAAATGCAGATTTTTGAACCAAAGAGACACTTTACATTCAATAAAACACAGTTAAGAAGGTTTTGCACTACATGTGCATGTAGTGTGTAGGTCTGCCATGATTAAGAGCATTGAACAAGCATTGCACTTTGATAATTTTTCTCCACCTATAGGTTGTCACTCAACTACAAAACTGTACCTTCACCCAATATAAGTCATGTTTCAAGTGATAGAAAATAGTGACAGGATTCCAAATCAACAATCTACTACGGGAAGCTCTTTGCTCCGAAACTGCGGTTTCACAGGCCAGTTGGCAGCAGTACCAGATTGGTATAAGGAAGAAAAAGGTTTCAGGTTCATGGAAGCTCAAATCACTTTTTCAGGTTTAGCTTCCTGTGACGTAACTACAGCTTACATTTTGTAATCAATAATTGTCAACCACTCATCTTAAAAGGACTCACATATGATTTATGATAAAATATTTTTTTCTCACGGAAGGATTATCACATTTGTTACCTAAAGGACTGATTGACCTTGGCAAGTACACCTACACTGCACTTACTGAAATTCCCAATGCTGGAATACCATTGTCAACAAACACTTCGGTGATTATATGTAACAGCTATCAAAACAGAAAACAACCAAAAAAAGAAAAATGTTATTTTACAAGGACCAAATTACAAGGCTCCCTTTTCGAGGTACAGATACATATGTAGTCTTGGGGTCAAATAAAGGGCCTATTTTTCCCCCTCAACTAAAAACACAAACCTATTTTCAAGCTGTCACCTTGTACATTAATCAGTAAGTTGTCTGCAGTCATCCCATGTCTTTTAAGTCCAACATTCAAAGTTTAAAGTAAATTACGTCAACATGAAAATAAAATGTATACAACATGTTTCCTTAGGCCAAGAACAAACTTTTTAATATGATGCACCTTGGTCACCGAGAGCCTGGTTTTAGCAAACCCAATACGGCCCTTTGAAGTGTCATTTGAGAATCCATGTGCTGTTCCATACTCATGGGCCTGAAAGTGTCCAAAGGATCTATAATTCCAGAGGGGAAATACACATAATTATTAACCTTTTACATCAATATGCTTAATTTACCTATTTTTCTCTATTCATATCCAATGGTGAGGAGAATTTGTTCAACAATCAAGTCCTTCTTGAGTGTGTGGTCATTTCCTGCATTCTCGTAACCTTAATTTTTGATTCAGGAGTGATACTGAATTAAAAAAAATAAAAATAGATGTTAATCACTCTTACGGATAAAACAGCCAAACAGCATACTGGAAAACGGTACTGGTGAAACCTGGCTAACATGTGAGACAACCAAAAGTAAACTCTTCTGAAATGGCTGTTTAGGGGTGTTACAATAGTTGAAAGATATTATTCAACTTTGTCACGTTTTAATGTCTTTTGATTTTCCTAAGTCCTCCAGATGAATTTCTGCAGCACGCAAGAATACCTGCACTGTGCTTCAACCTACCCAGCGCCATGAATGACGATACATTTTCCCGCGGGGAGTTTTTTCACCAGCTCAGCCGCAGCTAAGATTGCCTCACGTTTGACAGTTTCAAAAACATTTTTGTGCGTAACTGCAGAACCTCCAAGTTTTATGACGACTTCTACTGCGCATTTGTCCGCCATAAACATGGACGGAGTAACAAGAATGATAGATTTCGACAGGCGTTCGTAGATGCTCTCTCCAGTCCTCCTCTGTAGGAGAGTTGGTACCAGCCTACTGAAGTTCCTCGGCCAAAATAAATGAATTTAGTATTAAAATGAGTTGGAAAGGGAAATAAAGTGGTCAACAAGAATAATAATGAAACAAAATGAAAAAAAAAACAACAAAAAAAAAAAACAACAAAAAAATCAACAGAAAAATAAATCAATCAAATACACAGTTACAAAAATGTACTCACTCGCACTAAAACATAATTAAAATTTTCAAAAATATTTACTTTCTAGGGAAGCAAATTGAAATTTAATTAAACGATTTGCGTTAACTTTGTTTACTGCCTCTATCTCAAAACAAATGGCAACAATATCTTGAATAATCTGCGATTTAGAACTACACCAGTCATTTTTCTGTGTTGTGAAAAATCGATAATATGCATAACAGTTCCATTTCAAGGTGCGGTTAAAATTGGCGAGCCTATTGTATACCAATATTTACATTAATTCGCTTGAATGACGCCTGATTCAATTTTTCAGATGATATCACATGTTTTTCAAAAGAAGTCAATCGGAATTTGCCTAATGCATTAAACGCTACATTTACAAGAACTGAGTGACATATTTGGTTAGTGGTTTCAGAATTTCAAAGACTTATCTTTCTTTCCACAGACCGCGACTCTTAGGAAGGCAGATGTTCTGTGCGCTAAATTAACCGCACCACTTTTCCTATAATGACTTTGATTCTTTTAAATATTTCATTGCACGTGCTGAGTACTGCACCAAAAGCAATGGATTTCGAGCAAAGCAAAATTTATCACAAAGACGGGAGCAGAATTCTCCCGCGGAGAAAATTCAAAAGAACAGTAGGCACCAGGCAGCCGGTCACGGGACACATCAACAAAGAGCAACTGACTCAACTGAAAGAAGCGTTCAATCTCATCGACCAAGATCGTGACGGCGTTATAAGCAAAGATGATCTACAGAAAATCTTAATTTCTCTCGGGCAGAAACCGACAGACAAGGAGGTCAGGGAGATGCTGAACGAGGTACAAGGAAATGTGGACTTTGCAAGATTTCTGTCCATGTTTGCTTCTAAGATGGGTTCCGCAGACCCCGAAGATCTAATCCGAAACGCCTTTACATGTTTTGACGAAGACTGCGATGGAGTTTTAAATTTCGACGATTTCAAAGAACTCTTGATGACGATGGGTCTGAGGCTAACAGAGCAACAGGTATCAAGGCAATTCCCAAAATTGATCAGTTGGTGTAGTTAATGCCTTCACTAAAATTAATTGGGTCTATGTTTTTATTTATGTATTTTTCCCGACTCAAGTACAAAGTTCTCAACTCAATTCAGTAGACTCGATTGGCCTCAAGAACGTAGCGAGAAAAAAAAAACCTCAGTCAACCAAATTTGCTAAGTATTCTGTCATTGCCTATATTATGGGGTTAAGCAATATTCCAGAAAAAAATATAAAAACGAATGATAAATGGAAGAAGCGGTGAATGACATATTTTACAAAGTGCCTTTCCCTTTATCTACTTCAGATAATTTTTCTTTCATATTTGCCTTAATTTTCTTTCCAATCTTTGAAGGTTGATGAAGTTTTCCTGCAAGGAGCTCTGACTGATGAAGACGGGCGATTTAACTGCGAAGACATCGTGCGACTGTTAAAATACGGAGAGGGTCTTAAGTGAGGAGGGGTGCAACAATCTTTCCTCCGAAGCATGCCAATCTGTGTTCTATGTAACCAGATCGTTTCTAAGAAACGCATACGATTTAAGAATGATCATAACATTAAAAGAAAAAACATGGCGTTTTGCGTGAAACTCGCTTTTCTTTTCAGTAAATTAGCTTAAAAGTTTACTCAGTCACTTTAAGGCTCAAAGGGAATGTTTATATGGCCCTGGGTACCAAGACAACCCTCCCCTTCGAGAAAAATTTGTGGAGAGTCTGCATCGAGTTGTGAGTTGTGACAGCGGTCCCCTCCCCAGTCTCTCTCGTGACAGGCAGGTTACATGTTGGACAAAATGGTCTCCGCTGACCTAATACACTAAAGCTCCGAAAACAATTTGAACCTTCTCGTCTCGAGCAGGCGAGCTGAAGTGTCTATATGAGAAAAAGTTCTCCCGCTTAACAGGGTTACACTACCAACCGAAGCGAGACAACTCGCCCTCCCGAGTATTGTCGCGGATACCCAAGACCATGTTCCTATTGTTAATTACAATAGGCCCTAAGAAATTTTTATTCATGCATGGAGACTTATTTTCGATACTTAGTCACCTTTGTGTTTTATGCACTAATCCCCATCAGGAGAAAAAAAATTTTATCATTTCCCATTAATTATGAACTACATCTCACCTAGAAAGCTTGCGTCAGTTTGACTTTATTTTGGCTTAACTGCGGGCAAGCCCTCATTGTATAGGCGATGCGGTACGAAGGTTTCTTCGCCCACGGAAAGTGTAGGGCCTGGAGCGAGGCCAGCCGGCTAGATATCTGCCTAAGGTTTAGTGTGGCAAGAGGATTTCTAGTTTTTAAGTCTACTGTGCTAATGCTGATGTAATATATAAAGTTCAACATATGGAAACTGCGGAACTTTTGCTAAGCTCTGCAAAGCGTAAAGTTGTTATTCAGCCAGCCGTAAACAGTTGTCTTTTGTTCGAAACTGTAATTATTTTTAAACTGTAAACGTTACCTGTATAAGTCCTTCGTTTAGTTTTTATCTACCTGTGTTGTTTTGAAAGTAATTTTAAGATCTAATTAAAGGCGAAATTCCTCTCCAGCCAATCGCTCTTATTAAAATGTATTAGATAGTTTAAAGCACGACCAAATCCTTTAGATAATTCATAACCTTACCTGACTCTTTGTATTTTAGGCTTAAATAGAACTGTGTTGTAAAGCTTTCTTTGGTCAGTATTTTGGTCAATTCTTTGGTCAGAAATTTGCCAGAACTGCAGATTAAAACGTGTGTTGAGGTCAAGTTTGCTGAAAGTTTTTGTCTCATCGATAGTAACCATCGTAACAGATCTCTACCTTCGTGCTGCCAACGATAGTTTTCCAGGAAGAGCCCTTTGACAGAGATTTTATTTTAGTTTGTCCGATGTCCGTCCCCGACGTTATTTGTGAAGGCAAAAAAGCCTGTTTTCACACTAGCAGTGGCACTGGTTCCCAGACTCGTTAGCGAAACGTACGGTTTCCGTTACCTGTAGTTGATCTATCAATGCAGTCTCTTTATGGGGGAGTAGCCCTATTTCTTAAAAAAAATTATATCAGACAATCCTTTTTTTTGCCTTCACATATATATTGGTACGGACATAGAAAAACTCAGCAATCTCTTCTTTCGGAAGGGTTCCTTCTAAGGGAACACTCGCTGGCTGCGAGAGGTTCGGAATCTATTAATTAATATCTTTATACTGTCGAACCAGTCGCATACGCAACCTCTCAATTCACAGGACACATCCATCCTAGGGAAACAAAATTTGTTCCCGATTCAAAATTTTTCCATAGCCAGTTCATCGGTCACTTTTATTGAAGGGAAACTTCTTCTGTTTTTCTGGATTGGCCCGACGAGCGAAGATCATATGTCTGTTTTGCAGTTCTTCCATTTTCTTCAAACAGAGGGGAAAAGTTGAGAATTTCCATAGTCTACCTTTCAGAAAGGTTAAGAAACCGATAGTGCTCTACTTGTTTATTTTATCTCTTGTCCTATTATCTCTTCACGTAACCTCTTCCTATTAGATGTTTTGTTCCAACGCGAATGGTATTAGACTTGCTAATACGGTATCTATTACTCCGAGTCAGGTGAACAAACAAAGCAATGAAACTACCGTCGATCTTTAACTCAGTCGAGAGAATGCTAAGTTTTGTTTTAACACGCGCTTGGCTGAGACTGTTTTTGTATTTTGCGTTCAGTTTCTTATTTTCCGGCCTGCTCTTTCTTTTGCGAGCCAAATTTTCCTCGACGAAACATATAGGAGCTAATTACGAGTTCGAAAGAACTTCAACCGGCGTTGTTAATCTGCACAATGTAATGCAAAAGATCGCTTTGCCGGATAGTCAAGGGAAAATGGTGTACAAAGCTTTAAGAGAAAGAGAGGTAAGGACAGGATTACCTACAAAGCTCCAATTCAGTAAATTAGGTGGATCTGTTCATATGGCGAGGGCTACCAAAGAGGAACATCAAGATTCTAAAATTGGGAAACCAGGAATGATTTATCCTTACACTAAAACCACGAATTTAAGCCCAGGTACGTTAAAACACCGTCCACTTCAAACGGAAAGTATATCGACTTCGTCAAGTGTTAGCACCGTGAAGGCTCAAGCGACAACGGAGAGGTCAACAGCGGAAAAATACCCTACGTTGAAAGAAAGGTCAAATCTACCCTCGCAACAAGAAAAAAACCATGTCTATGGCGAACCGGGATGTCCCGATAACCCCTGGCGGGATGCCGGTTTGACAGAGCTCTTCCAAAAGTGGATTAATATTTCCAAGCAATACAACATTGAATACGTTCTGTGCGGAGGTAGTCTCTTAGGGGCGATGCGAAATAACGATATAATCCCGTACGATTCTGACATAGACGTCTTGATTGATATCAATTATTTTACGACTATGAGAAGGCTGGCTGAGAGACGAAATTTTTCACGGTCAGACAGGAAGATCCATTTGGTACTGCAACCAGAATTCACATTGAACATTCCAGTTGAAAAGAGGAAACGTTATGATTGTCAAGGCAAGGTATGTCATCGGTAGATGTCCTTTTAAAAACAGTCGATAAATGATCAATCGTTTATCTATTTGTTTACTCATTCATTTATTCTGACATCTAGCGGCCCTTTTAATTCAATAAGTCTGGCCTGTAGGCTATGTGACAATCACGTCCATTTTCGACTTTTCGGTTTTTGAAAGATGCTGACATAGTACATTGTTCGTTTCAGACAGTCAGATTTTAAAACTTTGTAATGGCGCTAAGAAATTTTGAAAAGCATTTGCTTTATTTTGTTTCACTTAAGTCCCCCACACAAACATTTACCTGATCATCCTCATGTTATAAGGACTGAGTGGAGCACAACTCCTCAGGACGAATAATTCCAACCTGGCGATGCCCGATCCTATCAGTTAGCTTGTCAAAAGACATGTGTTTAGATAGTAATTTCATCTGTAGGAACACAAAAACATTTTGGTTGCTTTGTCTTCCTATTACAGGTGGCGCCAAAGCTTATAGACGAATGTTCTTTCCAGGAGCCACTTGGAAGACTCTTCAAGGGAAACTTACACATTGACTTTTATCACTTTTACGATAGAGTGCTCTTTGTAGACGATCCAAGCGACGATAAACTCAAGCAGTACCCTAAGAAGGATTTTTATCCCTTTGAGCCGTGTAACTTCATGGGTTTTGAAGCGTCGTGTCCACACAACCCTTGGGAAATTTCACGAATCTACTTCAATACTGACGATTTCCTTGAGCCTATTTATAAATGCAAGAATGGAACTTGGGTTGATGTGAACGGCAGAGCTGCGTAAGAGTTTTTAGATCATAGTACAATGCAGCCAAAAATACCTTTTTGGGGGCCTTTTTTGTGCGATATCCCGCTTTAAAAATATAAATAAACAATAACAACGGATTAAAGTATTTACGTGCCATTGGATATATCTTAACACACTGCCCCGTGCGTGGATAGTCACTAGCAGGCACCGTAAGAGTGCCTTCATGTAAAGGTTTCTAAGTTGAGAAAGAAAACAGACTATTAGAAATAAAAACATTTTCAGCTGTAGGTAAATTATTAACCCATAGGTAGATCTTCATGCACTTAAAACATCACATCAGCTTTGACCCCATGAGAGTGACTAGCATCTAATTTCTCCTTACAATCTCGCCCCCGAATCAACAATTAGGAGAATAAGCAAACTGCTGGTTTTAGGGTTAAAATGGTTAAACAGCACTTTGTGTATATTCCTGCTGTCTTAAAGTAAACTCAGTCTCCAATAAAGCGGGCAGTTTGCGATGAATTATTCACTCTGTAACGATGTCTGAGCCATGGGTTTCTCGACTGAAATAAGTGTTGAGGATCCTGTGAGGAAACATCTGTTGTGCAGAAGTTAGGGGAAATAACTTTCGCTTTTTTAGGGATCCAACGCGTTTCGACTTCGAAACAAAGAGCTATAAATATTTAAAAGTAAACTGCATAACAACAACGGGGTATTATGCTGGCAAGAGCCAAAAACTCGTCAAGATAGTCAGCGCGATCGACGAAGATGGATTAGTTGAATATTTTACTCGAACTCAAAATCATTTAAACAGCTGTAAGATTCTGTTGCGCAACTTTATTCCCTAATATGGTTTGAGTTTTATTTCAGTCGAAATTTTTGTTTGTACATCACCAGTGGTTGTTGTAATTATTTTATTATATGCACAGACTAAAAGGAATAAGTTACCAAAGCCTATGTCACGCAGTGTGAACACGAAAAATTGCTTTGTAGCCACCCACGTAATTCTGAGGTTAACGGCAGACCAGTGGCCACGAGGCAGAAATCTGGTCATAGGAAGAGGTCCACTCAGATATGGCTTAAGGAAACAATGATTTTGACCATCATACTTCCCTTTAGTGGCCAAGAATGAAAGGTAAGTTTCTGTCAGACGCTTCAGTTCGATCCCATATATTCAATGCTCACCCGTTTCCGGTGGATTAATGTCACTTTGTCCAAGAGATACGACATGGGAATTACTCAACCATGCGTTCAATGCTCCGTGTCAGTGATCTAAAATATTACATCATAAGACAGTGAATATTGGGAATCCTTTGAGACCCAGGGGTTAACCTACAGAATACAAGGCCACTTTAAATCATCCACCAAACGAGTCGGCTCGTTTGGCTCATTTACTTCTTTGTTAACAATGCTGAGCCAAATGATCCAGTGAATAGATAAACGTAATACTCAACTTGCATTTTCATTACTCCTCGTTCTTTCATCCAGTACCAAGCCGAACGAGCCACTAAATGCATAGAACTGAGACTTTATGCATATAGATTGTTCCTCGTTCTTTTACCTAGCCAAACGAGCCACTAGCTTAAGCGTATATTCAATATTACTCGTTCTTATTTCCACTACCAAGCCAAACGAGCCTCTAACTGACACGTATATTCAATATTACTCGTTCTTTTATCCGCTGCCGAGCCAAACGAGCCACTAGATATACTTCCTTCAAAAGTGGCCTTGTATTGTACTCTTGCTCCAACCCAGGTTCGTTTGCTTCACTAAAGAATCACGTTCGTTTCACGTCGTGCCTCGAGAGGACAAACTACCACTTCTCTCTTGTCGGTAAAATAGCTCTCAGGTCCGGATCCACCGATATTGGAATTACCATCGCCTCGAATCAAGCTAACAAAACCTCAACACTCAAACACAGTCTTAATTAGTATGCTGTTTAATCACCATATGTATTTGTATTTCAAAATCCTAAATTAATTACCCGCCGAGTTGCTTTCGTATCGTAGATACAATAGCATTAGATTCTACTTCATCGATCATTTTGCGATTTATAACGTGCACGGTGATTTGGGAAACGGTTTTCATATACTTATAATTTCATCGCTAATAGGAAAAAACAGAGAAAGGTGGTTACGAGAAAGTTTTGTGAATTACAATACCTCGTTCTTTTCAAAAGAAAATGGTGTTGCGTGACATCACCCTTATATTGAGTTGTGATTAAATATGAAGTGACTTGCAACCTGCAAGGGCGTAGCCAGCTGTTCGATTTGTCGTAATATTTGTTTCAACATTTACAAAAGTCATATTACAAAAGTAAAGAAAGTGGAAAAAAAAAACTGCAGGCCCATGGGCCTTAAGGCTGGCTGCGCCGCTGACCTGCGATAAGCAGTTCTTCGTTCGAGAGAAGCGCCATGGTTTAGCAGCACAAGGGCTTTTGACTTAAGATTTATGAATTCAAAGTTTCAAACAACCTTGCAAATCATGGAATGCATTGAAGAATATCAATTGCTAAGAAAGAAAATTTTTTCCTAAGATATAAAATGTATTCAGTCAAAAATTTCGATTAAATTTTGCTTTTTTTTTGCCGGATAATATATCAGCTGTAAGCAAGCGAGGAATTTTTTCATGTCAACACACATGGAAGGATGAGAGAATTTGATAACGCTATGCAAATCCGAGATGCAACGCCACTACCAGGTTAACCGTTCGAAAGGGCGTTCAGGCTGAGATTAACCAAAATTTTAACACCTTAAGAACACATCTTGGCTGAGAGTCAGTAAAGAACATCTTCATTTTGCTCTTTTTATTGTGTGAAAAGTTTGAAGGTAAAAGAAATGTAAAACTGCGGTCTAACAAGACAATAAACTCAACTACTTTGGGGCCTTTTTTTAACATTGACGATGCGGTTTTCTTATTGCACGATAAGCTGAAGAACGACCCAGTTTGTAGTCGAACACAGTCTGGTCACGTCCGAATCAATTTATTTAAATACTATACCTCACAACTTTGAGAACATGTTAAGAAATTTTTGTAGGCGCAAACTGCGAAAACAAAAATAAGGATGTTCAGCCCAAGCCTTAAAATTAGACGTTCTCCCTTCGCAACACACAGGGAACGAGATTGGGTTACATTAACCCTTTACACCCTCACATTAGCATGCATTTTCTCTTTACTGTTGTATGCATTTCCCGAGCTGCTAACAAGGAGAATTTGTTTAAAAATCAAGTACTTCTTTAGTTCTTGATCATTTCCTTTATTCATGTCACCTTAATATGTGAATCAGGGTCGGTATTGTAAGGAGAAACTAGATGACAGTCACTCTTAGGGGTCAAATGATGTGACGTTAAGTGTTAACACTGAGTGCATGAAGATGAACATATGGGATGGCAATTTACTTACATCTGAAGCTATTTTTAAAAATTTTAGTGTATTTTCTTTTTTAACTTAGAAACCTTGAAATAAAGACTTTTACCGTCCTCAAATTGGAGCACTGTAATCATCACTACTGAAATTCTGAGTGAACTGAAGATTGACAGCATCCCACTGATGACAGCCTTCAGTGCTCTTCAGACTTGGAAATGTTACTTCTTCTCAACGTTTGTCGCGGTTGGAATTTTAAGCCTCTTTTACATTTTCCGGCTAGAAGTGGCTGATTCCTATATCTTTAAACAGTTGTTTCGAAAGAGAAACGTACCTGACAATGAAACGAGCTCATATATAATGATAAATGAAACTAATGCAGAGATTGCAAACCACATTTTCACAAATGCTTATAGACCGACCACGCCCGCATCAGTTGAAGAGGAAAGAAGTATTGGAGTTCAGAATGTAGAGATTACAAGGCCCGGGTTCATATCTTGCAAAGGCAATGCAACATGGGAAGCATACGGGGACTCAGATTGTTCTGATAACTCAAGGCGAGACAATTTGTGCCATCTTCTTCGTGCCTGGACTATTGCAGCCAAGGAACACAACATTATTTACACTTTAGCTGCAGGGAGTCTTATTGGAATGCTACGCAATAACGATCTAATTCCCTGGGATACAGATATCGACATATTCCTCCACGTGAAATATTTCCCGCTTTTGCAAAAATGGGAGAAAGAGAAAATGTTTACAAGTCTTGAAGAATCAATCTATCTGGCGACTCAGCCAGGACCAGTAAATAATGTTCCCGAGGAAAAAAGAACTCGTCACAACTGTAACGGAAAGGTAAGTTGGCTCCTGAAATATATCTCGGCGGTCTCACTTGAGCACCACTTACAAAAAGACTTCAGTATTAACCCACTTCTTGTCGCACGTGCGCGGATGAGTATTATGACAGCAATGTTTCAAATCAGTTGTTCTCATGTTTACTCGACCTTCCTCTGGGTTCCCAAGCGTCCACCAGGTTTCCCCAAAGCGAAGCTTTTAAGAGTTCTGTAAGGAACTGAAATGTTTCGGCCCAGACCCGACTCCTCCCAAACCTCTCACAGGCTCGTTTCATTCGCCGGCTTAAAACCTGCGGGCTTCGCTGCACGTGCCGAGGCACTTATAAAAGACCGTTCGTATGCTAGAACACAGCGGTCGAACGTCGAGCATGCGCGACGGGATCAATTTGGTCGGCCGCGCTTCATTTTCGCGCGCAAAAATTCAAAGGAAAACATAAGAACCAACCGCCATCTCGCAAGATTAGCGAAAGATTTCTGAAACTTTTATCGAAATTTGTAAAAGGAAAACAACAGTATAGAAAAAGAAAACTGGAGGTCAGAGCTTATTTAAGTCCAGGTATTCGGCTGGTTTACCATTCTGTTTTGAGCTGTATCAAAAAAGGTTATACACTTTTAAAATAGCGTGATTTACTCGCTTATGTGGTCATTTGTAACTCGTTGATTCAACTTAGTTCCGACACTCCTTGAAAAGGCGCCACCTTATCGTTACAGCGTTCGCACAAGCGCAGACGTTTGACAGCTGTTTTGTATGCTAGTCTATTACTAACGTTCTGATAAAGCCCGGTTTCCTGATTATTCTGCAAATCGTCAGGATTATCCTTTTAGTGTCAAAAAAAAAAAATTCAAGACTGCCAAAGTATCACATCGACCAGACAATCGGGTCGATCACGTTAGCCCCATTAAACAGAGTACTATTCGATTGTGTGAGTCTTACGGGATAATCTGAGTAGTGTTTATAAATCATCGTCCTGATCGTCTCGAAATATTTGTGCGACAATTGGGATGTTCTCGAAGATCATAAAACTGTGGAAACCAGGCTTTAAGTGACAAATTTGTTATTCCAAGTCGTAGAAAGTAAAGCATCTGATCTGGCCAAGGTACACATATCGTCAAATTTTGTAGTGTGAAGTTAACCTTTTCCTTAGACAAATAGCCAACAACCTCCCATATCCGGAAACTCGGGCGAGTGTGGACTATAGCCATATATTTAACACCGAAAACTTTCAACGCTTCTAGGTCATAAGCTTCTGATTTAATATTGAGCTATTTTCAACCACTTTTCAGCTTAATGTTGGCCAATTGGCAGTAGCTGTCGATTCTAATGACAACATTAAGGAGTACTTACATATTACATTCGTGGTTCCTCTCCCTCTATCGAGTTAGTCCCAAGCCTGGGCCCTACCCCCCACTAACCTCCCCCCAATTCCTCCCCCCAACCCCCCCCCTCCACTTCTCTTTTCTCCTAAATGTTCAACACTATGGCTTTTGTTCGGGAAGTAAAACGATTACAGAATTATAGTAATTTAGTATATGGAATTTGCTCATGCAGGTTTCCACTCACCCTAAATACGAAGACGTTGACAAATTTGTGATTCTCTTCTCATCAGGTGACGTCAAGTTACTCAGACATGTGCTCCTTTCTAGAGCCTATGGCGAGGTTAATAAGAGGAAATTGCTTTATTGACTTTTTTCATTATGAAGAAAAAGACGACATGGTGGTAGAACATAAAGAAAATCTTGCTGTTAGCATGCATAAATATACAGATTTCTATCCCTTTAGGCCGTGCGTTTTCATGGGTTTTTCAGTTTCATGTCCAAACAAACCCTTAGAAGTTTTACGAGTTACTTACAATAGTAAGTCTGACATGAAGAAACCGCCCAAAGTTTGTAAGAATGGTAACTGGGTTTCTAATAAATGAAAACTAACAAACAAACTTTAACCTACAACTTTTGACTTGGTTGTAGAATGGCGTATTATTTTGTCACTAGTGAATAGGTTTTGTTTTTTACAGGACGTTCTTGATTTTAACTTGATCTACCGGTTTGCACCATTTTTCGTTCTTGATTTTAACTTGATCTACCGGTTTTGCACCATTTTTAAATTACCTGTCTGTATATGTGACTTTTCCAACACGTGTAGTTCAGTGGAGTCGCGAGTAAGGAGCTAGGAGTTTCAAGTTTCAAGTATTTCCTATTCGATTAGGGAAAATTTTTATTCGATCAATGAACGCCAATCGAGTTTATAAAATTGTTAATCAGCCAAAGACTAGTTCTAAGTGAGGTTTTGGGAGTATAAAACTCATTAAAGAGACCATATTCATATCTAGGCTTAGTTTTAAAGAGACTGACAGGTAATCTGTCCCGAGGAAAATTAATCGAGTGTTGCATGGTTCATGCTGAAAGGGAAGCGGGGCTGTGAATGAATAATGTATGGTCAGGAAGGCTGGGTGTGGCGACAAGCGTAAACAGCGGGACAGTTGAGGAAAAAAAAAATATGAAGGAGTGGGGACCCTTCCTTGAAACCCGCGGATTTTCTCTGACCCTTTCTTTCGTTTGGGTCTGCTGACTTTTTGAGAGCCTGCCACTGGCTCTTTTCAGGTCGTCTTTTTGTTTACATATGCAGTGGGAAAACCAAAATTTTTAGTGGTTGGGGTGAGATTTCAATACAGCCTCGTGCCTCTGAAGAATAGCACTTGAGAAAAATTGGAGAGGGATCACAAAATGTGAAACATATAGAGTCCTATTCCTTTAAGGAAAATCCAGTAAGCTGATGAGGTTTATCATGAGATGTGACGAACTCATAAGCTTGTGGAAACGTTTACTTTACCTACTCCTCTCCTGTAATTTCTTTTCATAATTTTCCCCAATATGCTCGAGCAGATTTTCCGAGAGTTCGGTATACTAGCACATTTCACCATTTCTGATATTTTGTGGAAGGCTAAGTAATATCCATTAAATAAACATTGCAAAGACTTTCTTTCAAGGAAGCATATCTTATATCTTCAATCAAATGCCACATCGAGTGCGCATCATTTTGTGATTTCGTGTATTTTTCATCATTAAATGTTTTGATATTCCTCTTGTAAGACTCAAAAGAAAGACCAAAGATTTCAAAGGTAAAGTTTTCTTCTTGAGTGCTCTCAACGCATGTACTCCTTGAGATTAATCTATCTAGTTTTATGTGTAAAAATTTCCAAAATTGTCTTCTTCCTGCCATTAATAGATAAAAAGAAATACAAAAGCTGACTAAGAACTCGAAATTTCTCAAGGAATACCATGTTCTACACAATTCATTCACTACTTTAAAGAATCTTAATTTTCAAAATAGCTTCATTCGGGTCTTATTCAAATCATTTGATTATCATTTATTAAGCCATCATCCCACGGAGGATAACCTATGACATCTAATACCGAATTGTTGCTAAGCATCAGGATGTACCGTGCAAAGTATAAGAAGGTGTTTGGACCAAAATGTCCATTGTCACGATGTTCATCCCGGTAATTTCATGTTTAAAATAAACATTCTGAAGTAAAAATAATTTTCACCCTATGATAAGCAAACTCATTTTCATCGTTAAATACGGATTTCTTATGCAAGAGTAGCTGCAATATACGCGGGGAACAAAGGGATTATCTCCTTTTTCTAAATCACTAGGAAAATGGGTTTTTGTAGGCCTCTTGTTTAAACGTCTCTGTCAACTGTTGTATGCCCAGTGGTGTCGCTATTTACAGATCAGTGTAATGGCTTTGTAATAAAACTAAGGAAATTTAAAGATCTGATAGGCATCAAAATTAGTGTTGAGTAAAACAACAACGTTATCTAGAATCAATGGCTGGGTCTTGCAAAGGGAAGCAAAAAAAAATTATTTGTAGCCATCACATACCTTAAATTTAATTTTTAGAGCTCTGTATATTTAATTGTTCACAGTCATCACTTGACCTTTAGAGAACTAGTTTATTTTAGCCTTTTTTTTTAGTCATTTTGAGTTTGAATTTTAATTTAACCCTTGCTCACCAATGTGTGGGTTCGTAGCTCAGTAGGAAGAATCGCGCGGTTCGAATCCCGTCTAGCCTGAATTCATTTTTTTAGACTTCTTTTCTGCAGTTTCCAAAATTGCAGTCATCCTGCGAAGATATTTCTTTGCTCGACGTGAACTATGGCACCATACAGTTAACTCTCGAAACCTAACTGTTGGGAACCACCTCAAAAGGGCCCGAGAATCATCTCGGAGGTGCGAGGAAGAAAAATAAAAATAAAGTAGAATGTTTTCCAAGATATACTTTGTGAAAGGAAGTTACATTTTTCTTATGTCAAAAACTTGAAGGTCATGGTTTTCTTAAAATTCTCTTCCGACTTGAGCTTTGAACTACCATTTGCCAAAATAGCCATTTACACTCTAGGGGTACCTTCTGAGTGGTTGCTGATAAATGTGGTTGTAAACTAGGTTCTATTTCTTTGAAATGGTCACTGATTTTTTCGGTAAATCTTGCAGTAGATTGTGTTTGCATTGTATGATTTATCTCAAGAAAATGGTGTTTGATCTTCCGCACGAAAAATCATCTGCCATGAAATTGCGAAGCCAAATGTCGCCATCGTTGTTTGCTGATGTTAACGTGCGGTAATTGCTCACTAAATATTGAGGTTGCTTGACGCTGATCACGAAATTTAATTTCAGGGAGTTCACAAATAATTTTCTCTCTTATGCACGAAAAGAGCAGTGAGCACATCATACGTTCCCTGATAAATGAATGTAAGCAACTTCTCGATTTTCCTACAATCAACATGGAGCCTGCCTGTGTGAATAGAGGGAAGGGGGGGGGGAACTCCTCCCAATATCTCTTTAAAAATGTGCTATCATTTTTACACAAAAGGAGAGGAAATGGTATGTTTTCAATAAAAACAACGGAAATTATCGCGTAGGATGATTTGAATTAAAAGTAACAATCTCTTACATCTCTCATTTTTTACGCTGCCATTCCACTTCTCGAGAGACCTATCGCATTTCGAACGTTTTGCTGATAAAAATCTTACTTGAGGAAATTAAAGTTTTTATGAATTGGTATAAATATCACTCACTTTCATGTCGTAGACGGAAGGGAAAACTTTAATCGCCTTTTCTTGATATTCGTCACTCCTGAGGAAAAAAAAGGTAAGTTCAAACGAGGCTAAAGCTTTTATCTCGTAATTCTGGAAAAACTAGATGTTAGATACCAATCGTGTACTTTGACTGATTCCAAATTCGAACTTCATCGATGTTATGAAATAATGCTGGATCATCTGTGCCTCAGCTTACAATTTTCGTGTTAGTATGGCAGTTTGGAAAAGAGCCATTCTCGCGCGAGCCGAGTAAAGGCGGAGCCCTACAATTAAGAAAATAATGTGAAAGAAAGCCATCTGTTTAGTGACGAAAAATAAGGATGGATAATAATTTTATCAGCGTAAGATTAAAAACACACATACACTCATAAAGAGTCTAATATTATTAATTTTTTGACCAAAGGACAATTTCTAGTCAATTTATACCGTAAGCTTTCAAATGAGAAGTTATCTTTCTAAAAATGCAAAATCGCCATTTGCAGAATCCGCTCTTAAACTGATTTGCACACCACAAGTTCTGTAAAATAGTAAATTCAGAGTTAAATAAGGCCAGTCATACGGCAACAGATAAGGCTTCATATTTTAACGTTGATCCAATTTATATATTCGCCATTAAACAACCTATCAACCTTTTCAGAGAAAGAGTGCATTTGTTCATTTTCCTTTCTAGGTAAAGGAGGACTGAGTATCTTTGGAAATGACTTCGATATTATGGTTGGCGTTTTTCAGTGAGTACAATTTTTACGAGACGTACAACTCCTAAGTTATAGTTAAACCACCAAACACCTAAATGCTTTTAGACTTACTTCCTTAATTTGTCTCTTCCATCTTCATTTCCTTCAGCCTTTTCCTTTCTTTTTATTTTGCCTTTCTAAATTAATGCTTTCTGTTTCCTTTTATTTATGTTACGAGGTATCATCCATTTTACTGCTGCTGGAAATATCTGTCGGACAGATTGCGAAGTTCAGTTTGTACCGAAAGGATGTTACAAAGATAATGGAGTAAGAGCTTATTCATTTTCATTTTAAAAAATATCAAAATAAATGACTGAATAAAGTTCAGTTGTAGCGTAGGAATTTATGAAATGCCGGAGCCAGATTTAAAAATGTGAACTAAATGTTACATGACCTGTACTAATTTAGTAAAAGTGAAGCGTGCGAAATTAAGCACATGAGCATTCAATAGGAAAATTGTTGATTTGAAATAATAATGTTGTATTGTCATTTTTGTTTCATTCGTACCTTCTTCCACTTTTATCCCACAAATCATTAAAGTTGCAAAGTGATACACTTGTTCTTCCTGACATGATTAAAACAAATACCTTGATCGCTTGCAATCAGTGGAAGAAGCATTTGGCGGAATACTGCTAAACTAACTTTTCCAACAAAGTCCCTGGATTCAAAATTTCCAAGCCAATTCAGAAGCCCTTCCCACTTTCCATCCTGCTTCCTTCGCTTGAATCCTGTTATTCAACTGTTTGTTTGAAAAATAAACATTGAGTAAGTGGTCGGAAGGGGAAGGCGAGTATGCCAATACAGCCTGGGAAGAAAACACCCAGCGTTCAAAGCATTTTACCATTGGCTGTAAGTGTAGTTTCAAAACAATCCAATCCTCAACTGGTGAGGATTGGATCCTCAAGTGTTTAGATTTCAGGAGGTCTCAGTCAAATGAATCAATAAACGCAAAGTAAGATTTCTTTGCAAATCTAATCAACAGAGAAATCGAGCGCTGCCTAATTACATCTACAACGAGCGCGATCCACGGGCCAAGAAAACTTATGGTGGCAGAAGGATTGATTGGTACAACTGGAATGAGTATTATCCCGGCTTTGCGTGTCGATGTGCAGAAAAAGCTAAGGCTCAAGGATACGACCTTTTTGGTGTTCAGTTTTACGGTGAGATTTAAATTGAACTTCTTCCATTTATGATGTAATACAGCAAACCTTTAATTATTTCTTTAGTTTATCATTTGTCATTATACAGCGCTCTGTGTTGAGGAAGAGGCCGGCTCTTTAAGTTTTTTTATGCGCTGAATCCTTACTTTTTGTCCTTAGGAGAATGTTGGGCTGGACATAGTGGAAAAAACAACTATTTAAAGTATGGCGAAGATATAAAAGGATGTATTGAGGACAGTTTCTTGACATGCACTCCATATAGCCGTTACTGTGTGGGTAAACAGTGGCGCAATATGGTATATCAGATTGGTAAGTTTAGGTTTACTTCCTGGCCATATTTTGGAAAGACAAGAGTCAGAAGGTTGTAACCCATGAACCGAGACCGAGTCACACGGGAGACTCAAGCAAAGACGGTGGAGAAAAAAGGTTTAAATTAAAAGGAACTACTGGAGTTTGGCAGAAAAAGTAGAAGATTTATGCCATGTAGACTCTTCATATTTGCGCGTTTTCATCACCTGTGCTATGTTTGTTGAATCAAAACGAAAATCAAACCCCAAAGAGTGGCGGGTGACGGGTTCCTCTAGACCTCCCAGATAAGCCCTTTATTGATATCACCTCATCTATTTTTGTTTGTTTTTTCTGATATCACAGTGGATGCTACATGCCCTAAGATCAACTTCGAAAGGGTTGGCTGCTTCGCAGATAAACACCAACCATTCGCAAGACCACTACCAGACTATCTTTTCAACGACAGGGATCCCAGCATTGATAACTTCAGCGGAAGGAGAATCGATTGGCGAGCCTGGGATATTTATTTACCAGAATTCGCTTGTAGATGTGCCGAGGCGGCGAAGAAAGCAAATCACACTTTCTTTGGAGTGCAGTTCTACGGTAAGTGTAAGAAACCTTGCATTGGACTTTTATTCACAGCGGTACTGGCTTTTTCTCGCTTGTTGGCGAACTTAAGCTGCATAGGTTGCGGTCAAAACGTTAGCAAGAAGCGTCTATGACAAACCCTCAACCTGAAATCTTACCTCAGAGGCCAAATCACATGTCCCAGTGATTTGTGCGTTCATCAAGGATTATTCTTTTGACCTCATGAATTAATCTCAGCTTCCAAACTTTTAACCGTAGTCTTGACTTAACAATTCTCTATGCTTGTGCTGTTTGTGTTAAATTCGTTGTCTTTGTCTCAAAGGAGAGTGCTGGAGTGGCCTCAACAGCCATATGACCTACGACATCGATGGCCCACGACAAGGTGGCTGTATCAACCCGTGTTACCAGCCCTGTGCCCAACACAACAAGTTCTGTGCCGGAAGAAACTTTGAAAACTTTGTGTATAGAATAGGTAAGAACTTAGAGAACAAAAAAACAATGTAGTTTTGCTTCCCATCATCATAAAGGATGTATACCAATTTATTAAGGGGGTAAGTTTCTAAAGAAACTGTGGTGCTGCGTTGGTGGGAGAGTATACGGCAGGTAATTTAGTGTTAACAACTGAGTTGAAAACGTAAATTGGCTACCGTCACGGTAAAGGGTAAAAAAGCTGACGTTTCGAGCGTTAGCCCTTCGTCAGAGCGTTCGTATACCAATTTATTACCTACTGTGGTCTGGATCCCAAAGCGTAACAGAACCCTTCGAGAATTATCTTGAAATGTGCCATAAATTTTAATGCAAGCACCATCATTTTCTAATACTTAGTAACCCCTCCGCACATACGCGACATATCTAAATGGTGGGAACGCGCGGTTCGCAAACAGCCATTACTTTGTTTGGCGCAAAACTCATCATCTAAATCAACAAACCCTTTTCGAACAGATCACAATAGCATGAAAAAAAAAAGGACTAAGTTTATGTCACGCTAAAATAGTGGCGTATGAAGCGAATTCGCGACAGATGAAGGAAAATGTCCTGAGGTTAAGCGGGTCTAGGAAGGATGTTCGAAGCTGAGTTTAAAGGGCTGAGATAGAATACTATGGTTCCTTCTGCATACTTCTCATTTACAACTGATGCATGCGTGCTAATTTAGGCGCCCAGAGGATGTTTTCGATGACCAATTTTCCTTACTTGATTGTGTACAAAAGAAGCGTTTCCGAAGTTTATGTAGCAATAAATTTGCTTATTAGTTTTCGAACTAGTTCGTTTTTTTGCGGCAAGGAAAACTGAAGGTTATTTCACGTGCATGATTTACCACCTCAAAGTGTTTGACAGGGATCAAATATCTGCGCATGTACTGGTATGCTCGAAGAAAGCAGGAATTAAAAGGAGTTTTCGCCCATAGTACTTTTAAGAATTATTTACCACCACTTACTCACGTTTGTCATCAATTCTCCCTTTTTATTCGAGAATGATAAAATGTATTCATTCTTGTCCGTTCGTTTATCTCGCTGATTAAAATTTGCTTTGTTGGCTCTTTCGATTAAGCAACTGTTATCATGGTTTCTTTTATTATTCATAAAAATTTCAATTTACTTTCTTTATCATCTTCTAGTGGACGGCTCATGTGAAGTAGATATCAGCCCCGTAGGTTGTTACAAAGAAGACTCTGCGATTCCCGCCATGGGAGAAATCTTTCACAACGAAGCTGCACCAGATAAGCCAAACTTTGTCGGAAATATGATCCAGTCTGTTGATAATTATGAAGCATACTTCCCAGATTTCCTATGCAAATGCGCCAGGAAGGCAAGAGAAAACGGCTGGGAGTATTTTGGAGTCAGAGAACTGGGTAGGGAAATAGGAAAAATATCTGATGGTTTTCTTGTTGGAGAAGTAACGATTTCGTGGCTCGTCAATGCCGGCGCTCCATGTTTGCTATATGATAAACATATTTGCCTAATTGTGAAACGTGATGTTTAATTTTGAATCGTGATGCTTAACCGTGAGCGTGATTCTTAATTGTTAAGTGTTATATTCAATCATGAAGTGTGCTGAGACCTATCAAAGTGTTAGAGCTACTTCCGACACCAGCGTGAAATTCGCGACGTGGGATTGGAAACGATAAGCCTAGCCTTTTCGAAAACGGTACTCGATCTCTGATTGGCTTTCAGTGATCATTACTTCGTTCTGATTGGCCATAGTAATTATTGGTTAAGTTTTATATACCTGGATCAAATTTCTCTATTTTTCCCTGCATTGATTTTATTTTTTTTGTAGGAATATGCGTACGAGGGAATCCCCCATCGAATTACGCCCGACACGGACCGTCCCAGCAGTGTTTTGTGGGAAATAGTTCCATAGCTTGTCCAAACGGTTCCAAATTGTGCAGTGGCTTAAATTCAGAGGCTAACTACGTATACAAAGTAACCCTTCCAGGTGGGTGCAAAGTGTCCCTGGAATTTCCATCAGTCTATGATGTTATTCTGTTCCGAGTCTGCTTCTGTAAGCTATACAAATCTTATCTACAATATTATTTCTTTAGTTTCTTTCGGGTATAATTTTTGCTATTTTGTTGTATCACAATACGAGATGATCGAGTCAAGTATTCTTAATTACATTATTTTGCCGTTTTAGTCACTTTGAAAACAATCCTTTTTACCTGTCTCAAGAAGATTTCCAACCTCTGATTTTCTCTATCTTCATCATAGGCAGCGAGTCTCGGTAGTTTAGATCACAGCGTGATTTTCGTAAATTTTTTAATTTTCTTTTTAAATCTTAGCCTCCGTTTCTTTAAATCTCTGCATCTGAATCTAATTTTGGTCGCTAATCTTTCAAAAATTTTCTATCTAACACTGTTAAGGCGAGAATGACAAGCTCATCTGATATCGGATCATTTGAAGACTCGCGGGTTGGGATTGAAGTCCAAAAGAAAATTGAGCCGGCAAAATTTATTCAAAACAGAATAAAAGTCATGCATTAAGCTTTCAAAATTTTTTCCCAACAGGAGAGACCCCAGTAAGAGACGTGGCTCAAGATATTCCAGATGAACGTCCTAAGGCAAACTTTCCACCGTCGATCTTTATGCGAAGCCAAAAGCACCCCAAAGCAAAAGCTCACCTATATGGAAAAAGGCTTTTGTGAAGCCTCAATGTCTCAACACGCGAAACGGACCTACGGGAGCTTATCAATTGATTAAAGAATGTACGTCAAAAACAAAGACTTCGACAACGAATAGCTAGCCTTCTTTTAACTTAAAGCTGATGTAAAGGAGTTACGAGCAACAAGTTAAATGTAAAGAGTAATGGGTGTATATTAAATTATAAAAATTCAGTCTTGAGCTCTTGAGCACTATCGCTTTGTAGTAACGAACTGATCTTTCGAATGGATTCTTTGAGTTACTTTTTTGTCGCTTGGCGGCTTTCGCTTCTTTGGTACCAGCTAAAAGCCCTGAGATTTTAAAGAGCCATTTCCAAGATCTCTCTTTTCTCTTGAAAAATGCGCTATGGATTTTAAATTTCAATTGGTAGCTGAGCAAATTAATGCACTTGTTTGTAAGTCTTGGAGAATGCTTTGAACCAGATAGCAATGGATTCAAGATGAGAGGAAATAACGTTCGACAATTTTTGCCAAAAATTTGGTTTTATCAACCGAGTTGATAAATGTAAACTAGCCACCGTTGAGAAATCTGAGCTGACGTGTCTAGCGTTAGCCCTTCGTCAGAGCGTAAGATAAAGGCTAACGCTCGAAGCATCAGCTTTATAAACTCTTTACGGTGGCCAATTTACATTATCAACTAAGTTGATGAAACCAAATCATCTTATGGTACCCTCCGGCGACCGAGCACCATAAACTTACCCTCTATGTTCAATTGTTTCAAACAACATTCTTCTAAAAGCTGGTAAAGTTTCCTTTTTTCTGAAATAACCCAACATTTCCGACCCAAATGTTAATGACGAAGCCGATTCTACTGATTCTAGGACTAGGACAAGAAAAACTTTGACTCCTAAGAGATTGAAGGGCCTTTTAGAATTGATACACAATTTTCAGTTTACATAAAGTATCTACTAAACGTGTTAGAAGCGCTGGCTCAAGGATATTCCCTGGTATAGGAAAATTATCTAATAAAAAGCTGACGTATTATTAGCTTACTGGGAAGACGCGCGTACGATTACCTTTTTACATGGAAATGAAGGAAATGCCTTTTATATCAACGCGTGCGAAATCCATGCAAAGATACACAAGTCGCCTAGATAAATATCTGACAAGACTTAAGGCGAATCCCTTTCATAAAACGAAGAATCCACAGGTAGGTTCGTAAAATTATCTTTCGAAGATTGTTCTTTTTTTTATTGATCCTTGATATTTGTGCTGGCCACTTATGGTAAGGCCTCACAGAATTGGAAGGATATTGGTAAGGATTAATGAATTATGTACCAGAAGTCGAGTCATAGACGGAAGATGATAATGATAATAATAATAATAATATTAATAATAACAATTATGATAATGATACGTCATTTATTTAGCGCGATTTTTAGTCATTTCCAATTGCGCTTTACAATTTATATTATAATGTGAAACACTGAAAAATAATTTCATGTATAGTAATCATGTACATGTAATCACTTATTAAGTTTCTTTAGACTTGTAAGCCAACTCACTCTCACACAGGTGAAAGGTTTATATAGACCATTTTTCCTAGATGGGCACATGTAAGCTTTTCAGTTTAATGACTGGATATCACAATGAAAATCTGCCCATCAGAATCTGCTTTTGATTAATTAAAATGTTTTTATTGTGATGCTTTTAAGGGAATCATTGAAATGATGACCAGTGAAAATCCATTGGCATTTGATCTGCTAAAGGAGAAGGTATTTAACTATATCTGATGATGTTTAGTATGCATTTGACTTTTAACTGGTATATAAATTTGGACTATCAGTCTTCCTTTGATCTTTGTGCATAGAAGAGAGAGAGTAAAAGTTTTCAAAATACAGGTCCTTGAAACTGGTGAATGGACTAAAGACATTGAATGTTGATGTGAAATTCTTGGCCGCAAACTTGACAGAAAACTGTACAGTTTTTCTCATCACTACTTTAACTTTTACATGAAATGACTCTTAAAGTATGACTTAAGAGTATATCACATGTATGAGATGCTGTCTCTAAAATATGTGAAATACTTTTCATTATTTGTCATTTAAATATGTGTAACTATAATAAGCTTTCTGATTAACTTTAGTTGTATGACTCCAAATGTGACATCTGTTGTTAGTTTTACAGTCACTGTGTGAAAATTTATTTCATGAAAACATGAGCAGACTGAGTTTTTTTTCAGTTAGAGGAAAAGGAATCATATAATATACTTCAAGAACATACACAATATTTTTGCTGTGAAGGATTAGAAAGGCAAGGCACCTTTTGAATACTCAACTTACTTTTTAAGTTCAGTTTAAAGTAATTGTTCTTTCTGGTTTGACTTAAATACTTTTACTGGTAGTTTGGAAAAAAAATTATTTAATTATGTGGAGAAGAATGTTTTTGAAATGTTTCTGAATCTCTTTTATACAGTTTTAGAGAAGCAATAGCAGACTTTTTAAACCATTACATGAAACCTGTGGAGCCTATTCTTGCAGAGAATGTATGTATTACAAATTATCTCATTTTACATTTTCTTAATATGTTTTTCAAGTCAGAAAGGAAAACTAAATAAAAGCACATTAACGAACATCGATGGTCATCTTGGTAAAGGTCACTCAGCAGACTGGCTGATTTCCACTATATTTTTGACAGTTAAACAAAGAATTATCCATTTTTTGAATATTAAAGCTGGAACAGAAATTGGGTTGACAAATTGAGAAATTTGAAAGCATGATTAAATTTATCATTGAACTCAATCAAGGCCAAATCATTTTATTGACAACAACTTAATAAAAAGAAATATCATGAAAGTTACACTTATGACAGGATTTCAATGCATATATATGTTATATAACTGTACCTATAGGTCACTGATTGCTTATGAAAAGACTTAGTCCCAATTTAAAGAAAATTTGTGTTATCTCTGTCTTCAGTTGATTGTTTCCAATGGATGCACACCAATATTGGATTCCCTAGGATATGTAATTGCTGATGCAGGAGGTAAGTACAACTGTGTGTGTGACTTAAATAACCCTCTAACTCCCAAGATCTGATTGTTAATTCTCCCCTCTCACTACTTCACATTTCCTATTAAACTGGTAACAAGAATTTGGTTTTAGATCAAGATAATGACTTCTACCTGATAAGTTTGAGTATTCTCATTACCTGTTTGCTAAATACTGTATATGATTGGGTATAATAGGGAGAGGTTGCATGTTAATCACTTCTGGGAGTTGAAAGGTTGAGAATTTTTGGAAAATAAATGTACCACCTGGAGTGTAGATCCTTATGTCCAAGATTTGAATATTGGAATATTATACAGGACTGTTTTTTTTTTAGAACACATGTCTGGCAAAGTCTTTCATTTTAGTCCAACAAAATTTTGTTTGCAAGCATTTATTTTTTTCCTTTAAAAACCCAAAGGTGACCCAAAAAGAATTTTCCCACATACTATCACTATATTTTCAAACAGCAAGGTGATGAGGAAAAGGAAAAATATCAATAGGGAGATATTCTTTGATTTAAAAATAAACCCTCAGTGCTCAATTTCTGAGGAAAATATATGAGCAGTGCAGAGAATTTGTATTTTCATCTTGGGAGTGAGGTGGTTTATAATGATGTACTATATGTTTTTGGATAGCAATTAGGATTTCATGGGACATGAACCTAATACATTTTTCAGTTACCAATAGTCAGTTGCAGCTTCGACTTGTATGCTGTGTATTAATTTAACAGTTGCAGTGTGTTTTTGTTTCTCTATGTCAATGCATAAGAGGGTTTGTTGATCCCTTCTCCGTTTTATGGATCATTTACCTTGGATTTTCAAACAAGATCAAGGGTGATACCTTTTCCAGTTCCACTCTCCAGTGAGGTTAGTATACTCCTATATACTGAAACTGGTCTTTATCTTTATCTTGTCTTCTACATTTCATTTGTGGGGAGTTTTAATTGCATGGCATTGATCTTATTGATCTTTGGCATAATCTCAGTTTGATTGTGTGCCAATTTTAGATTGGTCCTAGAGAGACTCAGCCATTTGAACTTACTGTAGCAAGACTAGAATGTGCTTTGAAGAAGGCAACAGAGCAGGTACTGTCATACATACTGATCCTAACTTTTGTGGGAGTTTTAGAGTTTTGGAAACAAGAGTGTTAACCCTTAATTTAATTTTACAATATCATCCCTGAATCACACATTAACCCTTTAACTCCCAGATCAAATTTGTAATTCTCCTAAAAGTCAACCATACATTTCTTCTAATGTTAGTTCAAAGAATTTAGTATTGGATCAACTAATTATCCCCAAATTGATATTTTTTTGATTCTCATCACTCATCTGGTGGATTTTGTATTGATATTGCCAGGAGAAATTATGTCTTGGTCACTCTTGGGAGCTAAAGGGTTAAGGTCATAAGAATAAATGAAATGATTGCCAACTAAAGAAGCTCTTGATTGTTAAACAAATTCTCCTTGTCATCACCCTAGGAAGTCTAGAGTATAGTGTGGAGAATATGCATACAGATGTCAGGCTGTGAAGGGTTAAACAACTCCATATTTTGCACAGAGCCTGTTTCAGGGTGCTGCCTCATTATTAAGGCACACTGCAAGGAAAGGGAATGATGCAAAATAGATAAACTTCACAAATAGGGAACTTTGGGCATGTTGAATTGAAATGAGTTTTCTGCTACCACCCCTGTAATACTATCCATTTAAGGATACCTTTGTTGCAAAAATTTACTTTTTTCATAGGGTGTAAAAATTCGTGGTTTACTACTGTGTAACCCAAACAATCCACTGAGCACTACATATTCTGAAGAACTCTTACAAGATTGTTTAAAGTTTGCAGCAAGGTGTGAGATAGTATGGGAACATCACTGTACTTCCTTGCATGAACAGGGTTACATCAATCAATTGAATTGTGCTTACAGAAAGTTTGGTTTAAAATGCAGTGTATTACATATCATAGAGTACATTCATTCCTTACGGATTTCTCTGAAATGTCGAAAGTGAGAAGGAACAAGTGAACATAGCTTACAATTTCATATTACAGATAAAGATCCCGACTTAAAATGGATGAATATCCCATACATGTAGCTTAATTGTTTAAGATTCCTAGTTAAGCCCTGGTTGATTATTCTCAATGTGATTAAATTATTAAACTTTTCAAATGTCTCGTTATTAAATTATTTCAAACCTTTGGTTTTTAATGACACAGACCTAAGATCAATTGTGACTTGGTTTCCCGCGTTTTCCCGCGCTTTTGGTAGTTTTCTTATTCTTACTTTGAGTTCTCATTGGCTAATTGCGATGTTTAACTTTGCTCTGAGTGGAACTCCATTGAAAACTGCTCGAACATAAGTGTTAGTCGTCTTCTTATGGTTTTTGTGCTGTCATAGGCATTCATTACATGTCATTGTGGACGAAGTGTATATGTTGTGTGGATTCAAAGAAGGCTGCTCTGTAACAAATGTGCTGAGTTTAAAAAAGTAGGTCATTTTGTGATTCCTTTTGTTTAAGTTGTCTTTTGGCACTCAACGGTTTAGAATTTGAGCCATTATTTCTAAAACTTAATTCCAATCACATACCTCTTTTGTTTTTTACGTAGTGTTCCGGACAAGAAGATGATTCATGTCATATGGGGTTTTAGTAAGGTACCGTAAAAATCACTGTGATTGTTCAAGATTAACTTTATTTTGTATGTGTTTCAGAGGAAGAATTCGATTATTTAACGCTCGTTATTATCCAGGTCTTAGCTCTAAGTGTGAAAAAAATAAATATAACTTGCACCTTGTTTGGAAAAAAGCACACCCAATGCCAAGCGCGGGAAAAAGTTCACCCAATGCCAAGCGCGGCAAAAAGTGCACCTTATGCCAAGCGCGGGAAAAAGCTCAGCCAGTATCAAACGTGGGAAAAAGTTCGCCCAGTGCCGAACGTGGAAAGCCAAGCGCGGGAAAAAGTTCATTGAACACAAAGCGAAGGAAAATATTTACCCATAGCCAAGTACGTATGAAAGTGTACCCCGCGTTGAGCGCGTGAAAAATGTGTGAACGACAAAAAAAATGCGGTTTCCTCAATGCGTATACTTGGTGTTTTTAACTGATAAATTCCTGGAACTGTGAATTGACGATGGTTTAATTCCTTTTGCATTACGAACACCCCTCCTCTAACAATGTTATGTGTACATATTTTAGGATTTTGGTTTATCAGGATTTCGCTGTGGTGTTCTTCATACTTTGAACAAAGATGTTTACCAAGCGATTTCTTCAGGATATTCGAGATTCCAGGACCTACCGACTCCCACGCAGGTATTTTTGTTAGCTTTGTTACTGAAAGAATTGTCTTGCACCCAGGTCCGGTAAATTGATTGGTCAGTTTAGCCATGGTGTTTTTGGCTGCAAGACTTAAGTGGTGTAGGCCAGTTTTACACGAACCTGAGTTATAACACTCGACTGACAACTCTCCTCTAGACTCTACTGATGACTTCGCTCAGGTTGACAAGACTACCAGTGACAGTCCTTCTCAGGACTAAACTCAAACGAGCGATCAGACTTCGCGATCAAATGTTATCGCCGGGTTCACACCATTTACTAAATTTTTTATTCATCATCTTAACATTCTGTCAAAACCTCTGTTTTTAGATTCTCTTGACAAATCTCATCAAAGACAAAGGTTGGTGTCATGTGATCACACCTGCCCCGCCTTATCTTTCATGTTTATTTCTTTTGCATATAGTCCATCAATTTAATTGATTAGCTTAAAATAGCTGTATTTGTAATACCTTTCCGATCCACATTTAGTCTCGGCTGTACGAAAGGTAGATAGCGTTATGAACTGGATAAATTTCCATCCGGTGGATAGCGAAGTACGTTGTGTTGACACACTTCTCCGCCGGGTTATCGGTTTCACAGTTTCTTCGCCCTTGAATTAACTGGGCCCCAATCTCGATCGCAGGTGTTGTATAGTCCCGTCACGCAACACGCTTACTCTCCTATTAACCCTTTGACCCCTAAGAGTGACCAGCTTCTAATTTCTCCTTACAATATCACCCCTGAATCACACATTAAGGTTATGAGAATAAAGGAAATGGTCACCAACCAAAGGATCTCTTGATTGTTAAACAAATTCTCCTTGTCAGTACCGTAAGAAATGTAAAGAGAACAGTATGGAGAATATGCATGCGGATGCTAGGATGTAATGGGTTCACCCCTTTAATTACGAACCGAAAAACAGCATGACTGAGAAACACTCACCTAGATTAGTCAAGCATAAGGCCTCCAAAGTTTTAATATTCCATGACAAAAAGCACATAGAAAAAGAAGCTGACAATTATGTAAAACTTACGAACCAGTGAAATAAGCAAACGAACTGCTACATTTGAAATTTATTTTTATTTTGATTGTTTTTTTTTTGTTCTTTTTCTTATCGTTGTAGATTGGTTAGATGAAACTTTTATTCCAACGAATCAAAAACGGCTTCGAAACGCTCATCAGATGGCTTGTGACGCCCTTCATGAAGTTGGTATTCCAGTTCTTCCGGGGGAATGTGGGCTGTATATATGGGTTGATTTCAGAGAGGTATGAAATAATCTGTTACAATAACTGCAAGTACCATTAAAAAATTTGCATCCAGTCTGCTAAAGTATGCCAGAAAACAAGGCCATGTGTCTCATACGCGATGCTCTAGAGTACATCAAGCATGGTAGAAGTGGTAGACGCGGGAAAATGCAACTGTGTGATGCGTGAGCAAATCTCCATTGAGTGAAAAAGGGTGATTTGACGCAAAAAAAAATAGTCGCTCTACTTATTCGGTGTTTAAGTTTCTATTAACCAATATAAAAATTCAGCAAGACCATGAAATAGCCAAAGAATGTTCCAGTTTTCTAAGGAGAAATATCGGTGTTATACCACTAAAATGGGGAAATACAAAGCTAAAAATTGTCTGTTAAGCTACGAAAAAGTATTTCATATGTTGTGTTTCTATTGATACGTTAAAGGTTCTTCCGACAAACACTTTTGAAGGAGAGATGGAACTGTTTGATCGCTTGTTAGATAATGGAGTGGCCTTTTATCCAGGGGCGTGGTTCCTCTGCGCTGAGCCTGGCTGGTTTAGATTAGTATTCGCCATGGAGTCAGAAATTCTTCAATTAGGTAAACTTTGACGTCTTTTCTTTCTTGATAATTATGTTCTTCTTGAATTGTCAGATGTAACGTTTACAGAGATCTTTGTTCGAATACATATGAGCGTAGCCTTACCTTTCACTGTGTAAGGGCGTTTGTAATTGGTAATGGGTGGCAGGTCCCCTACAGTAAAATTTTATCTGCACCCGACTATACCAGTAGTTATGTATTTTTTTTTAGGGCTCAGTAGAATTCAGCAAACAGTGAGGCAAGCCCGCGCCGATATTGCGTCTGGGTAGGAGGAGAAAGCTCTTAAACATAGAATATTCGCAATATCAAGGGTCTCACCACCAGATGCAGAACAGTGGCTGGCTGAATAAAAATACTTTTTAAATAGGAATGGGATTGCTAAAGAATCGTAGCAACTCCCTGATGATTGGTTACAAATGATATTATAAATAATATTTTTATTTTTTAGTTCCTTACAATAGTCACACTATAATAGTGCTAATGGAGGAAAGCAAAGGCTCCAATGGAGTACAATTCAGACTTTAACACTACAACTTATGTATACAACATCAGAATCACAAATTAAACTTATAATATCGAAACTAAGTACGCAATGAAATGTTTTCCTAAAGGGGTTTAATATAAAAGAGAGAATAAAAAAGTTCAAAAGAAGTGTTTCAACAACTTTCTGCCAATAACACAACATCTTTTATTGCGAACGTTTGTGACATAGTCTTAAAAAGTGACTTCCACTTAGGTTTCGAAGTGAGACAACTACTACCCAAAAGAGTCCTTTCCAGACTTCTCTCAACTGGAAGAAGAGACCTCGCAATTAGCTTAACTCATATGACGAAGCTAGGCACAACACCGGGGTTTGTGATCCAATATCGATCAGCTATCAGGATGAAAAAGTCCTTTTAACGATGTTACTGTTGTTCAGACGCTAACAGCGTTGAGTTAAATTCTCATTATCATCACCATTTTGGACATCGCTTTCAAGACTTTGGCTTCGCCGTGTCATTTCCGCCATCTCTCTCTTCTGGTAACGTAGTGTTGTTGGTTCCTCTCTTCGGGTGCCCATGGCGCTTGCACGCGCGTGCAAGTTTGGAAATCGCTGAGCACGATCCATCTGCAAATGAAATGTAACAAGTGTTGTTTATCAGTTGTTGACACGAGACAAGTTTTATTATGCAACTTCATGCGCAAGAACGTCTGTAATACTACCTTAGTTAATCCTTTTCACCCTTACATTGATAGTGATTTTCTCCAAGCTTTTTCCTTTATAGTATCTATGGTACTAAAAATGAGAATTTAGTTGGCAATCAGGAGCTTCGTAAATTGGAGACCATTTCCTTATTTCATTACCTCTACATTTAATTCGAGGGTGATAATGCGAGGAGAAATCATAAGCCAATCACTCTTTGGGGTTACAGGGTTTAGTTTTTCTTTATAATGAACTGTTCCTGTTTCAAGCTAGCGACTAAAAGTGAAACTCTCGACTGTCAGACAGTTCTTTACATTCACACCACACGGCAGACACTATCCCCTTTCTTATTCAACAGTATTGGATTTTAAATCGAACCAAACTACAGTCGAACCCGTATCAAGCGGTTAACCTGTATTGAGCAGGCACCCCGCCATTCTCCGTGGATAACCGCCTAATACAGGTTTTACTGTATCGCCTTACTTGGATGTTTTCGGTGGTAGGTTTTCTGCACTTCTTGTAGAGGACAACTATTAGGACTGAGTTGATAATTAAAAAAGCTGACCCGATAGGAATCGAAATCCCCACAGCTTTAGAAACGCCTAGAGACGAGGATGAATTGTCATCTGAAACTGAATAAATTGAAAAGTGTTTAATCAAAGCATACTAAAATGAATTACTATGTTTTAGTCTCGTGCCCAGACCCTTACGGTCAAGCGGTTGTAACATTTCAGTCAAAGTTACACGGAGGATCTGGGTATGAGGTAACCTCAGTTTAGGAAAATGTAGGCTTATTGAAGTCGATGAATCGCGTTCGTATCAAGGTAAAGAAATAGCAAGGTAACAAATAGGAGTGGTAACAAATTTGGCCCTTTCAGACGCTTTTCAACCTTTTGCCATTCAGGATCTTAAAGTTGCACAATTCAATACATTGTCTGCGTATATTTCGTACAAGTTTAGACCAGAGAACAAGGTATAACATCAATCAATATTCCTTTGTTCAGTTCAAATGCTCTGTTATCCCCATAACCTCATAATCTATTACAAGATGCAGTGATATTATGAGTCTATTTATCCTTATATGATGTAAATCGCACATCTATCTCAACTTATTAACATATTGGGTTTGCCATGATTTACAACTCTTAATGTGATCACATAGAATGGAATATTTGCGTCATTAACTTTTGTCGTTTGATTACTCTGATAGAATGTGAGAGCATACCGGGAATCTTTCGTTGTGCAGATGCTATTATAGTTACTTCCCCCTCCTTGGACCAAGTCTTCCCCATTGAATTAGTTGCCAGGCAACGGTATTTTAAGGGTTGTTCTGTTTCCGTCGTGAAGACAACGGTGAGTGAGGACGTATCTCCATTCTGAGTTACGGTAGAATCCGACTTCAAAAGCGTTTTGTCCTGCAACCAACTGATCACAGGAGTAGGAAAGCCTCTTGCTTCACAGGAGAGGGTCACTGCGGCAAAGCCATCTCTGTTAAGATGGGCAATGTATCTATGGGGATGGGTGAAGAAAACTGGTTTCCAAAGGACTACAGTCACCGTGGGAGGAAAAAAAAAGAGAATTATAAATCCGTGAGGTGGGGGAATTCGCACTTTATCGGTTAAGAAGGTTTTACAATGTAGTGCGATCTCTCGAGTTAAGGTGGTCCTAAAAAAAAAGGCAGTCGCCGGGGTATAATGAATAGCATTTCGACAACCTGAGTGGATGTTTAAAACAGGGTCAAGAAGAACAGCACTGCTACCAGCAGTCGATCGGTCAAAAATAAGAACAAGCTTAATTTGCATTAAAACAGTCATCTTTCAAAACTACGTGAATATCGAGCGCCCACCTTTCAAAGTCGTTGGGGAAGTTCTGTCCCATCCTTCTGTGCTGTTTGCCTCGCACCAGTACTTCCCTTGATCTCTAAGACCAACAGCCTGCAATTCTAATTGCGAGTGACCTTTGAATTCTATCGCAGATGACCTTGGCACAGGATGACCATTCTTGTACCACCTGATGACTGGGAGGGGAATACCGGTCGCGCTACAGGTCAAAGTTGCATCACCTCTAGTGGGCACGATAAGTTGGCGAGGATTCTTAACAAGAAATCGAGGTGGTGATGGTTCTGCAATAAAAAGGAAATTTTCTTCACTTTGAATCTTAACACAGAAATGTTTTGAAGTGGCATACTTATGGTATAATAAACAGAAATATGCAGTTGTCATCATCACCTCTTTATCGCCTGGAGGAAGGAAGGGGAGGGGAGGAATGGGGTGGCTGCAGGATTTTGGTAGTGTCATGATAAAGCTTACCTGATCCCCCACCCCTCCTCATTGGCAGTTAATCGACCGTCACTTTTCTATAATTCTCCCTTAATACTCATTTGACGACGACTGACCCTTCCCCACCCTGGCTGTTCCCCCTTAAAACCCTGAGATACCCGCAGTCCTCGGCCGCCCAAAATGACTGGTTCCTAATTAGAGCCGTCGTCTTTATTATGTTACTGGTATTGCTGTCCACAGAACAAGTGCTGATAATGAGAAGTCTTTAGAGCCTTTTGGCCTTTTTCAAAGAATGCAACTTTGGCACTCTTCTGAAGATTTTTGTCACATTTTTTGTATGCTTTCTGGGGTTTTAATGGTGCCCTTTCACGGCCAAGCTGTTTCAAGCGGTAACATTTTTGTAACAGTTTCACGGTAGGATCGTAAGATAAAGCAGCAGTTAGCTTACCTTTGAAAACCAATCTTAGCGTATCCATTGTGCAGCCATATTGGTTGTAGGTTTTGCATGTGTAGTCTCCAGAATTACCTTCTGCAGTATTGTGGATAAAGTAAGAGCATGTTTTCTGGGGATTGCCTCCACTACACGATTTTGCTAATGTTCCATTGAAAAGTAGAGTAATCTGATATGGCTTTTCATGCATAGAGCATCGAAGCTTCGGACAATTGCTTCTGCAAATAATTGTGGCTCCGTAGCCTGTAGGAAGCACGTATTCGTCTTTGTATTCCAAAACATCGATTTCCAAGGTAGGAGAAATGTCACCTGCTGATATGACAATCAAACATGATAATCTCACCCTCTCTCCCTCTCCAAATTTTCAAGGAAACCAGACTGTTGAAAATTCACACAAAAATTTAAAATCATGATACTAAGAGCCTGACTCACCTACTCCAGCACCAGCAGCTTCACGGCATAAAGCGTGGGTCGGTTGTTGATGGAAGAAAAAAAGTAAACAGACAATCACCAACATTCCTCACATCAATTCTTCCAATATGCGTCTGAAATTGAACAAAATAAATAAAAATCTTTACTAGCTACAGTCTTATTACCCATTATTAATGATTGACCATTTGCCATTAAGCGTTAAGAGTAACGACAGTCACCGCTCGAAGCTGCGTCGAGAAATACTCTTTAGATCATTTGAATGCCCGAAGAATGGACTTAATTCTCGCAACATGTTTTGAAGCAGTCTGAAGAACAGACATAATTTAGTGAGACGCTGACAAAATAAGAAATATCAGAACGCTTTAATCATGCTCAAAAATAGAAAGAACAATTTTGATTAAACTTGGCACGATTTCCTCATTTATCCACTAATGGCAGGAAAAAAAATAAAGATTGTTGTCCGCATCATAAGAAGGTGAATGTACCAGGTTCAAGCACGCGGCCCGCTGAGATGTTTGAGAACAAATAAAGGATTAATAATCTCCATGGTATGAAGGGAAGGAGGTGTATTTCCACTGGAAACGGAGAATTTGCAGTTTTTTGGTGGGTCTTAGAGGCTTTTACTCGCACATCTACAGAAACATGTACCCCTAAAAGCCTTTCTTTAAAATCTAGGGATTGTTGAATCCGCGCCTTTAGCAGTAAATAAATAATTAGATTCAAAATAACTAGAAATTCCGGCTCAAAATGCTGGCGTATGAAACGACTGAGATATTACGCTCGCTCTTAATGGGGCGATCGTACTCTTACAGTGAGAGTATGTATAATAAACATAGTTTTTACGTTGTCAAGTTAAAGATGCGGGATGTTTTTCTGCTGGATATTCTCTCTAAGGAACAGAGGATTGAGCAGTGTTTGAGATATTATAGTAAAATAACTTACTTCCAAGTTTAGTGTCAGACGATTTCTTTATAATTTTATTGTGTGTAATCACAACAGAAAATTCTCTTGTGCTTAAATCTTGCTCAGCACACCGGCTAAATTAAATTTCTATAAAAAAAAAATGAAAGACGTTCAACTTTTTTTTGCGCCAACTAAATATATATGTAGTATCAGCTCCAGTGCTGATTTCTACTAGAGCAGTGTTAAGATATTTTAAAAAAAGAACCTACCTCCAAGTTTTATATTAGACGATTTCCTAATGATCTCCTCTGCCTTCAAAGAAGAGTTCTCGTTGTCAGTTGCTCCCAAATCGTTGAATTGTAAAGCATTCTTAATTAACGGAGGAATAAACTTTGACAGCGGAAGTTTCAAGGTTCTACAGTAACGTCACGAAAGCTTTCAGCAGTACAGTTTTTCTTTTTTCCTTTTATTCCAAAATATTGATTTCCGAGGTAGGGGAAATGTAACTTGCTGATATGACAATCAAACATGATAATCTCACTGCAATCTCGTACCCGGAAAATGCAAATCAGCACTCCTGAAAGCTTTCAGTGACGTCACTGAAGGACCTTGAAACTTCCGTTGACAAAGTTTGTTCCTCCGTTAATTAAGAATGCTTTACAAGTCAACGATTTTTACCTGTCACTAAAGATACCGTAAGCAGTTCGTTTACACAGATAACGGCCGGCTATAATTCAGTGGTGGTCGACATACAGGAAGAAGGGTGTCATTGGGTTGACCGTTAGTCGCAAAACGACAAGAAAATTAAACTATTGATTAAGCGTAACAATTGAAAAAATTTAACCGTTGGGCATAAAAATGCTAAGTATAAAAATTTTTCTCTTAATCACAGAGGGAGAATGTTTACAGTTGGCCTTTTAAAAATGGCCGGAATTTTAACCGTCAACCTTAATTAAGACCCTTGGGTACGTCACGCATTTGGCGGGTTAGGTCTTTTATTGTTACCAGATTTTAATATTTACATTCTAAATTGGCGATAAAGGACTGCCACCTGTGAATATTATTTTGAAAATATATTTAGTTAATAGCGCTTAAAAAGTGCAAAACTTTTGAGGATTCCAAGGAAATTCTGAAAACCTCGGTGAATGAGCCGGCCCCCTCCATAAATATTATCGTCATTGTCATGAATTTGGCAATGATTAATTTAAAAATAAAAAATAAAACAGAACAGAACAACACACAAAATAAAGCCTGACAGCCGGCACCCTCTCTACCCCCATCAAAAGTCCCAAAAATGTGTGGGGTACAAAATGGGGATCATACATGAAGTTCATAAAGAAAAATTAACTTTACAGAACGCGGTGTCAGCAGAAGATTAGCAGAGGACTGTCCGAATCCGCGGGGGAGAATTTGGAATTTTTATACGAATACCTTAGTTTAATTTTAGGAAGATGTCCTCTATATCAAACCGTGCAAAGTCCATGCGGCAATATTTCAACCGCGAGGCAAAATATCTAGGTAAACAAAAGGCGAATCCTTTCCACAAGACCAAGAATCCACAGGTTAGTTGCTTCAAATGTATCCATGGAAAGTTTGATTTAAACCTGAGTCAAATGTATTACGAAAATTTTCGTTTCTAATAAGGCCACAAAGAAAAATATTTTTGGAATGGTATGACAGAAGATGCTTTACTATATGCATTTTGAAATCACTGATGATCCTTGCAATTTGATTGGCTCTCAGTGATGCGATTAAATCACTAACCGCCCCTCTTTATGCTCTAAATCGCATCTTTTTCCCAGGCCATGAGACAGTTCTACGCAATCAATCAAATCCCAAGAAAACGAGCGATAGCTCTTGCAACTTTTTACAAACCAGCTTAATATATATACAGGATCAATATAATATTTTTACAGACTAATAGACTTGCAACTGAATTTTGCAATTCCTAAATAGATGTAATTTAGTGGTAATTGAACTTTTTGTTATGCTATTTTGTTGTATGCATGATTTCAAGATCAAACGAGTATGCAGTGGGAGTAATCATGCTTATGATTTAAGGCCAAATATTTGCACTTTACTCAGTTCAATAACCATTATTTCTGAGCCTTACCCATACTGATATATCCCAAATTACACTCAAAATTATGTGATTACATATACAAATTGCACTCTACTCAGTTCAATTACCATCATATTGGATGCTAAAATCATACGTGGTGTGGAGGGTTGGATCAAGGTGCTTGGTGACATTTTTTGAGCAGAGGTAGTATCTGAAATCTGTTGGTTCTTTTGCTTAAGAATTACATTGTTACCAGCTGATGGGATTCCTGAATTAAAGCATAAATCAGTGCTATTTATGTGTGAATAACCCTGCTGAGAGCCAACTAAGGATCACGAGTAGATTCAAAGTGGATGTAATGAATAATTTTGAAATCAAAACTACTGAGGTTTTTAAGATCCCCATTATAACTCAGATGTAGAATATTGATAGATATAAATGTTTGCTGTAAATTTTTTTTCCTTCAGGGAATCATCAACATGGGTACAAGTGAAAACACAATGACATATGATTTGCTGAAAGCTAAGGTATATTGGGTGTGAATTTATCAACCTGCCAACTCTCATGCCTTAAGGTTGGGTTTCACTCATGATGGGGTCCGAGACAGAGTCAGAGTTGTAATCAGGAGCACAGAGCAATGTGATCCAGTGAAAATCAAACTGACAGTATAGAAAGAAAAATGTTGATGCTGCTTATGACTCTGTTGGTTATGATTCAGTGAGAACTTGGTTGTTGTAGTCCTAAGCTTAAGACTGGGAGGGCCTGAGAACTGGTATTGTAATTGGTTGGTTCTCCAACTTCTGTTTGCGACTCCAACAATCTAGTGTTCACTGGAATTTTAAGTGTTGGAGGCATAAATGGAATCAGAATTCAATTCTTCACACTCTCTTCCTTACATTTCTGATAATGTGCAGCCAATTTCATGCTAACATAAGAGTAGAAAGCCCTATTTTTATGACCAGCAATTCATAGAAGCATGCAGTGCATCTTGAGATCAAGAGCACCCAAAACATGTTTGTCCAAGTTTTTTGATCTTCAGAATTGCTTACAACCTTGAAAGAAAAAGAAAGTTAATAGATTTACTTAGGTACTTAGAACCTCTTTTAAAAACTTCAGATATGATAGAGTTCTCTTCAAAATTGCTCGCCATCTGAGGACAAAAATCTCATTTCTTTGACCACAATAGAGTCAGCTGGTCCATTTGCTTATATGAAGTGAATTCCACAGACTTCCTACTACCTTCAATTCTGATGAATAAGTTTGGACTGTTACCAAAATCAAATTTCTTTTTTTCAGTTTGATGAAAAAGAGTCTCGCACTCTGCTTCCAGAGCATGCACAATATATTTGTGGAGAAGGTTTAGAGAGGTAAAGATTGATTAAAATTATAAAGTTGTTTGAGTTTGAGTGCTCTTATTAGTATTTTTTTCTTCTGTTAATCTGTAAGTAAAAGTTGAAATTTATTTCTAGGTTGTCGTCATTTTAAGTTACCTAGAATTAAATTAAAAAGAATTTTATGCAGAGATGTATAATAAGATTATTTAACAATTATTCCATGAGTGCGCATTGGATATGAGATGGTAAATGAATGGAAGTGGATGCAACAAGTGCAAATTGAATAGATGTTTTTATTAATTTTCATTACATCTTGAATGTTTGGATGTTTGGAGCTCTTTTTTTTTTTCAGCTGCACAACAATTGACATAATGCATTTCTGATAACTGAAGTTGAGTGAACCAATCACAACACTAGAAATGCAATATTCAGAGTTGAATACTTAAAAATTTCTTCTTATCTGATAGTTACGTTACTTACTTATTATCAAATAGTGTGACTTCTATCAGGTTTCAAATGTCAACCCTACATGACTACAATTCAGCCTTACATATGTTATCTCTCTTTTCCCTTTTTTACCAGTTTTAGAGAAGCAATCGCAGATTTTCTCAATGACCATATGAAGCCTGTGGAGCCTATTCTTCCAGAAAATGTATGTAAAATCATGGATAGATATAAGACTGAAATTGCTAGTACCATCATTAATAGTGAGCATAAATTTTCCTGTTGGGAATAGAGTAAATCCACCACAATCATACACAAGCATGAAAATTTTTCTCGATCCTCGAAGTGACTACTGCTTTACTTACAGTGCTTGCTCACATCCCACTGGTTTACTAATAGTGCCTGCTCACATACTGCTTTTACCAATCATCTTGTGAGGTTTACATGTAAGGATTTAATCTTTAATTCCCAAGATCTGACTGTTTATTCTCCCCTCTACCTGCTACACATTTCCTTGCTAATAAATCACAAGAATTAGGTGTCAGATCAATACTACTAACTTCTACCTAATAAGTTTGAGTATTCTCATAACATGTTGGCTGGATAATGTATGGATGTTATAGAGAGAAGTTACATGTTAATCACCAATGGGAGTTAAAGGGTTATTAAAGGAATGTGCTCAATTAAGTTTGCTCACATCTGAATTTTGTTGAACCAGTTGGCCTTCGGAGATATGTAAAACTTTGTAATGTTGTTTTTGTTTTCAGTTGATTGTTTCTAATGGATGTACACCACTAGTTGATACTCTGGCCTTTTCACTTGCTGATGAAGGAGGTATTTCAATTTGTATGTATTATTATATTTTAAGTACAGGCAACAGTAACAATAGCAAACTTTACTTTTACTCTTTATAATATACTCTTTCTCGCTCATCCTATCTGTAGTTACAAAAACTGTAATACAGTAAATGGTTTGAACCCAGGGTACATGGAATAATGTGGTCTGATTGTCTGCTGGGGTGAGTGTAGTCCTGAGAAAGACTGTTGTTGTGGTGACTGATGTTTTGACAACCTGACTGGAAGTCATCATGAGAGTCAAGTGAATAGTTGTTGTCAGTTGAATGTCAACAATGACTGACAAGAACTCATTCAACTAACAACTGACAACAACTCACTTGACTTTGTTAATGACTTCTGCTCAAATGTTAAAATTTCAGTCACCACTACCAACAACAGTCCTTCTCAGTACTACACTCACCTGGACAATCAAACTACACTATTACAAAAACTGTAATAATAAAATTAAGGCCAATCTTCCTGGAATAATTACAGTGTGTAGGAGATCCAGGTAACCTATGTGTACACTAAACGATGCATGGGATATGAATGCATAAGATATCAGTTGCACTTGGATTGCATAGTAGTAGTCCACAGATTTTCACACCCTGTTAGGAAGATCAGAAAAATAATTTGTGAATATAGACAGCTTGTTAAAAAAATGAGGAGCAATCTGCATCGCTTTCACTTGGTAGGATTTGTAACAAAGAACTAAATTTCTTTAAGTGATGTTTAATTTTGAAAGTGTGACAGAAGCTACTCAGTCAATCCTCACTTGTTTCTAGAGCTCAGTTTCTCTGTAGTTGCTGATTGTGAACCAGTCATGGTGAAATTTGAAAAATAATGCATTATTTTTCTGTATTTGCACTGTGATCCAACAGAGGGTTTGCTGATCCCGTCTCCATTTTATGGATCATTTCTCCTGGATTTGCAGTCAAGATCAAGAGTGATACCTTTTCCAGTTGAACTTTCTAGTAAGGTTGGTGTCCTAACATATCAACTGGGTTTCTTGCAAGTTGACTTGGTGCTGTAGTTAGCAAAAACTTCTTAATTACTACTGACAGTACTTTCTCAATGACAGTATTGATCTCTGGAATCAAGGCAGGAACTGTACGATGACTTCTTTTATTTTATGTCTTAGATTGGTCCAGGAGAGACACAGCCGTTTGAACTTACTGTAGCAAGACTAGAATCTGCTTTAAAGAAAGCATCAGAGCAGGTACTCCTTAACTGAGAAGTTGTAGTTAATCACATATGCATAAAAGTAGAGTTGGAGAAATTTTTCACAAGAAATCACTTTTGATGCAGCGGGTCGGAAGTTAGTATTTAGCAGGTCAAAATCTAAAATACTTTGGCTTTGCTCTTAGAGTTTTTCAGTGCTTGGATTCTCCAAGATGCCAATTCATGAACAACGAATCAAAAGAGCAAATTTCAATCTGAGTTGAAAGCGATGCAGATTGCTCCTCATTTTTTTAACAACAAGCTGTCTATACTCACAAATTATTTTGCTGATCTTCCTAACAGGGTGTGAAAATCCGTGGACTACTACTATGCAACCCAAACAACCCCCTGGGCAATATCTACTCCGAAGAACTCTTACAAGAATGTCTGAATTTTGCTTCCAGGTGAGGAAAGACGTGGTTTACTCGCGCTTACTGCTAAAAGACACTGTAACAGCCAACCAGTTATTTTTTAGAGATTTATTAATTACTGTAGCAAATCACAGAAAAGCTGGTGTTTTGCTCATCGTTGGGGCAGAGTAGGAGACTCTGCTTTGCGAGCGTATAAATGAAGTATAGATGTATATTGCTGGGCTTAGTCAGTACCTGAACAACTGCGCACCTACTCCTCCCCTGACCCAACAACAGTCAGCTGATGACAAGGTTGCGTTAATGTTAGGTTAGGGGAGGGGTAACTGCGTAGTTGCGTAGGTATTAACGCTAATTCACTTAAATTCACTCAAGAACTGAATAGGATATTGCGTATTGCGAAGATCACAAAAAGGAAACGAAGACAGTTGCGAGTGGAATCACAACGATCATTAAAATGGGAATCTTAGGGTTAGATCCTTGATTCGAACAAACTATCTCTAATTTATTAGGAAAATGCAACCGATGTTAAAAAATTCCTTAGATTTCCTTCTTCGTTGGAGTATGAAAGCTTACTTGTGATTTCTTTACTGTTTTAGACATTCTCTACATGTCATCGTAGACGAGATATACATGATGTGCGGATACAGAGAAGGTTGTTCTGTGACAAATGTGATGAGTTTAAAAAAGTGAGTCACTTGTTCAGGGTTTTTCTCTTGAGACAATATTTTTCGCTGCCGGTGGCTTTCATCGGTGTCTTTGCTAAGAATTTACATGATTTGGCTGCATCCCCAAACACGATTTTCGGTATGTTAACTTTCTCCTCTCTCTTTTCGGGGCCATTGTGTTGAATTCTTGTTCGAGGCACTTTACTTTCACAACGCTTCTCTCTCACCAAACCGTAGTATCAAAATGTTAGGAAACGGAGCATTGTTGGGGACTGGTTAGGGAAACTTAGGATTAGCTAGTCTGGAAGCAATAAGGTCTTAGGCTTGTGGTTTCCGGTTGAGGAGACAATCAAGTGAGCGTTTTTTTTTTTTTTTGTATTGATATGGATCATTCTTTAATGGAGTGTCGAAAGTAATGCGGGATTGCATTGGTTTTACTTTACTTTGCTCTGTGATTGGAAAACTCGCGTCATCCTCACAACTAATAAAATGCAAACTGAAAACCATCGCAACTCGGTCATTTGCGTTTTCGCGCGCTTCTAGCAGTTTGCTTGTTTTCACCCCGAGTTCTCGTTGGCTAATGTTTGTGTAAAAGTTTTTTCTGAATGGTCATTGGGATTACTTGTATTTGGTTTTATGGCGCTCAATTGAAAATTGCACTGAGTTTAAGGGTAAATAACCGACCACGAGTGTCTGTTCTTTCCTTTCAGCATTCCAGACAAGGAGATGGTCCACGTCCTGTGGGGCTTTAGTAAGGTAGTGTGAATTGATTGGCGAATTCGTATGTAATGCTTCAGCGAATAGAGAGTGCTCAGTAAAGCTACAAATGTTGAAGGGATATTTGAAAGTTTTCTAACAGGCTACATGTAACGGGTTGTTTTGAACCTCAAACACTGGACAAGAAACAGAAACATCCAAAAGGGAACAGAAAAAAATATTTTTGTGAAATGACTGAATGAGTGACTTACTTGGGATCGTTTGAGAGGGAATAGAACTGAAAACCCATTTGTGTTTGATATCGTTTGATATTGTAATGGCTCCAGAGCATGCGCTGCGTGTAACCGGTTTCAAGCGCGGGAAAACAAGTAGCAAGTGCTAGGCACGGAAAATTGCGAATTTGGTGTCTAGCGCGGGAAAAGCATGTAAGCCGTAAAAAGCGCGGAAATAACTAAGTGTTTGGTTATAACTTGAAACCAGTTTCAAGCGCGGGAAAAATGGGAAGCAGTATGAGAGTGCAAGAATAATGTAAACTGGTTCTGAGGAAAGACCTCTATGCATGTTCATCGGTATCTTTCGCACGCACCTACATTCGCCCCCACTGATTTGACTGTTATAAATTTGTAGGATTTTGGAATATCTGGATTTCGCTGCGGTGTTCTTCACACGTTAAACAAAGAACTTTTCAGACTCATAAGTTCAGGATATCAAATATTCCATCATATACCAGCCCAAACACAGGCAAGTTATGGTTACTGAATCAATTCTCTGTTATTTGGAATGACGAGTAAAGACACTATCTTGATTTAAGTGATATATTAGTTCGCCAAAAATACCATGAATTTACCTGAAAATACCAACTTATAAAGATGGGACAACACTAGTAAGGTGGAGATAAACTTTGATGTGGATAGATGGTTCAGACTACTATGAGTAACAAAAGTTGTTAGCACAGATCCCCTTTAGTTTGTAGGTGGATGACAACCCTCTACTTGACATCATAAACAGAAGTCTTGTAATTCGTCGCCAATCATTTTCTTGGAAATTCCCCCTTATCCCTTAACAATGTTGCAAGGAACTAATGAGCACTTTGTTTACAAAGGGCAACATTGAAATGGGAGAAGGGAAGATAGATGAAAGTTTTAGGGAAAAGGACGCCGGGACTTTTTCCACTCATTGTAACTTATACAACAACAAACTTGAACTTTGTATAAAACTTGCCGTTCGCTAGAGGAGATAACCTTTTGATAATATTCGCTCCAACGTTTTTTTAAGTTCAACCAAAGGCAAGGTTCTTGTGTCTTTTTCCTCTTTTATGATTATCTACGTTTTAAGCTGTTACAGTTTTGACCATTTGCTCAGTAGAGCCTTGGGCGAGTGTCGTAAAACCAAAATCAAACTATCAGAACAGCCAACCAGAACATATCTCAGTACCTCGCTTTCCACTAATGCTATGATGTAACCTTTCCCTTAGGTTCTCCTTACAAATCTCATCAAGGATAAAGGTTAGTACGTTGCTATTTGATTGGGCAGGGGTGGGGATTTTTTTCGAGTTTATGACGAACGTATAATAACAACAGTCCTACCCAAACCGTTTAAGGTTTGACGTTTTTTACATGTCATGCTCGCAGCCTCATGCTTGGTATAAGAATTGTGCATGCACAGCACTTTAAATTATGTCAAAGGAAACGAAAGAGGGAAATTGGTGTATTTCTTTCCGAAGTAAAACATGACAAGAGAGCAAAAATACTAATTTTTTTTATTCGTATGGTTTACAGAGTGGTTAGATAAAACGTTTTTCCCAACAAATAAACAACGGCTTCGAAATGCTTACGAGATGGCTTGTGATGCCCTTGAAGAAGTTGGTATTCCGTTCCTCCCCGGAGAATGTGGACTGTTTATATGGGTCGACTTTAGGGAGGTATACACATTGACTAATACAATTTATTAAATGCACCGTGTGATTTATTTAAAAATAGGCCATTTACAGTTGTGTTCTTAGTTGCCAAGCCTTTGATTTGGAGTGTGGCTGAAGGTGATCATGTTGTGATAGAGACCAGTTTCTCGTTAGTATGATGAAAAAATAATTTACATACGAAAAGCAGCGACGTTTGTATCATAACAAGGTCAACCTTAGCCTCACTCCTGTTCAAAGGCTTGGCAACCAAGCACGCAACTGTAAAATGGACTGTTGGTTCATGCAGAGCGTGGATGCCCGCTGGAAGTTTGGAGAGAAGGAATACTTATTATTGTACTGTCTCTTTATCTTTTAGCTACTTCCAACATCATCTTTTGAAGATGAAATGCACTTGTTAGACTGCATGATAACACATGGTGTATTCATCTTTCCTGGGTCATATTTTCGTTGTCCAGAACCCGGTTGGTTTAGAATAATATTCGCCATGGAGACGGATATTCTTCAACTAGGTGAGCTTGTTGTAAGTGACTATTTGTCGCCTGGATGAGGAGAGACAAGACAGGAAATAACAATATAAAAAGCTATGTCGCTTTTGTGTGTATTCTAATATACATTAATTGGAATAGTTATTCAGTGAATCTAAGGGAAGAGAGAGTGACGGTTTTCTAAACGAACCAAAGCAGCTCTCCCGAGAAGTATCTAGCACATTGCACTAATGGAGTCTGATTTCATTTTCTCGTAGAGTTTTCTTTTTTGCACCCACATTAGCACACCCCGCTGTGTCCCAGTTTCTACAGAATGAAGTGACTGGATGCATTGCTATTCCGCTTGAATGGCATGCTGTTCTATCGCAGGTTATCCCCCAGGGATTTGTTAGTAGTCGCCTAGAATATTCTGGCACTGTGTGTTGACCCTTGGGCGTGAATTCGGGCCAGTCAAGGCAGATTCCCACATGCTAATCATCAGCCAGCTTTGTCCTCGCCATCATAATCCTCTGAATAAAACTTTGATTAGCTTAGGAGAAAGCTCTATAAAAGAGTCTTAGAGGCGCAACTAAGTAAAGAAGTTGGCGGCAATTGCGCGCACTACTGCTCACAAGATGCCTTGCCTGCTGGCGAAGATTGTTTCACCTACACACTTTATTCTAAATAACTCCTCTTACTTAGGTTTAAGCAGAATTCAGCAAACTGTGAGGGAGGTCCGCGCTGGTCTGGCTTCTAAGCAGGATGAGAAAGCTGCACTTGCTCAGAGAGAAGAAAGTACTAGCTTCGTAGAAAGCGAGAATGGTGAAAGTCTCGAGGATTTACTTCGAACATTACACCAGCAAATACAAAACAGTGACTGGCTGAAGGAAAATACCGCTGAAAAGTGGATGGAGGAAAATCCTGAACTGGCTAAAGCCTTTTTAAAGCAAAACGACGAGAAATAACAAGCTAAATGATTTTATTAAATTGCCAGAAAACCGCCAGATAAGTTTTCCTTTCAGAAAGTTACCAAACGATATCTTCAGGGAGGGATAGGTGGAGAATCTATAATCAAGAGCAATGGTTACCTTTCGACATAAATAACGAGCAGTCTCATCTTTCTGGCGAAATCCGTCGAGTAAGTAAAAAAAAAAAAATCAGCGAAAAAATAAATTGATGTTAGCGCGGAATTCCCAGGGTGAGATATGACGCGCGAACATCCATTTTTGTTGAATTTTTTTGCCTCGCGCGACGTATTTCGCCTTAAAGGAGGCGCTGATCGTGGTCTTCTTTTGACACGGCTGTACAAGTCAATGCGAATATCTCTCTTTCACAAAAGAGAGCACCTGAATTTTATTGAAATCATTTTCTCACTTATTTCACAAACCCTGCCGAAGGACAGAGAGGAAAATGGCCAACAAGTTGTTTGTGATGACAATCTACAATAAGAAACTCACACAGTCAAAGATAACTCACTTCAAAGTGGACAAATGTACAGGAAAATCACATCACACTTATAAGTATTTACAATATGAATGATCCCGTACCAAGTTGATATGAGCATTGACAAATACATAATCGTATGTAAAACATAATAAATAGAATAATTTGAGAAACTAGTTTTACTAGTTTACTGAACAATAAGGCACCTGGTACTTCATTTTCACACAAGGCAACTAATAAAAAGAAAATAGCTTATGTTCACGGGCATAAATATGTTTAGGTTCCGACTCACGTGTCATTTTAGCCCGAGCCATCTAACGAGGTTCAAAATGACTCTGGGAAGGGCCCAAAACATATTTACGCCCGCGAAAATAAGCTGTATTGCTGTAATTATCAATTTGGAGGGCGTTGTGATGTTACGGCATACTGGAAAATGTTGAACATCTCGACGTTTGCTATCAGCTGACTGTACACTAATACGAAAGCAACAATGAAGTATTGCAGTTTTCTCATGATCTATGCACGTCCTTGTGGATACACCACAATAGAAGAGACTGTATTGCAAGAAAAACGACAACACCTCACTAGGAGTGTATCAACTACGATCAAGAACCGCTTGCCTTTGTTTCGAAAACGAAAACATTTGGATTGGCACAGAACAAGAGATGTGTTGTGCTATTTTCATGTAGGGTTGATTTGAGGATCGCTTGCTGTTTGGCTTTTTGCCGTTTGAAAACGTCAAGCTTTAATTTACTGCCTACAAGATGATTCTGCTTCAAGGCAGTCGGGTATAACTGGGGTAGATATGTTATCTGTCTTCAACACCGTAACTAGTTTTACTACTTCACAAAACGACCCAGAATGAACTACATGTACATTAAATGTTCAGTTGAGCAGTCAGTTGTTGTCTTATGCCAGTTCATAATACTTGTGAGTTCTGGGATCAAAGTAACAGTTCAAACATGGATCATAAAGTAAATCCAACTCCTCTTCATCTGCGGTGTTGTGGTCCATGCTACAGCTTGGATTACGACTTCTTGGTGGTGATAGGGCAGCTGAAAGAGCCTCCTGTTGGCCAGCTGTAAAACAAATAATTGTTTTGAGGAAGCATGTATCTTTAACCATCATAGTGGTTTAAATAAAAGCCTGTCAGTGCCAGTCTATTACCACCTACAATACCTTGTACCGCTGTATGATTAGCCTAGGTGCAGGTTCGTGTTTGGGTTTTTCCTTTCAGCCCCTTTTGCTGGTACAACTGTCTGTTATGCCATTGGCAATCACTTATGGAAAAGTTAGTGAAACTCCTGCATCACATCTCTCCATAAGAACTCTACAACTTACCAGTAACATTTTGAAAATGATAAATCTGGCCGTGTTAAATAAACAAGAGTGTTAAGTGTTGATTACAGGACAGGATTGCAATAACTAGAGATCTCAAACAGTGCAGAACTTTAGCCGTAGATTTATTCCAACCTGACTGACAGTTTTTTATTATAATGAGAAATAAATGAGTAAACCATATGCATGAGTACAATGTACAAAGCATACCTCCCCTGTGTCACTGACAGAAAAAAAATAACATTTTTAACTCTCATGAGTGACCAAAAGAGAATTTCTCTTTTCAATACTAATACAACATCAAGCAGACAAGTGATGAGAATAACCATTAAAAAAAAACATGAATTAGTGGATTTTTAGTTGACCCTGTACCTGACATCAAAACAATTATAAAGCAGACAGTAAGGAGAATAACTAATAAGATCATGTGAGTGAAAAGGCAAGGGCAGAATAACATCTCATTACTATAGATCACTGCCATCTCAAGAGGAGTGTTTTACTTACCAGTGCTCCGTTTTTGACTGGGTAGTACAATTGGTGGACTGAATGCATTTGAATACTCCCTTGGATCCATCGGTAATGTGGCTGTAAGATCTGGCTCTGGTCCTGGGTGCTAATAAGTGCAAAACACATGTTACAACAGTTCAAACTACTACTTTCCTTTTAGATTAAAAGTAAAACTGATGAGATAAAGAAGACAAAAAAAATTTTTGGTTAGGGTTGGGCCAAACAGAACCACCAAAATTTGAAAACATTTCATTCCTTTCCTCATGTTGTTATCCTTTTGTTGTCACATGATGCTTTCCTGCCACTTTTATGTGTTTTTCACATAGGTAATGTAAAATATCAATGCTACTCCAGGGACACATCTCTCCCAAGGATGAACCAGACTCTAGGCTTAGGAAATACATATTTATTTCACTGTACATTTAGGTGGAGTTGGTGAGTTAAGTGAATAAGAAGAAAGCATCATTCTAAAAGATGTTGACTAAATAACCCACCAGAACTTGCAGTATCAATTTTTTTTTCCTTTGGCAAACCCCACCCCAGTTGCCCACCCTAGAAATTTTTCAGTTTGCTTCAATGTCCAACATCCAATTCCAGTTGTGGCACAGTTTTATTGTAGATAGTTTCTTAACTCCATCAATACCCTAACCTTTTAGGATGTTTTGTGGTATGGGCCTCTAAAAACTGTCTTCAACTTATCCGGTCACACTGGATTAATAGCTAGTATGTGCAGCAATTCATGTGAGCATTAATTTACCACAGACACTACAGATTTGAAATTTTCAGAATGGAAGCTCTAATTCTTGACAAATTAAATCCTACCTCCTCCTTGCCAAACTAACACCATTTTACTAACCCTCATTTCATCTAAATAGCGGTGTATCCTCCTGTCAGGGGGAGGTGGTCCTTTCCATGTACTGTATGTTGTATCATCACTAGAATCACTAAGGGAATCCCCTCCATCATTAACAATGATGTCTTCAGAACCAGTTCCACTACTGTTCAAGTGTTCTCTAAATATTCCACTATCATGTCCAAAAGAGCTGTTAAATGATCTATCCAAGGATTTGTCTAACATGTTGTTACTCATGGCAGATGTGTCAAATCGCCAAGAGCTTGCATCTGATTGAACATTCCGCCACGAGTTTGCATCAGATTGGTAATTCCTTGCATCATATGGCTTTGCATTGCTTTTGCGTGGTGAAGGAATCTTAAGTAAAAAAAAAGAAGAGAGAAAAAAATTAATAGACTACAATTATAACAATTTCATACTTTCTGACATATCAAATCACCATTTTGAAGCCAATTAATCAATGCCTGAGCCCTGCCCAGAAAAAAAAAAACACCTGTATTCTTTTTATAGTGTACAACCTAAATGTAGTCACTGTATTCATGTGCAGAAGTGGCATGTACTGACAGAAATACCTCTCTAATAACTCCAAATATGTCTTATTTTTTAATACCAGATCTGTCCAACCTTGTCTCATCCTTGGTTGAACAAAACATAAAAATTGTCAGATGTCTCATTTGTCTTATCTGTTTTCACTTAATTTCATGCCCTATTTTCTGGGCAGAAAAATTACATGTCTCTTATATATTTGGCAAATAGTTGTCAACTGTAAAGTCTGGTTAAGATATGTGTCAATTCTGATGAAACACTATGCAATAACCAAAAGATTTACTGATATACAGGCTAGCTGAAGAATGACCTCTTTTAGTTAATCTTTCACTTGGATTTCATTTAAGTCTTCACTCACCTCCTTCAACAAGCTACTTCTGATACTCATTCTCAAGATCTGTGAATTTGACAAAGGATCAGGCTCAGGGCTTGGTAATGGACTTTCCAGAGGGCTCAATTTTGATCCTCTTGAGCTGCACCTTGAATTTCCACTTGCTTTCAAAAAGTTCTGTAAATCATCTTCCTCAGCTGAACTTTCTCCAGAAGCTTTGTAGAAGTCATCATCATACTCTGATCTATCACTGCCTTTCCGCAATCGATTCTGTGATTTATTTGTTAGGTCTTTAGAATCCACAGATTCTTGTAATGAAATTTTAATCTCTGGCTTTTCTTCGGCAGGTGTCATACCTGGAATATAATCTGAAGTTTTACGTGGTCGACCCCGAGGTGATCTGGGTGCGGATCTAGGTCTAGATGAGAAAGTGAAAAGAGACTCTTTTTCAATTTTTGTCGTCGGTGCTGTCTGTTCTTGTGAATTAGCAGGATCAGTATTGGCATTGCCATTTTGATCCCTATCAGGAATTTGTATTGACAGTTTTTTAAAGCTTGCTGCTAAGCTACTATCATCGCCTGACATCTTCAGTGAATTCTCACTTCGTGATCTAGAAATAGACTCCTGATCATCAGAGACATTGTCCTTTGAAGTGGAGGAACCATTCACACCATTCTTAACAGTATTGCTTGTGTTATCCTTGTCAGTATTATTTGTGTTATCCCCATTGCGAACTTTGGAACTTCCAGGATGTTTGATTCTCAATGGCCTTCTCCGTGTCTTCCCACCTGAGCCAGTTCTTGGTGGTCTGGGTTGCATTGTTGTTTGAGTAGCTTCCACCTCTAACTGGCTACTGGAAGATTCTGATTGAAAATAAGTAGCATCTGATAAAGACCTCTGGTATGGAAGTCTATGAGTTAGTCCACTACTTTCACGTCCACTTTCAGGCTCAAGCACGGGTGAAACAGATGTTAACTGAAGGATTGAGCCACTGTGATTTAATCCTGAAGAAGAACGGCCACCTGCAGAAGATGCTCCTCCTTCACGAGAAGACTTCCTTGCATGTTTAGGAATAACAACTTTTGAGCCAAATGCAATATGTGTAGGTTGTTCTTCTGGTTTGTGTCCTGACACATCAGCTTCAGTAAGGATTGGTGTTGAAGGTGGAGGGAGGCCAGCTCTCTCTCTTGCTTTGATTTCTGCCTGTAATATCTTGGTCATGTTGATGACCTTGAAGAAAAAATACAATAAATTTGTTTTCATAGGATGAGGAAAATTTAATCCTACCAAAGAAGGAAAAAAATTTTTTATACCTCAATCTTGAAATCAAAGCTGTTGTAAGATGTATTTACTTAGTCATCATTTTATCTAAAACCGAAACATCAAGTACTTGCTGAAAGGCATTTTAATTTATGAAATCACATTTATTGAAAATATTTATGGAGTGCTGACCATAACTGCCTTACATGTAACATTGGCTGAAAGTAACGAGATACACCAAGATTTTTTTTTTCCAAAATATATCAGCATGTGAACCTAATAATAGTAACAGACTCTGTGGCTCAGTGGTTGAGAAATTCAGAGTGCAAAGGCTTTGATTCCTTATGGGAACTCAGAATTTTTCTCTATCCCTGGTTTGTGACAAGGCGATAAGTCATCCCTTTTCAAATATAAAATAACCATTTCAAAAACAAAATGTAAAAATACCACCAGCAGTTAAATCACGTCTAACACATTTCTAATCAGCAAGACATAATTCACAAAACAAGGTGTAAAAATGGAGCAAGGGAGATAATTACCGTCGATAAATTAATTATGGTCCAAACCACAGGAGCAGTCCAACATGAATAGGTTTAATAGCGCTTTCAGTCGCCGCATATTAAACGTTAATACAAGTATATTACAGTAAGCCTGCACTGAACCAGCTACGTAAACAAAAATAATAAAAGTAAAACAGTGCTCATACCTGTGTGTAATAAAGGATGTCTGGTGAAGTCGAGAGCTGAAGTGATTTGGGTATATTGTCTGACTCTCCGTTGTTTGTATTCTCGCAATTGTAGAGTTCATCGTCGTCCGTAGTATCTAGCGGTTGCAACTTCATTGTGAAGATTTTCCTTAAACGACAACTCGCAGAAATTGTCAAGTTTTCCAGAGCATTAAAAGACTCTCCCTTGAACGTTTCTCCTACCAGTGATCGTAGATCAAAACAAAGATTTAACCAGACACCAAGGCGAAGGATGTTAAGGGGAAATCGCGCGTGAAGTTGTGTTATAGTGATTTCTCTGTGATTTGAGGAGAGCAGAATGCGACGTTTGTTGTTTCCAGAGCTGTCTGAAACACCAAACTCTAAAGAAAACGAGTGCCCCAGTGGCACATATAATTGCAAAACCAAATACCGTTGTGTGAGTCCTAACGATTGCTTCTCGTCTTTAGGTAAGCTCATTTTCGTTGTGGTTGTCTCGCCCTCCAAAATGTAAACAAAACTCTTTACGTCCTTATCGTAAACTTTGTTTTTGGTTGAAGCACTTCCACTCAGCCTCCATTTTGCGACCGGGTCTCGTCCTTGAGCACTGAAAACTTCCACGTAAGAGCCACCCTATTTACACGAATCAAAAGAGAAATAACTAAACGTTACAGTAATCAAGCTTGGTTTGAAAAATATGTAACTATGCAAGCTAACCGATTCGGCCGCACTATGCTAATTTACTTACTTGAAACTCATGCTTAAACATTTTTTGCCGCCACAAACAAGAATCTCTAAGCGAAATATTTCAAATATACGTCGAAATTTGAAGATAAGGGTTAATCCGTCGAGGAGACTTCGTTAAAAACGCGAAAAAGGTTCTTTGCTGCCGTACAAATTCGTCGCCATCATTACTCGACCCAGAGCCTCGTTTCTTTACATTTATTCTCGTTCCCAGACCCGAACTACTCTCTCGACCGGTAGGACCTTGGCACAGGAAGTGACGCTCTTCTGAATTCTTGAGACCTAATAAATTTTTAGATTTTTGTTCACGTTTACTGTTAAGAGCAAAGATAAACATGACCAAATAATCTTGAACTGAAGTGTCTTTGTTAAATTAATCATGAAACGGATGGACGCTGTCATACATATGGAAAGAAAAAGCAAGAAATATCCGGAGTTCTCCAAGTACTACAAGTTTCTTCATTTGGTCTCGTCACGCAATCCTAAATTTCTCACATATAAATTTGGTTTTTGATTAAAAAAAAAAAGCAACAACCTTAAAAAGTTTGTCAGGAGTCTAAGGTTTTCTCTCCATAAGAGTGTTGCGTGACGGAAATACCGAGACTAAACCCTGGAAACCATAGAAAGCCATGAAAAATCCTCCAATTTCTCTTCCTTTGTCTTAATCTCAAGTATCTCCCCTATCACCCTGTTCTAGCGGCTATCTAGGATCGGGGGAGAAGGCAAGACCAGTAAATTTACGCCTCCATCCACACCCCCACCCCCACCTCGTCAGATTCTTAGACCAGCTCTAATGCGAAATCGAGGCTAGCCTAACTCACGTGTGAGCGCCGGAAAACACTGATTCTTTGTGAATGTCACCAAGAGAAATATATTGGCGATGGAAAAAGCTAAAAATGTCCTGGAAAGAGTTGTTTTGAATGGAGATCCGAATTTAGATTTGTCTTCTTTGGATCTTGACTCTTTGCCGTGTGATATTCTATCTAAAACACTCCGTCATGTCACCATTTTGAACGTCGATTACAATGATTTGAAATACTTACCAAACGAGATTTCTGTCTTATTTTCATTGAAAGAACTATCCGCAACGGGTAACCAGCTGAAAGAACTTCCGTATGCTATGGTAGAGCTAAAAAAACTGGAATCACTTCACCTAAACGAGAACTGCTTACACGAAGTGCCTGCCTTTTTAGCGCAGCTGCAGCATTTGCAAATTCTGGACGCCATTGGCAATGGAATCGAATCCTGGAAGGAGGGACTTGCGGAATGTCTGTTGGAACTGCGGCTGGATGAGAATAACCTGACAACCCTACCCGAGTCTTTCAGTCGTATGAGGAATCTAAAGGTAATGGAGTTGGGAGATAACAATCTGACAAGCTTGCCAGAGGATATGGGTGCACTGAGCAAGCTAGAAATCTTAAACTTAAGCCATAACAACTTGTCTAATCTACCACACTCACTGGGAGACCTACTTAATTTAAAGATGTTTGACCTAAGTGGTAACAAGATTGAAAATCTACCAGAAAAATTTCATTCTGCCAACACCATAGAAAATCTCTTTATTGACAATAACTATCTGAAGTCCTTGCCTGCTTGGTTTGGACAGTTGAGTCACATCAAGAATCTAGGAATAGCGGACAATGAGTTGTCAGGAAATCCTCTTCCAGATTCCTTTGGAACTGCATCTGGAAAGACATTGAAAACTCTGGATCTTTCTGCAAACAACATCTCAAACTTACCAGAAACTATAGGGGACTTAAAGAAGCTGGAGAAGCTGAAGCTTGGAAGTACAATTTGTGAACTGGAAAGAAGGGCATTTCAAAATGGAAACTGGCTTTTAACACTGCCAAGTAGCTTTGGATGGATGTTGAACCTACAGAAGTTGCATTTAGACGAGAATCAGTTAGTGGAGTTGCCAGAAAACTTTGGTTATCTAGAAAATTTGGAATGGGTTGATTTTGGTCAAAATCGTCTGCAAAGATTGCCTCCCTCATTTTGTTCCCTGTCTAAGCTTTGGTACCTTCAGCTGTCTCAAAACTACCTAAAAACTCTTCCTGATGATTTTGGCAATCTAACTAGTCTGATTGAATTAAGGTTGAACAACAACTACCTTACAGAGCTCCCCAGTTCATTTGCAAATCTGACTAGACTTCAAACTCTTGATTTGTTCCACAATGAACTCACAAAGATTCCTAAAGAACTGTTGAATCTTAAGATGCTCTTGAGACTGGACTTGGATAAAAATAAATTTAAACTGAAAGCATGGAAAGTTCCAAAGTTGACAAAGCAAGTTAAATATCCAGACAGAGATCCGAGCTTGAAAGAAGACTGGCGTGGAAAGGTGAGGGAGGATTATATCGACACTGGTGAGGTGAAAACTATTGAGATACTTAATGATGTCAATGATACAGGTGAAGATGACTCTGATGAGGATGATGTTGATGGCCTAAGTTATAGTGAAGCAGCTTTAGAATATGCCATGAAAAGAAGTTTGTCAATTTGGAAGTCACATGAAGGTGGGTAATTTCAGAATTGGCTTTGGATCATGTTCAATTCTCAGATCTAGAGCTTATTTGTGCAAAGTCCTGATCACTTAACCCTTTCACTCCCAAGATCTCATCAGTAATTCTCCTTGCTGTCTGCCATATAATCTTTACAAGGTTACTTTGGAGAATTTGGTATTTGATCTAGTAAATGTTGTGATAATCCCCTCAGTGATATCTTCTTATTATCATCCCTTGTCTGCTTGATATTGTAAGGAGAAATTATGTCTTTGTCGCTCATGAGAGTTAAAGGGTTAACAGAACTGAAGCAATGTTTTTAATTCTAAATCGTGGGGCAGGTCTTAGCTCAAAAACCTTTCCATTTATTTTTGTTTCCTGATATCTGTATTGTTACCCTTAAATAACTTTTAATGTGCTCTTTTTGATTTGGGACATGGTAAACACAAAACAATTTTGTAGGACCAGTAACTCCAGGACTTAACCCTTTGACTGCGAAGATTGACTAGCATCTAATTTTTCCTTACAATATCACCCCTGAGTCAAACATTAAGGTCATGAGAATAAAGGAAATGATCAGCAACTAAAGAAGCTCTTGAACGTTCAACAAATTCTCCTTGTCAGCACCTTGGGAACTGTATAGAGAACAGTATGGAGAATATGCATACTGATGTTAGGGTGTAAAGGATTATGGGAAATGAGCTTCTGATATCACCTGTAGAGCCTCTATATCCCACACATTCCTCTCCTGTATCCCTTCATCCTTCTTCTTTTGTCCAATCTGTCCCCCAGCCCCACCTCCCTCTTTACCTTTGAGGCATTTTATCCACTTATTAAATTATTAAAATTAACCTTTTTTTTATCTTTGCAACAGGCCCAGATGAGAGAGAGGTTCATGATAGAGAACAAACTACAAGAGGTTTAATTCCCAAGTTTCCCTCAAAATACCAACCTCAGGAGACAGAGACCATTGTTGAACTTTCTAAAACCATTTATAATGAAATTTTCAAAGATGCTGATGATTTATCTGAGAATGAGTCCAATATGAGAAGTCTAGCTCAGTTGGAAGACCATGCAGACACAAAAAATGTGAGCATCAACAATCTATCAAATGGAGCTCTATTAGAAGGACCTCAGCAAGATGGACCTCAGTCAAGAGGGTCTCTGTCAGATGGGCCATTGCCAAGTGCACTGGACACAGTTGAGGACTGGGATAAGGAGATTGAAGATTCCTTGGCTTACAATCTTGTACTGGAAACGTTTAAGCAAAGGAGTTATAACAAAGTTAATTTTCAAAACCAACTGCAAAACTTGCTTTACTCCTATCCTCCTGCATCCCAAGCCTTCACCAAGACAGCAAACTATGAATCAGCTGTTTACTCATTCCCTGCACCACATCTGTGCAGTGATCAGGTGTCTTGCTCCTTAGATGCTGGGCAGTTTGATGATGCTGATGAGGAGGTGCTTGCTAAATTGTGAGTCTTGTTTAAGATACATCTTGTTTGAAGTTTTAGCCAATAATAATCATCAGTTATGCTCTGAACCTCAGAGGTTTAGTATCACATTTGTTGTGTTACATTTGTAAATTTTAGATGGAATGAATTAGCTATTCCTTTTTTCTTGTTCTGTGTATTTTTTGTTGTACAACTGTAAGGTAAATAAATCCTAGTTGATATAGCAGATTATTTCTACTAACTCATAGTTTTGTTTTTTACGGAACATTGTGGTTAAACTAGAGCCACCATGTTGATGTATTTTTCATAACGGCAGTTTAGAGAGTTTAGTTGCGAGTCTGTCGTTGAAATAATGATTAAAAAGGTGCTCTCCCAATTATCCATGTGGTTTTTTTTCATCTCCCTTACGAGACCCCACGCAAGGACCTAAAGAACCTCTTTTTGTCTCAGTAGAGTCGGTCTCGTGCCTGTTGTACACAATTTTCGGACGCGTGTATACACGCGCGCAAGTGAGGGAAACTAACCGAAATTGTTTTTAGCAGGTAATTTAGTGTTAACAACTGAGTTGAAAACGCAAATTGACTACCGTAAAGAGTTTAAAGGCTGTCGTTTCGAGCGTTGGCTTTGTTACCTCCCCTCTGATTTACATTTTCAACTAAGTTGTTAACACTAGATTACCAGCTATACTCTCCCACCGACGCAGCACCACGGTTTCTTTAGAAACTTACCCCCTTTATAAATTGTTTTTAAACAGGCACCGGAACACAATTTGTAGCAAAAGGAAGTATCTTTTGTTTCTTTCTTTCTTTTCCATACACCAAGACTTTTAACAAGCAATTTAGGCTGCCTGTGATACACTGTGCATCCTGAATGCGCATTTTTCACGCGAAATTTCAGTTTCGTACCCCGTGGTCACGTTCTCCTGGGGAGAGGGTGGTGTGACCTCTGAGAACGAGATGGACGTAATATGCGCTAGCGGCTTCAGCATCATAAAATACCTTTATTCTTGGGATACAGAAACACACTGACGAATTGTAGTTAGTCTCCATTATACGCGGACAGAGAGCTATTCACCCATTTTTGGGAACGGGGGGAACTCATTTACTGTGGGGGGGGGGGAAATGCCCTTTAGTTTTTATTTGCGAATATAAAGCACCTTTCTAAAATGTGAAAATTTGAAATCCTGGTTGTCTGAGGTTTCTTAACTCAAAATTTACATACAAATAATTTTGCTCTCGCGTGCTATGATTTTCATTCCTTCATTTTTTTAACCACCTGGTCTTTTTGTTTGTTTTCTTTTTTCCTTTTGTTTTTGTGCCTTTTACTTTTTTGTATGGAAAGTTGATCGTGACTGACTCTTAAAATAGAAGTGACATGTGACGTCTCCTTTGAATTTTGGAAACTGTTTCTTTTTATAAATCAGGTGATGAATTTGGAAACAACGTTACTGTTGTAAAACAGTTGTCGGTTAACATTGCTTGCTTGCGTTTGTTTTTCCATGGAACGACTCGACCGTGTTGTCTTGTGGCATATTGCAAGTTTCCTCGGTCCTGCAGATATTGCGCATTTCCGAGGAACTTGTCGGAGGTTGTACTCATTGCTGCCCCAGGTTACTGTGACTAAAGATCTGTGGGAAGGAAACGACTTTCATATCACACACTGGTGTCCTGAAAAGTACTTCGACGGACCAATACTCGTGGGTAATTTGCTTAAGCTAGAATTGTCGGTTGTGTGGAAGGACCAAGGCTGGGGGAACAAAAAAGGAGAGCTGTTCGCCTATTTGATGAGACCAAGTCGCACAGGAGAACCAGTTAAGATTGCCGAACACAGAAGATTGTTTGGCATCGCAGACCATTGCGAAACGAAACCAAATACAGAGATCGGTAGAGAGTCCGCTATTGTGGCCAAGTCGAAGAAAGGGGATTTTTGCAGATTTATGAGAATCGCTGGCGGTGGAGGAGGACATGAACTGTTCGTAAATAAATTTCAGGTCAAGGCTACAATATGTGAAGTGGAGTGTTAAACTTAGTTTATTTGAAAAGTTTGATCAATTCAAAACGAGTGAACATATAACTGGTATTCATCGCTTTAAAGACAACTCACATGAGAGGAGCGGTATTTGAAAAATATTTTTTAGTTGTCAATGTGATTTTCAAAGGGTATCCGATTCAAACTCAGAGACTCAGAAAGGGAAAAAATCCCAGGGATTAAGAATATTCTCTAGTCATGACCACTGCCTTCTTTCAAGACCAACTGAGTTCCTGAATTGAATAATACGACCAAGTTAGCCTTAAGCTAGCCAAACCTGAATTTAGAACCAAAATTTTAAAAAAAACAATGAGATAAAAAGTAAAATGCGTATGTAAAAACTGAAACAAAATGGACGTTTTAACCGAGGAGCAATGATTATTATTATGAATTATCTAAAACGGGCTGCCAAACCGAAATTGATTTTCAAAAGCCCCCTCTGAATCGGGGTTGATATCAACCGGAGACTTGTTGAATTTTTTTTTCGCCTGTAAATCAATAATTAATGTAATTTAAATCAAACCATACTTGTCAAATTTGAGGTATTTTTCTCTTGAGTTTTAACACAGTTTTAAAAAATCAATAACAGGACTTTTATTCATCCGGCCTGTAATCAAACTTCTCACTGAAAATTTAGACTCTGATAACTGTAATGATGATGATAACGTTAACAGACTGTTACCGTAATTTCCGGCCGTTTACCTGCACGGCCGATTACCCGCACCGGCCGATTATTGCGTGCGGCGAAAAAGAAAGTCAACAGATTACCCGCACTGGTGGATAACCCGCACGTTATATTATTCAACTTTTTGATGGCGAAGACGTGACATTAAGGTGCTACATTTCAGTCTTTTAATAGTTGTCTGATCTAACTTTCGAAAACTTGAAAGCTTCTTTGTCGAGTTTAAAGGTCAAAGAAATTCAGACGCGTGCACAATTCTGTGTCAATATTAGCATGTACTTTATTAATAAAATTATACAGTTAAAACACTAGCGGCTCATGCCCAAATCTCAACGTTTCATACTTGACAGAATGCGAATTTGTGGCCCCATTTTGTGCGAGCGATCGTTCAGCGCCATGTTGATTCGTTGAAAGAAAGCTGGGTGAATGTTAAAACTTGAGTTATTAAGTACTGTCGGCGATTTCTGAAAGAAATAGATATCTCCGGTTCTATTGGGCCTAACAAGTCCCTTAAACGGGAAAATTCTCTTTAGCTCAAGCTAGTGTTAAATGGAAATTTGTTGTTGATGCTCCGGATATCTTTGGATTATTTTTGTCACCATCAAGGTTTTGTTTTCACGCGTGCCGACAGCAGTTTGTTCGTCACGCAACTAATTATGCGTGAAATAAACTCGAGTCGGCATCATGTTTTCGTGCCGCTTTGTGGCACTCTTAATACAGTAAAATTCATTTGAGGGGTGGAAACGCATAAAGGTGAGAATTTTTTTTCAATTCAACTACCAGTAGATTTTAAAATTGTCACATTACCCGCAATTCCCTGTTACCCGCAGTGGCGCGCATTTGACGCAAAATCAACAGATTACCCGCGGGTAAACGGCCGGAAATTACTGTAAGCGTAGAAAACAAATTATGTCCCGACCTCACCTCCCCGCGGGGTACAACCCATAGGTTCTGTGGCGTGACCATGTCGCGTGACGGATTTGATTAAAAGAACTATATTTTAGTAACATTAACATTTCTTGGCCAAAATAACCAAAACAAAGCTTGTTTCCTTTGGTGGTATAAAAAACTGTTCTATTTCATGTTCGTTGCTATATTTCATTATGATTTTTTATCGAAATACAAGCTTAAGTTTTGAGTGATAATTATCATTCACATCCGTTTTAAGTTTCGCTTTCGTTTCTGGAAGTCAGCAGCTTCTAGAACTTACGACAAGGCGGAAGGATTGACAGTGAAACCGTGGAGAAGGCCGAGTAACGTAGCTGTTTAAAACTACAGTCGGTTAAAGACATCGTTTGTTCACACAGGACATGCAGTAGGATGCATTCAATGCTGCCTGAAGTTGTTGTGACCGAGTATCAGTGGAAAGGAGAGAATTTTCACATCTTTGGTCCAAGAGGTGGTCACTGGGCTCCTGAACATTATTTTGACGGACCAGTACTCCCGGGTAACGCGATCAAACTAGAATCGTCTGTGCTATGGGAAGATCAAGGTTTTGGGAACAGGAAAGGAGAATTGTTCGTCCATTCAATGCGACCAAGTCGTACAGGAAAACCCCTCCAGATAGCAGAACACCGACAGTTGTTTGGTATCGCAGAGCACTACGAAAAGACGGCACATAAAGTTCTTGGAAGAGAAGATCCCATCATAGCTAAGTCAAGAAAAGGGGATTTCTATAGATTTATGAGGAATGCTGGTGGCGGGGGAGGCCATCAACTGAAAGTGAAAAACTTCAGAATCAAGGCTACACTTTTCGAAGTCAAGAGTTGAAATGATTGAGTTTCACTAAATAAACTGGTGGGCCTTTTGCTTAAAAATATGACTCACATATCGAAGAATTTGTACTTCATGAGACAAACTTTCCTGATTAGTCCTGATTACAGTAATTTTTTTTATTATAACCTCTAAACTTTCATGATTTGGATTTTCATGAGTGAAGCATTTATTGGGTATTTGTCTCTAGAGTTTCATCTCATCTTTATTTATGTTATGTTCTATCTCAAAGACAGGAAAAATTGAAAGAACAGCAAATTATGGTGCATGGAGCTGTGACAATAGAAAGCAACAACAAAATAAAAAGTTATACTTTAGCACTGTGAGTTGGCTGAATCATGTTTTGATTTTGGTCTGGCATAAATGAGGATCGCAATGAACTGAACCATGAACCATGAACAATGTACCGGGCCAAGTTTAGGAGTCAAATGAAACATTGAAGACAGTGGGGATGGTGAGTACTCTCACCACTGCCCCAGACACATTTAAGGTGGCCTCATGTTGAGGCTGAGTGGCTCTGTGGGCCCTTAATTGTCATTGCCATTTCCCTTCATTGCTCATAGCAGTCACTTCAGTAGTACTAGGGAAAGTAGAAGCACTTCCTTCTCCCCAAGAGTTGGTCAGTCTAATTAAATAAGGGGTGTAAGTTTCCAAAGAAACTGTAGTGCTGCATCAGTGGGGTGTATAACTAGATACTTTGGTTTTTAGAGTTTCTAAAGGTGACTTTTCAGGTATTTTCTCCTAATTAACCTATCAATATCATGGCACCCCTCCAAGAAGAATGGTACTGTGACATTAAGAAGTTTTCTACAAAATACACAACACAAACAAGTGACAGAGCCTACTCAAACCCACATCAATCAATCTGGGGTCTGAGGTGTTAGACATCAAGCTAGCTGGTAATTCTTACGAAGATTGCCAGAGTATGCAATTGAGTGTAGCTGTAACGTAGTTTAATTGTAAATAAACACTCTTCTTTGTTAGCAGAAATATATTTGCACTGCCATAACATATGAAAATAAACTCTGTTAAAACTCGGAAAGCTGTGAATACTTTCACTTGATTCTGACAGATGGATCGTAGATTACCAGCTATACTCTCCCACCGACGCAGCACCACAGTTTCTTTAGAAACTTACCCCCTTTATAAATTGTTTTTAAACAGGCATCGGAACACAATTTGCAGCAAAAGGAAGTATCTTTTGTTTCTTTCTTGTTCATACACCAAGACTTTTAACAAGCAATTTAGGCTGCCTGTGATACACTGTGCATCCTGAATGCGCATTTTTTCACGCGAAGTTTCAGTTTCGTACCCCGTGGTCACGTTCTCCTGGGGAGGGGGTGGTGTGACCTCTGAGAACGAGATGGACGTCATATGCGCTAGCGGCTTCAGCATCATAAAATACCTTCATTCCTGGAATACAGAGACACACTGACGAATTGTAGTTAGTCTCCATTATACGCGGACAGAGAGCTATTCACCCATTTTTGGGAACGGGGGAACTCATTTACTGTGGGGGGTAGGAAATGCCCTTTAGTTTTTATTTGCGAATATAAAGCACCTTTCTAAAATGTGAAAATTTGAAATTCTGGTTGTCTGAGGTTTCTTAACTCAAAATTTACATACAAATAATTTTGCTCTCGCGTGCTATGATTTTCATTCCTTCATTTTTTTATCCAACTGGTCTTTTTGTTTGTTTTCTTATTTCCTTTTTTTTTTGTGCCTTTTACTTTTTTGTATGAAAAGTTGATCGTGACTGACTCTTAAAATAGAAGTGGCATGTGACGTCTCCTTTGAATTTTGGAAACTGTTTCTTTTTATAAATCAGGTGATAAATTTGGAAACAACGTTACTGTTGCAAAACAGTTGTCGGTTAACATTGCTTGCTTGCGTTTGTTTTTCCATGGAACGACTCGACCGTGTTTTCTTGTGGCATATTGCAAGTTTCCTCGATCCTGCAGATATTGCGCATTTCCGAGGAACTTGTCGGAGGTTGTACTCATTGCTGCCCAAGGTTACTGTGACTAAAGATCTGTGGGAAGGAAATGACTTTCATATCCACGGTTCACGTGAAGGCCACTGGTGTCCTGAAAAGTACTTCGACGGACCAATACTCGCAGGTAATTTGCTGAAGCTAGAACTTTCGGTTGTGTGGAAGGACCAAGGCTGGGGGATCAAAAAAGGAGAGCTGTTCGCCTATTTGATGAGACCAAGTCGTACAGGAGAACCAGTTAAGATCGCCGAACACAGAAGATTGTTTGGCATCGCAGACCATTGCCAAATGAAACCGAATGCAGAGATCGGTAGAGAGTACGCTATTGTGGCCAAGTCGAAGAAAGGGGATTTTTGCAGATTTATGAGAAACGCTGGCGGTGGAGGAGGACATGAACTGTTCGTAGAGAAATTTCAGGTCAAGGCTACAATATGTGAAGTGGAGTGTTAAACTTAGTTCATTTGAAAAGTTTGATCAATTCAAAACGAGTGAACATATAACTGGTACTCATCGCTTTGAAGACAACTCGCATGAGAGGAGCGGTATTTGAAAAAAATTTTTTAGTTGTCAATGTGATTTTCAAAGGGTATCCGATTCAAACTCAGAGACTCAGAAAGGGAAAAAATCCCAGGGATTAAGAATATTCTCTAGTCATGACCACTGCCTTCTTTCAAGACCAACTGAGTTCCTGAATTGAATAATACGACCAAGCTAGCCTTAAACTAGCCTTAAGCTAGCCAAAACTGAATTTATAACCAAAATTAAAAAAAAACAATGAGATAAAAAGTAAAATGCGTATGTAAAAACTGAAACAAAACGCACGTTTTAACCGAGGAGCAATGATTATTGTTACGAATTATCTAAAACGGGCTGCCAAACCGAAATTGATTTTCAAAAGCCCCCTCTGAATCAGAGTTGATATCAACCGGAGACATGTTGAATTTTTTTTTTTACGTTTGTAGATCAATAATTAATGTAATTTGTAAAAACTATGCTTATCAAATTTGAGGTATTTTTCTCTTGAGTTTTAACGCAGTTTTAAAAAAATCAATAACAGGACTTTAATTCATCCAGCCTGTAATCAAACTTCTCACTGAAAATTTAGACTCTGATAACTGTAATAATGATGATAACGTTAACAGACTGTTAAGCTTAGAAAACAAATTATGCCCCGACCTCACCTCCCCGCGGGGTACAACCCATAGGTTCTGTAGCGTGACCATGTCGCGAGACGGATTTGATTAAAAGAATTATATGTTAGTAACATTAATATTTCTCGGCCAAAATAACCAAAACAAAGATTATTTCCTTTGCTGGTATAAAAAGCTGTTCTATTTCATGTTCGTTGTTATATTTCATGCTTTTTGTCGAAATAGTGATTTCAGTTTTGAGTGATAATTATTATTCACATCCGTTTTAAGTTTCGCTTTCGTTTCTTAAACTGAGTCAGTTGCTTCTAGAAGTTAAGACAAGCCGGAAGGATTGACAGTGAAACAGTGGAGAAGGCCGAGTAACGTAGCTGTTTAAAACTACAGTCGGTTAAATCGCCTGTTAATTTTGTTGCCTGATGGAACTGCTCGACGAACTGGTGTTAAGACATATTACAAGTTTCCTTGATCCGAAAGACATCGTTTGTTTACACAGGACATGCCGAAGGATGCATACAATGTTGCCTGAAGTTGTTGTGACCGAGTATCAGTGGAAAGGAGAGAATTTTCACATCTTTGGTCCGAGAGGTGGTCACTGGGCTCCTGAACATTATTTTGACGGACCGGTACTCCCGGGTAACGCGATCAAACTAGAATCGTCTGTGCTATGGGAAGATCAAGGTTTTGGGAACAGGAAAGGGGAATTGTTCGTTCATTTGATGCGACCAAGTCGTACAGGAAAACCCCTCCAGATAGCAGAACACCGACAGTTGTTTGGTATCGCAGAGCACTACGAAAAGAAAGCACATAAAGTGCTTGGTAAAGAAGATCCCATCATAGCCAAGTCAAGAAAAGGGGATTTCTATAGATTTATGAGGAATGCTGGTGGCGGGGGAGGCCATCAACTGAAAGTTAAAAACTTCAGAGTCAAGGCTACACTTTGCGAAGTCAAAAACTGAAATAATCGAATTTCAATAAATAAACTGGTGTCCTTTTGCTTAAAACTCTGACTTACATATCTAAGAATTTGAGCTTCATGATACAACCTTTCCTAATAGGGGGTGTAAGTTTCCAAAGAAACTGTGGTGCCCCATCTGTAGGATGTATAACAAAATAATTTGGTTTTAGAGTTTCTAAAGGTGACTTTTCAGGTATTGTCTCCTAATTAACCTATCAGTATCATGGCACCCCTCCAAGACGAATGGTACTGGGACATTAAGAAGTTTACTATAAAATACACAACACAAAAAAGTGTCAGAGCAATCAATCTGGGGTCTGGGGTGTTAGACATCAAGCTAGCTGGTAATTCTTACAAAGATTGCCAGTGTATGCAATTGAGTGTAGATGTAATGTAGTTTAATTGTGAATAAATACTCTTCTTTGTTAGCAGAAATGTTTGCACTGCCATAACATATGAAGAAAAACTCAGTTAAATTACTGAAAACTGATCATCATAAAACTCAGAAAGCTGCAAACACTTTGACTTGATTTTGATAGATGGATTGTGTACTGACCAATCACAATAAATTTCAGGACATGTGAGAAACACTACAAACTACAAATCTATTATCATTGCTATTTCAGTTTAGTTTTGTGACACTTGATAACATTCCATAAATATTTCTGGTGTTCACAATTTTCTGACTTTCACAGGTATATCTTTTAATTGTTTAGATCAAATATTATTCTGCAAGTATTATATGCAGCTGTCAGTGATTGTATGCAACATGTAAGATGAATACTTCTATGGCCAATACTTGGCTAATTAACAATTAACTGTCTGTATTACTATGAAGCTCTAGACTCTCAGGTATTTCAGGAAAATGTGAAAACTATGATTGAAGAACAAAAAAATTGAAAATAGTAACAAATTTCTTGATTTATACGGCAATTAATATAGAACACAGTATCAATAAGTATAAAACTTAATCAAACTAAAATATATCAATAATAAAAGTTATTAAATATTGAGGCCCATAAAGCAATAAGAAGCAAAAAATTGTTATGACTAATTTCATCATGTATAAATCAAAACATGGTAAAAGCTGCCATAAAAGAGACTTAGGTTAACAACTAATGCTAATTTTCTTTGGTTGCCTCATTAGTAGTTCCAGGCTCCTCCTCTTCCCTTAAGAATGGAAAGGTATATAAACATATTCCAAAGTCAACAACTTTAACTAACCCCTCCCTAACTAATTGTTACCTGAGAATCATCTTTTCTATACCCTTACACCCTTACTTAATCCCTGCTTCATCAAAAAGTCCTTCTCATGAGTCAGAAGGAGTGAACAAAAAAAAACATTGATGTTAGCATGCTGTGTCTCACCCCTAGCAAGGCTGTTCATTTATCAATCAAACCTATTTTATTAGTACCAAACAAGATGTCATATGAGGAGAGAGACTAGCTTTAAATTAGCTATTTTGTGGGCTGGTGCTGTTTTGTATCTAATACTATGCAAAAAATATAATTTCATCTACAGTAGATTTGTAAGAAACTATAGTTTGCTCTTAATCATTCATCAGGAAAGCCATTATCTTGCACAATTGTCCTATACACCTCAGCTGAAAGTTTTGGGGTCCGTGGTCGGTTGGGGTCATTAAAGTTTACATGATGAATGCCAAATCTAAATCGATAGCCATCATCCCATTCAAAGTTATCCAAAAGTGACCAAACAAAATATCCCTTCAATTTGACACCATCCAGTTTCACAGCTTTCAAAGCTTCATTGATATATCCTCTCAGATATGTGACACGGTCTCTGTCTTGGATAGCAGCAGGCAACTCTAGATCATGTTCACCATGAGCACTGAAACCATTCTCAGTAACAATGATTTCCGGATCATTGTATTGTTCTTTCAACCACACCAGCATTTTGCGCATACCCCAAGGAACACAATATAACCAAGAGGGGTCCCCTGAAGAATACAATTGATAAAAAATAAATAAATAAATATCAGTTCTTTAAAATTTTATTTAGTACTACATTTATGACTACAAACAATAGAGGGCTTCATTTCATCTTTCAGATTGTTCTAAAGTATGATTCACATCATGATTATAAATGAACTACATTTTCTTACAGCTGGGTTTAATCAAACTGGAAATCCATAGATGGAGAATTATTATGACAGATAAAATAAAACAATGTAGTAAGTAGACAACAATAAACACCACAAATACTGCTGAAATGTGAGATTATTAAATAGATCGAATAACTGCTGAAATATGATTATCATGGTATAAAGAAAAAAAGCCAATTAGGTGTGAAAATTTGAAACTGTAAGGTGTCATCTCAATGCCACAATATATAATTCTAACCTTTCAGCCATGTTGGATCCCGTGATGTCTTCATTTCCTGATCAGTAAAGTAACCCCATGTGACATTTTCCTCTTTGGACAAGTCATGATATTCTGCAAATGACACTGAATAGAAATTAAGAGCTAAAAAGTCAGCAGTGCCCTTAAGTAACCTCTTTTGTTCTGAAGTGAAGGATGGAAGCCTGCAATAAAAGTAAAAAACTGTAAACTGATGGTTGTTTATCAGGGGGCAATAAGGGCAGTGAGTATAGAATGCCAAATCTAAATCGATAGCCATCATCCCATTCAAAGTTATCCAAAAGTGACCAAACAAAATATCCCTTCAATTTGAATGCCAAACAGTATAGACCTGTAGGGTGTCAGTCAAAATAACATTGTCATTGACATGAAATAGTAATTTCAGTCATGGTATCACACTTAAATATGGTCTCAAACAAACCTGGAAGTCAGTCCTTGTGCTTTATTTTTCTCCAAAATGCGCTCCTTCATGATCTCGGGATAGTCACCATTCACAAACACCGGGTGGGCCATCCAACCCAGGAACCACTGCATGCCACGATCAGCTGCTTTGATATCTTCTTCCTTGTCAGTCTTGGGTTCAAACCACTGTGCATTAACCACAATGCTCACCTTCCCTTTCTGCTTTTGTCTAAATTCCTTGTTGTAGGTGTGCCATGCTTTTGCATGGGCAAGCAACATGTTGTGACCAGCTGCATCAAAATGAGCCAGAAAAACAGGTTCATTTAGAGAACATAAATTTACTAGCTATGGCTGAAAATATTTTCCTAGCTTTGAAAGGTATTAAACTTGTGGTACCTTGGACTCAGATGCTGTCCATCAAAATGTTTTGCACCCCTAAGAATTATTTTTTCGTTCTTTTCACATTTGTTGGAAAGGTATGTACAAAGATTCCAAGCAACATATCAGCTCTTAAGAAAAGTAAAAAAAAACCAGCCCTCCATCTTCATTCCTCCCAAAGAGACCTTGCACAATTTGCATACCCCCCTCCAACATTAACCTAACCCCCAAAAATAAACTTCAGTGTTCTTCCTCAACTCACCATCTCTATGGTTACTTACCCTGGTAAGGTCCACTTGCCATGTCTTTTATCCCAGGTGCAAAAGCACCAAGACCATAAGCATCTAGTGCTTCCTCGTGAGGTTCATTAATTGTAAGCCATATTTCAACTCTGTCTCCAAACTCTTTGAAACAAAACTGAGCATAATCATTAAAGATATCAGATATTTCGGGATTATACCAGCCACCAATATCTTGCAATGCTTGCGGCAGGTCAAAATGGTAGAGGGTCACAGCAGGCTTGATCCCATTGGCTAACAGAGTGTCAATCAATCTGTTATAATATTTGACCCCAAGGAGATTCACTTTGTCTGCTGTTCCCTGGGGTAACACTCGGGACCATGAAATGGAAAATCGATAGTAACCAACACCAAGGTTTTTCAGGAGTGACACATCCTCTTCGATTTTGTGGTAACTATCGCATGCGACATCCCCAGTGTCATTGTTATGTATTTTACCCTCAATGTGACTAAAAGTATCCCAGATGCTGGGGCCTTTTCCATCTTCGTTCCATGCACCTTCGATCTGATAGGCCGCGGTCGCTGCTCCCCAAATAAAATCCTTAGGAAATTTCCCGTGAATAAATCCTTCTTCTGCTCCAGCTGTTGGAGACTAAATGATCGTAAGATAGTGAAATGATTTAATGATTTGCAAAGCTTGCTAGTAAATTCTTTGTTCGTTCATTTAAAATTCAATTGTTCTGCCCTCCCACGAAAGGCAGATGTTATCCTATCGAGAGAAAATTAGGTCAGGCTTACCGACATTGTCGCATCAAGTTCAAGAAATACCGCGATCAGCTGAAATAAAGATGTAAATTTGATAAACGTGATTGTAATCATTCGATTGTTCCGCTTTGAAGGGAAAAGAGACACTTAACTAACAGGAAAATCAACTGGTTAAGCCTCCCACCTTGCACTGTGATTTCCCCTCATTGTCAAACGTGTAAACCCACAAAAGATTGTGTTAAATTTGATCAATTATTAAATAATTTCAATAAAGAATAAGCTATCCTTACCCCTCAGTTATCGCACGAGCGGGAGAATGGGAGCTAACAAACACAATGAACGCTACCGCTTTGTAATCGTATTACCTGTAACATTTTCGCTTCTTTAAAACAGAACACACACGGGAAAAAATTGAATCTAGATTTGCTTTTAAAATGCCGAAAAGCTTACCAGACATATATGCGCAAATATGAAAAGAACATGCCAGCGCCAAAATGAAGAAAACTTCTTTCGCTTTTTCACCGTTCGAAGGTGGTTTTCGCAAGAGCTCTGGTTTTCGTCAAAATGGGGAATCACGGTAACTCATAATGGCCCTGATAAACAAGTGAAATTTCACGCAGAATGGGATAAGTACTGTTAAATTTTCTTTAAGGCAATAGGCCAGGATTTTCGTAAAAATTACTTCATAAAAGATTTCTCTGAAATGTATAAATTAATTCTCGCGTGATTAATCGGTAAGTGGGAGGCTTAGGTAACGTCACGCGATATGGTAATATTATTACTGCTGTAGCATTTTGTTCACTCGTCCTAATAAGCCTTACAGTCATGGCTGAAGGTCGGGATGAGTTTTTCAATGGATCATTTCCCGATGATTTCATGTGGGGTACGTCAACTTCGGCGTATCAAACCGAAGGCGGCTGGGATGCCGATGGTAAAGGCCCAAGTATCTGGGATAGATTTACTCAAGCCGGCGGTAACACGCACATGAATCAAACAGGCGACATAGCTTGTGATTCTTACCACAAGACCGACGAGGATATCAAGCTTTTGAAAAACCTCGGAGTGGGATATTACAGATTTTCAATCTCATGGTCGAGAGTATTACCAAAGGGTACGACTGACGAAGTGAATCACGCGGGAGTGAAATATTACAACGACTTAATCAACTCGCTGCTTCAAGATGGCATCACGCCAATGGTGGCGTTGTACCATTTCGATCTTCCCCAAGCACTGCAAGACGAGTACAATGGCTGGTTGAATCCAAAGATGGCCGACGTTTTCAACGATTATGCCAAGTTTTGTTACGAGACGTTTGGCGATCGCGTGAAATGGTGGATCACAATCAATGAGCCGTGGGAATCCGCTCTTCTTGGTCACGGATTCGGTTTAACACCTCCAGGGAAGAAAGACCTTCGCTCATCAGTATACAGAGGTAGTTGAACTGTTATATTTCCTACTCAGTGATGTATTGAAGAGTTCGTATTCAAGCACATATTAGTAATGATTTTCTGTATTTAAGAGGTTTCTTGTGGTAAATTAATTACTAATACAAATATTTGTTTAAATAAAAGATCGATACTGTGTTTACAAATTTCATATCAGTCTTCCCTATCAGCTAAGAAATGAAAGTGAAAGGATGATGAGGAAAGAGCCACGGTTTCGACGATTCTTTTCGCTTTCTTTTGAATATTTCGCTCATCATCGCTATGTCATTCACAGTCACGCAATCGTGTCACATCTTTTTTGGAACTCTTCTTGTGGCTTTCAAAAGACATGATTATCTTTCCTTCACTATGCGTATTTGCAAGTGTTCGTTTCCGTCTCAAGAAAAATTACCTTAAGAGCTTAAGCAAACCACGACGGCGACGGCAACGAGGACGTGGAAACAAAAGATCTAATTAGCAGAACAATAGCTCAACACGTGCGTTTTAAAACTTTGACATTTCTTAGCCGTTCTATGCAAAACAACAACGTGAAATCACCACAATTTGTGTCGTCTGCGAACCGAAACCGCGACGGCAAATTATTTTAATTTCCATTTGGAACTCAGCGCTTCTTTTATACGTTATGCTGAAGTTGAGGTGTGGCGCCGTATGAGACGGTAAACATGCAGCCATTTTTAAAATTCTTATTGAAGGCATAAATTCTTTTTTAATCGAAGTCTTCCTGGAGTTGCCGTCCTGACTGCTCAAGGTCCCTATTAAGGGAGACATTTTCACCCACACAAGCTTTTTTATTCGTTCTCAAATGTCCACATTACTGGGTTTCACGTACGGTTTCTCATACTGATCAAACTCTCCGTCTATCTCCATTAGTTGCCTATGTAATGCTCCTTGCTCACGCCAAGGCATGGCACACATACGATCAAGTCTTCCGCGCTTCACAGCAAGGCAAAGTATCCATAATTCTCAATGTGCAATGGGGAGAGCCTAAGAGTGACGCACAGGCTGACAAGGATGCCGCAGACCGAAGTCTGGAGTGGTGGCTCGGTTGGTTTGCTCATCCAATTTTCGTCAACGGGGACTGGCCCGACATTATGAAAAAGACAGTGAAAGAGAAAAGTGACGCTAAAGGAATACCAAATAGGTAGGAAAGTCAATTTTTTTTCGCATGAGAGTATTCTGCGATCATGGCAATCGTGGATTCTTTTTTCAATTTAAGGTGGAGCTAAAAAAAAAAAGGAAGACCTCCGACTCTTGCGCTGTTTTACTTGCGCGTTTCCCCACTCCCCACACGAAAAAAGTACACCTAAGCACAGGTTCGTAAGCAAGATGGTAAGAGCGTAGTTAGTTGAGGCAAAGGGGGACCTGTGACTCTTCTCTTTATCCGGCAAAACTGATGGGTAATAAAAATAAAACAACCCAACATGCTTCAAAATGCCAGAGAGGACGCTGCCACTGGAATTCGCAGCTGCATCCCCTGTCAGACCTGGCCCTGTAACTATCATGCATGTGAAACAAATAAAACCCATCTTACAGCAAATACATGGGTAAACTGCAATGCCTGATCAGATTAAAACTTAGCAGCTCTGGGGCTTAGCAACTTAGAACATAATTGTTAGGAAATTGTTCAAATTGATTCTATAGTCCTATTGTGAAATTGACAAGGTGACGCAGTATGTCAATCTCCAATCTCCTTTTATTTTTGTACTGAGACACAAACAAACCACTACTTTTAATTCGATCGAGTGCCCAGATCAGTTTTTACTTCTCATACTTGATCATGTTCCTCTTCTTTTCCCTCAGACTTCCTGAGTTAACTGATCCAGAAAAACAACTCATTAAAGGAACAGCGGATTTCTTCGCTCTGAACATGTACAGTGCATTCCTTATTGAACATCAAGCATTCCCATCGGGCGTTGACTGGAACTACATGACTGATCAAGAAATGAAGACGTCTCCTCATCCGTCGTGGCAGCGAGGTAAGTCATTTGCTTTCAGAGTCCCTAACATATTTAATTAATTAGGGACCGGCAGGTAAGAGGCTCCTGGGAGCGGTCATTATTTATCCCCCGGGAGGGAGGGGAGGGATAGGATGATTTTGGTTGTATCACGATAAAATTTTACCAGATCTCCCATAGGGCTCTCTAATATTCTTATGATCCCCCCTCAATCATTAACAGTTAATTTGCAGACAAATTTCTGTAGTCGCCCTTTATCATCTGCTGGCCACGGCTGATTCTCCTACCCTTCCAATCCCCTTGAAAACCATGCAATCATTGGCACCCTCACAGCCAGGCGATGAAAAAGGACTCTTCCCCCTCTTCCACTAACATCAAGGCATTCCTTCTTACAAATCTCCCAGTTATTTCTTCCTTTACCAGGTGCCACTGTATGGTTGTTCAATACTCCCTGGGCCTTGCGTAAGCTGCTCAACTGGGTGAAAGAACATTACAATGACCCTGAAATCATAATAACGGAGAATGGGTTTGCCATCGATGGTGAAAATGAGCTTACAGTTGAAGAAGCCTTAAACGACGAGAAACGAGTCAATTACTTGACCTCTCATGTGAACGAAGCCTTAAAGGCAATCCATCTGGACGCGGTTCGATTAAAAGGTTACTTTTACTGGTCACTTCTGGATAACTTTGAATGGATGGATGGATATCGAGTCCGTTTTGGTATACACCGGGTCGATTTTAATGATCCTAATCGAACCCGCACTCCTAAAAAGTCCGCAGAGGTGTATAAAGAAATCATTCGCAACAATGGTTTCCCAAGATAAAAGGACGAAAAGTCGGAGTTGTGATATCTTAACGAATGTAAACTAAGCCTAAATCCAGGGAGAAATGTTAACATGACCGAGATCGTTATACTAAGGAAACGCGTAAAAGATTCTCAAAAGTACGTATGTTTTTCGACACCTGAAGGGCGGGAGTAACTAACCTGGAATGTTCCTTATTACAGAGAGATTGTATTCGGAGTTTGCTTTGATTCGATGTTTTTAACACAAGGATAGTATGTAACCTACCTCCATTGTCGATCAAACTGGTCTGCCTATGCATATATATATATATATATATATATCTATTAAAGCAGGCGAAGACTTAGTTGTTGCTGTTGTGTTTTTCATTAATTATTAACTCGTCTGAGGACAGAAGAAGCCCCCCCCCACCCGCTCCACGAGTCGCTTACCACAAATTTATAACCTTCATTAACCAGACTATTCAGTTTTGTGAAGAGAATTTCATTGTAAATGTTTCAATCACAAACTTTCGGCCAGATTAGAAAAGAAGACTTACACGCGTTTCATACCGCATCAAAAAAGGTTCCCTGCTTTGGTATCTTTCTCCACTACTAGCGCCATTCAAATTTCCCGCCCTCAGCACTGGCTGCGACCGACTGTATGTTTTTCCGCCATTTATGATAGTGCCAAGCTTTGTAGCTTTTTTTAGCGTTACTTATGCATTTATTCTATTCTTATCTTGAAATACTCCCTCAAAGAAACAATTAATAGTTTGATAAATAATAATAGTTTGACAAATAATAGTTTGAAAACGAGAGCAACACATAATAAAAGAAAATGCTTGAACTCGAGGAAGTCCTAATCATTCATCACAACGTGCGTGAGGACTGGGCTCTGGATGCACAACAAATTATGCAAAATGGCGGAGTTGAAAGCACCGGAATCTTGTGGATCTCTTCGTAGTTTGTGCATAAAAATTGTTCTCCATTATCCGAAATTGGCCGAAAAAGGATTCAGTTTGCTTCCTTTTGAGGTCATTCAAGCTATTCTTGATGCTTCTGTTCACAATCGAAGTATAGGTCTGATACAGCAGGTCTTGAAATTTTGGCCTTCGCCTGTGGCTGTCTTAAGCGGAGTTTCAAGCACCGCACGTAACGAGGAATTTGTTGCAAGGGCTGTAGTTGAGTACATTTCTAAAAGGGACGAAGCTGATAAAGTCCAAGTTATTGACCTAAGGCAAAGAAATATTGGTGAGTTTAGTAGGCTGTGAATTTTTATGCGCAAGTCAACGTAAATCCCCGCTCATTTAACTGCATGGCACTTTGCTAGTAACTTGTATGATGCCCCGCACTTCGAGCTAAGGCCAACTTATTCGTCTTATTGAAGCTAGTGACCCCGCTCAAATCCCCCACTCCTATAAAAAAAAAATTAAAGGTGGTATACATAGCCTATTGTTAATCCTTTGACTTTATTACATAAATATTAGCTAATAATGTCAATCATATATTCAAAGCATTCTTACCTTCTTGTCCAAAGTCAGAATATTTTCAATTCAAGTTCCAGTTCACCTTGGTTGAAAGTACCCTGGTCCTTTCCCCTGCTGATCCTGGATGACATGCAAAAGCTATTAAAGTCCCCAGTAACCATAGCCTGTACACCTATCAAATGATGGAAAACTCCCTGCAAATGCCCCACTAACTCCCAGTGTTGAGGGGTTTTTACATTAACCAGTGCATTGATGGTACATATTATTAGTTATCATTTTGCTCATTGAATGTTTAGATGAACTGCTAATCTTTCTGTGCTATTGATTAAATTATTTATTCTTTGCCTAATTAATTTTGAATTACTTACCTGTTGACCCAAAAAATCTGAAATAGTACTTTTCAAAACCCTTGTTACTTCCCCCAGTAATACAATATAGCAGTGCTCTGAGTCCATAAACCCAATGAAATTTGAGAAACTGAAAACTGAGAGAAAAACCTTGACAAGAAGTCATTGATCATCTGAAAAACATGGCATTATGCCGAAAAATTTGCTAAAATTTATCTCCTCCTTCCTCTGCCCTCCCCCCCTTCCCAACCCCCATTACATCCACCAACAGGCAAAACTTGCTAAGAATAAAAGGCATACTAAAATTCAAAACTCAACATTTTACTGATTCAGTTTCCTGAAGTGTAAGCAAGAAAAGCAGGCTAACTATCATTAGTGCTCAGGCTACAGAATTTATCCTTGTTGAACTGGGATTTTTAAGAAGTTTAGGCAATATTCTGGTATTATGCTCTGATTGTAGGAATATGTCCAGAATTATGCCATCGAATGCCTGCTTGATAACTGAGTATAGGCTTGCATGGCTGGGGGAACTCCCACAATCTACTTGACCACCTGTAAGAGGTCTTTGTAGTGGAATAGTTTGGAACTTGGGGCAAGAACTAAGAGCTATAACATATGTATCATATACTGTTATGGTTCTAAGTTAGATTGAGATGTGCATTTAGGTAAAGAGTATTGGTGATCCATAAATATGAATCAACTTACTGTAAAATCTCCTGTAAAAATACAAATGTGGGGGAATCAAGTTAATTTATCTCCATTAAAAATTAAATGGAGTTCTACTTCAGGGACAGTTTTGTTTTTTAATCTATTTTTTTAATATAAAAAAATAATTATCTGGAGAATGATACACAGCAAACTCCAGGAGCATGTTGTTAAAAATTGATGACAACAATAAGTAAAGATATAGTTATAATTGCAGGGCAATAATGTGAAAATCATTGTTGAAGATAGCAATTAATCACCCTTTACACCCTAATATCAGTATACATATACTGTTCTCCACAAATATCCATAGTGGACAACATAGAGAAACTTCTTGTTGGTGATCGTTTCCTCTATTCATGACCTTAATGTTTGATTCAGGGGTGATTTTATGAGGAGAAATTAAATGCTAGTCACTCTTAGGGTGAAAGTGGTAAAGCAGAAACCGGTGAGGATGACTTCTTTAAAGGACTTTTGACAAAGGAGTCTCTTCCAGGCACACAATTTGTTTGAATTAGCAAAAAAGTAAGGCCAGTGTGGGATTAATGAAGTGTTGGGTTGTATTATTAAAATCTTCTTTACTGAATGAAAAATAACACAAACTTCATATTCATAAGTTAAAATACAAACTGGTGAAGTGACCAATGAGAAAGATCATATTGTGCTGGTAACAAAGCAAAATTCTGACAAAGAGAAATGCAAAATATATGCTGCTTATGTATTTGTCTAAAAGATCTACATAAAAATCTAAACTAGGGTAAATTCTCGGTGGTGCGTTCATCATGTGCGTATATCAAAACTTAAAGTAATGAATTCAGAATTGTCAGGGATGCTGAATACTGCACCAATTAATGCGATGCAACTCAATATGCAAGCACCCAAAGAAAATAATCTGTAGATAAAGAAAAGTTTTCAGTTACGTCTTGGTAATTGAGATAGTTTAATTTTCAGGATTCCTTGGTAGTACCGTTCTCTGCAGGGCTGTCATTGCAGCAAATAAAGACATTACATTAGCAGAAGTTACCAATGGAACCCCCTTTAATGTAGCTATCCATCTCAAGCCAGTTCTTGCTGTGTATGCAGACATTTGTGTGAATTACAGTAATCCCGAGACGGTATTGAAAGCATTGGAAACAAAGAATGGTTTTGTTCAACTCTGTATCTCTGCTTTTAGTGCCGTAGAACTTGGAGATAATAGACTTTCTGGTCTCTTAAGAGTTCTTAATTCAGACCATTTGGTAGTATTGGATTTGTCATATAATGGATTGGCTTATTATGACAACGTCAGTGTCGATTTGTCATCGATTTTCCAAGAGATGCAAAAATTCACAAAGTTGCGCGCTCTAGCACTTTCTTACAATTCCTTGGGCGAAAGCCATTTGATGAATCTGTGTAAGGTTTTGGAGAAACTTCCATGCCTCGTATCTCTCGATCTCAATGGTAACTATGTTGGTGGTTGCATTGGACTTCTTTTGAACAGCGTCAATCAACCACTGAAGTGCTTACGATTAGAAAACGGCAGAATATGCGATAGCGGAATTAGGAGCATTGCATGTTCCAAACATTCAACTCAACTCACCGAGTTGGATATTTCTTTTAACTGTCTTTCGTCAGAATGCCTTCCTGATCTTGTCTTTATTTTGGAGGCGTCCAAGAACACCTTACAAAGCCTGAACGTTTCAGGAAACGAGGTTGAAACAGTGTTAGACCTAAACTGGCAAACAATTCGTTGATCTACTCTCAGTATAGACTATCTCTCAATAAATGGATTTTGGATTGTTCACTAAATAACAAAGTGGAGGTGAATGGTAGGGGATATTTACCGATTGGCGAAACGGCGAAGTGAACTAGTAAATGTACATTTCTCGTTTCTGTCAATATACCGTAAAACGTTCGGAACTTAAAATGTTGACGTGCGATTTACCCTTTTTAGCTACTCAGAGGTGAAAGTTAATAGCTGAAGACCTCTAAGCTAGCTAATCAGTCCGTAAGCATTACTCGTTTGTATGGTATACTCTAAATCCTTATACACGCGGTGGAATCACTTCTAACTGACAGGAGTAATTCTACCTTTCTTCCTTAAGTTAAGTAACTATTACGCAGCTTATGTTGTAATATTTCGTTTCGCGCGAACCTTTTTTTTTTTCCTGAAGGCATCTGTTAAGGTTTAGAGTAACCCTTGGAAGCGTTCGTCCTATGTAAGCTTGGGAGTTTCCCACACGTCCCGCGTTTGCGACAAATATTAACCTTCTTTCCTAATTGGACAACCTAGCTAAAAATTTACCGTCCTTCTTCTTCCAGTGTTGCACGAACAATACAAAAATAAAAAAATGTCTTTTCTCGACACACTTATGTTCCACTTTTTGTTTCTTATGGAATTTTACTAACTGCAGCTCAGTGGATGACAATCTCTAACAACTGGCTAGGAACTGCTGTTCAAGCCCAGGGTTCGTGTGGTAAAAGTTATTAGGAAATATCTGGCAGAAGTAAATCTAAACTTAAAAAGGGATTCACAAAAAGAATGATAACTTTTAGACATTATTGCGCATCAACAAGACAAACAGAATAGTTACAAAAGATGGTGAACTCTTGAGGTACCGCCTTTTCCATAAACCACAGAAGTCGACTAATGTATTTTCCGCTGGTATTCGAAGTAATTAGGCGTACTTGTTTCGCTTTAACACCTGCCACTCCCTTTATTGTGCCTTCTACGCTGTTATTGATCGGCTTCTAGTACTTATACTCTCTACTGTTCACTGTACGCCATTCACGTTTGCGGTTTCCTACTTCACAGTTTTACATCTTTTCGCGAGTGTTTTTTCAAGCGTGTGCTTCGGTAAAATTTGCGCACAGCCCCATACTTCATTATGCATTCAGTTCTTGAATAGAGAAAACAATGACTAAAACAATACATTGCCATTGGGAAAACAGATTTGTTTTACAATAGTATGGGGCTGTGCGGAAATTTTACCTGTGCTTCTAATGTCCAGCGAACAGGAGCAAACAGAAGGTTTTTCCCGCTCAACAGATACGACCCAACCGGTTCATGGTGGTGGCAACTCGGCATCTGTCGACCAGGTTTTTTCAATGTTTAAAGATTACCTGGAGAAGAAATTGGAGGTTAAAACCAAGCAGATCGAGGGTTGTGTCCTCGTGTACCGGTACACAAAGGAACGAAACATTAACGAACTGCGTCACAACTCCATGTATGGATATGAAAACAATAGGAATTCCCCCGTGTACCGGTACACCAGGACAGCCCCAGATCGAGCAAAAGAGCAGAATAGACAAAGAAGTCGTGCAATTGAAATACAAGGGCAACCAGAAGCAGTACGAGCTCAATGCAGAATTGGATTCCATCATTGAAAGCATAGAAACCGAGTCAGAGCGCAGCGAACCAAATTTACCGCTGATTAAGAAGTATTCTCAAGAGGCCAGGGAGCTTATTCGTAAACGGCAAAAGCTAATAAAAATTGCCGACAGGAGCAAGGACGGTTGGCAAGTTTTGGCAGAGTACGAATCCGATGAGTTGGCGTCCGACTCCGAAGATGAGAAACGGCTCAAAAAGGCTAGAGAAACGGCGAGTCGAAAGAGACGACAAAAGGACCAACTCACAAGCGGGAGCGGAAAGAAAGCAAGAGCTGCTGTGGGTTCTGATAATCAGCTTTTTCGTGGTAAGAAAAATTGCCTACACTTTACTTTGTGATTTCATATGGTTTTGGATCCGCTTACGCATCCTACCATACTGCTTGTCTGATTTATTTATTACGGGAATTTAAGGGTAAAATAATTTACGTTCGTTTGAGAGAAGCGAATTAGAACGTAAATTACAAATTCGGTACGGTTTCGTGGTGCCATAAATGAATTAATCAATTGTCTTTTCCCTTTTCGCGTGAGTGGTAAAGTTGATACATTGAGCAATAACTCGGAGACCCACCATTTGAGTGAAACTGATATCGATATCTTTTACGTTTCTTCTTATCTTAAAAGGTTCCGGAAGTTGTTGCAAACAGAAAATAAAAATCTTTTCTTTCGCTGTTGATTAACGTAGTGCGTCCCTATTGTCACGGCAACTTTTAGTGATTCTCCGTCAACCGACAGCTGTTTGGTTTGAAAGTCGCTCAGACTAAAGCCTGCGGGAAGACCTTCGTTATAATGGCTTCGGCACGAGCAGTTCTTCACCCGCCTGCGGGAAAGTACAAGGCCTTGAGCGACACGAGCCAGCTAGAGGCATGTAAAGGGGCTAGCATTGATAATGATTATTAGTGCCGGATCTTTGGCAAATTAACCTCCCCCAACTCGTCTCAAATCTTACTGCGGGCGGAAAAAGAGATGAAACGCGCATCCTGCAGCGCTTATAACGAGGCCGTGCTCGCAGGCCAATCCGACTAGAAGTGATAATAAAATAAGAAAAAGGAGTGAGGCGCACTTGTTTTCGAATTCTGCAATTTCTTACAAGCATCGTTTTCCCAAATAAAGCTAAAATTCTAGTGCTTTTTCTTCCATTTAATAATTGATGACGTTGTCTTATGAACGTTCTAAATCTCCTTATTGAATACTTCCCATATTTTTGTTTCCTGTTTGTTTGAAAATGTCTCAACCGGGAAAGGTGAAGTTATGTATCGATCACCACTAGGTATCGACCACTTTAGAGTCAAAAACGTCTTTTGACTCTTCATGAGTTAGAGAAAGGCTATTTTCCATTTCGCCTCCTGTTTGATTGACGTGAATATTTGTAAACTTATGTTACTAGTGAAAAACTGCTCTTATGTTTTTGTCCTGCCATCTTACTTCTTGTTTTTCTATGCCGGCTATCGCACTAGAACCTTTAAAAAATATATAATTGTAAAGGATTGAAAATGAACCCCACCACAGAGTCAATGAACAAGCTGAGCTAAAAGATAAAGCGTTCTTTATTTGACCAGTGGAAATAACCGCGGGGTGGCTGGGTGGCTGGGTGGGTGGTCTAAATTTTCAACTGACAAAACACAAAATTCGAAAGACGTAGTTAGAGGAAGTAAATAATTAAAGGTAATGAATTTGATGTCCTCGCAGCAACCTTCCTGTGAAACTTCTGATAACATAAACCAACCACGAGACTCTCATTACCCATAGTTTTAGAAGTAATCCTGAAGAAAAAAACTGTAAATTATTGGCGATGTGCGTTTCGAAAAAAAAAAAGCATTGAAGTGCATATATCAATTTCTCTAGTCTTCTTTTTTTTTCCTTTGACATTGTACTCCCCGAGGGAGTAAAGTGGGTAAAAAAAGAGTACAATACATAGCAACTTTGGAGTTGTTTACTTACTTAATTAACTAACTAATTAACGTCGGTAAGTGCTCGACTGCGAAGATGTCAAGCCGCCAGCGAATTCATCTCTCTCGTTCCTTGTAATCAGAGCTGGCTTTTGAAAATTGCCGCTAATTTACGAACCCATTATGCTTTGTCGTTGTAGTTGTGCCGAATGCCATTAAGAATTGGTAAAATTTACATAAAACTGCGTTATTATGATATGTTTTGGTTACTTTGTTTTTCTTTAGTATTCCTTGTTAGTCAGTAACAATCCATCTAACCACCTCAGTAATCAGCTTGAGAGAAGGCCCTGAACTCCTTGGTTCGCCGTTGATTTCATTCACCCACTGAATTTACGCAAGCGTGGGAAGTGTTGCCTCAGGGTAACCTCGCATCTGCAGCAGATGCCGGAGTCTTAGTCCAAATAAATATATAGCTGATGAACTTGTAAAACAAAGAGAAAATTAGCCAAACCTCAACTGCTGAGGTTTTGACTGAATGCCTGAATTGCAGCGACGAGTTTGACGCATCAGTGCGGAAGAACCGGCGTAGCAGCCTCGATTCGTTGATTTTCCAGATTGTTCAGAGGTGCATGGTCTTTGCTCTTGATTTCAATTACTATAGTGTGTCGGTTCAAAGTGCACAAACAGATATACCGCCAGTGTAATAATATTAAAAAAAAAAATAAAAAAAAAGCAAGAGATCTGGTCATGTTTACCCACTCCTACATGCATCAAAATTGCTAATCTATGGAAATTTCTTGGAGGAAGAATCCCAGATTGACGGAAACGCAAACCGTGCGGATAGATGTAAAACTAGAAAGACTCCTTTCCAAACAGGCATTTAAAAGTTAGGCAAACAATTCATGTCACCTTTGGTAACCCTTTGCTCAACACGAGAAGAAAATAATTAGTTCCAAGCAGGAACAAAAGGAATTAGCTGCCATGCGTTAAGTTACGAGGAGATGTAAAAATTAATCATTGGCAACATTAATTTCTGATGAGACAGGCCATAGGAAGAAAGCAATATATCTGCATAGAAATTTTTTTTGCCGCCTTGGGTTCCTTACATTCGACATGTAGAATTTCAAACTCGCCCGCACTAATAATTCTTGTGTAAACGTTTAGGCTTAGGGGAGCCCTATGTTATTATTAGTATTGTTTTTATTATTCAAATTTGTTTTCCCAAGAGAATATTAGTTGTTCTCTTAGTTTTCCTAGGTAAGTTTTTGAAGAACTTATTTTTTGGTCTCGTTTTCTTGGCACTTTCATGCTGATCTATTCTTTCTCACAATGTATTTTCTGTTACTATCTCAATCTCTTTGAATGGTTAAATTATGCTAATTTATTGAATCGCCTGAGCGAGCTTTGAAAGGTCTGAAAGGACCCGCGAGAGGTGTATTCATTCGAGAATGTTGCGTATGCAAAATCGCTGTCACGCGATAATCAAGTGGTCAACTATGACAACAATATCTTAACTCAAGCAGGATGTCTTCGAAAGTTGTCATTTGCTTTTCGTTCTTTCATAAATCGATCGATTTTTTTTGTTGTGAGAGAAAGCGTAACGGTAGCTGACATTGATATGATCGTATCGCCATTAATTCTCTGCTTTGGAGCGTTGTTCAACCTCTATGTCGCGTTGTATTGCTTTCAGTGCTCAAGATGGCGGTCATCAAACAACTTGAAATATTTCATCGTGTTCCAGACGATTGTCAACACCGGCAATTTGTTCGCTCATCTTGTTTTGCTGCTCCGTGACGAGCTTAACGATTTTGACGAGATCGCAAGAGTGGGAGATCACACAATTTGTGACATCTTGCCCAACATCACAGCATGTTTTATGTCGCTGTCCGTGTTCAACCTCACCGCGTTTGTTGTTGTGCGCTATTTAACGAACGAGCGTCGATGGACACTGTCTGCTCTAAAAATCGTATTCACACTGCTCGGAATCGTTGTGTCATCTGGGCTGCTTTTGTCTCCAGCTTTGAGTTATTTATATCATCAAATGCCAGTTCTCAAGTGTAATGGTTGTTACTGTCCGTCACCGGGTATGATTTGGGAGGCTAATTTCGATGTATGGCTCTATGGTTATATGGTAATCTTGCTTCAGTTTGTTATTCCAGCGATCATTCTTTCTACAGCGGTGCTCAGAGGCCTTGCAAGACAATTGGAAGAGACGCGTACTTTAAGAGAGAGTTGGTACAGATGGCGGTGCGGACTTAAAAGTACAAACATCGTTACTTTAGCTGTGTGTCTCTTTATAACATTTATTCTGCCAGTGAGAGGAATTCGCTTTGTTGCCGGAGAGCACTTCTTCCCGGACAGCACGAAGCGATTCGCTGAGATTGAACTTCTAAATTCTGTTTTTTACATCTTGGAAATCTCTTGGGCTGCAATCACCGCTATATTGCCAGTTTGCCTGAAAAATCTGACTGACGATGAAATTTCTGGTGAACAGAAGAAAGAAAACAACAATGCGGGTCGAACAACGAGCCCTCAAAGCAAAACCTACTGCGAGGCTTTGGTGGAACTGGAACTATGGGAATAAGGAGCATATCGAAAGACCAAAGAAATTCAAGGTAATTCGACATGAATTTTCGCCTCAACTGGGTCGCAGTAAACCACATTTTCCGAACGTTATTAAGAAGTAAACCGCAGCGTCATGTTATGAAGTAACCACTCGTAACGAGGGTAATTTATCGTTACGATTTAGTGGCAAAAGTAATTCGGGTAACTCAACATGGATATGGTACAACTAGGACGCGCTAGAAACTATTTTTTGCGAAATTAATTTTAAACTTAAATCAGCGGCTTATGTTTGAAAGTCAAATTAAACCCACGCGTGTGACTTTAAAATGAATTTTCAAGCATAACAAATAATAAGTTATTTTCTATTTTGAAAAAAATTCCATATTTATGCGTCATCTTCATGTAATTTTACAGCTTTAAACTGCAAAAGGCGGAGTGGTGCTTTATCGACTTGCAAATCTTATAACCATGTAAAGCTTGTATGAAATTGATTGATAGTTCCTTCGGTGCACTTATTCAATATGCTGGTCATGTTTGCATTTTTTTTCTACCTCCTTGTGGTCTTTCATTTGTGAAGCTGAGGTACAAAGAAGCTCTCAATGGACTTGTAGCTTTTACCGCTAACGGTTAAAATTTTGGCCAATTTACGGCTAACAGTTAATATCTTTCCTTTGTTGTATCAGGAAAGCTTTTGCTGTTAATTTCCTTTGCGACTAATTTTTAAAATAGTCAATTTTTACACCTTGCGGCTATTTTTTTTGTCCGTTTACGGCTTTCTGTTAACCCCATTGAGACCCTTTACAAAATCGAGCAAAACGTACCTGGTGGCTTTCGAGTATTCAGACCGAAATGCAAGGGTAACTATGACATCAAAAAATGTATTAGAACTTGCATCGTAATGTTGGCAAAACGTTTGGGCAACATTTATTCTTTTATACACACAATATTGAAAGGTGGCAAATTTTGAGTTTATTCTTTGTTTTGACAAAGAAAGTTATGCTACGTAGATACTAGGACAAAGAAAAAAATTTCCCGACCACAAGCATTCGAACCTCAAACGTTCGTACTTTGCAGTTACAAGGGTTTGACTTAGGTTTGAACCTCCGTGTAAAGTAGAACGCCAGCAAATACGTTACAAATAACTCATAACCAGTAAGTAACATTATTACTTATTTCTAGCTTTCAGCACAGGCGACATTTATTCTTTTATACATACAATATTGATAGGTGACAAATTTTGAGTCTATTCTTTGTTTTGACAAGGAAAATCGTGTTCCGTATATACTGGGACAGAGAAAAAGATTTCCCAACAACAAACGTTCGTCCTATGCAGTTACGAAGGTTCTACTTTAGGTCTGAACCTCCGTGTGGAGTAGAACGCAATCAAATAAGTTACAAATAACTCGTAAGTAAGTAACAGTAAGTAACATTATTACTTCTTTCTAACTTGAGGCGAGTACACGGAGCGAGATACTCGCCCCTTGCGCGCCTGAAAACGTTTAAAGAAAACCTGTTTTGCCTTCCTATTTTATTCTTGACTCAGTTAGGTTCCATTCGGGGGCAATCAAGAGCCTAGTATTTTTAACCTCAGAGCACAACACTGTCTTTTCTACAATTTCTTCAACTGCAGCTCGCCATTCTATACCTGTATTTTGCCCGAATAAGCTGTTGCAATTACATAGCATATGAATGTGTTGATAATTTGTTTACATCATCCCAGGTGCTCTGCAATCCGTTGTATAATGGGGAATATTATTGATTTTACTGAGACTGAGACTGATCGGAAATTATTTTTCTTTGTAGTTTCGATCATTCTAGTTTACCTCTAAACGTTTTTCGATGGCTAATTCACGATGAGAGCAAAGTTTCTTTATTTTAAATTCCTCTTTGATTAACATATAGTTTCCAGGTGATTGTACGTGTGAATAATTATTTCTTTTGGTCGTTCGGTTAGAATTTACGATTATTTCATTCATACCTATATCGCAGATGGCCGGCTTAACGAGCAAGCCCTTCAATTTCCTCTTGCCTCAAAGGAAATTTTCTTTATTTGTTTAGTAATATTTTTTCCATATTCGTACATAGTTAAATTTGTCATGTTGACATGAAGGAGATTATTGTAGGATTAAGACTCAACAATACATATTGGCATGTCGCTGATTTGACGCTGAACCTGTCCATGCCATTTCTTGTACCACTAAATGTAAGTAGAATAAACATCAAGTTTTAATAGGATCAGCAAGGAAATGAAATCTGTTATAAACGATTATGAACGGCAAAGAAACATGAGCGAACGTTTGTAAGGTCTGAAAGTATCGTCAGATATTATATTTTAACTAACAAGTCTTATGTATCAATTATTATTTAATCAATTCTATTTAAATTGATGTAACGCGATTATTTTACGATCTGGTGAAAAGTTGTGTAACTGAACCTTGAGTAAGCAAGAAAGATTTGAAACCAAACATTCGGTGAAAGATTGAATGTCTCGCTTTAAATTTTACTGACTTAAGTACGAATTAAGTTTCCTACTCTCTTAATACATAAACTCTTTAATTGTGATTAGCATTTAATTTCTCCATACGATATCACCCCTGAATTAAACACTGAGGCCAGGAGAATAAAGGAAATGATCACCCACTAAAGAGACTTTTGATTGCTCAACAAATTCTCCTTGTCAGCACCTTTGGAAATGTGCAGAGAACAGTATGGAGAATATGCATGCTGATGATGTAAAGTCTGAAAAGGTTTTTGAGTAACTTTAACGTTGTGGCTATTCAAAATTCTCTTGATGGGTTCCGTAACACCCTACCGGAATGTAAGGAATAACACAACTACTAGTTACAACTAGTAACACTCCTGATGAGAAGGAACCAGCAACTGGTTTTGCTGTTATTCCTTACATTCAGAGGGTGTTACGGAACCCATCGAGAGAATTTTGAATAGCCACAACGTTAAAGTTGCTCAAAAACCTTTTCAGACTGAAAGGTATAGTTTTGCCAAACCTAAGGATCCTGTTACGCAAGAACAACGAACCGACGCTATTTAGTCTATTCCGTGCAATTACCGTGATCACGAGTATATCGGACAGACCAAACGTCAGTTTAGTACACGTTTGAAAGAGCGTCAAAAAACGGTCCTCTTTTGCGAAAAGGAAAATTCAAGAATACATGGTCGGTTGTGAGACCTGTTGTACATATCTTTTTTACATATCTTTTTTAAAGTTTGTTGTGATGCGTAAGTTATTCATCTTTGGCCTACTCTGCAGACGGTTTGCACACTACACTTGCAATCCCTGGCACCGTTAAACCAGACGGCGCCCTGATTTTTCGTCTTTTCCTGCACAGTATCACGTTACGCAGATGTTCTCGAAAACTCTTAATGCGCAAACTGTACACTCCAGGATTAACGCACGAGTTGAGCACAATCAGGACCTCTCCTGCGTCATTGAACCACGGTACACCCACGCCCCAGATCATTGTGACGTGACTTATTAGGGCCGGAATCCAACAGAATGCGTAGATCGCGCTGACCACCAGCAGCGACACAGTCACTTGTTTGCGATGGCGAAGAAGAGCCGTCTGAGAAGCTTTCAAATGTGCACTCTCAACTGGCTTGACCCACAGGCGATACGCTACTCTGGAGTACAGGCATACCATAATGCACACGGGAACCACGCCTGCGAAAAGCACCCAAATGAGGCTGTGCGCTTTGAAGAATCTTTCGTCTATGGTGCGAAAGTTATCATACCTCTTGCACGAGCCGGAATCGAAATAATAGTACTTGACCTCCAATAGGTCAACCATGTTGATCACAATGGAGACAAACCATGCAATGCCAATCAGTAATTTCAGACGCCCTTTGGTAAACTTTCCTCGATGACGAAGGGGATGGATTATGGCTAAGTAACGTTCAATGGCGATGTAAACCAAAAACAAAATGGAGGCAGCAGCACCAAACCAGGCGATGTCTCCGTGTGTAAACCAAACGCACAACCAGCGTCCTGCCTCTCCCTCTGGGTGGGTTAGGTATTGAAAAAGTCCTTTCTTGAGACCAGTGGGCAAAGCGAACACCATGTCGGCCACGGCGAGGTTCACCAGTAAGTAGTTGAGTGTGGTTTGCATGGGTTTGTTCAGAAGGACAGTTAGAATGACGAGCGTGTTGCCGATCAGGGATGTGAGTACAAGGATTAAACACACCGTGTCCATAATGATGAGAGAGGCTGCCTGAGAAACGACCATCTTAAAATGACGACACTCAAATTAGGTTTGCATTGATTAATTATATGTGTATTTGGTACCACGAGGAACAGTTAGAGACGAACAATCAATGTTCTTAACTTAGTCGAGCATAAATAAGATGTAATCTTAATTATAAGAAACCCTTGCACAGCGCAAACCATTCATTAGTTGTCTGTAACACTTATAATAAGATACCTGAAAAAATCACTCAGTTCTGATTGGTTAAGATGAATGCAGTTTCAGGTAATTCAATGAAGAAGAGGGTTAATTCAGTGCAAAGAAGTAACAAGCCAGATTGAACAATTCCTTGAATTGTTTAGTTGGACTCTGAACTTTTATGCGCCTTAAAGATATGAAAATATCATAGTATATTAATGTTTTGATCGTACGCGGTTGTTTTGACCGGAAGCACAATGTCATTTGCAGGGCTTGATTAAATTATTTTTGCACTTGATGCGCGCACTTTGCTTCTGCATAATTATGATAAGCTCTCTCGTATTTTTTTATGTATATTATTAATACGTAATCGCATGATTTTTCTCGCGCAGTTTAGTATGAATAAGCACTTGTAAATTTTTTCAAAGACCACAAATTGCACGAGCCCGTGGGGCTCGTGCAATTTTGTTAGTCTTTAAAAAAATTCACTCGTGCTTATTTATTACAAATTGCATTCGAAATCATGTGATTACCTATACTAAATGCATACGAGAGATCACAAACTTATGCATGATAGTAAAATAAAAAAAAACACACATTGGAAATCCCACAAACACAAATG